CCGCCATCGACCATTGACACCGCCCGCGACCGCCAACACCACCTAGGGCACGATTCATGTCGTCGCCGCCGTCTCGAACCATTGCCACCGTCATCAGCCCCCCCGTCACTGTTTCACAGCCACCGTACTTCCACTACATTGTCTTCGCCGGTGTTCCATCGCCGGACCCGCCGCCACCGCCGCCCGTCTCCCCTCTTCGCCGCCACCTGCTTCTTCCGTTTCGGGCGATCTCTCGTTCCCGCCCCCACGGGTTGGGGTTTTGTCCACCGGTTGGTGATCCCGGATCCGTCCGGCCCGATAGCCCACATTCGGTCTGCCAACTCAGCCCTGAACCGCAAAATCCGAGACAGCCACTTCGCTGGCTCGAACCATACCTGGTCACCTGGTCCGCACCAGCCCACCTCACGAGGTCGTACTACTCCGTACGGCCTTGTCTGGAGCAACTACGGATCCAGCGGCCCGAGCCAATCTGGACCGTCTGGTCTGTGCCAACCCGCTCTGCAGGCCCGGGCCACTCCGGACCCCTTGGTCTGAACCAACGCACCTCGCTGACCAGAGCCACTCTAGACCGCTTGGTCCATGCTAAGCACCTCGCTGGCCTGAGTCATTTCAGACCACCTGCTCCACACAAGCCCAACCCCATAAACCGAGCTAGTGGTCAACGGTAAACTACAAGGTCAAAGGTCAACGAATGGTCGAGTCAACAGAAGGAATAAATGGCCAAACGTTGGTAAACTTTAAGTAATTGAGGTTTATCTTCAACATGTGCTGCTCCTCCACATGTATGTCACTCATCCTAGTGACAAGGTTATAAGTGAGCCCTCTTTCTTTTTAGTTTGAGTATTTGTATTCATTTTATTCATTATTTCTCCAAATTGTTGTTGAGTGACCCATGATTAGGTCCACTTATCTCTATAGATGGTGGTGATTGTATAGGAAGAAGCCATTTAATTTTCAGCTAGTTGATTTATTGATAGTGGAGCGCCTTAATATCTGACAATTTTGTTTATCACATAAATCCTTGTATCAAATATTATTAGAAATCACTTAATTTAACCCTAGTAAACTCTCCTAAAGTTTTAGATCTATTGTCAAATTTGTTCAAAGATACTTGTCTAGGGTTAGTTTAGTCATTTTTCATCTCATTGTGCATCAATCATAGTTTAGTAGTTGAAGTTTAGCTTCAATTTAAGCTACTATGAATCCTCTTTCTTCAATTTAATATGTTATTAGTTTGATCAGTTTTCATCTCGCCCCACATCAATCATAGAGCACATACCACCTCTTTGACTAGACAACTAACCTCTGAGAACCCAAGCATTCATTTCCTATCTATTTCCAATCATCAGCCTCATAATTAAATCATACCTCATGGTGTAGCATATGGTTATGCTTGTGATGAAGCAAATGAAGGCTAAAGGCACTTTTAGATTCATAAAGGGACTTGCAATCATAGGAAGCAACTCCAACTTTAAAGAACTAGAGGATTTCATTTGTGAGTGGAGAGATTGATCTCTCAAGAATGAAGAGAATAATAGATGAATACCTCAATGAGCCACATAGGTTCACTGAGTTCTCCAACACTGGCTGAATGATTGAAGACAATCTTGGCACCGTTATGCTTAAATTTCAGCCAATTCAAGGGGGGGGGGGGGGTTGCCTTCCATAATAATTATTTACCACAATCTTCCCATAGTCAATCTTAGATACAATGACTTGGAATCATAATGCATTTAGGTAAAGGGATATGAAGAGAATCAATGTTTACATGTTAAGAACTGATACAATTTATGTTGAAGATTTAATATTTACCACAAATAATTTTCCTTTCCTTATTTCATGAAGGGCAAAAGAAGACAATGATCAGACATATTTCTAAGCATTGCCCTTACAAGCTTACAATAGCCATATTTATTTCATGAGAAGCAAAATAGAAACAAACTTGGTACAATTTGTAATTTTCACTTATTAAAGATTAAGACACACACATGTAACATATGAAAGAGTAACAAATTCTTATACCATTTATTATCTTATTTAGTAAAAGCATCCACACTCATAATTCACTATAATTATTAGCTTATGTGATAAATAGTGATCTATATGAATTTGGAGTATGGTGTTTTATTTGATAAAATGTTTGCATTGAAATACCACACTTGCCTTCTTTGTCATAGATATTGCATCTCAATTTCATATATCCTTGTTCACCCCAACGTATCCCATAAGAATTTTTTATCAACCAATTTTTTTCTCCTTCTTCTAAACCATAACTCACAATAGTTACAGCATGGTTCACTTGAGTTGTGCAAGAGCCATTGAAAACACCCTACAAATCAAGAAATTACGCATTAGTGGTTATTCTCAGCTACTACTATAATATCTAAGATGCCCATTAGTCTAAAATTATTTAAAATGAGTGTTCATGATTTTCATAAGATTTAGGTTAGTCTAAAGTTAATATATTAGACAAAATAAAATAAATATTTAAATAAATGAAACTTTTTTTTTACTATTGTTGTAATGATAATAATGAAACTATATTTTAAAAATTAGACACTTTCCTAATCTCCATATGAAATTTTCCCTTTCCTAACTTCCTTCATATAATAATGAAAATAGAGGAAAGGAGATGAAAATGAAACAAGGGAAAGAGAGATAATTGAGGTGAAGGGTATCTATGCTCAAGTGTGGCGATTGCTTATTTAAGCTCATGTGAATATGTTTATATAGTGTGCACCAGCATGATAAATATGAAATTATTGTGATTCACGTCACAAGCAGATGTGAAAATTCAACATATTATGATGGAGTTGATAATAAATGGTGTTCGCGCATTCCCAGTAAAAAAAAAAAGGCGCTGGAGAGGGGACCAAAACGTTGGCGGCAGAAGAATGATGGTGTCGGCAGTTGGGAGCATGTGGAGAGGCCATGTGGCCTTGAAGGGGGACGTTCTGAGCGTGGGATTGCAGCACATGCATGTGGGGACGAGGAGAGGTCTTTCAATGGTCGCGGGGCGACAGATGGATGATGATGAGGGTAGTTGGGAGCAGCACACGCATGTTGGGATAATGAGAGAGATGTGGCGGCACTTGAGATAAGCAACGTAATGGATAGAGGGGGGGGGTCTGCTTTTGTTCTGCTTAAAAAGGGTTTGGTTGTTATTTTTTTAAAAAAGCCCAATTTGAGTTAATACGGTCAGATTTTTCATTATTGAGAACGATAACAGGTGCACAAGTTCTTTGTTTGGGGTTCCCTACAATGACATGTGAGAAGACAGGAGACTTATCCCAAAATCTTGTGATATTTTGAGACTTGAACCTAGTTAATCATAAATTTTAAGAATGAGAGTGAGGGGGGAGAGAGAGAGAGAGAGAGCATCTCTAACTCACTCACTCACGCTCTCTCCCTCCCTCTCTCTCTCGCTCTCTCTCGCTCTCGCTCACGCTCTCTCTCTCTCTCTCTCTCTCTCTCGCTCACGCTCTCTCTCTCTCTCTCTCTCTCGCTCACGCTGCCTCCCTCCCTCCCTCCCTCTCTCTCTCTCTCTCTCTCTCTCTCTCTCTCTCGCTCTCGCTGTCCCCCCCCTCCCTCTCTCGCTCTCTCTCTCTCTCTCTCTCTCTCTCTCTCTCTCTCTCTCTCGCTCGCTCACACTGTCTTCCTCCCTCTCTCTCTCTCTCTCTCGCTCACGCTCTCTCCCCCTCTCTTTCTGGGAGTCCATTCTTCTACTTTCTGTTTCTCTGATAGATTGTGCTAACCACGATAGTGTAATCGGAAGCATAATCTGGGCTACGTCGACACCACACGGTGTTAGTTCGTTCAGCTCCTTAATGGCCAGGACAAATGATAGACGTCATCCCAATTACCACGCCCCCTCGCAGAAGTAAGAAATGGCCAAGGGGAAAAATTGAGTGTGTGAGGAACGGAAAAAGGGGGAAACCAAGGGTATGAAATCCGTAGGGAAACTGGTAGAGGAGAAGCTTACCACCAGAGCCACCTCAGCAACAGCAGTGGTGTTATCTATACTAGCCCTGTTTTCGGAGAACTTGTCCCAGACGATCTAGCAGCACTGGTATGGCCTGTATTTACTTACTCTTTCACCAAGCTCATAATCTCTTGATAGTGACTGATGTTGAGCCAGGTTTTCAGTAGAGGCAATGCAATTGCTTCTTTCCCTCTACTGAGAACTAAATCACTCATCAACCGTCCCCTCCGTAGCAAATTCTGGCTTATGCATCCTCGTCTGCTTTCCCTTACTTCCTCTCACTCTCCCTTGTCAATTTCAAGCATCATAGAGGATATGTTCATCAAAATCCAAAAATAAAACAAAGCACCACGAGGCAATACACTAAAGCCACGAACTGTCCTAATCTGGAAGCGGCAAACAAATCCCGTCACCTAAGAACCTGGAACATAAGAAGTGGAACGACGCTAGACCTGTACCCAATCAACTTATTTTCCATTGTATACATGATCTTGCCATATCGATGCGTCATGCATTAGCGAATTCATATTTTGGAAACTAATTAAAAAAATGATAATTTTTTTTATCTATTTTACGTTCCTAGTTCCTCTGTGATATTTCATACATGGTTCTCTCTTCCTTCTCTCAATTTCTATTTTTTTCGTTCGATGTATGTGTCGTTGTCCTTGTATAGGACTAGCATGGGGCATAACATGCTACATTGCATCTTTATTGTTCAACCTTTATAAAGTCATTGGATAGCCATTATTTAAACTGAAATTGAGATAGTCGACCAGAAAGAGAAAGAGAGAGAGAGAGAGAGAGAGAGAGAGAGAGAGAGAGAGAGAGAGAGAGAAGCTTGAATTCCAACAGCTTATACAATTAATCATCTTACGTTATATTTAAGTGATACTCACTTTTTTATCACAGACATAGGCAAAGAACGTTAGATATAATGGAAGGGATGCCATTTTCTCTTCGACGTTAAATCAAGTTCGTCAAAGTATAAGTTTCAGACTAGGTAAAGCATTTATCCAGTTTATTTCTTAAAATTGTTTATAGTTCGTGGAGCACACGTATGCAATAAAGTCTCATCCCACTTTATCATATAGTAAAAAGCGCACTTCCACGCATTATTGATCAGAAATCTTCGCTTTTGGATTTCGCCCCATTGTTGGATAATATTCTGGCATTGCAATCCCACACTTCCACTTGATTCTTGAACATTGCGCCTTAACTTCATATATCCTCCTTCTCCCCAATTGCTTCCATATGAATTTTTTATCAACCAAAAATCCTTCCCCTCTCCCTCACCATAGCCCACGATTGTTACTACATGGTTCAAGTTGGTGTGACAGAAACCTTCAAAAACACCCTGAAAATAGAGAAGGCTTCATTTTTTACATGAAAAGATCGTTGGCTGCAAATATAGAAAACTTTTCAGACACCTTCAAAGGCATTATTCTCAAGATGATGTGGGCTAGCTTTAACAAATCCTCAGCGTGAAGGATTTTTTTATTTATTATAACCATAATAGATTACAAGCAACAAAATAGATTTAAAATATTTCATATTTGAGGGAAGGAAGGATTGACTATGTGTATGATATATCATTAATCCCGTGTTTTAGTGATATTGAGGCACTAGACTTGGTATGTTTAAAACATCTCATGTCTCTAAGGAAAATAATAAAATAAAAACATTAGGTATTTCTCAAATCAAAGATTCCTTTAATATTTTGAAACCGGTCCTCAAAAACTCGTAGTACATCAAGTTTGTAAAGCTCACTAACAAAAGCAACCCTGAATATGAGTGCATTTGTCATACCCCAGTATAATATTGAAAGTCGTTTGAACTGGCATCGATAAAAGAAGTAATAGGCTGTCTATTGACTGCTGATTTCAGAATCCACTCGTTGTTGCGTACAACTGTTCGATAACTACTGATGCTAACTACTCGGTTCTTCAAGCAAATAGTCAGAGCAAAGAATATTTCTCATGAATTGAAAAGTACAGAAAACAAGGGAAGTAAGCTTACTCTATTTTGCTTGCATTTTCCTGGGTGTCCTTTAAACGGATAATTGGTATCGGTGTCAATACCACCATGCCTTAGCATGTAATCGTAGGTTTCATCAATATAACCGGCACTGCATTTAGATCCATATTCCTCACAATCAATCAATTCTTGTTCCGAAAGTGTAATGAGGTTTCCTGTTACTAGTGCATTTATTGCTTCTACACTAGTTACTGCAGCGAAAGCCCAAAAAGCTCCTTCAAAGTTACAAAAGGTTACAAATATGTATTATAATTTCTCTCACAAGAAAAATTAGATTATTTGTACAGCAGTTCGTGATTCACCAATTGGTTCACAGTGATAAATGAGTTATATAGACAAAGACACTTAGCTACATCAATTGATTCACCAATACACATAATACATTTTGAATCCACTCTTTGAAGTAGGTAACAAGTCTGATAAATGATCTGAATCATTTAATTAATTAAAACTCCCAAGGATTTTTCATGTTCAATCGATTAAATAAAATAAGCATCAGGGAAATCACCTATTTATATCCACTATGGGTTTTATGCATTTTATCATATCCCAACAAACATTGTCATCTGATAAAGCAAAAACATCCATTTTTGCATAAAAATTATGCTTCTAGAAATATCATGAAAATTGAAAACACTATTTTGAGCTACGTCCCCAGTTCTCACCAAGTTACCTTATGTTTAATTCATTTTTTTAGGAACTAGACAGGGACTATCGCAAATCATAATTAAAAACATGTGTTCTACAATATAAGATCAACAATGCTATAACAAAAATTCCATAACACATGATAGAAGCAAGATACAACTTACGAACGTGATAAACAGGCTTACCGCAACCTTCTTGTTGTTTTGCTTCAGCAACAGCACCAAAATTCCTCCAGTCCACTGATCTTCGTTGCCTCAATTTTATCTTCAGTTCATGCCCAACTACCTTGGTACTAGAGAAGCTCTTGTTCATGTTGACATGAGTATTGAGATAGATGGATGATATTCCTCATTAGATAAATCGGAGAGATGGTTAAGCCCCAAGGTGAAGGAGTGGTTATTCTCAGGACGATTACGATCCTCAATGTACAATAGGTTATTTCGAAATATGCCAAACCTCTTCTTTCTCTCAGCCAAATCATGGTAAGACTTGTCATACTTCACTTTCCGTTCTTCAAACAGCCACTTTACTTCTTCCTTACTTCCAAGTGATTTCACGGCTACAGAGAAGCTAACTGAAAATAAGAAAGTATTAAAATCCACCTCAATAACATGAGATCCCTTCTCCAATCTCCCTCTGTATTTTCCCTATCTCTTTATTTCTCCCCGTATTTATCGAAGGATGGGAAAAACAGATAAGGCAGTTCCGGATGGTACGACGGAGAAAAGAAGGGAGGACGAGAACAATATGGTGAGGTTTTCCCTAAGAATTTTGCAGGCTAGAACTAACATGTATATATAGCACGTCGTATGAACTCGAGAACCATGCGACCCTTGTGATCTGTCCTTACTAGATTTTTAAAATTAATAATTGGGAATTGAGATGATGATAAATGGTTGATGTTGCATTAAGAGGAAATAAATGTGTTAGAGATGCAAGCGAGATAATCTAAGAGTTATTTTCAAAAAATGAAAACTTGATCTGGCCATGATGTTGACATCATCCATATATGAAAGAAATCTTAATCTATTGTTAAAACTCAGTGATTGCGATGAGGTCTTCTTAGATGGCTGACAGATGTGAGTATATTATATGATTTCATTATATCAGTACCTGTCCTTTAGTGTCCAATAATGTCCGTGTAGAATAAAGGACAGTGAATGAATCAGTAAATCATGCGATTATTAAAATGGATAACGTGTGAAAATGTTTTTCTCAATAATTATCTGAGTAGCAGTCTTCTTATTGGCTTTACATCACCAGTTCCTAGTTGCATGACTTCTTAGGTGTAACTTTGAAGTCTTGACACCTTAGGATTCAAGTATCCATTTAGTCTATCATACATACGTTTCTCAAAGAAAAATTTAGAAAATGCAACGGATAAAGTATCATACAATTTACTTATCTCCACCTAATAGCAAGTTTGAGTAAGTATTTACGTTGAACAGTTAAATTCACATGTATAGTGCCAATTTTGTCTAAGAGAGGAAGGTTGATTACTAGACATTGAATTAGTCATTATGGTCCCCAAGTTTTAAGAAAAAAGTTAACATCGTAGGTTATTTGGCATGTAAGGTCATGTCGTCAGCCTACGTCATGCAAGTCAAGTTCAATACATTCTATACTTCTGAGTCACAATTGTGATATTTCAGTTACGAAGCTGAAACAGACTATCTCACAATCATGCATAGCAGAGTGTGGAATCGTTAATTGATAATTATCAAAAGTTTTTGGTTATTTTTACGCCTATAATTTTTGCTAAGAATCATTCATCGATAAATAATGCAGGATAAGTTTATCGTTAATTCTCTCACCATCATGCAATCAGGACAGCAAGCTCCCTATTTTCTCATGCATTAAATACTTTCCATCACACCCAATTGAAAAATGGATAATGAGAAAAGATTCTAGCGTAAGATATTAAACTAGTTCTCCTACATTAAATTATACAATTGTATCGTTATCCCGGCCATCACCCTGATATTCTAGCACCATTACAAGCTTACGCACCAAAATTTAGCATTTAAATAACAAGAGTTCAAATGTTGAGTTAAATGAGCTGAAACTTGGAAAGGCCTGGACGCATCATCCAGCTGACCGCTCATCGGCCCGCCCCTCCATAACTCTCTTCTCATCGACCTCTTGCTACCTCGGGGGAATATAGCTGGCTGGGTGAAGGCTCCGTGTGGGTACGGCTCGGAGCCCATTTTCTGAGCCTACCAAGGAGTCTAAGATATTTAATATAATTACCCTTCGTCGATATTTAACAAATTGATAACAGTAAAGAAAATCGCCTTCCGAAGCCTTGCTGCTGCAGTCGAGGAGCGGAGTCTGGAGAAAACCCAGCCGTCACGGTAGGCTCGATTCGTTCTGATCGACTTGAGGATCCAAATTACATGCTTATTTCTCTTTCTTAAGATTGACGAATCAAAAAGCCCGTCCCGAAGATCTTATGGGAGGTGAAGTTTGTGCTAGAGCAACAAGTTCTCGGAGAAGAACAATAGACCTTTCCGGGAAAATGATCCGTCAAACATAGGAATCTTCCTCTCAAGTTGTGCCCTTTCACAGGGAGAGAGAAGAAATACTTGAAGATGATCAGATTTCATCAGAACTTCCTAGGAGAAGCGAGCCGACCTCTCTGATCGACCCGGATTCAGAAGTGAAAGAACTAACTGTTGGACTTGACCCTACGGCATCGGGTTTAGGAGACCCGCGTTCTGCGAAGCTGAATCAAGAGCGTTTTCTGAGATCCATTTTGTTAATGTTTTTCACCCAATCCGCAGGGAAAAAAAAACCCCTTTTTCATTAATCCTTAACCAGAAAAAAAAAGGATTATTCCATGTTGACTGACCAGTAGAAACCTTTCTTTCATTTTCGGATGGGAATTCTGTCGACATCTTCCACATGGGATAGATGTAATGGCTCAGCTGGATGGGATGGGATAGCCGAGCAAGAACAAAAGAATAGATACATCTATCAGACAGAGGGCCAGCGACTAAAGAAAGATCGATTCTCTGGGATGGATCCTTCCACCGGTCTTTTTCAAAAGCTTCAATCTTGCCGTGGAGAAAACTTCGAAGACTTCAGAAAGAGAGACTCGGCTACTGTAGAGAAAGATACGCTGGGGAACTTGACGCCGATGTTGGGCGACAGGAAGCTCAGTTCCCCGCTGATTTTACCCTTACCTCCTTCGATAGGTGAGGAATTTCTTGCCTCTTTCCATATCTGACAAGTCTTTTTTCTCAAGAATGTTCCTCCCATTATCTTTGCGCGAATAAAAAGGAGAAAAAATCTCACGAGGTTTGGAGTTTCCCTCTTGTCCACCATTGCACCATCACGGGGTTCAATGGAGAAAAACCATACCATGGGACCCATAAACCGCGGTACCTTACTTTTCGATGATAACGCTTTCATTCGTATTCGAGTCCTCCGTCGGATCAAAAAAAAGATGATTTCGAGCAATGACCTCAGCCTTCCGGCGACTTCGGGAGGCCTCTCTCTTACGTTTTTTCTCTGATTGTGAAGAATCAGATCGTTGCATGATAGAGTGAACCTTCATTTATCAATCCACAGATACTCGTAGACTGGCAAAAGAAATTTGACGAGGAAGGGCGAGCCCGACAGATTCAGGCCACTCAATCGACGTCTGAACAAGAAGGGAGAAAGGCGGCACGAAATGTAGTCAACGCACGGGCGTGTGATCATTCAAACTGAAATAATCAACCGTGTTTCGTACTTCTATGACTTTGATTATTCACAAGATATATTAGAATCGAATAATTCGGGGTAATTTACTGTTGATCCAATTGGCGTCACAAATTAAACATTTTCCATTAATTCATGTACAATAATGACAACTGGGATCGTTTCGTAAGAAAAAAAATAATCAAAGTCGATGTGTGATACCTTAATATTAAAATTAAGTCATGCAAAATAGTCTCCTTCCTAAAAAAATGCCTTCACGCATACGGCGACATGATCTTGACTCACCGTCGTCTCCCGGCGCTCGCCGGTTCTCCAGTTTTCTTTAGTAGCTCTTGACCGGAGAGCTGCCGGATGACGACGTACGTGGACTTACGGTCCTGAGAGAGAGAGAGAGAGAGAGAGAGAGAGAGAGAGGGAGGGAGACGGGGGGAGTCGAGGTTCTCTGACTGGTGGTGAAAACTTGACAACCAGGGTCAATAACTTCCACTGCTCTCAACGTGACACTGATGTGTTGACTTAGAGAACAGTCGCCGCCCCATTAACTCGATTCACGAAGCGCGCTTCGACGGAAACTATGTACAAACAACTTCCGTCCTCCGATCGCCTAGAAAGAGAGGAATCTATTCTCCCGTCATCCTGTCACCGGTAGAGACGGCGGCCGGCGAGGAAGAAAGACCCGATTCGGTCAAGATATGGCACAGAAATGTACAGGGTTGCGCTGAAAAATCGGTCGGCGTCAAGCGTCCACTGCGTCGATGGGGAGGGACTTGGTCTTGTGGAGGCCGTTGGGGAGCGGGAGCAGCCCGCCGTAGAAGTTCTTCCCGGCGAACATGGTCTGCGGGCTACCCTCGCACCTCGCGTAGCCCATGCTCGGCGGCGGTCGCTCCTCCAGACGAAGGGACTCGAGCATCGCCTCCGTCAGCGGGTGAGACGAGGAAGCACCTGAGACTCCGTATCTGTAATCGGGCTCGGATAGAGAATTCCGAGCTCGGCCTGATCCCCCGGAATTCTGCGTCTCGTTCTCGCAGGCATCAACGGAGGGTTTTCCGAGGCTCGCCATGTCTGATAACTGGCCGGAAGATCTTCCCCTGGGGTGCAGCGTGTGGCCGCGAGGCCCCGGCGGCCCGCCGGCGGCGCTGTGCTCGGGGCCGTCGACGCGGTAGGTGATCTCTTCGAACCGCCCGTGCATGGCGGGGGCGGATTCGTGCCGGCTGCAACCAGCGCCCTCAGTGTTTGGGGCCAAATCGAGAAGGGAGACGACGGAGGAGACGTTGGAGGCGCAGTTGTGGTAGACGGCCGGAGCGGGGTGCCCTGGTGCGTCCTCTGTTATCCCTACGCCTGGCTGCCACTCGGGCACCAGGGAGATCATCTCGCTGTCTATCATCTCCGCTATCATCGTGACGTCGTGATCTGTGATATCCAGCTCGCCCACCATTTCCGTCGCAACACTAAGCGCAGTGTCGGCCTCGACGTCAAAGCGGAAGTATATTTTTCTCACCCGCCCTGCGGAGCAAAGCGCGGAAGATGTTTTAGAGAGAAAGAGAGAGAAGAAGAGATGGGGACAGAGTCATCTTCTTCGTCATACCTTCTGTGTCGGCAATCCTGAGACGAAGAAAGATTTCTCCATCGTCACTCATCCTCCCGCGTATTGTGATGCCCAGCTCATGGGAAGGATCGTCTTCTGGAGAGTCGAAGAGCTCGATTCCATGGTGCTCCAAGTCGACGTGATCGCAGTCCCAGGGGATCTCTGTTTCGCAGAGCCCCTGGGGGAGGAAGGAGCCATTACTGTAGCTGGGACTAAACAGCGGCTGCCTCAGGAGCGAACCCAGCTCCCGGCCGTCCAACTCCATCGTTCCCGATCCGCAGTCGTCGATTTGGAGGAAAGGGTCCTTCAGCAGCTCCCTCGCTGGGAGCCGCCGGGAAGCGGTGACCAAGCACTTCTCCACGAACTGCCTCACTTCGGGGTCCTTCACTTTGTAGAGAGCCTCAGGCTTTGTCCCCTGCCGGAGAGAAAACCATGAATTCGCAGAAAGAAAGAGAGAGAGAGAGAGAGAGAGAGAGAGAGAGAGAGAGAGAGAGAGAGAGAGAGAGAGAGAGAGAGGGAGGAAAGGATGTAAAGGACTTACAGAGATGACCTTCTTGTAGATCTGGACGGGATGGCTACATTCGCTGTATGGGTACTCGAGGGTCACCATTTCCAGGATGCACATCCCGAAGGAGTAGATGTCCACCAACTCGTTGTACTCCTCCTCGTACACCTCCGGCGCCATGAATTCCGGCGTTCCTGGGGAGAAAGAAGAACAGGGAATCGTCAAGATCCGCACCCAGACGGCTGGCATCGACATTAATTGCCCTGATGAGGACCTCCCGAATCCCCTGTTCACCCCTAATCTAGGTTGGCGAATGGGGGTTCGGCTTACCGACACAATGGGCGGCGTGGGATTTCCGGAGGAAGGCGGCGAGGCCGAGATCGCCGATCTTGACCTCCCCCTGGTTGCCATTGATGAATATGTTGTCGCACTTAAGGTCCCTGTGGATGACTGGGGGATCGTGGCTGTGGAGATAGAGAAGGCCCCTCAAGATCTGCCTGCACCAATGCTTCACTGCTCTTAAGTTAACCCTCCGGTGCTTCTGCCTGTACCTGGACGAATCGAAATCGACGGTGTTCCCCATTAAATGCTTCGAACAGGGGAAGACGGGAAGAACACGAAGAACTGGAAATTCCTCGGTCATTACTGCCGTAGGGTTCCGGAGGTGAACATCTCGGTGACGAAATTGATGTTCCTCTTTGAGGTGTCAACCCAGGAGATGTAGAACTTCATGATGTTCTTGTGCTTGAGGGTCTTGAGGAGGTGGATCTCGCAGTAGAGCCTCTCGAGCTCCTCAGGGCTCTGGAGGAAGTCGTGGAGCTTGACCTGGTTCCAGGCGACCTCGATTCCTTCGTACTCGTCGAAGGCCCTGTAACTGCGAACGGAGAGCCTGCATCAGAATCACCACGGGAGGCGAAACAAGGACGGAACCGAGATAGAGGGTAGCAATGGCGGAGGGACCGTACACTGTCTTCGAGGATCCCTTGCCAAGGATCTCGCTGTACTGCAACGACGAGAACGAAGACACATTAGGCCGAACCAGACCGGAAAAATCCCTCCGAAATTGTTGACAAAGAAAGGGGGATCCAGGAACAAATGAACCATCGACGGCGGAAGAAAGAAAGTACGGTGGGTTTCTCAGATCACTACCCTGCCATATCTCCCCGTGGGATCGACCTCCACGAACTCGGAGAAATCTGGCTCCACTGGCCCATCGCCCATCGCCCCAAAACTGGAAAGAACCCAACTTGGGGCCACGAAGCTCACACGACCATGGATAACGCCGCCAGCGGAATCGGCCCTCCTTCAGTCCGGCACTGGATAGGATCAGGGCTCAAGGGCTACGCGGGGATTGGGGGGGCGGGGGTTTGAGAAGGGAGACGAATCAGCAGATGGCGTACGGATCAGGAACTCGAAGTTGTTAATGGAGAAAGGGAAAATAGGAGTGGAGGAGAAGGATGAGCTATCGGGAGTCTCACCAGGAGGGCATGTTCTTCCAACTCAGCCAGTGCAGAGGTCCTCAAGAAATAATTAAATTTGGCAGCAGGTGGTGGGGGCGCCACCGTCACCACCCCACGAGACAAAAAAGGACAAGCATATGACCCCCCCATTCCCCCCTCCCCCATAAAAAAAACCTCTCCTCGGCAACGCCGACGACCCTCGGATTCTCCCTCGACCTCAAGTAACCCAGCCACAGGAAAACCCAGAGACCAGTCTCATTAAAAGATTTAATTTCTGCCTTGGATTTATTTATTTATTTTTGGGTTCCCCTCCTCTCATTCATAACCATCACCATGTCAACCTTCTCTATCGCCCACCCCGGGCGGGCGGGTAAAGGCGATGTAGAGGCTGGTAATCTCTTTGAGCTTGCTGCAATATTTAATCTCCTGCAAGCGCCCACCACCTTTCCGCTCAGGGCGTTACGGGTGCTTGCAGGAATGGGATCTTCCCTGATCGGTCAAAATCGTCTATGGATTCCTGAAGATCTCTCCAGCCGCCCCAACAGTGATCCGGCAACTGCTGTCAGACGATTGACCTCCGTCGACTCCGGCAGGGCCGACCACGGCGAGAATAATGCAACTTTTTAACAGATGAAATCAAGGAGTCGTTCTCACGGAGGGCGGCATCGTCCTCGCCGCGTGCACTGAAGAACCCCCCGGGAGATCAGGGTTTCTGGGGGTACACACGAGAGGGAGATGGTGGACTATTTGGGCTCCTCCAGGTCGAAGCTTCGTCCTCTGAAATGGGCAGGTGCCAGAATGAAAAAGGGAGAGACTAGTTGACACTCCCGGCCTGAAGAAATGATCTTGACAGTGGACCACACAGATCCTCGTCTGCTCAGACCCTCGTGATCTCTCAAGATCTTCGCGTCTGACCATCGCCACGGCCGTGAGAAAGTCGGAAGTTTCTAGAATGAAGGTGTAGGACGGAGTCCAGTAAACCGCCACGGAGGGAAGACCTTCTTGAAACTTCGACAGCCGGAGTGCCCCAGGCGAATGAGGAGCCCACAGGTGGTGGCCGTCTTCCAATTGTCGTGGCCGAAGAATTTATCCATCTTCCGTCGGTGGAGAGTAAATCGCCTGTAATGCCAGTCAGCATCGGCGCTGCCGCATTACTAGAACGCAGTCCAGTAGGGTACTGAACGTGGTACGGCGGCTAGGCAGAGGAACGAAGAGATGGAGAGAGAAAGGGCGAGAGAGAGAGAGATAAAGGCCCTTCGGCACTTCACCCCCCGAACCCGACTGACCCACAGCTGCTGCTTAATGTTACCGACCGCTAGACACTCTAGACGAGAGAGAGAGGGGCTCTTCTCTCTCTCTCTCTCTCTCTCTCTCTCTCTCTCTCATATATGCACATGATCGATCACGCGTGGGCCTAGGACTTCGCTGATAAATAACGATCCTAATTGAGGGGAAATCTGACGGCCAAAAAGGCCGGCCTGGACCAGGGCCTCTACCATGGCACATAATCATAGCCGTTAGGCCGGCTTGGCCTTCCTTGTACAACAAAAAATTCATAAAAAAGGAAGAACAATGTAGCCAGATTAAGTACTTATCCATATATTGTTTACATATTCATATAAATATATTTATTAAGAGAGACATAGAGGTGTAACCAGAGAGATCGTTCAGTAAGGTAGACTTGCCTTAATTTGTGAGGAGAATTGGCAAATTCCCATTTCATATATTTATTTTGAGAAAGATCGGGAAGAAAATATAGATTTGTCTCTAAACTTGCCGAACTCATTGAGTTGAAAAAGTTGTAAGCATAATTATCTCGATTTGTATATGTACATATTTGAGCACACACCATCTTGTTCATCTAAGACGGATGGGTGGGTTTCGCGGAATCCATAGTTAAGGGATTCTTCATGTAAAAGTTCCCACGAGACACAAGATCGGGGCCGTTGCGTGGGTGGAGATGGTGCAGATGACGGTGCCGAAGGCGGGAGTGGTTGAGGCCGGTGACACAAGCTGCAATCTTTTCTCCTTTGTGATTCCTCTTCCACTCGCTCCGACCGACAACAACAAGCTTGATTGACGACGGGGCGATTTCATTGAGAGCGCTCGGTGAGTTAAGAGACAAGGGGGCTTGGCCGAGCTTGTCTCCCCATTTCCTGCCTCGATCCGAATTTCCTCGCCTCCCCCAAACAACGGACAGTCCAGATCGGTCACCAATTCTCTCTCTCTCTCTCTCTATTTCCTAGGGTGTCTTCCTGTATTTTCTCTAACCTAAATTGTAATCCGTGACGAAGAACTATGAAGGGGAGCACTCTTGTCATCAAGGGTATAAAATTACAACCGGTCCGCTTGATCAGGTTCAGATGAATCTCCGAAAGGCGGACGAGCGGCGGAGCTGGAGTAGCCCGTCGTCACCTCTACACCTTTTCCAGGTAGGAAACGTAGGCTCTTCGTACCTCACCTGCTCACCGTAGCAATCACCTCACGTCGACCGAGCCCTATCTCGCTGTGTGTGGGCAGCGCCGTGACACGCTCTGCGTCCTGTTCTGTCATTGCCCTCCTCTCTCCTCTCCCTCGGTGGTCGTCGGGCTTGGCCAAGCTTATCTCTTTCCGCCGAGTAACATGGAGAAGACCAGGCGGAGGAACAACCTTATCATTTATGAGGAAGGGCACAGCTTGGGCCCATTCCGGATATTTCCAATCTGTTCCTCCATAATCACCTATCCGACGATGAGAGAGAGGAGAGAGTGAACTGTCTTTTGGGTAAACTGAGGTTGGGTCGGGATGTCGATCTGAATAGAAGTCTGATAAGCAGAATCAATCAACACTTTCAGTGTGCTTGGAATTCAAGAATGAAATCGGGTAAGAATGAGGTCAAAATCATATCCGGATCAGCTGATACCAATAGAGTCAGAACCATGGTCTGGAGCCAACACACGAGCTGGGATGTAACTTTCAAGGCGGAGGTCCACCGCTGGGAGAGCCCAAGAGCACGGGCCGCCTCCTTAGTCAGACCACTGGCTTCCCAAGAACCCAAGTGTCAGCTTCCGATCTATTTCCAATTATTACCCTCAGAATAAAATCATGTAGCACCGTGCCACCGGAGGGTTATGGTTTTAATGAAGCACGTGAAGGTTCGAGGCGCTTTTAGATTCATAAAGGGAATTCCAGACGCATGAAGCAAGCCCAGCTTCAAACATTCAGAGCATTTGATTCGTGAGCGAGGAGCGGGATCTCACTAAAATGAAGAGAACAGTGGATGAACACCTCAACGGGCCGCATGGGTTAACTGAGTTCTCCCAGTGGCCGAATGATTGAAGGCAATCTCGGCTCCATTATGCCCACATGCTACCCGAATGAGAGGGTGGTGCCTCCCATGTAGCAAAAGTTCACCGAAATCTTCCCATAGGCAGTCTGACTGGGAATCTTAATTGCAAGTAAATTTGTGCAAAAGAGATAGGAAGAGAGTCAGTGTTTACAAGTAACAATTCATACAATTTAGATTCCAGCTTTAATATTTACCACAAATAGTATTCCTTTCTTTATTTCGTGTAGGACTAAAGAAAACATGAAAGCTCTCAAATATATTTGAGCATTGCCCTTGGGAGCTTACATCAATCATATCCCACTCATGAGAAGCAACATAGAAACAAACTGGCTACAACTTCAAAGCTTCACTTTTTAAACACAATAACACACAACTGTAACGTACGAAAGACTAGCATATTCTTTTAACATTTATTCTCTTATTCTGTAAGTGCATCCACTCATCATTCATTGAGAGTATTAGCTTCTTCAATAAATAGTGATCTATTTGACTTTGGAGTGCGCACTTTTCTAGGATAGAATGTCCACCTCGCAATACCACACTTGCCTCTTTGGTCAAGAATATTGCGTCTCAGTTTGGCATATCCTTGATCACCCCAATTTATTCCATATGAATTTTTTATCAACCAAAAGTCTAGGCCTTCATCCGCACCATATCCCACAATGGTCACAGCATGGTTCACTTGAGTTGTGCAAAAGCCATCGAAAACACCCTACAAATGCATGAGATTACTCATTGGTGTTGTATTCAACCTTACAATTATAATTCAATCTATGAAGATTCAAAACACAAAATTTGAAACTATTTTCCCATTCACTAATCCCACCATGATACCTAAGATGCACATTAGTTTAAAGTTATTTACAATGTGTTTATGATTTTCATAAGATTCACATTACTCTAATGTATTAGAAAAATAGAAAATAATATTTAAATACATGAAGGGTTGTTGTTATCTACTATTTGTAGAACAATAATGGAAATAAATTTTAAAGAGCAGACACTTTTTGCATATTTATTGAATCAGAACTATAGAGTACATCACTAGTCTCATGTTTTAAATAAGAAATGCATTTCAAAGTATGCTTGGAAATGAATTCATAGTATAAACCAAATCACTATTTTAAAATATTCTAGACCCTAAAGTGATGAATCAGATATTGAAACCTATGTATATCAGGTTCATAGAGTGAACTGACAAATATATATTAAATGTCATTTGTCATACTATTTTATATAGCTGAAACTTTGCTGAACTTGCATCAATACCAGTAGCAATAGGTTGTCGACGGACAAAATGTTTTAGAGCACTCTCTTGATTTTTTGGACACCGTCCATGTCCATCAATGGTGACAACTTGATCCTTCAAATACAAGAATGAATTCATCAATAACAAGTCAAATCTCTTGAGAAAATATTAAAAAATACAGACGATACCCACTCTATCGATCTTGCATACTCCTTTACGTTCTTGATAAGGATAGTTAATATCCGTGTCAATACCACCATTTTTTATAATATACTCATAAGCGTTAGAGATGTAACCGAGCTTGCAGTGACCGTTGAACATATCACAATCAACCAATTCTTGTTCAGAAAGAGTAATTAGGTCACCTGTGACATGTGCATTTATGCTTTCTATAGTAGCCACTGCAGTGAATGCCCAACAAGATTCTTTAAAATCACAAAAAAGTTAACAAACATTGTGAGACTTTATTTCGAATAGGTTTGTACTGATAAATGAGGTTATACAGTAAAATATCATTATATGTATGCTACATTATTAATCAAAACATGAATAAAAAGAACACACCCTTTGCAAAATCTATATAACTCCATTCAATGGTTCTGAGATTTTTAATAGTTGTACATATTATAAATACAGAAAAAATCAACTCATGTACTTTCCGATTCTATCAAAATCATTGTACTCATTCAATGAATTCTTTTTCTGAGTATTACTACAGTTGAGTTATATGACTTGGTCTTTGCATTCTACACATTACATGCATCCTATCTTTGAGTGTTTCATTGTAATAAAGCCAATCATAAAAATAGTCACTTCATGTGGTCATATTATTTGGTCAAAATGTAAATCCTAATTTCCTTGCAAAATGATACTTTAAAAATTCATTAAATCCTCCATCCTTCAGCCACTATTTGTTGCCCACCATTTCCATCCCTTGGGTAGTTTAGGCATTCTACAGCCTACCATTCCACTACTCCGCCATCCCCCCACAAAGATATCTAAATATATAATAATGGGAATATATCATGATTGAAGAAAAAGTATCCATCAAAGCATATAATAATAAATCTTACAAATAAATTCAAATATACTTTCAATTTAATATGATATTACATGTGGGCATGATATAGAAACTTACGACAAGTTCCCTAATCTTTCACTTCACTAACAACACCATGATCCCTCCAATCCCATGAGTCTTGTTGCCTTAATTGACTCTTTGGTGGAGGCTCAACTATCTCATCAGTAGAGAGCAAGTCACTCATATTGAGAGGAGAGTGGACATATAATGATCTATACTCTTCATTAGATAAATCAGCAAAATGGTTGAGTCCCAAAGTAAATGAGTGGTTATTTTCAAGGTGATTATTCTCGTCAATGAACAAGATATTACTCTTAAATATATTAAACCTCTTCTCTCTCTCGAACAAATCATGATACGACCTGTCATGCTTTAGTTTCCACTCTTCAAATAATCACTTCACCTCCTCCTCACTTCTAAGTGATTCCACAGACCCATAGAGGAAGGAAAAAAATAAGAGAAGGTTGAAAGTAATTGCAACACCATGTAAGTTCATTCCCAATCTTTTGATGTCTTATGCTCTTTCTTATCTTTCTTGCTGTAGCAATGAAAAAAGAGGGAAGGAGATGAAAATCAAACAAACAAAACACATAAGAATTGAGGGAAAGGGTTTGTAAGCTCTAGTGTGGTGGTGGCCTATGTAAGCTCAAGTGAATGTGTTTATATAGTGTGTAGTACCATGATAAATATGAATTTATTGTGATTAACACCATAAGCAGATGTGAGAAGTTCAACATTTTATAATTGAGTTGATAATTAAGGGCATGCTCACTCATCATTAGAATTAATAAGTATGAGAGGAGCCAAAAACATTTAAAGTGATATTTTTTTGAAAAAAACCTAGATGGTGACCGTATCAACAACATTAATGCGTGGAGGATACTATAATTTTTGTTTACTTATTTCGTTGCTATAAATATAACTACCTTCTCTGGTTTTTAAAATCCAATATTTTACAAATTAAATAAATTAAAATATGTTAATTACATAACCTTGCAATTATTACATTTTAGGGTGAATTAATTTTTGATACCTACAAAGCATTAGATTTAACGATAAGTCTCGCCCTCTATCCTTACTGGGTATTATATTCTTTTAACAAAAATTAACTCTGATCTCAATAAGGAATAGAACATTCTAGACAATTACTATCGGTTGACTCTAGAGATGATTTTTAAATTTTACGGTGATTCACAAGAAACTGCAGCAACATGTGAAAAGAGAATGGGGCATCCCAAAAACCAATTCCTAGGTCCTTAATCTTATTAATCTCAAGAAAGAACGAAAGAATTTTCTATGATGACAATTGCAATCATAATCGTGTTATTGAATTTAGCTCACTAGTCCCTACTTGCTCAACTACTAAATGACTATAATTTTCAACAACATATGTATTCCTAATTCATGATCTTTTCTTATCTCCTTAAACTTTTGGCTTCTGCAGCGAGGGATCGACGATGACTTGGGTGAAATTCAGCTTCATGAACTGGGATTGTGTCTTTGCATACAACACATAGCATGCAATCATCAGAGATTCATGTCCATGTCAGAAATCAGCAACCCATCTCTATAGCCGGAGAAGGATGGCGTGCAGGATGCATCCAGAGCTGAAAAATAACTCGAGTCGTAGAAATGTCCAAAATCTACATGTTGAGGCTTTTCGCCGCCAGATGTGAAGGGGTTTGAAAAGACGGTTCCAACACGGTTGATTGACCCAATAAAGTAGCTATTTGTGATGACAACATTACAAGCTTGGAATGTCAAACCAAAACTTGAAACAATCAGATGATGTGATTCCTAAGTGAAGAAGGCGATTTCATTGGAATGAATAGACTACTAGATGAACACCTAAATGGGACACATGGGTTGACTGAGTTCTCCGACGGTGGCCGAAGGATTGAAGACGATCTCAGCTCCATTGAGCCCAAATGCCATCCAATTAAAAGGGCGTTGCCTCCCATAACAAATGTTCACTACAAAATTCTGTAGGCAGTCTCAAACACAGGGTGCATGGTGTTCCCTTCTATGTAGTAAGTACTCTCATTGAGATCTCCAACCCTTGGTATGTGATTCTTGCGAAGAATAAGAAGATTATGAAGCCAATGCATGTGGGCAAGAATTAGAGCCTCAGATTGAAGAAATAAGGGAGGTTACATACCTTCAATACTTACCAATGATGTTACCATGGTTTTCAATTATAACAGAAGTGTTCCAAAGAGTTTTCTCCATGGTTTACATTCCTTTTGAGGATAGGGCTTACTACGACCATGTTATATTTTTCAGTTAGTTTTTGGAGGAACCAAGTCAATTCCCCATCAATGGGTTATACAAATTCATGCCATCTCTTCTCATGAGTGTAAAATACAAATGGCGTCATCCAAGCTTCTTGATTCAAGCAGCCAAGAAGGCGATAGGATCTTACTTGAAGAATCGAACATGTGAAACTGAACAAAGTTGTCGCCTTGGAACTTACTTGAAGACATAGGATCTTGACGTCAAAAGCACTTGCAACATCAATCACAACTTGCCTTTTGCATGATGGCTTTCTTTTTATTGGAAGAGTGATAGAATTCTGAAGAAGACCAACCTTGACTAATCGAGGTGACCTCATGACTTCTTTCTCCACGTGGAAACAAAGTGCTTGAAAGAATTTTACAAATACTTGCTAAACATACCAACTGAAAACTTTACTAAAGATGGATAAAGAAGAAATTGTGCCTTATGACGAGTGAGCATCACAGTCGATTTTAAATGAGAATCATGATTCATAGTAGAGACCCTTATTTGATCACATGTACATGACTCTTTGGGGTTTCACATAAACTAAGAGCAGATGTCTTCCAATGGGGAAATTAGGAATTGATATCATTCCTTCAAAGAACCATTATTCGTTCAAAACTTTTGAAGTCATTCACAAGGGCAACACTCGACCCAACTTCTCAATTGTTGATTTACACGATGGTGCAATCGAAAATACTTTTTTGTCGTTACTCTCTTCTTTGATTGAATTCATTAACTCTTAATTGATATCCCTCATACAACCCTTGACTAAAAGATGTCATTCTTTTCCAAAATCTAAATTGGTCACATCTTCATTTATTTCGGTTTTTAATCAAATCGATAACACCAACAATCAATCTCTCAATAGACACGAACTACCATTAGATTGAAATAGAAACATGTGGAATAATCGATAAATGGAAACCAAAGGTGTACCACATAATCCTATATCACATTGAAGCCCATTAATTTCACCTTAAATGAAAGTCTAGCAAATCAAGGTCAAAAATCATGCGATAATGAGAGGTTCTCTAGGATATTCGGCAAGTTGATACGTTCTAATAGTCTTCCACAATTTAAGCCAATAAACCTGTGTCTAACTTCCTGTAGTATAACGAAAATTATATTAGCAGTGCTCACAGAAGCTTGCTTCCTTGCCAGGAAGAGTCCCTAAAATCTGACAAGACAACATAAAGTAGCTAAAATGACTAGGGGAATAAAAGTTCTACAGAATTCAAAGACGATGAGTGGACTTCATTCATAATAAAATAGAGATCCCGAATTGAAGCAATGGCAAGAAGAACAAACGACAAGGGAGGCAAACCAGGTAAATCTTTGGCCTAAGAAAAACCTCAAGCAGTTGATGGACTAATTTGAAACCGTGGATGGATCCCTCCTTTTGGATCCCCACTCGTTCCCCTCCCCCCCCCATCTTCTTCCATTATATCCTTTTCTCTTCTTTCAAGGGTGGTGACCCCCACTCGAATCCAGTGGCTTCTTTGTAGTACGAGGGAAAGATTAAGATTCCTTCGCACTCAGGCAGTTTGTTGGAGGACGGGATTTGAGCGGTCTTCTTTATATGAGATCCTCTCTTGACACCCAATGATTTCTATATAAAAGAGCACATGACTTACTCTCAGCCATTAGCTACCTTCCAACAAACCAAGAATTCCCAAACGACCAAGAGTTATATTCAGCACACATTATCTTCTTATACAACATTCCCTATATTTTGTAACATTTGTCTCTGCCTTCGACTCGGCCCAAATAAAAAAAAAATTCCAATTTCTAAAGGAGTTCATATATTTGAGAGAAAGAAAGCTTTGCACACAGGTAATAATATTTTAGTTTGTATTATTTCTCACATCTTTGTCAAATAATTTTAATCAAAGAAAAGATGTAACCTTTTCTTCATATTCTGCAACATTGTATAAATCTACGTGAATTTACATTCTATATCATCACCACAACCTTCAACTTAGCTAGAATAAAAAAAAATTAAGGCACAGCATTAGACAGCGCATGAATTCATTCCATTGTGTGTAAGATAAATGGGCGGGTATGAAGAAATTGTACATCAACTTTTGAACCCAAGGGTACGTTGACTGTTGACCTTCATGAATATTCATGCTCTAAGGTGGAGTCCAAGGGGGGTTCCTTATTGATCGTTGACTATAGAGGATGGTAAAAATATTTGGCCAACTGCTTGGAGGGCCGACACGTCCCATCTCTCGGCATGCCTGACAATCTACAAGTGGGAAGAAAGCCGAAGAACTTTCAGACACGTTGACATCGCATAAATGGCCTTGCCCTGCGAAATGACCCGTCAACAGTTAAGACTCTCCGCTGCTTACCTTGAAATCGTTGTCTAAATCGTAAGTTGTGGTTCCTCCAATGGAAATAAGTGGCCTCCATGGAAGCCTCAAGAAAGTTCTAGAAATCAAATGATAAAAGTTATTTTCCATAAGATTAAAAAAAAAAACCACCTATCATCATGTTCATTGTATATTATTACAAGAGAAATTGCTTTAAAGAGAACAATTCACCTGAGCTTCCATGCAGCAAGGATGAACTTCCTTTCACCATCCTCAACCTTTAAAATCCAGGCTTTTAGTCACACCGAGGTCACGTAGAATAAAAAATTATTCAAGATTCGAAGTTGCATAGCATTGAGGTCAGAATCATACACAGTCTGATGTTTAAATCCTCAGAATGTTGGCCAAGACTATTATATTAACTGAATATAACTAAAATATATATAATTAAAAAATAAACAAAAACAAATCAGACATAATGTGATTTTAAAAAAAGATGTAAGCTTTTATTGATTGAATATTATTCTATTGTTTATATCTGAGTTTCCCTAAAGTAAGAAGGGAGGAGCAAGAGATGTGAAAATGATCCCAATTTCTCTCTGCAAGTGAGAGAACAACATACAGAAAGCTTGTGTTTTCGAGACCAAAGAGACGTATCAACTCAAGACTTCTACAAAAGGAATTGTCTTTGCATGTCGAATGACGTGGAGATCGTAGATTGGATTAAAAATCAAAAAAATACTTGTATATATAAAAATAAATTTGAACGATAATAAGTACCTTCTCAATATTTTCTAGAATGAGAGATGGTCTCTCGAAGAAAGGAACAAGCAAATCCAAATTCTGGGAGTATTTATCGGTACCTGTAGCGACACTAAATGATCATAATTCTATTTAACTAATGCTGAAAAAATAATGCTAAAAAAGATGGTCTAATTGAAAGAGGGGAAATTTGAAGTAGAAGAAAATAAATCAATTGCATGCATAAAAAAAGTGCCACCTTTTTGTTAGCTCTCGCTACATATACATTTTTTTCCCTAACGTCCAACACACGAGGTACATTATCATTATGAAGATGTCTTTTACAAGAGCAAAAAGTAACATAAAAGCGACACCCAAGTATAAAATTTGTTTCATACACCCATCAGAATGAAAGACACAATCTAATCTATTTTAGACAGACTTTTTCAGATCTCGAAAAGCAGAAAATGTTAAATATTTTTAGTTGCTAGACAACTATTGCAATGTTCTATCCATTTAATCAACTTGTCATTAGGTGGTTTCTGCCTAAATCTGTTGATCACAATGGGCACTGAATGGATAATACGATGTCCACATAATGATTTCAGTGTTCTTTGACAAATCATTAAACCCAATGGAAGTAATGATATTGACAAATGGAAGGCCTACCATAGAATTTGATGGTCGGGTCCTCAAATAAACAGTTTTCTGCATAAATCTTGGAAGTAAATTTTCCTGTTCAAAGAAAAAAACTTTATCTATCACATGATGAACAACTAGACAAATGTACTAAGAAAACATATTGAACTAGACAAAACAAAATCCATGACCCCAAATTTCTTCAAGCAATACTTATCCTTGAAGTCTTCAATTTTTTCATACAAAATTGAAAGCATAAGTAAATGTCCTACAAGAAAAAGGTAAAATTTCACCTAAAAAGTGGCCACATGAAAGAGAGCAAGGGACGGATGGATGTAACTCGGAATGGACAATGTTCTCCTCCCATCAACATATGGCCTTCAAGCCATTTCTGCTAAGGACACCAATGTGAGCAAAAATGAGCTATCACCCATGCTGCATCAGGAATAATATGTGGCACCTAGTTTTAGCTTAAACTTGAATGACATCCGTGAATGATCCACATACATTATAAACTGAAAATATAAATAAAATCATGATCAATATAGCACTATCAAATCTGTTATCAATGTCATAATGTAACAGTGAGGACCAAGCTAAGAGCCCCCTAAGTGTTTCTTTATTAATAAAGAAACCTAAAACAGTGACATGATACCTATTCGTTCAGAGTTTCATGATTTAGTTTCAAAACTTGTTACTTGCTAGGGTCATTCATGTCAACAAAACAAGATATTTCCGTTGACTATCATAAAAGACAAAGATGGTATCATTACCACGAAAAACTTTAGCAAATTTCAAGCATCCATTTGGAGCGGCATTTATCAATAACCTCTGTTGACTGATTGCTTTATTTATTAACTATTTTATGTCGATACCGTGTTTCATCCAATAAAGTTTCTAATAGGTGTATAAGGCAATAGACAATCCCATGGAATCCAGTGAGCACCTTGTCGCCCAGACTTGCCCAGAGGCAGCATCTAGGAAATCATCCAAGGAGACTCCTCAGGAACCCCCCTTGCCATTTAAAGAAGCTAATCAAAAGACTTCCAAGAACGTTTACTTATCCCACTATGGGCATCAACGAATACCACAGAAAATAGTAAATCATGAAGAGTGGCAGCTACAGTGCGCAAAAGGATAGAATACTAGTCATCACGGGGAAAAACAGATAAAGAGACAGGAAAGAAAGAATACAAAATTCGATATTCCCGTTGGACACCTGTGAGGAAATAAGCCTGATCGTAGTCGGACCGCAGAATGGACACTACATCTTCCACGTCGCGGACCAGAGGCTTTCCCTCTCTGCCCCAATTATCACCCCTAGAACCATATGGATAGCATCCTTTCAATAACAGTAAACGAGAGAGAGAGAGAGAGAGAGACAGAGAGACAGAGAGACAGAGAGAGGAAATGACCTTTGCTGCCTGGGAGGAGCTTGGAAAAGCCTGAGGAGCTCTGTGACTCCGGAAACAGCCGTCTTCAGTAGCCGTGGTGTCTCCTCTTCCCGGCGATTTCTTCCGATGCTCCCGCAGCACCGGAAGCGGCGGCGACCCATTGTCCCGCGCAGCCGGCGAGCGGGCGGCAGCACCGCCGCCACGTGGATTCCCGCCATTCGTTCTCTATATCTCTCTCTGTTCTTCGCTGCCTCTGACTCCGCCTCTCGCCTCACCCCAAATCCGAATCCAAGGCAACCCGTTAATACTAAACAAATATTTATAAACACAGTAAAATATATTTCCGATCATTTTCTTTTTAAAATATGGGCAACGGCGGGAGTAAATGGGCCAAAAGTCCAATAATAAGCCCTTCGGGCCCAAGTGGCATTACACCGGTGTAATAGGCCAGCCCAATCTGACCCGGATTTTCACCTGAACTGGTCATCCTCCAACCGCGCTGCCTTCGAATCTCCTCCTAATAATTTTAAAAGCATGTAAAAATTACAGAAAATTATTTATATGAACTCATTCGGGATGATATCGCCGCTGACGTTGGACCTATGAAAACTGTGACGAGACGAGTCCCAAGAAGTCAAAACAGTAAATTCTCGCCTAATTTCATATTTTATTTCAAGAGTAAGAAAAAAATAGTGTTCGCTATTCTTAGTAGGTTGAGTGCCGCCATCATCAAAGAAAAAAATTGAAGCATAAAGGAGATGAATAAATAATAATGAAAGTTTGAAGGATATCTACATTCAAATACCTGCTTATGATTTCCTAATTTATCAATGGCATGTAGGGGTCATCCGAAGTAAGCACAGCCCTGAAGGAGAAATGTATCATATTATATATCATATCAAGATTCCGAAAACAGGAAATCTTGCATCTTATAGATGTCTGAGGATTGAAAACATTAACATAGAAAAGAAGGCATCAGGTCAATATCCCATTTTTGACCCCTGGAAGGTTTATTGATCGTCAACAAGGTTCAAAATCTATATTCAAATAAGAAATATATTCTGTATGGAGAAATTATCTCGCTCTACATCAGGATATAAAGACCAATTTCTCCTCCCCCTCACATGGGCGCTCGACCCATAATATTATAGCGTAAGTTCACCTGTGTTGAAGACCACCTCCCGACCATCGTTGGACCGGTCGTTAGGTTCCAATCTAATCGACCAGATCCAATGGAACTCAATACTTGATGTGATCTATCGGTGTTAGTTCCTGCTTGTCTTGTACTAGGACGCCGTCTGATCCGTCCGCCGCCCGGGCCGCTTGTCTTGTATGATTCATCATACCGTTATCCCCGACAGTTGCTAGCTCTAGTGGCTCCTTGTCCTACTCAACTCTTGGGCTGGGTTGCTCCATTATTGAGCTGGACCGACCTCTATATGACCATTTTCCATGTGGGCCCACTTCGGATATCAAGACCTCGATAGACCCCCCCCCCCCAATTTACACACCCTGTCCTCATTCCCTACCATCGTACATTCCGCTTGAGCCAGAGAAAGGTCCGCTGAAATCCAGAGTGTCCCCCTATCGCCGAATCGTGAAATTCTCACAAGAGGGACGGTAGAAACCTAGACATCATGAACAACATGACCCTGTTGAATGGCGTAGTGCTTCCATTTTGAGGGATTAGTTGACAGTTCTCCGAAGATCTTCCAGAGGTATGGATCATCCATATTATCTTGATAATGGAGACGAGTTCCAACTGTTCGGGACAGAAAATTGACATAGTCTGGAGCCATACTTGCTCCGAGGTGCATGACAATGCATCCGCCGCCCGATTTTTGCTACCGGACTTGAAGCATATCTCGAAATCAAATGAGATGATCTTGGTCAGCCATCTTTGATACTCCGACATGACCTGTCGTTGTTCCAGTAAGCATTTTAAGCTCCATTGATCTAAGTTGAAAAGTTGTAGACATAATTGTCTCGATTTGTATATGTACATATTTGAGCACGCGCCATCTTGTTTATCTAAGATACCCGCAAGAGATTCTCGAGACACACCAGATCGGAGGCGTTGCAGATGACGGTGCCGAAGGGGGGGGAATTAGGTTGAGGCCAGCGACACAAGCCACAATCTTTTCCCCTTTGTAGTTCTTCTTCCACTCTCTGCGACCGACGACAACTGCGGCGACATGTGAAAAGACAATGAGGCATTCCAAAATCCAATGCCTTACAAGGTCCTCAATCTTATTAATCTCAAGAAAGAACGAAATGATTTTCCATGATGACAATTGCAATCATGATCGTGTTATTGAATTTAGCTCACTAGTCCCTACTTGCTCAACTACTAAAATGACTATAATTTTCAACAGCATACGTATTCCTAATTCGTGACCTTTTCATATCTCATCAGACTTTTGGCTTCTGCAGCGACGGATCGACTATAACTTGTGGGGTGAAATTCGGCTGCATGTACTGGGATATTGTCTCTGCATACATCTCATAGCGTGCAGTCATTCGAAACCCCCACTTGTCCTTAATCTGCCTGCAGAGATTTAGATCCATGTCAGAAATCAGCAGCCCATCCCTGCAACGGGAGAGGGATGGCGTGCAGGATGCATCCGGAGCCGAAAAATAACTTGAGCCGTAGAAATGTCCAAAATCTGCGTGTTGAGGCTTTCCGTCGCCTGATGTGAAGGGGTTTGGAAAGACCTCGGTTCCAATACGGTTGATCGACCCAACAAAGTAACTGTTTGCAATGGCAGCATTACGAGCCTGGAATGACAAACCAAAACTTCAAACAATCAGAGGATGTTACTCTAGAGCGAAGAGAGCGATCTCACTTGAATGAAGAGAACAGTGGATGAACACCTCAATGGGCCACATGGGTTCGCTGAGTTCTCCGACAGTAGCTGAAGGATTGAAGACGATCTCGGCTCCATTGAGCCCAAATGCCATCCAATTCAAGGGGTGGTGCCTCCCATAACAAATGTTCACCGCAATCTTCCCATAGGCAGTCTCAAACACAGGGTGCCCGGTGTTCCCTTCCATGTAGTAGGTGCTCTCATTGAAATCTCCAACCCTCGGTATGTGATTCTTACGAAGAAGAAGAAGAGGATCGTGAAATGATGCATGTGCGCAAGAATTTAGAGCATCGGATTGAAGAAACGGGGGATGATAACATACCTTCCGATGCTTGCCAATGATGTTACCATGGTTTCCGATTATAATAGCAGTGTTCCAAAGAGTTTCTCCATGATTTACATCCCTTTCGAGGATCGGGCTTACTATAACCATGTTATATTTTCTAGCTAATTCTTGGAGGAATCGAGTCGATTCCCCATCAATGGGCTCTGCAAATTCGCACCATCTCTTCTCCCGGGTGCAAAATGCAAATGGCATCATCCAAGCTTCCTGATTCAGGCAGCAGAGAAGGAAATGTGATTGAGAGGAACCGAACGTGTAAGAACCGAACAGAGTTGTCACCTTGGAACTTACTTGAAGGCATAGGATATTGACGCTCGAAGCGCCTGCCGCATCAATCATCAGCTTCACCTTCTGCATGATGGCTTTCTTTTGGTCTGGAAAAGGAGCACTTGTGGGAAGACTGATAGAGTTTTGAATAAGACCAACCCTGACTATCCGGGGTGGCCTCATGGCTTCTTTCTCCGCATGGAAACAAAATGCCTAAGAGAATTTTACAAATACTTTGTTAAACATACCTACCAAAACCTAAATTACGAGAAGATTCCAATGGGGTAACTGGGAATTGATATAGTCCCTTCAAAGAGCCATTACTCATTCAATATTTTTATGCTCATTCACAGGGGCAACGCCTGACCCAACTTCTCAATTATTGATTTACACCGACAGTGCAAATAAAAATGTCTGTCGCCATTACTCTCTTCTTTGATTGAATTCATCAACTCTTAACTGATATCCCCCGCACAGCCCATGATTGAAAGATGTCGAATTGGTCGCATCCTCATCTATTTCGGTTTTTAATTGAATGAAGAACACCGATAATCGCAATGAACACGAGCTACCATTTGATTCAAATAGCAACATGTAGAATAATCGGTATAAGGGAAACCAAAGGTGTGTACCACATAAGCCTACGTCACAATGAAGCCCATTAATTTCACCTGAATGAAAGTTTAGCAAACCAAGGTCAAATAATTCGAGAGATGGGGCATCACCTGCAAGTCAAAATCATGCGATAATGAGAGGTTCTCCGTGATATTCGGCAAGCTGATACGTTCTAATGGTCTTCCACAGTTTAAGCCAACGAGCAGGCGACTAACTTCCTGCAGGATAGCGGAAATTGTATCAGCGGTGCCCACAGAAGCCTGCACTCCCGCTAGGAATAGTCCCCAAAGCCCGACAGGACGGCAGAAAGCGACGAAAATGACGAAGGAAACAAGAGTTCTCTACAGAATTTAGAGACGATGAGTGAACTTCATTCGTAGCAAAATGGAGATCCCCAATTGAAGCAATAGCAGTGAAGAACAAAAGAAAAGGGAGGCAGACCTGGTAAATCTCTGGCCTAAGAGACGCCTCAAGCAGCCGATGGACTGATTCGAACCCGTGGATGGATCCCTCCTTCGAGATCTCTCTTCGATTCTCCCCCCCGCCATTAACGTCTCCGTCTTCTTCCATTAGAACCTTCCTTTTCCCTTCTATCAAGGACGTCTTCTCCAGCTTCTCTGTACTGTGAGGGAAAGATTAAGATCTCCCTCCGCTCCGGCAGTTTGCTGGTGGACGGGATCTGGGCGGTCTTCTTTTTATGCGGTCCTTTCTCAACACCCAGCGAGAACCTCGGTAAATGCTGCCTGTTACTTCTCAGGTAGACCCCCGCCTTCTGTCTGCAGTTTGTCTGCTTCTACACTCAGCCGTGGCAAATAAACTTTGGGCGACGTGCTTACTAAGTGAGCCACGTGCCCAAGAGCAATAACAGAAAAAGAGACAAGAAAGAAAGAATACAAAAATCGATATTCCTGTTGGACACCACATCTTCCACGTCGCGGACTCCGGCTTTTCCTCTCTGCCTCAATTATCACCGCTTGAACCATATGGATTGCATCCTTTCAATAACACTAAACGAGAGAGAGAGAGAGAGAGAGAGAGAGAGAGAGAGAGAGAGAGAGGGAGGAAGTGACCTTTGCTGCCTGGGAGGAGCTTGGAAAAGCCTGAGGAGCTCTGTGACTCCGGAAACAGCCGTCTTCGGTGGCTGCGGCACCGCCGCCACGTGGATTCCCACCATTCGTTCTCTGTATCTCTCTGATTCCCCCTCTCGCCTCGCCCCAAATTCGAATCCACAGCGACCCGTTAATACTAAACAAATGTTGATAAATACGTAGTAAAATATATTTCCGATAATTTTCTTTTAAAATATGGGCAACGGTGAGAGTAATGGGCCTCAGGCCCAATAAGACAGCCCTTCGGGCCCAGGTGGCATTACGCCGGTGTAATGGGCCAGCCTATTCTGACCCGGATTTTCACCCGAACTGGTCATCCTCCAGCATGTAAAAATTACATAAATTATTTATATGAACTCATTCGGGATGATATCGCCGCTGACTTTGGTAACCTATTTTCTGCCCCAATCATTTTATCGATATTTAATATGTTATTTTTAATCAATATCCTAAATAACAATTAGAAGTCAGCTTCTCGTCTGGATTAATATATGAATAGCTGAACGGTCATACATCAATAACCAAGTCAACGGGCACCGCAGATGATAACTTCCGTGACGAGGATGTAAACAAGGCCCACAGAAGCGGAAGCCCACCATTGCTACGAGATTTCACAGGCTGAAAAACTCCAGGAGCTCAAAAAGTCAACCATTTCTCCTACATCACGCCAAGACCGGCAACTCACTAGCACCAAGCTTCGCCCGCAGAGCCCCAAGTTCTTCCCCAGCATCACAGATATACGCCGCCGTCTGCCTTCCTGACAGGGTGGCTCCTTCCATGCTGTCTATATAATCCTACAAGAGGTCACAGATCAAACGGTCCATTAACCATTCTTTGATCAGCCTAATCTTGTACAGAAAAAAATAGAAGTCAACGGGCTAGATGAACGCCCAGTAAAGAAAAAGCGATTGACAACTGGGCAGAGAAAAAAGAAAAAGACGAACATAAGTCAAAGTGGGCAGTTGGTTACCTGCATGGTGTAAGACCCAGAAAGGAAGAAATTCTTAACCGGCGTCCTTTGATCAGGCCTGAACGGATCATTTCCCGGACCCTCACGATACAGAGACTGAGCGATTTTGACCACAGAGGACCAAAGAACTTCTAAACCTCTCGCAGATGGGAACAGCTCCAAGACCTGCGAAAAATGTGACGAGACGAGTCCCAAGAAGTCAAAACAGTCAATTCTTGTATAAATTTATATTCCTTAGGTTACTTTAAATAGTATTCCCTATTCTTAATAGGCTGAGTGCCGTCACCATAAAAGAAAAAATTGAAGCATGTTGGTGATGGATCAATAATCATGAAGGTTTTGATGGATGGCTGCATTAAAATACCTGTTTTTGGACTCTGGTTATGATTTCCTCATTTATCAATGGCATGTAGGGGTCCCCAGGGGTAAGCACAGCCCTGAGGGAGAAAGGTATCATGTTATAGAACACATCAAAGATTCCGAAAACAGGAAATCTTGCATCTTATAAGATGTCAGAGGATTGAAAACATTAACATAGAAAAGAAGGCATCAGGTCAATATCCCGTTTTTGACCCATGGAAGATCTGCTGATCGTCAACAAGGTTCAAAATCTATATTATTCAAATATATTATGTTTTGATGATTTCTCTCGCTCTACATCAGGGTCACGCAGCATACATAGTTCATACAAAGCACTCAGCAAGTCCAAAGCAAAACGTATTGAGGGTATATGATGATGGTTTGTGCCTTTACCATGCAATAAACAGCTTGGGTGATGATATGGGCGTGGACAGATGTACGGTGAAGCCCGGCAAGCATTACATTCATATCAAAAATATAAAATATGCCTGACATGGGTACAGATACAAGCAGCAAGAGTTTTCCTTACTGGATCAATGAACCTTGGCCCTCGATGTAGTAATCCTCTGGAGAAGCGAGTGCAAGGTCCGCGAAACAAGAAAAATCTGCATCAGGAGTGTAGAGGAGATTATCCAACCCCACTGCCCGCATCACCTGCCTGTGATTCAGAAGATAGATTCTTAACAGTGTACATGTAGCCACAGAGATTAGATAACACGTTACAAAATGGAGTTAACCGAACAAACATGACTGCATTAATCCATAACTCGAGAAATAGGAAACATTATGGTAGATATTTACCTTGATAACTCCAGATCTTGTAACTCTGTGACCCAGCCATTGTAACGGAGCTGGACAGTGACAACCGGCACTCCAACAAGTTTGTAGATATTATCAAACGAATTCCACTCTCTCCATTCTGCTGGAATTAATCTTTTAATCCCAGGGACATCACACGCTGTCCTACAATAAGTTGGTCTATCATCTTCTCAAATATGTATCTGAGTCAAGAGAACAAGTTCAAAAATCACATGTTACACTAACCTGCGACATATGCATCAGCTTTCACGACCTTTTTGTCAGTAGCCTATTTTACCCAAATAAATGCACACATTAGCTAAGGAATTTAGATAATGTTGATAAATTTTCATACAGATTAGACATTCACATTCAAATGATCGAGAAATCGTGATACATAACAACAGAAAGAACATATCTAGCGAACCAATGGGTAGAATGTCACCATACTCCTGCTCCAATATTTAGAATGCACTGGGCAGATGCTTTACAACGTTAAATATAGTTTATGTTGTATATAGCCACAAAAAGTAGTATGTGCATGTACGGCCCCGTATCTGTAGTGACAATAAAGTCTTAAACATTTACTCAAGGACTTCAATTGATATGTTTTCCTCTTTAAAAGAACAAGATTTTCATTAATAAAAGATTCATTCATTCAGCCCAGATCAAGGACTTGATCGTTACGTCAACGTTATGAGACCCTCCAATGCATTCACTAGCAAAGATACTACACATTGCTATGAAATATCATATGATGATACTACAATTGCTTTACTGCACATTGCATTTTGGAATTCTCAACAGTTGAGATCAAAAATTATAAAAGAGAAATCAACCAGTGGCATTCACAGTCCAACATAAATGCAGCTGGCTCCTCAGGGATCCCTGGTTGTGTAATTTTCATCAGTTTCCTTGGGCAGCGAATAGAGGGACTTACAGGTGGATGTCACAAGGCACACATTACAACACTCACTCTTCTATTTGTGTTAAGGCAGGTGATGTCAATTGCTTAATCATATGATCGAAAAGCTGCATTAAGGCCCAAAAAGGCAACGGATAAACCGCATGCTTCATCATATTTTTTGCAAATAAGTTTCAAAACTCAAAAGAAAATGAAACCACATGATGAAGATGGGCTTTGCACGAACCTTTGACACGGCAATGCCTGTGACGTACGTATTGCCATCACTTGATTTATCATATAAAATCTCTCTGCAGCCCCACCTCACGTGAAACCTGAGAAGGTGACTAAAGTTTAGAACAACTAAAAGACAGCTTTTTTCCAAATAACACAGAGCAAAGTAGCACGACAGATATATCAATTAGTTGTGATACGGCAATCTCAGACCTGCCCCCTCTGTCAGTAATGTACTTTCTAATTGGTCCACTCAAGTAATTATCAGGTGAACCCTTGAGCATACGCAGCAGAGAAGCCTCAGTCTTCGTAGCAAATAATGAAAATATAGTAAGCATACAACGGGCACTGATATTGTCACAGTCAATGAATCCAAGGGCATAAGCAACTGGATCCCACATCCTCTTGATGCTCATACGTGTGCCACCTTTAGATAGGAACCAATCTGAGAAACTAATCTGGGAGTGTGAATAAAAGAAAGACTTCAATATAATGCACAGAAAAAAACAAAAACAAAAACTAAAGTAACCATCGCTTAAATTTGTGCGATCAAATACAAAATAAAGGAATGAAAGGATGGATACACAAACCAAATCCCATCCAAAATAATGACGCCAGGAAACCACATAATTCCGAATACGTTAGCAAAATAAAAGGAAGATATACTTAACGCTATCTAAGTTCCGTATTTCCTGCATTGCACCGTTTGGATCAATGAGAGCCCGCACAACTGGGCTGAGAGCAAGAGCCACAGCATTTCTCGCTTTATCATAAGTCTGCAAAGTTGATAAAAATAGGTCCGTAAATGTCTGCATCCGTCAGATAACAAACCATGACTAAGAATCATGAATCCATTGCCGAGGTAACAAAATCTTTCAAGCAGAAACGAAATGTAGAAAAGGAAAAAAAACTATGTGAAAGCACAGATTTTAAGCAGTTCCAAAATATAAAATTAAGTGAATTAAAAAATCCAAACGAACAAAAGAGGCTTTCAGTGTTACATGTAGGGAAAAAAAGTCTCAACATTGAATATATTGCCAAATTATCAGCAATATATGTAGGAAAAAAAAGTTGAAAAATTGAATAAATTGAATATAGCATGTTTCACATAATGCAGGTCCTGGGTACAACAAATGTACAAAAAGTTCATGATTGATACCCTACCTAGCCAGATTCAGAAGTACGTTTGTGTCCAGTAAGAGACTCTTCATATTTTTCGTATAAGAGTGATTGGTGTTTCTTTATGGGGTTGTCCTCTAGTATAAAAAAAAAATTAAGAGCAGTCTTGGGGTCTCTTTTTAGGGCATTTGTTCATTCCCTTCAGCAACCACTATTCGTAAAACACAGATGGCAAAATGCACATTCCCATGAAATAGAACATTATAATATCACCCAACCTCAGTTCCTCAGATCCCCAATGTCAACCATGATTGAAGAGACCCAATGTCAATGCTTTAGTTCTGAGGGTACCTTGTCGCATTCTCCAATCCACCAGTTCATTCCCGAAACCCTCCATGACTTTCTAAGGCAGTAAAAGAATTCTTCTAGCCTCAATAAATATTTATTCCTCCTTCCCCATAGTCAAATTTAGAATCAGCTTTTTCTCTAATAAAGTAGTGTACATATGAAAACATAGTTGTCTACGGCACATGTATTTGACAATTGATAACATGAAAACATAGATGTTTACGGCACATGTATTTGACAATTGATAACCAACAGACCCATGAGCTGATTAGGAAGGTATCAACTGCAAAAGGCGAGTCATTGTAGCCTGATCAAGATTGCGGAATTCTGACTAATAAATCCGATTAGCATTTGTTGAAATAAAGCAATTACCAAACCCAAAGCATCTGACAAGTGATCAGACAAAACTATATGCACCTTCTGCATTGCAAAAAATTATTAATCCTTTCTGCAGTGTAAAAAATAAGGTAAGCCATAGAATATGAACAAATTGTACGCCTAGGAGATTCTCAGAATATACCATATCTAATTTAGTGAAAGGGATTACAGATCTATAAGCATACCTTCAGCTGATTTGTCGCAAGAAATGCTCGTATCCCATGCAATGGTGCTCCAAACATGAAACGGAAGTCCAGTTCTGCAGTCCAGGAGCAGATTAGTTTACTAAAACGACAGATGGATTTATAAGTTAGAATTTTCATTTATTTTAACAACTAAAATCAAAATAGCTTTAGAGTATTGGACTCAGAGAATATCTGTTACAAGTGACTATTTGGGGACCTGTTGATAAACCATACCGCCAATTTCTCCCCCTTTATTCACAAATGTATGAGTATGATCCTTCACCAATAAATTTTCCTCTGCTCCCACCTGGATTTATATGGAAAAATAAAGAATGATCTTCAAAAATAATACATAGTTTTCGAGAATAATAGTGCAACATGACTAACAGCAAATCACGTACATTGGAGAAACATGAAAACATAGCATGCATGCATCCCTTTTTCAAAACTAATTAACAGTCAGCTGAATTACTACCACTGCAAGTATGTCATTGCCACCCAAAGGGTCATTAAAGGTAGTTTCCCCAAGTTTTTGGAAGCCACTATCAGAGCCACGGAAAACAATTGCATTGCATGCCTCTATGCTCAATCCACTAAGCTTTCTTGGAAAGAAATTCGAATGGTAAGTGCTGCACAAAGCCTCAATTGAAGAATCTATCAAATATATCACTGCAGTATTAAACCTTCTATTCACAGAGAAAAAATCATAAGATATTTTGAGGGTTTCATCAGGATTAACAATAAAGTAAGATGGACAATATTTAAGATGTGAAAATATCCCTTGGATAACCATGTTAACTTTGGAAGCTCAACTATAGATTTCACAAGTGGCCTTTTATTTAGTCACTATACTTGTTGGATACATAGCACTCCATTCATTTTCCACATATTTTATAGGCTTCAACACATGATTTTCCAACAATGGTCGTCTAATGTCTATTCATGAATTTTCAGCAATTACTCATCAGAGATCTTTCATTCTATTTGGATTCAGTCGTCATTCCTACAGTGATATTGATAAAACAGTGAGCTTCACCTTTTTCAGGAGACGGAAGAGATTATTATAGCAACCAAAGAAGACATGCAGTCCCATTTCAACGTGATTCCCACGTTTATCCACGAAGGAACCCACTTTGCCACCAATAAACTTCCGTAATTCATATATGTCAACCTGCACAAATATGAAAAAAACTCATGCCTTCTGTCTTCCATCTATAGAATTTGCAAAAGGAACTTAAGTTTACGTACAGAAAAAAGCACCCAACGAAATAATGTAACAAATTTTAAAACTAAGAGAATAAAAAATAACTAGCAAGAAAGCGGCAAAAATAAATAGAAAGATCAATATGAATGAAAGATACCAAAAATTGCGTCATTTGAGAAAAAAAAATCTGACTGTTTTTAGAGACAATGTCTCCTAGTTTCTTTATGCGGACTAAAAGTTTACTAGTTAGCAGTATTCAATGACAAATTTCTCACGATATCCATTAAAAAAAAAAACCAGTGGCAATGAAAAATATTCCTAGTCGAAAGGAGGTTGGTGTTGAACGAAATTAAACCTCATGTCCTTGATCTAAGAGCTCCACTGCAGTAGACATGCCAGCAAGCCCAGCACCAATGATAGCCACTTTAAGCTTTGGTCCTCTATATTCTTCAGGCTCTGGAGGAAACAAACCTTTTGGGGCTGCAATGAAAATTACCAATTCTGGGAATATCAGGATATGCTCCACATATAAAGTGGCATAACAGAAAAAAAATACAACTTATATAAAAAATGAATATTCCACCTTAATTGAATGAATAAGCAAACGCACTTGGAAAATCCTCAGTGATATAGCACTTCTCTAACAGTAAAAAACACACACCAAAACAAACCAGAATTTTCTTTCACTTGGAGCTTATATTCATCCACCTAATACACGTTCCAAGGCATGAAGTAAGAGATGGATCAGAGAAACCGTCCTGATATATATGCATACATATTAGAAATCAGTTGTAGTCCACATAATATCTGTAGCCTGGATTTTCTTCTGAAACCAAAATATAAATTTTTGAGTCCAAGAATATTGTGCTTGTTAGGTAGGAACATAAGCCATCTTCTGACCGTAGCTGGCAAAAATTCAAGTCCGCCAACTTAGACACGAGTTCAAGCAGTGTAAAGTTTGCTGTTTAATAGAAGTGAAGATCTACCCAAATTTTACATGTGGTTCTTTCTAGCCATGTTACATGGTGTACAGGATGACAGACACATTTTATGTAGTACTGAACTTCAACAGAGATATGAATATGTTCACAGCTTTAAAACAACAGGACACGACGCAAAATTATCCAAAAACCAGAGAAAATAGAAAGAAAATTTTTATAGTCGTCTCAGAACAAGCCCATTATGTGTCAAATGAATATTGGGGATAAACGCAATTACTCTACCGAACAATATGAAGTCACCCCAACATGATGTTTCCTTCACGGAAATGCATTCCCTTGGAAACATTCGGTTATATGGATCTGTCAAGCTAAAATTGTCGCCCCTTTTTCCCATTTTTCAGTATTCGCGGAGCATATCCCGTGAAGAATATTATCAACATATCCGCACTGAGCATATCCCGTGAGCCATGAAGTATGGGCACAGACAAGGTATTTACTGACGTGAACTTGCATGTTGGAGCATAGACGCATGAAATCGCAATAGCATATCTACAATGTATTGGAGAAGCAGATTGATAGCATGAGGAGAACTTCGTTGAAGATTGTTTTGAGTTCCATTCCCCAAGGAAAGCATAGAAAAATAAAAAAGAAAATAAGAGCCGGCCGGAAACGTTGGTGCGGGAGTTCTCATCTCGACTGAGTCAACAAAATATTACATGTAAACCCAATTACACGTGAATAACCGAGAAGGTGAAGAGAAGAGCTCCAACAATAGAATTCAAGAAATCATCCCCAGCCTACCGTTTGTACTCATGTCAGCAACACCCGACTCCAGAGACGACCGCACTGTCCCTGGCCAGTGCCGCGAGACCGATGGAAGCTTAAATTGCTTCCCCCTACGCAGGCCCCTCGAGCATCCAAAAACATCGCTCCTGCTCCGGAAGTATGTGGAGGGGTCGTGGCGGGCGAACACCGTTGACGAGCAAGAGGCAGCAGCGAACGCGCCAGCCATTAGGGAATCCAAAGCCACCCACCACTCCTCTAGGAATCCTAACTCCAGCCACGAGCAGGAGAGGGTGAGAGGGAAGGCTGCGGTGGAGCCAAAAAGGAGCACCTGCAGCAGAAAAGGCCGCGGCTAGACGAGGAGGCGTGGGCAATGTCCCGTCCTTCCACTCCCACTCCCCGCCCACTGATGAGAAAGATAACAATATCATATTATGTTATTCTTTTTTCTCAAAATATTTCCCAAAGTATTAATAATCCCCTTAAGCTGACATTTTATAGAATTTAAACCATATGCATTAAAAATAAGGAAAATAATATGGCGTATATAATATCTACTCCAAAAGGCATATTTAATAAAAAATATTAGGTTTCTTATTCGTTTAAAATTAAATAATGTAAGGCCATTGGTCTAAAAAACTAATAAAGTAATTCATAGTATATACGTATTCAGTTGATATATTTGTCTTGTCAAAATTAAATTTTAATAAATTCCCTTTTCGGAGGGGATTTGGCGGGCCCCAGTAATCTTCTCCTTGTCCCGCTTTTGACATCATCGTGACATAAAAACAATACTTTCTATGATTTTTTTACCATGAGCGGAGTGTTATTTTCTCACCAAGTATGCACTTATATATAATTAATCACATAACAACGTCATATTTTAAACTAAATATGTTCTTCTATCGTCTTGGTTGTATGAAAATGCGAGTGGGCATAACACAAAAATTCACAGATTACGAGGTGACGACGAAAATTAAGTATTTTTTATATATTTCATATATCCCCTGTAAAAATGCCAAGAACTTGAGGTGATCGTTACTGTTTTAACTTTCCATAAAGTGATTAATTGCATATTAGAATTATAAAATAAATAAATAAATAAATATCTGAAACTAGTTTGGATATTAACTTCCTACGTAGATCTTCCGTTATGATGCTGATTTTTAGGAGATACGTGTCTGAGAGCGATTGGTTGGTTTTAATGAAATTGACCCCCAACCAGCTTTCCTCTTCCTCGGGGGCACGATATCAAACCTTCCAAACACGACGACATGCCATATCGGGTACTCCAGCACGTCCTCGTCGGAGGAGCTTCCTCAGTGGGACTAACGCTACTCTCGGTATGGAAGGAGGAGCTGGCCGCCCGATCGTGCTGGTGACCAACGACGACGGGATTGAAGCCCCGGGGTTGCGCTTTCTGGTCCAGGCTCTCGTCTCCGTCGGCCGCTACCGCGTTCTTGTATGCGCCCCAAACTCGTGAGTACCCTCGGCATCCTCTCCTTGACGCTAAATCCAATGAACGGATCATGTGGCGGTGAGAGTTATTTATTTCTCTTTACCTTCCGAGTCGGCCATTGCCGAGTGGGTTTGCTTAGGTGGTCTTCTGGAATTCGTTCACATTTTTCCGCAGGACAGGACTTGATAACAAGGAAAAATTGTTAAATGGGCGCGAATGAGAGAGTAGAAAAGACTCGACTGGTTTTTTTTTACCTGATTTGCTTAGATTTTGCGGTGATACCTTCGTTTCACAGGTTACAATGGATTATAATGGAAAACAACTTTTTATTGTCATGCGAAGAAAGTTTTCCACTGAAAATGCATGCAACCTGCGTATATCCTGCAAATCATGCAGCATCACATCATAGTAATGAGGTCACTGTTTTCATTTGTCTTGTTTCCCCTCATAAACGTATATTCTGTGCGTACGGTAAACAAAAATAAAGCACACAAATCATCATTTTCCACTTTTTGATTTATTTTCTTAACATGCATTCATATTTCCATCTGAGGCCATACTTCTACCTGATTACAGAGACCAGTCAGGAGTAGGGCATGCGATCACATGGCAGCGTCCTCTCTCTGCAACTCCGGTTGAACTTGAAGGGGCGACAGCATATGCTGTCTCAGGTTCGTCATATTTCCATATTCAACATTAGATAGCAATAATTTCTCCTTCTATTTGTTCATTATTATCGAGGCAAGAAAGCTTTCATCAATTAAATGATGCTGTATTTGCATACTTATTTCAAGTGGACCTAAGTTGCCAGTGATTTTTTTTTCCCTTCATTTGTTTCCGCCTGTACAATTCAGACTTCATTTTTTCTGGTTATTTTGTATAGGAAATCCCTTTAATTGATTAGTGTCCGAAGATGGATCTCTGATTAATTCTTCAGGATCGCTGTTTGTTGTTTGCGTCTATTGGTCATATGCTCTCATTAAGATTGATGCGACTCAAGCCTTAGAACGGTTAATTAGTGTTTGCCATCTAATTTCAATGAATGTTCCCTTCGTCGTCCCTAAGTGTCCCTGTAAGGTCTGGCCTGAATCCTGCCAACCTACATAAAAAATATTGCTCTGATTTATCGTCTTACTTAAAATTATTCTATGATCCAAGTTCATATCATATGCAATTCATTGATGAAAAGATGTTTCGTACAAATAACTCAAGTTCTTCAAGACAAAAAAAAGCTCTAGACTGCCTTTGCCACTTATTTTGGAGATCGTTATTTTGTTGAAATATGCAAGGTGCTTCATCATCAAGAGCTCGGGCTCACTAAAATAGTACTCTGTAGCACATGTAACGGGTTCTACAATTGCATACATAACGAAACAGAAACCAGGAAAACTTCTTCATGGAAACTTCAAGTTCCCTTCAGTCCTTACATTAATAGCCTTAATTATGCTCTTAAAATTTGGAAAAAGAAGGTACTATACCTTATTGTAGTAGTAAATGGATTGTTTTAGGAGATAAAACTGTGTTTTATGATTTACAGGGACTCCTGCTGACTGTGCCTCTCTGGGAATATCAACAGAACTCTTTCCTGGGGAAAAGCCTGACCTGGTAACTTTGGGTTTGTCTCTTAGGCATCTATTGTTGTGTTTGTTGTGCTTCTTAGCACCGGAAATAGCAAAGTTATCAATGCTGCCTTATATATGTATATATTATATTATCTTATATTTGAATCCGCATTGCTTTACCATGTTGATTAATTGGCTAATTAATTTGCATAGGCATGCCGTGTTATACTCATTATCTGAGAAATATTTAATTCGTGAGCTGCTAATTGTTTCTTGAATGATAACAGGTAATCAGTGGAATAAACATCGGCAGTAATTGTGGATATCACATGTTAGTAACAAACCTCAAGTTCCTTCTTTTGATTTCTTTGTATTCCTGTTAAAGAAAAATTTCAGCTAGGGAATTATTTCCTTTGTATGTTATCTGTGCAGAATCTTGAGAAAGTTTGATTCATTGGTACTGGATAGATCAAAAGAATATTCCTTGCTTGGCTCTTGTGGACCAGTGAATAGTTAAATCGAGAAATGGGTAGTTACCTGTTTTGCTGTCATTTCTGTGCCTGAATTCTTTATCATAGAAGCTGATCTCTGTTTGAATAATCCCTTCAGTGTTTGTAAATCTGGTCTGGCATGTGAATTCCTGTAAAAAGCTTGAATTTTATACGAGAAAAAAAGAAACCCGTGGATCTAATAAACAAGAATATATTTTAAAGGCCTATTGTACATGCTTCACTTGGGGCATCGTTTTGCCTGGAGGAAATAAAGAAACCGAGGGTCAGCTTGTATAGCGAATTCAACCAGCAAGAACTTAAGTCACCTGAAATTTCTTTAGCTGCGCATGACTTTCCTTTGTGTTTCAACTCCGATTTTCCTTTCATCCACCCTATGGCATGCTGAGATATCGACTAGATTAATTTGGCATTACAAATACACTTAGATTAATTTGGCATTACATCGTATTACTTCCTGTTCATTGAAAAGTGGCGTTTCACTATTTTCTAGAATTGTTTTTATCACCGAGCATCTGATATCATAAATCCGGTGGATTTGTTCCTAGAGAATTCCTTTTGGAATGTTTTTAATCGGTATAACCTTTTCTGCTCTTCTTTTCTTTTCTGGGCCAAGGCGGAAAATGCTTCTTAACATTTGATGATCTGCTGTTTTTTTTCTGTGCTATCATTTTGAGTTCACCTCTCTTCTCTATAGTGAATATCGTAATCCTTGGGTTCTTTTTTACATGTAGTCCTTGAGTTGTCATATTCTGTTTTCTATGCATTAGATTTCGATGTAGCTATTGAATGAAATCTAGTGCTCAGTCTCTGGAGATTCTGTTTTCCATAGATTTTTAGCATTTTATTTCTCCTGGAGAGTAGTATATCCTTCAATCCTCGGATCATAATAGCTTACTAGACTGTTGTTTAACTTTTCGTGGTCTTGAATTTGACTTCGCACGACTTTTAATTTCCATAAAAAATACATGCATCAAATGACTTTTAAATACAACTCTTGTTGGAAACAAGTCGACATCTTTTTTCTCGTAGATTTTGTGGGTCCAGTGATGTCTAGGCCCACCCGAAACCTGCATTCGGATCCATTTTTTGGTTCTGAGACCCTATATAACTCGGATCCACATTTCTAAGCTAAGTTCGAAAGGAGGAAAGAGAAATTCCCTCCATCGTCTAGAACTAGAGTTTCGGCAATCTCTCTCTTGGCGCTGGCTTCCTCCTTTCCCTCCAACTGTCCGACGATTTCTCTTTGTGTTTTGTGATTCCTCTTACTGCCCGGTGGTGCCCTCGTCAGATGCCTCCTCTTGAGGTTCCCGTCTTTCTTTTACTGCTGACTGTACTCTCTTCTGTAACGATTTATCCTAGTGTTCCAGGCCTCCTATTGATCGAAGGTATACCTCATTCGGCAGAAGGATTTTTCCCTGTGTTCCATCTCTCTCCGATCATTTACTGGTGGTTTTCAACGACTTCAATGCACGACCTTTTCTTATACTTTTTTGACGAACCTCTTTTTCCTTTTTCAGTGTTTATTCTGGGACTGTAGCTGGAGCGCGAGAAGCATTCCTCTATGGGGTGCATTCTGTGGCAATATCATACCATTGGTAAGTAGAAGACTTGAATTTCTCACAGAATTAATGCTGGTACATCTACCGATTCTATTACTTAAAAGAAGAAAAAGATGTGCATGTTTGTTTAGCCATGTAGCGATCCCTTTTCACCGTGTATCATCACTTTTCTTGGGTCCAATATACGCGGATTAGTTGGGCTTACTGTTGTTCACCTACTCTCCTAGAAGACAACCTGAGAATGAGCAGGATCGAACTACTTCGATGAGAAAAGTATTTGAAAAATATCAGCCATCAACAAATAAATGATTCCTCATGCCTTGATGAGTTGAAGGAAGAAACTGCATTTGGTATTAAGGTTTTTTTCTTACTATTTTTGCTTATTTCTTTTTTTTGTTGCGCAAAAACACGCACACATTTCTAAAGCCACATCTTCTTAGATATGGATGCCAACGAGAATAGAGTTGCCACAAGGATTATAGTAGTAACAGCTGAATGCAAAGTAGTTTATCCTCCAGACAAGAATCATGGTAAATAGATTTGCTAACCTTCAGAGGATAATGTTGCTTATTTGTTTTACTTGTTGTGCAAAAACATGCACGCATTTCTAGAGCCACATCTTCTTATGCATGGATTCCAACGAGAATAGAGTTGCCACTAGGAGCTTAATAGTAACATATAAATGCAAAGTAATTTATCCTCCAGACAAGATTCGTGGTAAATAGATTTTCGAACCTTTGAGGAAATATTTTGTTTTCTCTTGAGTTCTCTTCTGAGCTACAATCTTTGGTTAAGGTGCATGGTTTCATCTATCAAGAGCATGTTTCGATTGGAACAAATATCTCAAAATGCACATTGCGCATACACATTACATATGTCAGAATAATACCAGTTGTCTGGTCTGAGGTTGATTAGATACTGTTTATTTTTAGTATTTTAAACGGATATTGTGCAGTCTCCAACATGATAACATGTTTCTTGCTATGGGTGCTCTAGTTATAATTATGTCATATTCAAAGGCCTAAAACATTCATTGCCCTATTTGGCACAAATTTGTAAAATGTGAGCGACAGTACAGTTGGTTAACTTTCATGAAGCAATGTCGTCATCATCATCCTCGAAATCTCAACTACTGATAGTCTGAGAGTGAATGCCACTCTATTGTGTGTTATGTTTAAGTTAAAGTTTAATTGTATCTCTTTCTTCACTAGCTCGAGTGATGTGCATCAAGAAGTAACGCTCCTAGTTCTTGGTTGGTTCTGTCAATTGTCTTTCTGCGTGTCTGAATTATCTGAAATGGCTTAATGGACTTCATACCTATGTTACCACCATTTGCTTTTGCTACATCTTGTTTTCTTATACATTTAGCCAATTCATTATCTTCCCACCTACTCCATCAATATGGTTGAAGAAAGCAGGTCATGGACTTTATCTCCTTTTTTGTTTGTCTTTTTTCATTTTTTATGGTGATATTTTTTTATTGGGGAAAGATATCGAGTCAGATACCTGGTGGGCTCTTCCTGGCGCAATCAGAATCGTGTGTATTAAGTTGATTTTCTGACTTAAGAGCCTTGATCCACACAAATTTGAAAGGTTCTCAGCCAACCTATGGTAAGATCAAGCCAAAAAGATTTAGCTCAAGTAAGAACCCGTTAGACATTGTAGCATATCTACCTTTACTTTTAAAAATCCCTTCCCCACTGAAGGTGAATATATTTGGTGTAGAGGATCTGACATGGGAGAGTACTCATATGCTGTCACCTTGCTTTGTATATGGATAGATCAGAACCACCTGGAATGCTCGTTCTCTTGTGACATACACAAGATATTACTCTAATCTACTAATATAACTATTTTCCTTGCAGAAATCGCCCACGTCAGATAAAAGAATTTTTATTAAGTGGAACAGCCATAAATAAGGTCTCCATAAAATATGGTGACTTGTCCCCTACACGATCCTTTGGTTAATATGGAATGAGAGTAGGTGGATATTCATGAGGCAAAGTTTTATACTTGAGAGGCTGCTCAGTTTTAAATCTGGTTTAGTGGTAGAGCAAAGGACAGGGTGACATTTCTTTGGTAATGAGAAAAGACTATGATTATGTGATTTCTGTTATTTGAGCTTACTAATATGGTCCATATCATCCTGGTGGCAGATATGGCGATTGTACAGGATTTTTTTCTTAGTGTACAAAAAATACAAGCACATCTCTTTTTGTCGCCATTTATTGAAGACATGATTCTACCCTCTTCATAATAAATATTACGATTAAATACAATTTATGTTCTTTGCCCCAATGGAAATTTAGTCCCTAGTTTTGTCATGCTAGTGTTCTATTTGTTTCAATTATGATTTACATTTTGTAATCAGCGGTAATGGCAATAAAGGTGATGGGCTGCTGTAACCATGTGACTAGACGAATGTTAAAACTTGCTCATGCTTCAAAAGCATATGGTTTGGATATTTTTGACTTTTTGGAAACTAATCGGTAGGTGGTGTTCAATTCCCTTGGATTCTGAGTTTTCAAATATTGAGCTTTTATATAATACCTATATATATATATTAGTTTAATTCAGTGGGTATACTAATGATGCTATGATATCTCTCTCTTTCAGGGTGCGAGGAAAGAGTAGCACTCATGATCTCAAAAGAGCTGCAGAGTGTTGCTTGCCACTCTTAAATGCATTGCTAGTTGAGATCATCAGCAAAACATATCCGAAGGGATTGTTTCTTAACATGGATCTCCCAACAGATCTTACATGTCACAAGGTAGGCTTGCTTTAGGCATAAAGGTATAAAACTACACGTTTGTTTCTTAGATGGTGGATGGAAGTTCTTGAATCTAATTGGCCTTGTCGCAGTTCAAAAACCGTATAAAAATAATAAAGGAAACCACAGTTAAGGCAGCAGAATGTGCTAACTCACCCAAAGACACGATTTGATGAATCCTGAAAGGGAATATAGGGTATAAACTTAAACTGAAATGGAAGCATTGCTACAAAAAAGATGAGGAATGAAAGTGTTGCCTTTTTTCATGCTGTTGCTATAGCTTAAAAAAGTGAAAATTTAAATTGAACAGGTAAAGAAAAGTGAATAGGAAGAAGTAAATAGTGGAAACAACTCGTGTGGCTTTTGTACAAATTCGTTTATCCCTAATATAGTTATCTGAATGAATGTTATCTATTTGCCTGGAAAAATGATATACATTTTTTTATCCGTCTAGCATGTCAAGCATTGGACCTCGTTATCTTGTTCCCTTATCCACTGTTATTACAAGATAACTGTTGTGCTCATTCGTGGCATGATTACAACTAAAATCTTGAGATTCTCTCAATTTGAGCTGGCAGTATCCTTAGATGTCAGATTAGTTTGGTAGGAAGCGTAATCGTTTTTTACGTACTCCAGAACAATGTAGTAGCTTCAAGCTTTTGTAATAAGATAGGACTTTGTTCCTGCATTTGGAGGAAATTGAGTTCCTAGAAAGTTTATCTTGATGTAGACATGGAAAATATTCTGTTTAGAGAATTTTTAAGAGTCCGTTGATCATATACTTTCATATTTCCCTCGAATTTTAATGCACACGTTATCATAACTTTAAAAAAAGTTTCAGAAAGTGTACGGTGTTAAAATTTTGAGAAACTTATGGGTGGGAAATTCTATAACTATGCTTTTACATGCTGGTTTTTCTTTGTCATTTTTCATGTATTTGTGTCTTTACAAGGAATTTCCTTGGTGCCAATTGACGTCTCCAATAGATTTAAAAATAAAAATAATTTCAAAATTGACTCCAACTTTCATTAGATATTTGTAAAACTCTTTGTTATTCGTAGATAAGTTTGTAGATGAACATATAACCCATCATTCTTTTTTCTTCAATTAGGGGTATAAGATAACAAGACAGGGAAAATTCATGACAAGGATTGGATGGAAGCAGACAACTTCATCATCATCTGCTGAATGTAGCTATGTCACTGCGGATATGGAGCTTGGCTCAGCTGTGAAAAAACAAAATGGTGATTCGAGCTCAGCCCGAGGAGCCCTCTGGTTTAAGAGAAGGGTGTTTCTTTAACTTCTTTTAAATTCAGCGGTTATAACTATTTCGACGCCATTTGTATTCATATAGTTTGATTGTGTTTCCCGTTATTTAATTCTTGCAGTTAGCTCCTTGAATACACAATTATTTTTGTTCTGGGATATTTACCTCCCCAAAGCTCCACGTTGAACGATCTCGTTACATTCTGTTTGGTGTATCCTTGGATATGTATCATTGTTCACCCAAATTCCACAGTGATTTGTGTACTTATTTAGTTTCTATATTCCTCAGGGAAAATATTGGGTCTCAAAAGTCTTTGTGCTCTCATGTCCACCCGATTTTATGTCCAAGCCTTCTCCAACTGGACAATTGTATGCAGGATTGGATTTTGTTGTGCTTTGCTAACCGATCATTGCCAATTCGAATGTCCGGCAAGAGGCCGGGGCTATGCTGAGTTTATTTTTAATCATTTAAACGATTTCGAAACCATTTTTAATTCTTATTCTTTTCAAATGATATGAGAGAGAAATGGCACATTCGTCTTACGAAAAAAATTTACCTTGAAAGAAAGATTAGCTTGTGTTTCCTTCATATGACCAGTACTCTACCAGTGCTATTATAGCTTCTGCAGTGTGGATATGATTTACGGAAGTATACTATGGCAAAACCCAATCATCACACTAGTAATTTTGACACCTTATTTGTGCTGTGATCGTCAACCGTAGATATCAAAACAACTGACACAAGATGGTTTTGTATTTCTTAAGCACCTCATCAAACTTTAGCACGTGCACATTTATTTATACATTTAGATTATACTCGTCTTTGTGATCTATTCTTGGCTAGTTGAATTTGTGGCCTATGGTGGTTATAAACCTTGAAGCTTACTGCCCCTAGCATTAGAAAATTTGTCACTCTAGACCATAACAGGTATGAAGACCAAGACGAGTAGGGGGATGACCTATGAAAGAGTTCTATGAAACGTGAAGGCTTACCAAAGCTCTGTTCTATGAAAGATCTTACTGAATATTGTTATCTATGAGGCCTCCAAAGTCATTGACTTTATTCGCATTGTATCAGACGTTCACTATAATTTGAGTGGCCTGTGTCGTTGTATTAATGTCGTTTTGGAGAAACTGGGTTGGTTTCTTTTGTAGGTCGAGAACTTAAGAACATAGCGGAGTACTAGATTGTAGATAAGAGTTCTTAATCTTGTATTCTCTCAACCATTTGCAGTCCAAGCACCTTTGTATTCTCTCACCCATGAAATCGTTTTTACATATTTGAACATTTCACACTGTTTATCTATTTTCTTTGATTTTTGTCACGACAATCTATTTTTAGGATTAAAGTGAGAATTATGGTCAACATGGTTATTGTGTCTGATTTTCATTCTACCAGTTTGTGGAGCAAAATGCTGAGACGGAAAACGAAGCAGAGGATGTAGACTTTACTTCTCTTGAAGCTGGTTATGTTAGTGTTTCCTGACCAATATTACTTGTTGCCATTACAAAGATACCGATCATAGATAACTAAGAGATTGTTGTAATTTTCAGATTACGGTTACCCCTCTTGGTGCCCTTTCTCGTACTGAGGTGGAAGCAGAATCTTACTTCAAAGATTGGATTTTACGTGTACCTGATTCGCCATCAACTTCGTATTTATGAAAGAAGTTTATTTTCCACATTCAATCTCAACCATGGTATGAATCTTTATCTTGCTGTTGTGTGAGTGTAAACACTCTATCGCTTTGATATCCTTTTCTGAATACCACAAATGTCTGCGATTCTGTTTGCTCTTAATACTGTTGAGATCATGTAACAATCATTTACGTTTGTTAAATGACATCAGGCTGTAATTACATGATATATCCTGTGACATGAAAGATGCTCAATATTTGAAAATTTTAACGTGACAACAGCCTTGCATACTTGATTGAGCTATGCACTTAAAAGATCTATCACAAACTTTTAAGAAGCTTTGACTCGCAGTGAAATTCAATTTTTTTATCATCAAGTAGTCACATTTAGTCCGTGTCCTTTGGATGGTTCTGCCTAAAGCTATTAATTGTCTATAGGACGTGACCATGATGCAGCTAATATTCATCGAACAAGGTGAGGGTTTGTGGGATGAAGCCAGGCACTGGTTATCCATGTGATATTTTATGTAGTTAACAAGTAGGCGGAAATGCAACCGCTGCTGATGATTTCATAAAGCGATCTATGAACCTTGATGGCCTAATATATGTCTTGTTAAGATGGGTAGAACAAAGATTGCTATTTTGACGGGACAGAATAACTATAATGCATCCCCAATTCTTCAGACCATTTTATGATATTTTTGTTGATTATTTGACAGACTAATAGAGTGTTAAGCATCAACATTAGCATCCGTTCTCTTCTCCCAAGGCCCATGAACCGGAACGAAATTTGCCATCTCCTTGGTATAGAAATCGACTCTTAATCTGATCTGAGTATAGTGAATCGATAGACATTGTGAGATTGCTTTCCTAGGAGATGGCGTCAATGAAAGCTGTCACTAGGAAACTCCGATTCCTGCGTTGCGGTGCAGCCCTCTAACACAAGAGCAATATACATAAGTGGCATCGTACAACCTGAAGAGCTCATACATTTCAGTGGTAACCTTTGTGTTGGATAATCATGGCCTGCAGCGTTCTTACTCTTGAAGAATCTGCAGAATCAACATAACCACCGGGATACAATCTGCAGAATCAAAGACTGCTTTGTGCATATTAGCCGGAATTTGGGACTTTCGCTTCGTTTCTATGAGATTGTAGTTATGTCAATGATCATAGTTATGGGTACCCAGTCTTCTCTCTCTCTCTCTCTCTCTCTCTCTCTCTCTCTCTCTCATTAATTAGGAGCTGACAATGCCCGGGTTCTAGTTGCTCTAGTCTATTTGATTCTGTTGACGTCTCACTTATATTCCAATCGTCGGCTACCCGGAGTGTACATCTTACCAAACTGACGGAAAGGTGAGCGCCGCCCTCATTTTAAAGTCATCGCAAAAACATCAGCACGCGGCGACAGCAGCAGGCCGTCTCTCGTACCCGGATGGACCTTCCCTGCGGCCTGTGATGTTGCCACATATACGAGCAAGAAAAAATAGACACTTCGATCATCCCTTGCCACATATAGGAGCCAGAAAAAAGAGGCCCGGACATGGCCCGAGCCCAGAGAAACAGCTGAAATAGAGACTCTTGATCATACCCATATGACTCCATGTCCTGTGCGGAGTCTGGAGGAGGCACAGAGAGAGAGAGAGAGTCATATTACAATCAGAACGGAACTGGGTGAGACCAAAGCACACCCAGATCCAGTGGACTGGCTGGTCTTCAACCTTTCCTTCCCCCCACATAATAAAACTGGGTGGGTGGGTTCTTGTTTCTCGGTTCCCAGAGAGCGCGGTCCTTTGTCTCGGCGTTGACGTGCGCACACCCAGTATAAAACGATATCACCATCAGAACGTTGATGTCGGGGTTTGCCCTGGCATTGGAGGTGTCGCTTTCGTCGAGGAGGTGACCCGCCGGAGTGTTCACCGGCCGGTGGGAGTTATATATCCAGTGACCCCACCGTCGCCGTAGCCGGCGAGGAAAATAACCGGCCAAGGCGCTGCCGTGTTTCTTCTGACGTGACGGCGGCGCTACACCCACCCTCTGCCGTCCCCCGGCCTGTCCCTGCCGTTTGAAGAACCCCTGCAGGAAGTCTCAACGGGGATGCCTCCTCCCCCAGTGACCCCTCAGCGACCCGAGAATAGACAAACTACCTGCATAAAGATTGAAGACGACAGCGACGAAGAAGACGCATTGACGTCCATACGGTGAAGGGGTTGCCTTCGACGTCGGCCGTTCACCGACGGTCCATCTTTGCGGAACTATGAATGAGTTCGCACGAGTGGGCTCATACGAGAGAGTAGGTTAGATCGTCAACAAGTTCCACTAAGTAAGCCTCAATATCATTTCGGTCTGTACAAGAAGATCACGTCCGACCCCACACTGAGCCTTCACTAGTGCAACTAATACGAGCGAGCGTGCACCAGAAGAGAAGCTGCCGAGAGAAGGCTGGAAGAAGAAGAAGACGGCGGCTCCTCCGTCCTCTGTATGCGTGGACGTCGTTTTCTGTAGCTCGAGCCTGCGTTTTTTGTTCCTGTTTATTCTCTCGGTTAGTATTGTTATCTTCCTTATTAAGTCAGGCCCTGAGGAGAGGGGGAGCACATCTCTCTCTCTCTCTCTCTCTTCATGTCCTCGGTGGGGGACGGAATGGCGGCGATTGAGACTCCACTAGTATCGACCACAGCACGTGCACGTCCTCGCATTGGCACGATTTCACGTCCTCGTAAAGGATGTATATCCCCATGCCTGTAAGCAAACGCAACGAAGGTATGGTGTTTGGGGCAATGAGAGGGCCTTCTTTTCTGCGCCGGCTACTCGTGGAGCAGCGGCAGAGGTTTCGATAAGAACACGAACAACCCAGCCAAGAGGGGAAGAGTGCATATGGGATGGAAGGAACCGACTAAGAAACGTAGAAGGGTTCTGATCGTGGGCTAGGAAAAGACCTCAACGATGTATTGATTGCAACTCTAAAAATTTCTGAGTTGGACTAATGAAGGAGAAGAAAAACCGAGAGAGAGGAGAGAGAGGAGGGAGGGAGGGAGGGAAGGAAGGAGGAAGCGTACTATTCCTGCGTGCCGAATGGAAGCGGTACCAGAGCTTCTTGACTGGGCAGAGGAGGAACTGGAACCACCCCATCCGCGGCGGAGCAGAGAAGAGCGGCAGTGGGTCTCCAAGGTTTCCCCCCGCTGGGAGAGAGAGAGAGAGAGGTGGGGAAGGAAAATAAGATGGGTGAGGGGAGAAGGAACCGTCGACTTGCTTGGGTTCGGGGGAAGTCGCCCACTATTCTCCGTCTCTCCCTTGCAGTTCAATCCTGCTTTTAACACTCTCGGTAACTTGTCACTATCGATCCCCGCTCTTGTGTGACAAGCCTCGTTGCTACTCTCTCTCTCTCCTCTCTCCGTCCTCTTACTTCGCACTTGCATCCTTGCCGCTCAAGCATACCTCTCTCTTTCTCTGTCGCAATCTATTTATCTCTACCCATATTGGTCTATATAATTAAAAAGAGCTCTTTTTTACCTTTGGACCTCAAGTCCCACCTCCCTCGTTACTTCCTAAACCCCTCTCTCTCTTTGCACGTGTGTAGAAGAAGTAGACTGTCACAATTTTGGATATTAAGTCAACAACCACTCCCCACCCCACACAATCTCGTCAAATCTGCGTTGCCCCCCTCCCCGATACCGCGGCAGAATCACACGTCAGCAGGGTTTGCAGGGGGCTCCATTGCAGTTGCACCGTCGTTTTAGTGGGCCATTCACGTTCAAATAGTGGAATTCTTAATTTATTTTAATATGTCTATAAATAAATACTCCTCGTCATTCAATGTTTTATCTATGAAAAAAATAAATCTGTGTGTGTGGGTGAGAGAGAGAGAGAGACTAGAACAGCTATGTGGGAAGAAAAATGGGCTCTGACCTTAACCTTATTAAACCTGATATTTTTTTCCTAATAAATCTCATTATATCTGAAAATAATCCGACAGTTTGAAAAAGGGAGAACTCACGTGAAATTATTACCTTGCAGAGAGCCTTCGCATGGGAACAATTAGAAGCTATCAAAAATCCGATTCAACAGCGAATTGTTAGACCAAAGTGGGAGCGAATCAAACCAAAGTCGGGCACGTTATTTCTCCCTTTAACAGTAGAAAAAATATAGAATTAAATATGGATTCGAACCAACCTTCAAATACATGCCGATTAAAATCGTACTATTCTCTATAGTTTCCAGACCCCGAAGAGGATTTTAAGCCTGCATAGTCCGGGGGCAACACGAAGTAAAATTTGGAGCCTATGCTTACGCGGGCCATTCGGAAAAATAGTGAAATTGGGCTCTTTTCGTAGTGGGTACGGTACGGCTACAAGATTTCAGCCCAATATATGAGTCCTAAACAGGGCATTGACTATTATCGTATGAACCCACCCCAAAGAAAGAGCCTGAAAAAATGGACTCTGGGCCGTCGCCTTATGCAGCCCAGCCGCAACCTATTCTTCATATTCTATTTGAGAGAGAGAGAGAGAGAGAGAGGAGGGCTTTGGGTGGCGGATTCTGCTGGTTTTTTTCTTACATAATCGAGTGACTCCCGTCCTCACCACCTTCTAGAGATGGATTATCTTGAAGTGCTTCACCTCCCGTGAACACGGGAGAACTATTCATTATTTAATAAAAAAAAGTCGATGAATGATGAGTTTGCGTCCTCTGCTGAGGCGCCGGACGAGGCTGGCCAGGTGACAAAATCTTAGCCGTGCCTCCCCGGAGGCCTATTTTATGCTGATTATAGCTCCTAGGATAAATAATGGACTGTGGGAGTTCGTCTGCCACCAGGAAGTGCTCGTCTTCTCGTCCTGCTCCCCTCCAGGCTCCTCCGCTCGAGGTCAGTCCCCCCCCCCCCATTGTCACCTGTGGACGTCCTCCTCCCGCGACCTGTCACCATCATCATTGTTGCAGGTCGTCTTCTTCCTCTGCGATGGCGCGCGTGCTCCTGAAGGGCAGAGCTTCTTCGTCAGGGGAACGAGCGGCGCGGCGGCGATCATGATGGCGCTGCCGGACGGCGGGATTGGCTCGGCCGGCGGAGTCTACTGGGCGGGTTTCGAATTTTTAAATGTCGGTGATGGGCTGCCGGAGGAGAAAGAAGCCGGCCCTACCGAAAGGCTCCACCACCGGCGCCACCTCCGGTTAAATAATTTCCTCAGTTTCTGAGACGGAGATGACGACGGCATGGGAGGAGGGGAATCTCCACCATCGTCAGATCCCTACAAGAAGATCACAACGCCCACTACCAACCAAGTCGTCGGATATAACACGACGGATGGGACACGGCGAGTGGCGGTGGGCTTTTGAGAGCTCCCCCGCCCTCCCATGGCCTCCTCTTGGGAATCTGTGCTCACTCGCCCTCTTCCACGTGGTGATAGCATTCCGGCCCTGAGAATCTGGAACTGCAAGTCCTGCCGGCGAACTCTGTCTCTCTCTCTCTCTCTAAAACCAGGAGACGGCAGGGTTTTCTGCTCCGCCGCCGGCGGCGGAGAAGAACACTGCCACCGGCGACGGCACGGCGGATGCGGAACAACCGACGGGTTGCCGGAGCAGCCCCGTCGTCGTCCTTCCCTGCAGAAGCCCCTGCCGGCGAGAAACGGCATCACGGTCACGGCACGGCGGCGCGCGGGATGCACCGGCGAGTTGAGGATACCACGTTGGTCGGGACGAGGACAGCAGAAGCCGACCAGCTTTCGCTGTCTGGACCCCGACAGTCAAAACCCCGATCGGTACTGAACTCATAAGCCGTCAATCTACGAGATCCTGTCCGTTCATTACTGGGGACGAAACGGGCCGATGAGAGAGAGCGGGCCTTCAGGATCCAGCCCAATAACGGGATCGTCGGCCGTCGTCTTTAAACGTCGTCCCGCCCTCCCATCGATTCTCTCTCCTCCTGTCTTCTCCTTCCCCCGTCGTCCTTCTTTCTCCGCTGGTTTTTCTGAATCCTGCGGCTGTGGGGAGGTCCGAGGTCCCCCATGAATGCGGAGCTGGTGAGTGCTGGAGTTCGAAAGGGGTTCTTCCGACCGTCGAGATTTGAAGAAAGGGCGATGGGGAAGGCGGAAGCTAGAGGTAGAAAGCGGGTGGAGGAGGTGCTGAGGATCCTAAGGGAGCAGACGCAGCTCACTGTGAAGCAGGTGAGATGTTCTTACCGGGCTCGTTTACGCTGGGGAGGTGTTCTCCGGTCGTCGGACCTTCTCATTTCCGACCATTGCCTCACCTGGCGTGGTTCTTCGTCTTCCTGCTCCGATGGTGATCCTGTCTTCGGCGAACCTTCGCAGGAAAAGTTCTGTACCGACGAGTGTGTGGAGAGGTTCCTCAGGGCCAGGGACGACAGCGTGAAGAAGGCGGCGAAGCAATTGAGGGCGTGCCTCACCTGGAGGGATGCGATCGGCATTGGTTCGTTCATCTTCCCGTTCCACCAGAACCCCCGCCATTTCATGAAACATGTTTAGGGATTAGGATCTCGGTTCTCTTCTCCTGTGAATCTGCCGTTTTCTCCCAGGAAGAACACTGAATGCCGGGGAGATGAGGTTGCAGACGTGACGCTTCTGATGCTTTCGAATATTTTCTCTAACTGAGCAGACCATCTGATGGCGGACGAGTTCTCGACGGAGTTGGCGGAAGGCGCCGCTTACCTGGCGGGCCAGGATGATGAGGCCAGGCCCGTAATGGTGAGAAGACACCGAGGAGCTACGAACTCATTCCGCATCCTCTTCCTCCGGTCATCGTAGATCCGTAACGTCTTCCTTTTCCTCCAGGTTTTCCGGGTAAAGCAGGAATACCTCAAGCTCCGTTCTCAGAAATCGTATGGCCGGACTGAACTCTACTCCTCCGCCCTCCTGCAATCTTCCTTAATTTCTTCAAAGGCTCTGAAGCGGGTCGTGCTGCAGGTACACACGGCTGCTGGTGTTCACCATGGAAGTGGCCATCTCGTCCATGTCCAAGCTGGTGGACCAGTTCGTGCTTCTCTTCGACGCCAGTGAGCTCCTCTTTCCCGCAGCCATCATTTCACCGCCGTCTTATCTGTCGCCTGCAAAATCACCTAGACTAGCGTCGCCGACGGCTGTAGTCCTCTTTCCCGGGAGCGTTACCGACCCTTGTCTGCCCGCCGCCTGAATCTTTGCCAAAGCCACCTCAACGGCCGCGGAGTCTCGGATAGTATTACCCTCAGTTTCTGACGGGATTACCCTCCCCACTGTCGCTATGTGAATCCCGTCGTCTTCTGCACTTGCACCGGCGAGGGCGGAGAACTGGGCCTCGATGGTGGAGGAAGAAGATGGCCGACTCCGTCCGTGGGGAGCTCACGGCAGTCAGACTGTGACTGTGGCATGTAGGACTGATTAGAAAAATATTATCCTATTGACTCAAGCGCACCACCATGGGAGGACCTCGAGGTGTTTGAACAATCGGCAAGGCGGGAAGAGGGGGGGGAGGGCGAGGAACAGTTTTCGATTTATGGATTATTTATTGTTCACTGTTCTTTACCGACCTGATTCGAAGATAAGATAACATTCAATGGTGGCAGGGGGTTTCAGATCGGCGTCGGCTTCCCTCAACCTGTTCATGGGGACACTGAAGATCATCTCCGAGTACTACCCAGGCCGCCTCCACATGGCCTTCGTCGTCGACCCACCTTCCCTCTTCCCCTATCTCTGGAAGGTCGGTCCTTTCTCGGTCTGGCTTTTCTCTGCAGCAACAAAGAGGGCCCTCATCTGATCCGTCTCCCTGACAGGGCGCCCGCCCGTTCGTTGACCTGTGGACATCGACGGCGGTGGTCTCCTCCGTCGGCCTCGAGGACTCCGTGGAGGAGCGGCCACCCTTCGCCTTCGCCGCCATCAACAGCCCTCGGGTCTCCTCCCTCCGCTTCGACCCCTCCACCATCTCCAGGGCTTCCTCCAGGTTCGGCAGCGGCGGGTCAAGGTCCTCGCGCTTCTCCTTCACCGTCTCCCACATAGACGCCCTCAAGCCGTGGTATCTCACCCGCACGGAGCCCTCCGCCGCCAGCCCCTCCCTGATCGGTGTCTCCCCTCTCAGCGCCCGCTCCTTCTCCTTCGCCTCCCCCGGCGCCAGGTCTGCTTCCACGCCGCAGCACCGGCGCGTCGCCGCCGCCAGGAGCATGCCCTCAACGCCGTCGTCGGTACGGCCGCCCCCGCCGAGGACGCCTCAGCCGTCGTTCCTGCAGTCGCCGGTGGCGAGATTCTTCGGAGCGAAGAGAGACGCCCGCCACCACCAGCAGCGGCCTGAGGGACGAGAGTCCTTCCTGCCGTTCCTCAAGTTCTATCGCCGCCCTTACGACGAGATTGCGTACAGGGCCAAGATGCGCCTGCCCCTCAGCGGGCTCATCTCCGTCGTCTCCCCGCAGATGATCCGGCAGCGCCGCCAATTCAGCCACCAGAGATCCAGACGGAGTTGATGGTAATGATCGCCGAGAGGAAAGCCGAATGTTTATCGTATATAAATCTTGAATGAAAATAAGTGACAGTGGTCAACGATCCAACTAGTTCTCACCCATGTGCATCTCGCTGGGTCAAGAGTAGCCCATGGTGATCGCAGAAGTCGCCGTATGCGTCGCACAAAAAAAAGAATCACTCAAAAAAAAAAAATGGCGCCCAGACGTGGTTTCGCATCTGACGTTCCCCAACTTTTGGGAGTTTGACGAAGGTATAATACGATAGAGGTACCAAAGTCAACGAACGCTACAGAGGGGTGGGTAATGGTGGCATTAAGTCAACGTTGAGGCTTATGTAAGATCAAACGCTACCGCGTGACTCTGGTCTTCGTGGTTTGCACAAGCCAGATGAAACGAAAACGAAGACAGGGATGACCGTCTGAAGCACGGCATGGCAGGAGAATCAGAGGAGAGCAACCCATGTCGGGAATTCTAGGCCTCAAATCAGGGAACGAAGCCATCTCAATCATAGAAATATACATCATGGAGCTGAAAACTATCACGAGGACCTGTGTTCCTGGTCCGATGAACATGTCGAAGGGGGAAGAAGCAGATGAAGGTCTCGAGCCTAACCCTAGAAGGAACTGTCCAGCGGAAGCATTCCGGCATTCCGGCATTCCGGCACTGCTCGAGATTGAAGGAGGGGGAAAAGAATACTCGGTCTCGGCGTTGGAACAGTTATTCGTTCTTCCAAGCATACAGAATCAGAGAAAAACCGAGACCCTGTAGATGGGATTCTCTGAAAGCCGGCGAGCAGGACCAGGGGAGCAGCTTCTCGGCGGAGAGGGAGGTTTGGAACATGAAGACGGCGTTCCCCACGGGCGGCCCGAAGAGCCAGCTGTGCACGTCCCAGAGAACCTCCACGGGAAGCCCGTCAACGAGGATGGTCTGGTTGCCCCGGAACTTCCAGGCGAGCCTCTTCACCTGCATCACTCTCTTCCTGTCGATGTGGATCTCCAGAAAGGGGTCCTTCGGCCCTAGGGTTTCACACTCTATGACGACGTCGTGGACCTGCCCGTTGTCGCAGAATTGGGCCTTGGTGCAGTAGACCTTCTTCCCGAAGAGGTGCTCCTTCTTAGCGACGCAGACGGCGGCCGACGGCGGCGGGGTCGCATTCGTCTTCCGGTAGGCTTCTCTGCTCAGATCGCCGAGCAGGAGGACCATCTCCATGTTGAAGAGGACGGCCACGTAGAAACCCTCCAGCGGCTCAGGCCCAGATCCGAACTTGGCGGCGGTGAGGTCCCAGAAGATGTCCACCTTGTTGCTGTCGGCCTCCACGCTCCTGGAGCCCTTCCTCTTGGAGAACAGCCATGGCCGGATGTCCACCTTGCAGAGGCTATGGCTGGCAGAGTCGTCGATGCCAATGCTGAAGCCTTGGCCCATCAGATTCCTGCTCCATGTGATGGTGATCGCGCATGATCGGCCGGAGTGCCGGGTCTGGTAGACGCAGGCCACCAGATTCTGGGCATTCTTCCCGGCAGCGGAAGAGGAATCCGCGACCTGGACTCCATTTTCCCCAAAACAGGAAGGGAAATCCCTCATCCTCGACGCCGGAGCTTCGACAACGGATCCTCAGAGAGCGCTTCCCGACCGACGGCGAATCAGACCGCTGAATTCCTGGCGGGATCAAGATCTCCCGATTTCCATGAACACAACGACAACGCAAAAAGGTCGAACGATGGCGCTCGGAGAAAAATCCAAATCCTCCGTCGGGCGGCGATGAGATTGATAGGAAGAAGAAACTATACAGAAAATGAAAGCGAGAAGAAACAAATCTCCAACGGATTGCAAGCGGCAGGGGAGGGAGACGGGAGGCACACTGCCTTTCCTCTCACTGCATCAAGAGGTGACGAGAACTTCAAAACCAGACCCGTGTCGAAGAGGAGCCCCAATTTCTCCACAGCGAAGCCATGGGCACGGCGTGAGGAGGGCTTTCTTCCCCTCCTGGCTGTCAAAAGGGAAGGGCGCCGCGAAAGGAAGGGCCTGGTTGGGACGAGGGAGTGGGGCGGGGGAGAGTAGGAAGCCGCCGCCCTCCTCACGGGCAGAGACAAGGTTGGGGGGAACGCGAGAGAGTTCTAAAAGAAGGAAAGGAAAAAGAAAAAAAAGGGAAGGGATGGGGGTTTCCTTCCCGGTAGACAAAACGGGCGCTCGCTCCACTCTGCTTCAGAGGGAGCGGGGAGGTCGCAGCCACAGGAAACCCACAGCAACCATAATAACCCCGATCCCCCTCCTCCCTTTAATAGAGAGAGGGAGAGAGTGGGAGAGAGAGAGAAGAAGAAGAAGAGGTAGGCGGTGCGATGTAGGGAGAGGAGACGATGAGATAGAGAAGGGGTGGGTTCAAGGGGGAGAAGGCAAAGGCATCTATCACAGTCCCCTCTCTCTCCCTGTCTCTGCAAATATATTATATCTATCTGTCCCTGAAACATGAAACCAGGCTTTTTCTTTTACCGGACATGAAACCCCCACCTGTATGAGACGAGGAACCCCCCACAGTGACAGCTTTTAACCCCAAAAGACTCCAACAGACTCGACTGCCGTGTTCGGAACACGAACTGTCGCCACATTCCACACACAACCCCCTTCCTCCTCCTTCCCCCTCACCCCTCCTCCTCCCTGCCTACCATGGATACGTTGCAGGAGCAGCAGAAAAGAAGAAAGAAACCCGCCGGTGCGGAAGAGCGACCGTTTATTCCGATCGAAATGGTGGCCCGTCGCCTGCGCCACCACGAGGTTGCACCAAATCGAAAGGAATCAAGGAATCCCCCTCTCCTTCCTCCCCTTCTCCCCTCCTTCCTACCCCCGCCGCCGTTTCCTCCACTGTGTGCCGCCGGCTTTTGACAAACTGACCTGCTCCTTCCTCCTCCAAAAAGTCGCCGGAGCTCCCCAACCCCACTACTCTTTTACCCAGTCAACCCCTCAGCTGTTCAACCCACCCACCCAGGCCGAGGTCCCCCGCTGCCCACGGGACGGCCACCTGGTTCTCATCACACTGCCGCCCCCACGGAACCGACCAGAAATCGAAGGCGACGAATTGACAGAGGCGATGTTATTCTCACTCCTGCCTCGGACATTCTCGGCTGCGCTCCCATTCCCATCACCTGTGCCGACCCCTCACCCCGGCGTGTGTTTAAAATAAAACGGGTGGTTGGTAGGAGGGAAAAGAGTAAAAGTAACACCGCCGGGCAGAAAATATATATTTCTCTGGAATTTAGCTACGCCCACGCGGATTATTTCTTATGGTGTTTCTTTGAGGGACGTAATCAATGATTATTTATTTATATTTCCGCGAGATATTTCAACCGCTGACAGGAATATGCGCAGGTGACTTGCATTCCACTCGAGGGTGTGCACCACCAGGTCCACGTGGCATTCATTTGATGGTAAATAAATCTAGGTACCTAGTTAGGCAAGTTTGAATAGGAATGGTTACGGGGATCTGATGATTTTGTGACGTCGTAACTTTGACCATTTGACTATTAAAAAAGGTTTGGTTCATTGGTAGTTTATAGGCATTGACTGTCGGGCGTCTGGGATTTGACTTGACCAAGAGTTAACGACCTCTCGTGGTCTGATCTGGACGTGATCAAGATCAACTCCGTAGAAACCGTCATTCTCGATCATCATCTCCGGCGCGGGATTTCAACCGTTCCCATTCAATTTGGGACGTTGACTCGATCGACAGTTGCCGACCTCCACCATCACCGTCAAATCTCCGTTTGGCGGCCGCCGCTCTAAGCTGTAGCTAGAACAGTAAACTAATAATAAAAAATGTATGGTAGGGAAAATTCTCAAGATTTGCCAAGTTATGATTCTTACACGATATGGTAGCCATATTATATATGCATGAAAATGGGTGTATTTACTTTGAGATGGTTTGACCCCGAGTTCGAGTTCGAGTTCGAGTTCGAGTTCTATCTTCGGGCTTAAAAAGTTCTCTCGCTAATTTGCTGGTGCTCTTCGGAAATAATTTCCACGATAATTCTCTCATGTGGGTCCCTTACCGGCCTTTCGCCTTCATTGTTCGCAATTGACCACCACTGCGATTCGTTTCATCCCTTCGCCATCTGAGATCTGCAATAATGTGCTAGAAGCCACGCCGGCGGCCCTCACCCCCGCAGATGACTCCGACTTCCCTCCTGCGGAACGGCTGCTTGGGGGAGAGCAACGTGACGCTCTCTCTCTCTCTCTCTCTCTCTCTCTCGCTCTCTCGCTCCAGTTTGAGTGTGGTCAGGGAGGGGATACGTGGCGGCGGGCGTGTGAAAAACGCCGATAATGGGGAGGGCGGAGCTCGCCAGATTAAACGAAGAAAGCGACGGGGAGTTGGAAGACGGGCGAGGCCGACGATGGTTGGAATGGCCTCGCCAACTTCATTGCAGAAGGAACGTCGACCTTTCGTCGCCGCCCGGACTTCAATACGCGGAAAGGACGCCAATTCCCGTCCAAATGCCCGACCACACTCCCCAGCTTCGGTACTGCAATAATGCCACGTAAAACAGTACCCTCTCTCTCTCTCTCTCCCCCCCCCCCGTGGTATTATCCATGGTTTCTATGGGCATTTAATCTTCTTTGTTGGGGGAGCAAACGTGGGAGGTGGGACAAGGAGCAGTCATCCGAGATGAGCACGGAGCTTATCATCGAGGGACCCCTCTCTCTTTCTCTCTAAAGGAGGGGCCTTTGATGGGGGACTGTGATGGGCTTGTTCCATAGAGGAGGACGGAGTCAGAGGGGAGGGAAACCTGCGGCCGAGCTTATCCTCCGAGAGATTTTATATGCAGATCATAGAAGGCGTACCGTGCCGTCTGAGAAGAACCATTCATCTTATCAACTACGAGGGGAGATGATGCGATCGGCCCCACCGATCTTATTTTTTAGTCTCCCGCATTGATGATCGCTCCCACCCCGGGAGTCTGCCTTCCATGGAGCACCCACTGTTGTTCCTCCATGAATTTCGAACACAGACGGCATATAAAACGATCAAACCTCTCCCTCTCTCTCTCTCTCTCTCTCTCTCTCTCTCTCTCTCTCTCTCTGTGGAGTAGAGATGGACATTCACATTTTGGTCAAAACTGACGGGGGTTTACCGTCACCGGATGGTTGCTTCCGACGCGTCCCACCCTTTTTCGGCCGCGCGCGGTGCATGTTTGCCGAAATTCCTGAACGGAAATCGTCGGGAATGGCAAACACGGCGGAGCTGGCCCCCCACCCCGAATCCGGGACCGGAGAGCCATCTCTTTCTCTCTCTTGTGGCAGCTGCCCCATCGGCATCGGTGTCCGGCGGGGGGCCCACGCCGCATGGCCGCTCATGGCGCGCCATGGCGGGTGCCCCACCTCCACACGGATCCAACAATACTCCACCGGAAAGCCGGAAACGGAAGAGAAATATCAGGCTCTCGGAGGTAAGAATTAGGGCACCGATCTGCGACCCCAAGCATGATGTGGCCGGTGGCTCACTCACGGGTGGCACCGCGCCGTGGGGGCAGTGGCCGGTTCCTCCGTTCGGGGAAGCAGACAGAGCCCCCCGTGGGAGACTCCTCGACGGGATCTACACGGGAGTCCGGCCCTCGGCGACTCTGCAACCTGCTACAGACGTCTGGTCGTTACCAGTCAGAGTTGCCCTACCCCCAGGTTGACGACGACGGAGGCTCCGAGTCGAGGTCATCTAACTCGGAGCGAGGTGAATGGGGGCATTGAAAAATGGGCCAGGCTGCGTTTTTATAGTGGGCATATTTGGGCCTTTAGAAGCCCATTTTGGTTTGGTAGATGCACATCAGTGGGCCCTATGCCACGTGTACACTCGCATCGATCGCAAATGAGGAAGTGAATAGGGGTTTTCGTAAATTTTAAAATCATGCGCGCCGGCAACGTTCAGGAAGAACGCGGAAAAACGGTCTCCGGGCTGTGAGCCGCCGTCCGTACGGCCCCCTCAGTCGACCGTTTGATGCGGGTGGCCTAACGGTAACCTACCACCAGCCGCAGGTGGGCGAGGCGCTGGAGTCCGCTCTTCTCCCTCCCACACACATGCGTAATACTATGCCTTCTCCAGTCCTCGCGAAGAGAGAGGTGAAAAGAAGGAGAGACTGTGGCAGCGAAGAGGAGACAGAAACAGGAAGAAAGGGGGGGAGAGACGGGGAAGGGGGCATGGGCGAGTCGGGCGAGTCGATTTCCATCGACATGGAGATGATATCCTTCGGCGGCCAGGTGTCTTGGCTTTTTCCGTCTAGCTCTTCTTCTCCTGTGTCTGTAATTGTGTTCTTTTACTTTCGTCCGGAGTTTCTTTTGGCATATTGGCATTGCCCGTCTGGTTTCGATGTGCAGGAGTTCGCGGTGGAGACGAGTACTGGGTCGGTTTTGGTGTCCGTCTGCGGAGATCAAGAGAGGCCAGCTTTGATCACTTATTCGGACGTCGCTCTTAACTGTCTGTTTCGTCCTTGAGGGAGATCTTTCCCTTTCTCTTCCGATCGTTCTTGCGGGCATGGGCTCAAAAAGTGAAACTCTTCCAAGAGTCTCATAGCCACAATGTGCTGTGTTTCTTTATCATCGATGATGCACTTGTGGGTCGCCCGGGGGCATCGAATGAAAAATTTTCAGGCATTCCATCCCCTTCATCCCATGTTTTTTTTTCCTCTCCTTGGAGTCTCGTTTTCTTTACAAAACCAAGTGGAAAGTTCTCAAGAATTGATTCCTTGTCCTCCTCACGAACACAACACAACATCGTCTTCTCCCCCTTGTTCTTCTTTCTGGGTTTATTTCGGGCTGGATAAATGCAAGACTGTAGCATTTCCCACCTGGATGTGATTCCTTCTCTTCCTCTCCTTCTCTTGTTGTGCTTCAGATATGTACTGCTTCCAAGGGTTACTGTTCTGCCCCGGCGCAGACTCCCTGCTTCTCCAGAATTTTTGCATTTTACCACATCAACGCGCCCGGGCATGAGGTAGGCTGTCCGAAGCTTGGTGACGACTCCAATCCTGGTTCTTCCCATTCCTTTACATGACCTTTTGGGGAAATTCTCGCAGCTGGGGGCCGCTGCCATCCCCGACGATGCCCCCTTCCTCAGCGTGGATGACCTTGCGGATCAGGTTGCCGAAGTGCTCGATTTCTTCGAGTATGGGTTAATGGCGTTTCTGACCTTCTGTTTCAATCCAGATTTTATCGTCGGCTGAGTTTTTTTCTTTGTTTGCTTTGACGCACAATAATTCTCGTCGTGATAGGTTAACTGCTGGAACCACCTAAATCATATTGGGACTTACCAACATATGCTCCTCTCTCAGGGTGAAGAAGGTCATCTGCTTGGGTGTCCTTGCCGGTGCTTACATCCTCACGCTATTCTCTGTATGTAATAATCTAACAAAACTAAGACTAGGGGCCTCTGATTTCCTCTCTCTCTCTCTCTCTCTCTCTCTCTCTCTCTCTCTCTCTCTTAGAGACTGATTCAGAAGCAATTTAGGTCGAGTATTTGAGTATTTTTTTGTAGATGAAGTACAGGGAACGAGCTGCGGGCCTGATTCTCGTCTCCCCTCTGTGTCGAGCGCCATCTTGGACCGAGTGGTCCTATAATAAGGTTCATCATCCTCTGGATTAAAAGAGAAAACGCTGCTTCTGCATCAAAATAATTATAGGGCTCATCTCCAGGTGCTGCTGAGCTTGCTCTATTTCTATGGCATCTGTGGGGTGTTCAAGGAGCTCCTCATCCTCAGATTCTTCAGTGAGGTATGGCATCAAGAAGATTCTGGGTGGCTTTTATTTCGTATTCAGGCATATTTTCTCCTGGTTTAATCGATCTTCTCAGGAGGTTCGATGCGGCACCGAAGGGGCGAAGTCTGACGCTTTGCAGTCGTGCCGAAGGGTATGATGCTTTCAGAAGAACACAATTTCCGAACGGTCATCTTTCTACTTATCGTATTTTTATGCTTGAATTTTTTTCTAAAATATCACAGCTGCTTGACGATCGGCAAAGCTCAAACGTCATACGATTTCTAATTGCAATAAACAGGTGAGTACATTGCTTCCCCAGTTTTTTTTCTCATTCTCAACAATAATATTTATCAGGAGCAGAGCCCCTCTTTATAGATAATTCATCTCAAAAGATTATTACTGTTCATTGTCGCCGCTCTCTCTCTTTTTCTGGGGAATTTTGGAGTGCAAACTGCTCGAAATTGTAAAAGTCTCAATTAATTAATATTCTGATATATTAACACATCTCCCAGATTTGATTCGTGAGCAGTTAAAATGCATCATTACATCAATCAGAACCATAATGATATAAATTACATCCTTCCCTTTCTTTTACAACAGAATTTTAAATTCATAAATTATTTTTTTAAAAATAAACTCCTGCTGTTTTCCTTCTTTGTACTATGCATCTTGTACATCATATGCATCTGCCGCGCCTGTCATGGTGGGCATAGATTAAAAAGGAAGAAATCCACTATTTTTATTTTAAATTATTATTTTCATAATCGTTAGATCTTCACCAATTACAAAATCGATTCCCAGGAAAGGATTCAATCCTCTAATTGTTGGCTTAATGATGACAAATAGGAGATGTGACCTCACAGAGAACCTGAAAGAGCTTCAATGCAAGACGCTCATTTTTGTGGGAGAAAGAAGCCCCTTTTATTCCGAGGCTCGCCACATGATCGAGAAGATGGGCTGTGCAAGCCCAGATCTTATAGAGGTATTTTTTTTCCCTCAGCCTAATTTTGATCGCATAAATAGGTTTCCCCAGCATTTCGCTTTATTCATCATCTCCTTGTGGCCTCGTATTTATTTTGTCGAAAATAATTATTCCTAAATTTGTGAGTATGGCGAACGATCGGACAATGTGATTCTGCTGGACCATGGTGGGCCCGAATCGGGCTCAAAATAATGCGTCCAACAGGGCGACTCTTTCTATTTTTTTTCTTGTCGGCGTGCAATGAAATGATGGACATGAATAGATAATTACAATAATTACTCTCCCTTTCCCTCTCTGTCTCTCATGTTTCTGCCTCTTCCGTCCTTATCGGACGAACTTGGTCATAATTCTGAGAAAGGAGAGAAGATAGCTAACTCGTCTTCTTGCATGCTGCTCTGTGAATCAGATTCATGCCTGCGGATCGCTGGTGACCGAGGAACAGCCCGACGCGATGCTCGTGCCGCTCGAGATTTTCCTGGAGAGCTTCGGGTTCTTCCGGCGAACTTCCTCTGCGCTGAGACACGGCAGCCGGCATTCACGCCCCGCCTCACCGCCGGCGGCGTACATCCCCCCCGAGCTTCTCTCTCCCGAGGGCCTGGGCATCAAGCTTAAACCCATAAAGACGCGCACAACCGTTGAGGCCTGAGACCGGCCAGGCGACCCGGGGGGGCGGGGGGGTGGATCTTCTGAAATGCCGCCCATTTTTAGAGGAGGCTCCGGGAGAGTGTATATATAAGGCAGTTTGACGTCGGCTGTGCCGGCGTACCGGGGGGGAGAGGGAGGGGGGGAGAGAGCAAGGGTGGGCAGACGACAAAATGTATATTTGCCGGAACAGCTCGACGCCCTTCGAAAATAGATCATCCGACCCTTCCTACGCAGCTAAAGATCGGCCCTTCTCTTTTCTCGCGTGAAAAAAGAAAGTTCCCTCCTTGATGGGCTGTCCTGGGTCACGTGGGTTCGGACAAAGAAGGATCTCTTTCTCTCTAGACGTTTCGTAAAACCAGGACAAAGACGCTAGACGCGACCAAGATTTCTTCGTCCGGTAGATGTACGACTAAAGGGTAGCTCTCTGCTCATATACTGGGGAAGAAAAGTCCCTAAAGGCGAAGACAGGCAGCAGAGAGACGAAGAGAGTTGACCAACACATCCACGTACGGTAGAGTCACAAGGAAGAGAACGGGGACGCCGGGCTCACCGGTGGTGGCGCTTCGCTGCCGTGCACAAGTCCATGCTTGAGCCGTACATCTTCTCCAGCGCCTTTGCGCACCACCCGTGCCCGTCGTCGAGCGTCGGCATCCTCACTTCGATGAGCGGCGCCACCGGGAGCTGAGTCGCGGGGGAGATCACCCCGGCCAAGATCCTCAGCACATTGGAGGCGTCCACGTCCATGCACACGCTGATCTCGGCGGAGCCCTTCGGCCCAGGAGGAATCCCCGTGACCTTGAAGTAACCCAGGAGGTGGTTCTCCCCAACAGCCTTGCCCTCGCCTTCGTAGACGACAACCAGGGCCTCCGTCTGGTTGTCGTGGGCCGTCGTGAAGAGCACGTCTTTCCTTGCAGGGACGGCCGTGTTCCTGTGAATGATCGGGATGAAGCTCTCTCCATCCGCGCGGACTCCTAGGCTGAGAGGGGTGGCCTGAATGGTCAGCAAGTCCAGGCTCCCTGAGGGGTCGCTGATTCCAGAGGCGACGGCCCCCTCCAGAGCGGCGCCGCACACTGCTGCTTCCAGGGGGCTCATCATCCCCTCGTAGTGGCTCTTCTTCCCGCACAGGCCAAGAACCAAACTTCTGATCTTGGGGATCTTCGTGCAGCCTCCCACTAGTATGACATCGTTTACGTCGTCGGCTTCTAGCTTTGCGTCGGCCAGGCACTGTCTTACCAGGCTCTCGCATCTCTCGAAGATGCTCTTGTTGATGTCCTCCAACTGCGCCCGATCCAGAGTGCGGGATAGCTTCGACTCGCCGCTCAAGCTCACGTCAATGGAGACGCTCGACTCCGTGGACAGCTTGTGGATTGCGTCTTGGGCGGCGATTCGAAGCAAACCCATGGATTTGATCGCTTCTAAGCTGTGATTTGAGCAGAGACTTTCCAAGTCCGGTAGGAGATGGCGCATCGCATTCTGGAGTATGTCTTCTCCGCCCATTGAACATCCCGAGAGTGCTTTGATCTGTGAGACTCCTCCCGCGGTGGCCGTTATAGCAACGTCGGTATACCCCGCGCCCATGTTGAATATAAGAGCAATCTTCTCACAACCGCTTCCCATGTTTTCTTGGACGGCATGCTGCTGCTGCTGTGCGTAGAGAAGGGCGACGGCTGTGGGCTCCGGCATCAGCCTGAGAATACGAAGGCCTGCCATGGCACACGCTCGCTCAATCCTGGTCTGCTGAAACCGACTGAAGGCGACGGGAATCGTGAGCACGACATTTCTCACCGGACGTTTCAGCTGGATCTCAGCCATGGCCTTCAGCTCCACTAGAAAGATCGCGAGAACCTCCTCAGGTGTTGTCGATCTCCAGACATTATTTACCAGAGCTGCAATGAAAGGTCGGACGCCAATGTCCAGCGTCTGCACGAGGAACGGAAGGGTCTTACTTGAGTGCACCACCTGGTCTGTATCCACCCTTCCTATCAAGCGCTTCATGTTAAAAATGGCGCTTCCTGAGAATATTTCTTCTTCGTCGTGCCCAAGTTCTTCACTTACTCCTCCAGTGGGGAGCTCGTCCTTGAATAACACATATGATCGCAGATGTTTCTGGTTTCTAGTATTAGTGAGAAGTTCCACATATGATCCATTCCATATGGCAACGCTGCACTGGGAGGTCCCAATGTCGATTCCAAGGGCAACGTCCGGGAACGGAGATGGTTTGTCACCATATGAGGTTTCACTGTCGGACGCAACTGTGTATGATTGCTCGGCCATGTCTACAAAATGAGATGGAAAAAGAATAAAGAAGGTTAAAAGTGGAATCAACTTGTGTAATTTTCGGATTTAATCCCCATATCAACACTCCGTTCCTATACGGATTCAGGTAGAAGATTGATTCATAGCAAGAAACTGGGAGAGCACGACAAATGCACACATAAAACAAATCAAAGAAGGACAACCTAACTGATGATTTCTTTCAGTCAAGTTTTCCGGGAGACGGAACAGTCTACTGTAAATCTGAGGTCAAGGCTACTGGCTGAACCAACAGCTCCTTTATTTTGTTGTGCGTTCAAATCCTTCCAACACCCCCTTAACTTTGGATTTAATCTCTTCCAGAAAGATCTCTTCTTCATCACAAATACACGCTATTGTATTTGATGGCAGGGAATAGGGAAGTGCTTCTTTTTCTGACTTTTGACCCCCTTTAGAGGAGAACTGGCGGAAAATCTTTGGTTGCTGAAGTTTTTGGGCTCTCCTTGAAGGCAATGCCACGGAGATAGGTTAATCCTTTCTTACTCTTTCTTGTCAATCATTCTTATATGAAGTCCATCCGTCGATTTCGTAAGATATATAATTCATCTGATTCTGATTTAGTGGGCTCATAGTATTCCGAAGCTCAATTAGGCCAAAATACAGGCAAATTTGAATCCTGCTTAAACGTTACGATTAAAAAATTGCCACGTATAAACCTGAACGAAGCATGAGAAATGATGACGATGAAGGTTACAAGGAACGTAGCATCACATCGGTCATCAGCTGAGGGAAGAAAAAGGAGCATTTTAGCTTGCAAACTAAGTGCAAGATTACGGAAGAAAACAGTATCCTTTAGGTTCTTCTTAAACTGCAATACAATAAATTATATGCATTTCCTATGTATTGAAAAAAAGAATAAGAGAGCTGACATGAAATATAGAAAAATTAAAAATACATTAATCTCATCGAACCATACTGACATTTTTTATATGGACATGAGAAATAATATGACTAAACAAATAACTAAAGGCTATGAAACCTTAATATGTTATTGCGGTTAGATGTTTTCTCTCAGAACTCATCTACCCTGGGAAGTAGAGGAATCAAGATTCTCAGCCTCCTTCACAGCCACAAGCTTCAATCTCAACTGTTTAAATAAGAGAAACTTGAAGGATGTTCCATGCTCCATAGTACGTAAATAGAAGAAAGATCGAAAATGGATGAAGTGATTTGGAACTCTTGTAAGAGGAAAAAAATAAATTCACTTTGACAATGTTTTCAGCAATATATAGAGGAGAAAAAAACTCTTAGACAAGAACTTTATACAAACAAATCAGCAAGGAGCAGAGGACGAGAATTAGAAATCAGCAAGGATGCTCATGAGTTAGGAAACCAGCCATTGTCATTTATCCACAGGATTCAATCTTTTATTCAATGACATCAAGGGATATCAAAAAATTTCAGAACTTCTAATCTATGTTAAATGCGGCATTTATACGATTGTATATATCAATATAATTTTAATCTGTGTTTCAGATTTAATTGACTCTTCTTAATTATCACTTTGAGAAATTTTCCTTCAGAAAAGCAAAAGAGCTTTTCGCCAACTCTAGGTTCTTAGTTTATAAAATAATTTAGCATCGGGGTATGGTAATCTGTGAGCATGAGTTAAAATCTATATTCAGTTGCCCAGAGCAACCCACGTCTTTTCTCATTGCCCTGAAACGTTGACAGGTTTAATTTTAACAATAGCCCTCGTACCAAAGCGTAGGTATATCACACTTATTCGCATAATGATGAAATAGTTCTTCGGCTATAATGAAAATCAGAGTACTCTATCATCTGCTCGAGATTTCAACCAAGAAGGCGAATTATAATTTCCGCAGCAAAGCCAATCCCCTTATCAAGATGATATGATCTAAGCTCAAGTTAACTTCCATATGCCACATTGGACCGCATTAAACAGCTTCAACTCACAACACTATCATCCTAAGTTTGAAATTAAAACTGTATCTTTTTCATGAAGGACAGGAAAGGACATGCGGCGGCAATTCCCTTTACTCCGTCTTTCGTTCGGACTAAATGCAGTGACATTTTCGCTACGCAGATTTAACGATTTTTTCTACAGAATCAAGTAATTGGCAACTTAATTCCATTCCAAAAGGATAAGCGCTTCTGGAAGTCCCAATCCATAAACGCTGGCATAAGATAACAGTTGCATAACACTCACCGAATCTGGCCACAACACTCCGGATATGCCATGGCCAAAGAGTGAGCAAAATAAAAAGTGCCGCACGCCAGCATCTACTTCCTCGTCATCATATAGAACACAGACACAAGAATACGAGAGACATCATTACCTGGAGACGGAGATTCTTTCCCGGTCGTGGACAGTCAGGGCCGAGAGCATGCGAGCCGCTACAAAATCGTAGCAGGAGAAAGAGAAGCTGACTAAAAAGATGGAGAGTGGAGCAGAAGAGTGGGGGCCGAGATGCTTCCAGAACCTCCTAGTAGCCAAGTGGCGGTAGGGGCTAGGGAGGACAACCCAAGATGATCGCCTGTGAGCCGTCCGATTCCTGCTGACGTGGGAGATCAAAGTGAACTTTATCCAAAGGCTTTCCGGTCTGGTTTGGGACACGATGGGCGACTAATGGGCCTCCCTATCTTCACCCACATGAGAGATCTTAGCGACACATGTTAGTGTGTATCCACGCAGGGATTTTCACTAATCGCCAACTGGGCCCCGCGGTCCGAAACCGTCTCATGTGAGCTCGTGTAGGACTGGCCTGGGAAGCTGGCGAGACTTGTGAGGGTCTTTACTGCCAGCATTGACTGACCTTTAATGGGATGTATGCAGTCAATGGCGGATCCCACGCATTCAACGTAAATATAGGTATCCCTGGATATGAAAATATACTAGAATAAAGGCTGTATTGGAAATGCGTGATCGTCTAAAATCACTACTTTCGGGCTCCTGAGAGAGCAGCTGATTCTACGGGAGTTTCCTCCTGATTCAGTCAACGGCCTGGAAAAGGACCTTGTCGACGTGGAGCTCAAGGGCGGCGGGCGGGCAGCTGGCGACGTAGAAGAGGCTCTTGGCGACGGCAAGGAAGGTCTCCAGGGTGCACCGCCCCGCCTCCGCCTTGTTTCGGAGCACGAGCATCACGAGTTCTTGCATGTCGAAGTCAACCATGGCGTCGCCGATTCCGCCGGCGTTTTCCCCGTCTCCCTGCCGGTGTAGCAGCGGGGGAAATTTATAAGTTCCTGTCGCCGGGGGAGAAGAGGACGATGTTGTGGAGGGGTCGTACCAGAGCGGCGGTGGGGGCTGGGAAGCCTCGCCGGCTGAGGGGGCGGAGCCGGCGAGACAAGGACGAGATCAGTCGCACCAGCTTGACGTGGCATTGCTGGGGTTGCGAGGGTCGGTGAGAGCCGGCTATCAGTGACTCTTCAAGGGCGGTCCTTCCAGCGCACAGCTCCAAAGACCGTACTATGAGGAGTCCGGTGTCATCTTCTTCCTCCCGCCGCGCCAGCGTCCAGTCCTCCCACTGCAGCAGGCGGGAAATCGCAATTAGCAGAAATCAAGGGCCGCGGCGGCGGAGGCGCGGGGGGATGGGGGGCTTTACGGCGCGGTGCAGGTGCCGGCGTATCTGGCTGTGGGTGGCGGGCGGCGAGGTGCAAGCGTCCAACGCGAGGAGGTCCAGCGTGCGGAGTAGGGATCCGAGGAGCCCCCTCCCCGTACATTTCTGCGTCCCTGACCTGCAACGAGGGCCCCTGCTGCCGTCAGCACTCCATTGAAGACAAAGAAACACTAGTTCAGGTAGCCACCGAAAAGCAGTCGCCGTCATGCAGCGGTGGATATAATATGAGCTGTTCGCCACCTGAGAGAGGGCACGGCGTCGCCATCGGCGTAGGTGCTCAGCGACCGCCTCATCTCGTCCAAGAAACACGCGGTGGCGCGCTGGCCGCCGCATGTGGCCAGGTGGGCCGACACGGCGTCGACGAGGATGGTGGTGCGGGCCCATCCCAGACGCTCAGTCGCCCTCTCCGGCTCAAAGACGCTAGCCGCAGCCACGAAATAGGCCGTGAGAAGGTTCTTCCTGGTCACCCCGCGCCCTCTGACCCCGCTGTCCTCGAACCACCTTCAGCCGCAAGTCCCATATCAGAGTACTGCTGGGCTTCGCCCACGGCGTGGAGAGAGAGAGAGATTCCTCGTCACCTCTGAAGGCCAAGCCACTCCAGCTTGTGCAGGGCCTGGCACCGGCGGAAGTCCGATCTGGCGAGCTCCAAGAAGTCATCGTTGTTCACGTAGGGCATCCTGCAATGGCTCACACGTTAAGAGTCGATAACTACGTATGCCGTGGGAGTTATAACATGCATGCCTATCGATGGCGGCGCCGCCGCAGGGTGGCGTAGTTACCTGTAGAGTGTCTTGCCGATCCAGACGTCATGGTCTCCGCCGTACTGCTCGAGGTAGAATCTCGCCTCTACGCGGGGGAGGCTGGCGTACCAGGGAAACTCCAAGGCGTACCCAACCTGCCCGATCGAAGCAAAAACCTCGTTGAAACAATTAAATAAAAGGAAGCCGGCCAGATGAAATCACTAAGTTGACTATTTACTTATGAAGATCATCACGCATAACAGGAGCTTATTCTAAAAGGCCGTAGACTACGCCCCGGAGAGCCTGAATAAGCCAATGTTCTGTTGAGGATACCTCCCCCGGCAGGTCTTTTGTTATTATCCACTTGTCGGAGAGCTTGTCGAGTGCCCGTCGCTCCCGGAGGTACTCGTTTGAGAAGCTCTTCGCTACCTGGAGAATCTCCTCCCCGGGATAAGACACCTGGGCGGCCCTGTTCAGGTTGTACATGCCAGTGATGGCCTGGGTCAACTGGCCGGGGAGGCAGAAGAACTCTCCGTCCTTCTCGAAATGCAGGAAGACATCTGCGTGCATTTGAATCCCCGAAAACATTACCCCAACTCTCAGTTGAATAGCTAATTATGGATGAGAGAGAGAGAGAGAGAGAGAGAGAGAGAGAGAGAGAAGTTGAGTTAAACCAGACCCACGAATGTTGTGAAGATATCCGTGCCATGATGGGAAGATAGATGCACGAAAAACTCACGAGAAAGATGTGTCGTGGGGTTTGCATGGCGATAATCTTCTATTACCGGGTGATACGTCGTATCCATGGAGCCGGAGAAGACGGAAGCCCATCGATGTGTCATCCACGTCTTGGACCCTGGAAGACCTTGCCCACGAGATCCCGTCAGATGTCCAATACCTAGAAAAGAAGCGCCGCCGGATCTCATGAACGGAGGTCTTTACGTGACAAAGAGAGTAGAGAAAAGAGGACCAAGCGGTGAAATCTTACTCGTAGACGTAGTCCAGGCACCGGCGGATCTCTTCGAGGAAGTATCGAGAGATCCCCAGTCTCTCCAACCGGTCGACGGCCCAGAGGCGTTCGAAAAGGTCCACGGGGTATACATTGGGCACTGCGAAAGCCCGCAAGGTAATTATAGAAACAAGACTAAGGAGCCAAGTGGGTGGATGATGTGACGAAGGGGAACTGCTCGGTGCCCACCTCCCCCGTTGAACCTCCGCACAATCCTCTGCAGATAATCGAAGCACTTGATGTCTCCCGTGCACATGAGAGCAAAAGCAGTGGAAGACGGCGAGAAGAGTAAGGAGCCGTCGGCGCACTGAAGTCTGAGGATCTTCTCCCAATCCAGGCCTCCCATCCCTTCCAGACTGTGCAGCAGCGTGGTTGGCACTTCGTGCAACAGATCCTTTGGGATCCTAATAAATGACATGAGGGAGAGAGAGAGAGAGAGAAAGAGAATTAGTCATTGGTGGACGCCTACTTGACTGTCGGGGGGGAGGACAATACCTTTTCAGCTTTAGAGACTTCCTGGCGTATATTTCTTCTAGGGCCGGGGAGTCAAGTGGGACATCCAAATCCAAGGACCTCGCCATCTCCACGAGGGAAGGGAACGCCACTTCGAAGCCAATAGGCATGAGCTCGAGATCCTCCTCATCGAGCCTCTTCATGTTCGCCCAGAGGAATGAAATCCCTGTCGAGGAAGTCAAACTTAACCATTTGTTGAACAGATGACGGCGTCTCTATATCCATGGTTCAATATGTGAGCGGCGTAGAGAGAGAGAGAGAGAGAGAGAGACCTCTTTGGCTTCTGTCTGGGCAGACACCCCACGACTTCAAGGCGATCACACAGGCCAAGGTGTTCATCAGGCGGTCGTGGGCGATGAAGAGCTCGCCATCCCCCCACGACCCGTCCGGCAACTGGTTCTCCTCTATCCACTTAAGGCTCGACGGGAACTGGGGGCCGCCGGCGCCGCTGAGGTTGGGAACTAGAGCTACCCACGCCGTATCATACGCCGATATGCTGATCTTCCCATCGCTCATCGACCGCAGCATCGCCTTGATCTTGGCAACCCTCTTGTTCACTCCTTTCTCCTCCGCACTCTCACCTTGCCCGTCACTTTCAGACGTCCCCTCCGGCGTAAAGACGACCGGTATTCCACACTCGCTACCGTTGTAGCCCACGGAAACCATGACTTGCGTCCCCTCGGCGACGGTGGCAGCATCGTCATCAGTTCGGCACACTTGAATATCAAAAGAAGCACATTAAAAATAAAACTCATAAATTTATCGTCGCCTCTCTACGAGCTTCATAGAAGACGATAGAGTGCGTATCAGAGGAAACCTTTTTGGACAGCGGTGGGGGGCTTCTCAGATATTGCATGACACATGTACCTCCTGTTCGTCGTCCAGACGCTGACTCGAGAGACTATACCTGTTCAACGACGAGCCACGTAGAATCACTGGTCAACCGAGCGAGACTCGTATACATCGGGATGGGAGGGGGAGAGAGAAAGGGAGAGGGAGGGAGGTTGATGATATATGTATGGGTTTTGCTGATCTGGATTGAAGCTGAAACGGCAGAAACGAAAGAAAAGGAGCAAAGCGCGCAAAATTTATGAGATGTGATGTTAAAGATACAAGATTTGACCAGCACTGGAGGCAGGGAGAGAAAAAGGAGAAGGGACGTGCCGGAGAGGCTTTCCGGCTTGCGGAGGAAGACCGGTGGGGACAGTGCCACTTGAACCGTATTGCCCGGTGAAGTCGCCGCCATGGAAGCGCGGGGCGGCAGGGTAATGCAGGGTGAGATCATGGCTTCCACCGGCTGATTCCCGCCGTCGTTGCCTGTGCCGAACCAGTTCTTCAGGAGCTTTAAAAACCTCTGAAGGGGAGCAAGTGAAAACCTACGTTCAAGACGGAGAACGCAAAGAGAGACAGAGAGAGAGGACGGGGGGGGGGAGGGGGGAGGGAGGAAGGAAGGCAGCGATGGGGGGCAGCGAGGAAGAGAGGGGGCCCGGCTACTCGGCAACTCCGCCCTCCCCCCCTCCAGGTCATTTTATATCCGTCCCACTCACTACTGCGAATTCAATGGAGAAGATATGGATGGAGACGTCGGTCGGGGGGCGTGGGCGTGGGGGGCAGAAAGGGAAGGGCGGACGACCCTCCGGGGAGGTTACGCCCGTTCAACTGCTGCCCACCACGCGGCCTCCTAATGGGGCAGGCCAGGTAGGGCTCACTAGGACCCAGTAGGATCTGGCTTCCCGAGTGCGCCAGGCATTTGGAAAGGCTACGGCTCGGCAGGCGATGACGGAGGTGATGCCAAATGCGGTAATTGAGGCCCGAGAAATAAGGACCGGCCCAATATTGCGCCTACTGTTGTGGCATGTTTTACTTTCCGCGGCCTCCCTAGGTTAAATTCGCGATGTCGCGCCATGTAATGACAGTTTTGGTCTCACGTCAACGACAGCTCATTGTAAAACTGGTCCAACACTGCACGCGAATAACCTTATATAGTAGTCATTTATTTTTTTAATCATTATTTATAATCATTTTATTATTTTCAACTTAATGAGATTATTAAGGGAAGACAATTGAGATAACATTTTTAGTGGTTCTACCTAACTCTTTTAACTTAAATCCTTAGAATATGTTCGATTTTTCTAAGGTTAACAATCCCTCATACAACCGAGCTATGATAGCCCTTATTTTTCTCACTAAAATTCTACATTCTAGATGTCTTACATTTACTAATTTACTATCACACAATAATGAAATGTGAAAATAGTGACTCGAATAATTATTACTTCCACCTTAAAAATATGATGGATACTTTCTAATCTATTAAAGTACTAGGTTAGTTAAGTTATTGTCAAAACTTATTGATATAGAAATATTAAAGTGTGAGTCATGTCTGTTGAGTAAACACCATCATTTTACTTTTAGATCACAAGTTAGTATTGAGAACAAATTGTCTTTGATTTGATTCATTCAAATGTATGAGGACTAAATCGTGTCATATCTAAATTTAGTTTCAAGTATTATGTTATCTTCATTGGTAACTACTCATGTGTTATATGACCATATCTCATAAAGGACATATATGAGTTATTTTCTATATTTGACTCATTTTATATTGAATAAAAATTATTTTGACAAAGTATATATGTGCTATGTTCTGATAATACAAAAAGAATATTTTAGCTCTTTTTTAATATAATATCTAGTCTATCGTGGGATAATTCATTGGTTGTCATGCCTTCATATCCCTTAGCAAAATGCTACTAAGAAGAAACATAGATACGTTATTACAACTTGTCATAAGCTTCTCACATATATAAATGTTATCATATGATTCTATAGAGATGTTATACTCATTGTCACTTGATCAATTGAATACCATCTTGTCTTATCCAATAAGATTTCTTATCCTATCTTTCACCCTAGAGAGCCATTGTACAGTGTTGCACTTTAAATATTTAGGCGTGCTTTTTTGCCTACAAATTAGAAGTTTGTCAAAATAAACTTGGTCTCAAATATAAAAAGCGAGGATACCCCTATGTTAAAAAATGATGTAAATATTACAGCCCATTACTTTGTCAACACATTGTCTTTGTCAACATTACCTTCTTTCAGGGTACATTATTTGATGAACCTTGATTGATTGTACCGTTGGAGAAATCACTACCTCTATTAATTATTATTCAGTTGGTTCTACTATTGATTTTTCAGGCATTAATTGTTATGCTGAGTATGGTAGTCAACTCCCTATCACAAAGGTGTATTCATGATAGAGAATTCCTTTAATTTTTACATCATTTAAAGTGATCATCCACAACTAATTTCTTTATACCTCTAATGTTGTATCCAAAAAATATCTATACCTCAAGTAACTTAGCTCTATCAATTACCCTACAAAAGGTGAAATAGTCTTATATATTTGATCTCAATTCTAACTTTTTCTCTTATACTCATTTATCTCCAATCTATTATGTTTTTATCTCCATGATATCAAGTTTAACTTATCATAAGAATGTTTCATATGTACCTAGATGTCTTTTGCTCTTAAGTAAAATGGTACTTGGATTTTGATCACACACTTTCCTAGTGGATATGTTGTTAGGTGGAAATAGGTCTTCAATTTTAAAGTTTTCCTAGATGAATATATGGAGAGATTGAAAGCTCCTTTGGTAGCTAAATACATCACTAAAATGTATGCTGAAAAGATTGAAAGCTCCTTTGGTATTGCCCAATGAATTAATGAAAGGGTGTCCTTAATCTTCTTACACAATTATGGATCCAACTACCACTATTATGGATCCTAGTTTGAGATTATCTCTTGATGAGAGAGGCGTGTTAGAGGATTCAAATAGGTAAAAGCATCTAGTTGGTAAATAGCTATTTGAACAACACTTAGTCATATATTTCTTTTGCCACTAGTGTGGCGAGTTAGTTCATTTAGTGAACACACACTAAACATCTACATACAATTATATAGACATTGAGATATCTTAAAATAAATATAGATAAAAGAGTGTTGTAAAAAAATAATGGACATCTCACAACACAACATTTTTGAAATGTTGATTGAGTTAACCAGAGTTTGGTTAGATGATATATAATTAGCTATTATATTTTTGTTAGTGGTAACCTTTTTTCTTAGAAAAGGAAGAAATAATTTATGGTCTCATGACCAAGTATTGAATCATAATACAAAGTAAAGGAATACATGACAACACACTATTTTTATGTGATAAGCAATGTATAATTAGTATATTTGGCACGTTAATTCATGCTAAATGATCTAATTTTAAAAATCAAGTAAAGCATATTTTAGATTAATTACATGAAATACGTACTTGATGTATGATTTTTACATACTTTTAAAACATGTTTTATTTTGAATATTCCTTGATTATGTGTTAATATAGTTTACTTGGCACTTTTCACTTTAAATTTGACATTATTTACGAAAAAAATCAGAATTTAATAGTTAGAATTGGGATACAAATAAAACTTCCTGATTTCTGGTGATTTTTCAAAATATTTTTAAAAAATGTATTGATTTAATAGGCGTTATGTGAAATTAAGAAAGCTTATTAAGGTCCATTTCATCAGTTTATTTAATCGAATTAAAATGATTGAGGAAATAGGTAGAAATAATGAAAACTATTGTAAACATATGAGAAAATAGGAAGAAAAATTAAAGAAGAAATAAAAGCTGATTCTCATTGAAAATCAAATGATTTTTTAGCAACTTGATTCCTCACTACATGTAATCTATTTTTGTTTTGGTTTATGCCAAAAAGGGTCTACCTTTTCTTTCCATTTCTATTGGATAACAAATGGCGTTGTTCCTTCGATTTGTCTAGGTGACAAGTAGATGAATCATGCATATGATTGATTTCTTGAATTTTTATCCTTGATTTAGCTCAAATTTGTTCATTTGTTTGTTCCTAGTGTCAAAGGAGGAAAATCTTGATTTTTGAAATATTTTATGTTTAATTCTTTATGTTATATTCTCATTTTGGAACTAATTTGTATATGAAAAATTGATTGATTCACCCTAGAATTAGAAGTAGTTCATCCACCTCATCTCGATGTCAAAGGGGGATTTTTTACTTTTAATTTATTTTTATTTTTCTTAATATTTTGTTGTGCTGAATTGAGTGTAAATCCTTAATCTTCCTATTCTTGCATTTGATTTCATCTGATTTTCTTAAACACATCATTCGTTTACCCCCTCCTTTTCTCTCTCTTTACAAGCCCCTCTCTCTCTCTTCACCCTCCCTCCCCTTTCTCTTTTCTCTTGCTTACTTTCTTAATGGTAAATTAGGATTATTTCATGAGTTTAGTTTTTCTTCTTATAGATTGAGGATTTGATACCAACAAGGGAGGATTAGGAGCAAGAAGAATCAAAAGCTAATGATGTTAATAGTAGCTGGTCTAGCACATAACATAACTTATTTTGCCTATTCTCCTTTGTTTATTTATTTTAATTTCTTTCTTTATTTACTAAGATTTATTTTTTTAGAAAATTGAAAAGAAAATTATCATTCGATTTGTTTTTTTTTTTTTTTTTGGATCAACTTGAATTCATTACACTTACTTCCTTTATCTTCATGTGAATTTATTTTTAAAAATATTAAATGTGGCATCTCTTAATTGAATGACTAAAAGACAAACAACATACTACATGTTAACATATGTAGATTATGCATATATTGGGTTTGGTGTGGCTAAGTGAAGTACCAAGAGAGGAGGGTGAATTAGTTTTTCATACATTGACATACAATAAAACTTAGTCTATGAAGTATATATGCAACTGAACTTATGATTCTTATCTAAGTTATGTTGACATTCTGGTTCCTTTTTGTCTCACTCCTAGTGATAGTAGACATTGAGATTTTAAACTAGTTCACCCTTAGGTTACATTTAGTATAGGATGATTCTTTTCTAGATTTCTATTATTTTTCAACGTAAATATAATTGATTTCACATGCTTAACTCTCTCAACACAACTATTTATATATGTAGAAATCTCACCCCCCTTACGGGGAAGTCTTGACTCATAACACCACATGCTTAAGTCAAAGTATAGTTTTCCTTAAAGAATAATATCATTTATTGGGAAAATTTGGCTCTTAGCACCTTGTGCTTAACTTTATTCTTTCTTCACTCACTACTTTAGTTATCTTAGGGTTTGATGGAGAAAGACAACCTTCAATATGGTTGATTAATTTGTTCTTTGTTGTATATGATCAAGTATGATAAAGCTTTAATTCATTATTTGTCTTAGATATTGAGTATGATGAAACTTTAATTTTTATTTGTCATATATAATTGAGTATGATGAAGCTTGTAATTTGTTATTTGTCCCAAATGATTGAGTATGATGAAGCTTTAATTCTTTCTTTGAAATATGTTATTACTTTGTTATAGAGGATTGAGTAGGATTTTTTCTCTTACTTGTGTGAGTGATGTAGATAAAGATTTCTTTGTTTAGTGTTAACTTTATTTGTTTTCAGCTCCCTATACTTATAATCTAATGACTCTATATCATGTCAGCATCTAAAATGGTCATATAGATTTGAATATCTTTTCGTTGCTCTATCAGTGCTCTAGTGACTTTTGATTGTTTTACTTCTAAGCTGTCTATTTTGGTGATTGTTGTTCGTGATATCTTGCATAGAGATTTGTACTTGATCTAGGAACATTTATTCTTTCAGGATCTTATTTAGAGTAGATTGTTTGACTTGTCTTTTGTCTATTTCTTCTACTAACAAATTATCATCCATAACTAGGCTTCTAACCTTCAATTATACTTCTGCTTAGATCTTCCTACTTGTACTATGTTATTCTTGATATTATGTCAAGAGATACTCAACTGATCAATAAACATATTTTTCTTTAAGGTCGAGTTAAGATATTATTGTTGAGTTTAACATTTAGTCCACAAACTCTAATGATGTGTTACCATTTAGAGTGTGAAGGACTAACCTTAAGTCTTTGTTTGTTTCAAAATATGTAGATTTCTCACATGTGGTTTTTTAAGCTTCCATCTAGAGATATATGTAACTTCTATGATTAATCTTGCTCTTGATATTTGGTTGAAACTTAGTTGTTTTCACTTCGTCATTTTCTTCACATATGACTTTGACATGTCACTGTATAGATGTATGGTGATGACTTCTTTGTCTCCTTCTTTATTTCATGTGAACAGTCCAGCTCAACTATCTTGTAAGTCTTGAGTTCAAGTTTTGCTTTAATCATTGATCATATATCTTGTATTGAATATCTCGACCAGCTTTCCACATGTCACTATAGTGTTCTAAATTCCGATTTTGCCTATACTTTGATTTGAATAATTAAGTTGCCATTAATTTTATGAAGCTTACTTTATGAGTTCAAATCCCATGTATGTCATAATCTCTTTGACATTTCATACATTTTTCATACTCCCACTCTACAAAAGAATCTCACTAGTGACTTTAATTTTTTAGAATATATGTCAGATTTTGTCACATGAGTTGACACTTGCTATATTTCACTTATATTTAGAAAATATTATGTTACATTACTTCAATACAAGAGAATATATCAAGATAGTGACTCATTGGATTTATTGTTAGTCATATGATTGCACAAAGCATCATCAATATATATGTTTGAATATTTGTTAGTTAAACTTATCTTGTGGTGAAAATAATCATGATACATATAAATGAATTATACTTTGACTCATTCAATAATAATTCATGAATAAATTTTTCATTGGATGTGTCAAAACACTTCGTGTGTCAACACCAAGGGCATCTACATCATCTTCTTGAAGAGTCTGACTTCCATTATCTGAACCTTATGGAGATCAAATGTGATAATTAGATACTAGTTTATATTACTTCTAATCTTATGTTTTATGAGAGTTCAAAACACATAAGTTGATTGTAACACTTTGTTATAGTGAAGCTTTAAACATAACTGATGATTATTGTGAGCATTAAATATAAATATTAACTTATTGATATATTTACTAAATGATTGAATCATTATAACATGGTATTTATATGTAAAAAATTAGGCGCATATGATATATGCACTCTAAATTAAAAAGGGTTGTGATAATATATAGTTATGTGAGTCTTAGTCAAATCAGCCCATCTAAAAGTCTTGGTCAAACTAAATGTCTTGCATCTAAGTCTATTTTGACTCGTGTAAATACCAAAGTCCTTAGATTAATGTTGTGTCTTCTTTCTTCTCCAATTTGAGAGGTTGTAAAAGAAAACACTTCCTAAACCTACACAACTTTCATGCTTTGAGCCTCTAATTACAATGAGACGATCTTGACTTAAGTTCACTTGAATTTTAAAAAATACATTATTATCCATTAATAATAAGATAGAATCTATAAAGGGACAAATTTCATGATACTAAATTAAATACCTATAGGGCTACAACATAGGGACTTTAAATATACCAAGTTTCAACTATGGCACCCCTAAAAGGACAAATCAATTATTACACATTAAATATATAATAATAGTAAGAAATTAATCTCTAATATATAAAGGTCTTTAAGGTATTTTAATCATCATGCTCTATATTTTGGGCACTTTGTATGCTTGACTCACCAATTTTTGGCCACCCAAGTCAAAAAAAATCATCCTTTATTTTATTTGTATTGGATGTCCAGTATTACTTTTCCTTAATGTTGACTGTATAATAATTATAAAGACTAGACACATGTAAGAGAAAAAATAGGCTCATCAACTTTAACTTCTAAGTATAGCATTTAGTTGAAATTTTACATATTTACAAGCCCATAATGATCTGATTTTTAATTAGTGATAGCAATATGGTAGTTGAGTGAAGGAAATTTCATGAAAATCTGTCATCGAAATTATGTAATATATTACTTCACTATGTTGATATATCTTTTAAGATGAAATAAAAAAAAAATACATAAAGTTTATTCTTGAATCTTAGCTTTAGAGTGACATGGATTGTACACACCACAAAGAACAAAAATCTTTACTATATCTATTGTCCAATTCCTTCTCTAATTATTTATCTTTTGATATGAATATTTTTAGAAACCTTCTAAACCTTAAAATTTGTTTCTTGGCCCATACAATTTCAGAAAACTATATTTCACATCTTAATTGATGCTGAAGGTTCTTATATTATTGATTCTATGGTAAATATTTTAGAACATTTTCCTTTGTACCTTTGTAACAAATAATTAATCAAAAAAGAAACCACATAATTTTTAATATAGAGTTTAATTAGACTTGTCATCTTTATATTGGGAAAATTAAACAATATAAGTGATTTGTAAGAACTTGTATCTATTTGACAATAGGTTATTCCTTTCTCGTGAATGCATATGAAGCTCAATATAACATTTGTCTATTTTTTTTGAGAAATATATAGAACCAAAAGCTATGTCAAGCATAATATTCATTCAAGGATTTTTAAATATGAATTCTTCTTTTGACACATGTACTCAATATAAATTTAGTCTTTCTATGTTTAACTCTTTTGTTACTAGTTCATTGTTAGATATATATAATTTTTTATCTCCTTTCTTGTATGAGTACTCCAAATTTAATATTATTACCTTTGAATAAGGTCAATATACTTGTTAATAGTAGTAACTAATTTCAGCTAAGGATGATATGAATCTACAATAATATGACACCAAATATTTGAAATTACTTGATTAATGATGTTTTTAATGTACAGCGCTATCATTTTGTTTCCTCATTAACACGCTTTTATGATTTTTGACCCAAAATTTTAAGACTTATTTACTTTTCAAAAGTTGTAACTTTCATTTATTGGAATCATTAGTCTTCATAAGACATTGAACTATTTTCATGTGATTTCTCAAAAAATATATAATGGTTTTTTCTGTAATGATGCATAATATTGATGCCAAATTATCAACAACTTCCTAAAATCTTGTGAGAAGTGTTCATGTCAAGAACATCACATTTAACTTATTTGAAATATTTTTTATTGATCGAGAATTTTACTAGACTAGCTTGAAGGCTTTCATGAGACTAGGTGAAATATCAAGGGGGTGAATTGGTTTCCTATTATTTTTTTATATTTTCATTTTTCTGTTTATGAGTGGTTGTGTTGACACACGTTTTCATACAGTTTTCTAGTTATGGGTACATGTTTAATCAAGGTAGTCTCTCCCTCTACATGGGTTTTCACTTGACTGTCTCATCACCACGAAGGGCACATAAATTTTTTATATTAGTTCATCCCTCACTTGGCTATTTCTAGTCTTAAATGAACCTTCATACTGGAGTTCATTATTTTCTTTTGAAAAAACATACTGATTTTATGAGATTATCATCCCAATTAGATTAGTTTGATCTCCACAAAGATCACACTCTTTTTGAGGCATAAACAAACTCTCAACACCACATCTTTTAACACAAATACAATAATCTCTTCACATATCATACCTTTCATAAATACAACCAAGCTCTCAACAACACATGTCTTAGCCCAAATATACTAGTCTCCTCATAGACCACACCCTTTATGGGTACAACTAGGCTCTCAATACCATGTAGCTTAGCCCAAACATCTCTCCACCCACCACCTAGGTACCTTAGGGCCCGAAATAGAGAGTCAACTTTTGAAGCAAGTATCTTTAATAGACATTGATCTATTGGTTGCATTCTACTTATTGTCTATGTAGATACCATTATAATCATTGAGTATAATCACAAAGGCATTTCTCAACTCAAGGAATTATTTTGAGGATAATTTAAAACCACATGCTTTGACAAACTTGCCTCCCTCGAAGTGGATCTCTCCAGCATAGAACCCGGCAGCACTGTCACCGTCAAGTGGCGGGGGAAGCCCGTCTTCATCCGCCGTCGCACTGCCGAAGACATAAGCGTCGCCAATGCTGTGGACTTGGCCAGCCTGCGCGATCCGCAGGAGGATGCGGCGCGTATGACGGACCCGGAGTGGCTGATCGTCGTGGGTGTGTGCACCCATCTCGGCTGCATCCAATGCCGGGGACTTTGGGGGTTGGTTCTGCCCGTGCCACGGCTCACACTATGACATCTCCGGCCGCATCCGCAAGGGACCCGCCCCTTGCAATCTCGAGGTGCCTACATACAGTTTCCTCGACCAGGGCAAGCTCCTCGTCGGCTAATTTCCCTCTCTTCCTCTCTCTCTCTCTCTTCCTCTCTCTCTCTCTCTCTCTCTCTCTCTCTCTCTAAGGGAAGAAAGAAGGCCCGTATCGGCTGGTGACTCTCTCTCTTTCTCTTCTGGTTGGTGATATTTTGGTCGTTCTCAGGTTTTGAATAATTCTGTGGCTTCAGACCCGGGTGGGGAATTGGTCATTTTCCTTGCCCTGGAGGAGTACATTATTTATGTGCCTTCTTGCATAGTCCTGAGTCCGATTCCCTACTTTACAGCACCATTTCTTCCGCTTTTGGAAATAATCCCACTATCTTAAATCACTGTTGTCGAATGAGATATTGATGTAACTTTCAATTCTTCATTGAAGTTCGTATTAACTGAACTTTGATAGATGAAGAAGGATGTTCCTTTGAGTATGAATGATCATAGCAGAGATGTCTTCTTTCAATACTGATTCTTCTTCTTCTTTGTAAGTTCTTTCTTTTTATTCTTTAACATTCTCCTATCTTTTAATTTCTTGGAAAATGATCACACGAATTCAAAGTTCGTCTCATTACTCTATTGGTATGTCAATGACCTTTGCTCATTATTTTCTTTGAACTTTGCTATTCTCACATCCGTTGCATTTGAAACTTTATGTGGAGATTCAATACTTGTCAATGAACATTTTTGTTTTTAGAATTGAGCTCAAATAAGATTGTTAAGTTTGTTGTTATCTCCACATATTCTGTCAACGTGTCACCATCTAGAATGTATGGCAACAATTTTTGCTTGTTCCTTGCTTCAAAACTTGCTATTTTCACATCTTCAAGTGTTTTAAACCTAGTATGGAGATTTGTGATTCATCAATTATCATCTTTACTTATGGGCTGTAGTTCAAACAAATCTATTTAGTCAGTCATTTTCTCTACATGTTCTACTGATGTGTCACTATCTAAAATGCATGGCAAAGACAACTTCTTTCGTGACTATTTGATGACTTCTCACATACACTTCAAAGTCTTTTCAGAAATATTGATGTTATGATTTTTTATAGATTTATTTTTCAGTTGTTTAATTTGTCATAATTTAGGTTCCAAGTTTGAATCTTGCCATAGTCTTTGTTTCTCTATGATTTTCATGTATTTTATTTGCTAAGGCTCTTAACTTTCCATCTTCAGGTCTTGAGTTTGAATCCTACACCTGAATTAATATATTTTTATTTTACAAGTATTTTTATCGTTAATGTTTCAGACTTTTCATTGCTCAAGTTCTAAGTTCAAATTTTTCAGGTGACTTTATATTTCTTGTTTTCCCAAAAACTTCAGCACATGTGTTAACATTTGATTTTCTGCATTGAATTCATCATATGAATATCTCAAAGATATGATTTCTTAGATTCATTTGTTAGTCATATGATTACTCAAGCATCATCAATATATATATATATATATTGAATATTTATTGGAGATGTTAAACTTCTAACATTTCTCATCATGTTTATTTAATATTATGTAAATATTATATAAATACTCTAAAAATATTCAGTAAATAGCTTTTCACTTGTAGTATCAAAATGTTGCAGATCAACATAGCTTAGGCGACACTACTTCAAAATATTTTTTAATCCATCCCACTTTATTAAGATGTGGGTTCTTCTCTATTGTTAGTCCTTATTTTTGAACCATAATATAAGTAATATAATTTTTGCTGATGCTATTATCAATAATGATGCATCATATTTTTTTCATTAATTCTACACCATCTTTGTTTGGTGTAAACATCATTATTTGTGTAACCAATAAATGGGAATAAAATTTGCTTCTAAGCTTCTTATTCATATTAATAGATCTAATATAAATATTCTCAATGAAAATTTTAATGTATCATGCACATATGATGACCAAGGTCATCATAAATTTAATATTCTCAAGTACAAGTGTGAAATTTGAAAATCTTGATGAATCAACGTTGAAATGAATGCTTGGTACAATAAATATGGTAAAATATTAGAAGTTTTGCCTAAAAGATATAAGATACTATATAAAATTCATTCAAGAATGAAAATCATCTTGAATCCAAATGAGTTAAACTTGTCTCATTTCTTACATTCACAAGGATTAATCTTAATGATCTTTGAATCCATATAGAACTGAAACTCCCCCTGAATCCATATAGATCCATGTGATCCTTGAATCCAAAGGATTAATGCTAATTGACACTACTAGAAATGTGCGGAAATAAAGTCTCGTCCTTGAATCCACATGAAATAAAAGTTTTGAGAAGATGCTATGTCTTGAATCTGCATTATTTAGAAGCTTTTAGCCTTGAATCTATAAGAGTGGGCATACTGAGTCCACAAGTTATCTTAAATCCACAAGACACCAAAGTATCTACAAGGGGAGTGATGTTGAGTCCAAAGTTCCCTTGAATCTACAAGGTGCTAAAATCTACTAAGAATGAGATATAATCTCAAAAAGAAGGAAATTTGATAAGACAATGAATTGCCCTTGGGGCTACAATGTGAGGCTTTTTAACAAGGCAAGTTTCTGTTATGTCGACCCTACAAAATAATTCAATTGCAATGGCACCTTAAATCGATTTTATGTAAATTTAAATAAATTGGAAATAAACTAAAAAATTTAAAAGTAAAATTAGGAATATAACCTTTTAAGGTCTTCTGATTATTTCAGCCCACTTTTAAGCGATAGTTAAATCTTTTGATGTTGTAGGTTATGGGAGGCAGGCAATGTAGTTTAACTTTTTGAAGGGTGAGGGGGATATCTTAGAAACTCTGGGTGGAAGAACATGGCTTGAAAGATCTCTTGTAGCCCTTCTTATCCTCTTTTGATATCTTCTCATCCTTGGCCTAATTTGGGCAAAACCCCCTTTATATATTGAGCTCATCAAGCCAAATGATTTGCTAAATGGCAAGTTGAGTGGAACTTTCATAGGCCCCATGCAAGGTTGAGACTCACAAAAAAATATATACGTAAATGATGTAAAATTTATAACTATAACTATTTAAATACTTCAAATTCTGATGCGTATTTTGTGTACGTGGAATTCTTCTCTAAGTTTTCAAATGATTGGTTGAAGGCTATATTTGCGATGTATTATTTCAGATAAAAATCATTTTAATCAGATGGTTTAAAAATTTGGATCATGTTATCCTTGGGTATAATCATAAAGTTAGTAATATTATAAAAAAATATTTTCAACAAACGACGAGAAGATTATATGTGAAACATTATTTTAAATAAAGTTTATTTAATTACATTTCACTCAAAAGTAATGACAAATAGGTAGTTCTAAGAATTTCGGCTTATTTAAATATGACATTTCGCACATTTTTCGTATTATCATTCAATAGTGTATAATCATTCGTTATCAACTCCGCCCCCTGATCGGTGTAGGGGGGGTTAAGTTATTCAGATGGAGACGCTGTTGGGGATACCGCGGCCGGTCAACCCACCGACCCGGTTGAAGTTGGAGGTGCTCGGGTAGAGCAGGGTGTAGGGTAATTTCACTGGGCCATTACGGTTCTTGAGGCGACTGTCCTGGTTCATCTCGATTATCTGGTTCTCGATGACGATCAACTTGTTGGCGAAGGCGTTGAAGGCGGTCAGCGCCTTCTCGTCGGAGGTCCACTCGGGGGTGTCCCTCTGCCCCAGGTAGACCTCGTCGGAGGAGTGCCTAGAAAGAATCTCGATGAGGGAGATGCCGAGAATGCTCTGCAGCTGGTTTGTGATGGTCTTGAGGAAGACTCTGTCGGGATTGGCCTCAAGGTCGGTGTACTCCGGCGTGCCCGGCTCCGGCATGAACCGCCGGCTGATGGTTGGGCGGTTGGGCAGGTAACCGGAGTAGGGGTACTGCCCGAAGTTGACGGCAGCGTGGAGGGCGGAGGCGATCCAGATGATCGTGCTGCAGGTCCGGTTCAGCTCAGCCACGGTCCTCATGGCCGGCCACCATGGCTCGTCCTTCTTGTCTCCGTGGCCCACCTCGCGCACCTCTCGCCACCAGGCCTGGAGCTCGGTATCCTCCTGCACCGTCTTGTCGGAGGGATAGTAGATTGTGCAGTACGCCTCCACCCATTCCTCGATGGCCGACCAGACGGCGAGGCCGTCGACGGCGTACGGGTAATCCTCGATCAGCAGCCGGAGCCTCCCGGGGGAGGCGGGATCCTCTACAGCCACACCCCTGAAACACCAGGTGAATCACAGATCAGTCGACGAACAGAGAATCGTGCACAACGCGAGACGATCGGCGATCTTCACAGCGTGGATGACTGTCGCACCTCTTGAGGAGGTCCACTGGCAAGGCGTGGTCTGTCAGTTTCCAGTTCTTGTACACCCTCGAAGACAGCTCCATGGAGTACTTGTCGGGGAAGACCGTCTTCTCGAGGACCCCCCCAGCGTTGATGAGGATCTGCCGGGCGAGGGCGTTAATGTTCATGGTATCGCGGAAGTGGGGGCTCAGCAGCTTGTAGATCGGGTGCACCACGCTAAGCTGCCGGTTCGTGGCGATCACAAAGGGCTCCATGGTCGCGTGGGTGTTCAGCCTGGATCCAGACGGGAAACGCGAGAGATTTAGAGTCCATCTGCGAGTTGCAGTTCCCGTGGTGTGAGCAGATGGAGAGATTCATACCAGTGGCTGATGAGCTGGTGAACGCCGGAATCGTTCACGGCGGCGTAGGCCTTGGCCAACTGCCACAGGGTCCCCTCGACGCCGTGATCGGCCGGGGTGTATACCTTACTGACGGCCCCCTTCTTTCCTTGGATGGGCAAGCTCAGCTCTATCGCCAGCGGCTTCAGAGTCCCGTCGTCCTGCAGCAGCAGGACGGTTCTGGTGGCGTAGATTCGGTTGTTCGTAGAGTTGATGCGCTCGAGGTAGGGCATGAGAGCATCATGATGGTTCAAGATGAAGAGCTTCTTCTTCTTCAGGGCCTGAAGAATCGGCATTCGCAAACTCAGGAGTCGGCTTGGGGATCCAGACCATTTGGAGGGTTCACAGGCTGAGAGTTCCTCAATGCGTACCTCATCGACGGTCAGCCCATTCATGTTCTTCTCGATCTGATCCGCGGTCATTGTGCTGTTCTGGTTCCCGTAGATACTGGGGTCGATATTGCTGACCGGGGGAAATTCCTGAAGAAGAGTATATCAAACAGATGAAGTATATGGTGAAATCGATCGTAGACAACAAGGGATTAGGCGTACCTGTTAAGTTTTAAATACGCCCTTCATGCTGTGGTAATTTAGCCTAATTACTTTATCACAAAGGCCAGCGCAATGGGGTTTTTAATGAGAGGAAATTGGGTCATATAAGTCCTAAATATATATTATATACTCCATATTTAAAGAACCTTCGAAAGTTAGGAGTTCAAGGACCTGGACATTATATAATATTTCAATGTATTGGAGCATTTATCAAAGCTAATTGAGAACAAGCTAATCATATATATTCGTATGATTGACTCCAACGTGTCTACTTATTTACTCTTTTCAAATTGAGATTATCCTAATACGACCACGTGTACCCAAGCCAAACTTGGCTCATGGAGACATGTGAATTAATAGTTTTTATTTGCTATGTGAATATGTTAATGGTCCAAGTTTGGAGGTGAAAAATCAACGCGCAGGTTCTTGCTCACCGTCAAGAGACTAATGATAACTGGATTGACTCCTGCGAGCATCTCCCGTCCAAACTCTTCATCGGTCCTCCAAGCGAACTTATAGGCTGCCGGGTCGTAAAAACCACACCAGAGTGGTTAGCTTCAAATTAAAAGGTTTGATCGATCTATAATGGGATTTCTCGATATGATGGGGTTTGATCGGTTACCTTTGATGACGTCGGGAGTGGGAAGGCGGAGCAGGTGCTCGCCGTCGGTCCTGATGAGCTCCTTTATCAGCTGGAAGGGGATCTGGTTCCTAACGTCCTCGAAGGCAGGGCAGTCGGGCAGGTCGATGCCTCCCTCGTAGAGTTTCAGCACGTCCTCGAAGGTATCGAACTCGAAGGGTGTCTGGTCGGCGGCGGCTTCTAGGACCGGTGCCAGAGCCTGCACCAGCGACTTGAGGGCGTAGGCCAGGAAATCTGACATCTTCAGGTGCCCGAAGCGCTCGTCCCTGGGGACGTACACGTCCAGGCTCAGCAGAAGCGGAATCCTGCTCTCCGTCTTTGGGTCTGGCCAGTCCCACATCCATGTTGATGGCATTCAAGATTGGATTTCATACGTAAGATCGTGATATACTTTTTATAGCGAGAGAGAGAGAGAGAGAGAGAGAGAGAGAGAGCAGAGAGCACCCACCGGTCTTGGATGGCGGGCGGGCAGTCCGGCCCCTGCGAGGGTAGGGGTACTCTTTGGAGCCGCCAAGGATTGGCCGGACGTAGTCAGAGCCCTTGTCCGGGTCGCCGAGGTCATTGTAGTAGTCGTAGGTGTAGACTCGGTCACCCTCCGTCAGCTGGCGGGTGATGTTGTCCCCTCTGAGGTAGAGCAGCTCTGCCACCCTATACGGCTTCAGCGGCTTCGGCATGGTCCCCGGTAGGTACGTCTTCCCGAGTAAAGAACCCACCAAAACCACGAGATATCAATTAAAATATTTCCTCTGCCCGTTCACAGATCCCATAACACGACCTTAGCCTTCCTTCCCTGGTATCGGGGAGCCTAATCTTTACGAAGAGTAATATGAGATTACGAGCTATCGCTGGTCGACATCCAAGCCCAGATTTTATGGGCCTCGCAATGGAGCCCCCTGGCGGGGATTATACTTCATTAGACGCTTGATGTAGAACTCGCCGGAAGAATTCGGTAAATAGAGAAGATTGGGACTGGGGTACTCACGTCGTTGGCGAAGAAAACCCTGTCGTAATTGTAGGTGCTGACGGGGTAGACCCAGGAGTTGCAGGAGAAGTGGATGCGGCTTCGGGGGCCGGGAACGCCGTCGAGAGTGAGGCTCTTGAGGTAGAACTCGCCGTGGTGATGGTTCTTCACGATGACGGCGCCGGGGGTGCCCAGCTGCTCGTCCCAGTCGAAGGTCACGGGGAAACTGGCGTCCCCCGCCGCCAGCGAGGTCTCCGTCGTCATCCACTTCTCCAGGTACGCCGGATTCCCCACCTTCCCCCTGTTCCCCCTTTCTGCAACACGCGATCGAATAACGGAGTTGAGAAGAGCTGATGAACTCGAAGGGCGGACTCTCCGGGTCTAGGTCAACTCACTTGGGTCGCCGATGGTGGCGCTGATGAGCTCGAAGGAGATGCCGCTGCCGACGAGCTCGTGGAGCCCGTCGAGGAACGAGTCGACGAAATCATTGAACCCCACGACGTTGCTCTTGACGAGCACCACGGAGGCTTTGATCTTGGTGGACGTCTTGCTGGTTTTCTCGTGGTGCTCCCCCGTCAGGGTATCGACAATCTCGTGGAACATCTTCGCCGTGGCCTAGATCTAGAGAAGTCGCTACTCGCCGGAGGTTGAGGCAAACCTGGAATAAAGCTGCAGCCTTTGCGAGGAACCGGTGATAACACGGAAGTCAGAGGACGGGGACAGGGTCCATTAATAAGCAGATAAAGTTTTGTCCGCAAGAACCTTCGGCAACATTTCCCCGCTTCCGACAGATAAATAATTGTAATTAATCAAATATTGCAAAGTCCCGGTATGTACTACCGTTCCGAATTGGACCATAACGGAATTTCGGTCTATACCAGCACCATAATATCAGATTGGGGAGGAAGATCAGAATTAGAAATTGATAGAAAAGCAAGGATGTGGGCCCGTTCTATTATCAGCTATGGGTTTAAATCTAAGAGAGATTCTAGATAATGTTTGTTATCCTGAAATTTTCTTCTCTTTCCTGAATGATAAGGACAAAAAAAAGATCGGGTCAAAGAAAATTATACACTACTTTTCCACTCATGGTCATTAATTTAATGAATAAGAAAAGGAAGAAACATTGCTATTGACCTGCTGTATTATTGACGTAAACAATGAAAATAATTTATATATTTAGCGAAGGAAATTAAGATGAACCAATCAACAATAATTCTTCAAAAACGATGACATCATCAATCTCTCAAACTTGCAGTTTGGGTCCTTTTACTATGCTCATCTTGGAGCTAATTACGTTGGTTTAATTAATTAACTAATTCCAGATTAGCGTTAGTCCAGTTGTAAAATCTCGAGGAGGCATAGGATAACTGAACTGCGCTAGCTTTCGACCACTGCTTCATCGCCGGCTTGGATCCTTTTGCTCTACCTGGGTTTGCCGGAGATGAGGGGGGGGGGGGATCAGGCCCAAGCTGCGTGTTCGCCCGCTAGGGTCAGTGGCAGTCGTGGCGAAGGGCCCACGTGCGCATAAAGAGCCAGCGTCAGCCAGTGGTCTCCCCATTGTTCGTAATTCATAATTGCAGGTGAGGTTGGAGGTATCTTGGCTGAGAACATTGAAACTCCATGAACAGAGAGAGAGAGAGAGAACGGGATTTATCGGGCGGTGGCCCGCCTGCGGACCCCACGGGGAACCACGAAGGTCGTGGATGGAGCCGTTCAACGGGCGGTGGCCCGCCTGCGGACCCCACGGGGAACCACGAAGGTCGTCGATGGAGCCGTTCAACGGGCGGCGGACCCCAAACCCTCCGCCAGTCGCTGGCACCGGTACAAATCCTCCGGTATTTACTGTGGGCGGAGAGAACCGCATAGTTGGAGACCTCGTTGTGAACGCGCTCTGGAGGCACGCTTTCGCGTTCATATTATTTTACAGGTCGTTTTCCGCTACCATGGGATGATATCACGTTACTCCTCCGGTGGGTTTTGACCACATTGTCAATAGTTGGGAGGCTCGCGTTCCCATGGACCCACCCGGACGATGCCTATCTATTTTCTACAGGCATTGAAATGTCTTCAATAGTATTGAAAAGTTAACCGTAATGTCTTCGACACCGTAACATAAACGTAGAGACAGGGCCCATCATATACGCGGTGCTTTTTATAGTCTCACCGACGCCCACTTTCGAAAAGGCAACGTGGGTCGGGGATTATGTATACGACTCGTGTGTCCTACTACCATCGAAAACACATACTATATATGTATTTGTGTGTACATGTAACATGACCATTGCGCTGCCGATCACCATGAAATAATAAGAAGTCATCAAATGGGTTGCTTCCCCAAGCCTAATGACCACTCTGGTTCTCCCACCTTAGGTCCTCAGAGAACTCCAGTATCGCTGCCCTGGGGTCGCCATTTGCAATAGAAAGGTAGTACTCGGCAGTTCCGTCGTCCACCTGCATGCTTCTCTTCACCGACTCCAGTATCTTTCTCTTGCCCCTTTCAGTGATTAGTCTATTACTCGCATGGGTTGGTTTCCCATCTTGGTGCCCATGAGGGTGAAGCACTGCCACTTCCCTTTTGGCGTATGCATCCATCTCAATGAAACAGGTGCTGTTGTGGAGTAGAGCAGGATCGCTTACTGGGATCAGGAGCCTCTCCCTAGAGTGGATCCCGTGGTCGCTCATCATATTATTCAGACGTTTTATATCCATCACCTGCACATCCGAAATAATTTTTCGAGTCAGATAGATTACGGGACCAATCTTGCTCAGAATTTTTGGTCTTAAAGCACCTGTGCCTCTGATTTGATTTGAGAACATGCACGGATTAAACAAAGATAACAGTAGAGCACGCGAAATTCTCGCCTGCAAACACAACGGTTGGGGCAAAGGGTAGGTAAGACATCAGAGAGTAGAAACGTCCACCAGCAAGGCGGGAAGAATCTAATGATTCCCTCTTGAATACCTGCTGAATGCCCAAAGCTAATGCTATTGATCTGCAGGAAAAGGGTACTGTTGGCACCACAATCGACAAACAAATGATCTACGTGTTTCCCCTATTATGAAATTGAATAAGCCCAAATCTATTACAGATTGGAAGCCTCTTATGAGGAATTGAAAAGACTGTTGCCTGCCTCCTTGAAACACTAGCCGGCTCAGTTCAAGCGGTTTTAACCTTTCCAATGGAATCTTGAGAAAAAAAAGATCTGAAATGCAATGGGATGAATATTGGAGGGCTTGTCGCCTAGTCTATAGGGACTTCATGGCAAACCACCGCCAAGACTCCTGCTAGATAGCCTCTGGGCATCCGATTGACGTAATTGGTCTGGTAAAAGATACAGTCTGGTAGGTTTCGCCTAATTTTGTCAGACTAAATCTAGCCGTACCAATAGGATTTTCTTCTCTCATTTCACCGGCAGAGTCCGTGCTTCGAATCATGAAATCTATCCTGCAGAATAACTCTAAGCAATGATATTGCTAACAACCACATTGTGTTCACTAGATAAACTTCCACATCACTAAGTGGGTAGATATTATTGAAGTACAGAGACGTATTTTCCGCAATATTAGCGACCTCTTATTTCTGGGCATGCTGCTGTAGCCTTCTCGTATTTAGAAGCGAATTGTCACACTTATATTGGTGACTCCTGAATTATAATGGACTCAGTGGGGCTGTAGATATTAGAATATCCAAATCACATGAAAACCTATGTACACAGGTGTGCTTATCTGTCCTTGACTATTTGCTTATCTGGCTTTGGGCAAGTTGATTTTCTGTAGATGACAGAGAGTAATTGAGTACGAAAGGTTCCTCACACAACCTTCTCTTTCATATCGTTGGCCTTCCCCAACCCCCATATGATCAATTGAAAAGCCATTGATGCTGAGACGATTATGTAAATTTGAATGTTCTTCCTTACATATATGATATTCAGATTTTTTACACATACAAATTTCACTCAATAAAAAACTAGGAGTTCAAAACTGAGAGGCTATTTTTTCTCACTTTCCTTTTCATTTTTAGATCACGCTGAAGCAACGATTATTCAAGTGAAACATCTTTTAGGACCACAATTCCTCTTCACATTAACCACCTGTTACAACAAGGCCAATGAGCAGAACATAAATAGCTCTTACAGTCAAATATATTCCGCCTGTGGGATAAACTTTCTCCATGGTCGTCTGAACCGTGATATTTCAGCCTAGATTTACCCAAACTCTACAAAGGAAGTAAGACATAACTAATTCCAATTCAGCGCACCAGTTTTTCTTTCTCGAAAGATAACTATTTTTCCCACCAGCCCGTTAAAACCAGAAATTTTTAGATTCCACCCACCTCAAACGAAGACTTAGGAAAATGCCATCCATGACACCAAAAAGATTTTGCGAATGAGTTGCCTATTGAATTCTCTTCTGCTTCATATAAAACTTATTTGCTCTTAGACCAATCAAAATATTTGACCATCACGTGGTCATAATATTTCTAAAAAATATTTTCCATAAAACTTCTGATTAGTGCTGGGATGAACTTAAGCTCAGCTGCTTTCCTCAGATGACTAGATTTTTAACATTACAATTTATTCTCAATGCCTGCATCTACACAAAAAATATTGTGCGAATGAGTTACCTATTGAATTCTCTTCTGCTACATATAAAACTTATGCGCTCTTAGACCAAGCAAAATATTTGACCATTACGTGGTCATAATATTTCTATAATACTTTCCCGTAAACTTCTGACTATTGCTGAGATGAGCTTAAGCTCAGCTGCTTTCCTCAGATGACTAGATTTTTAACATTACAATTTATTTGCACTGGCTTTACACCTATGCTCTTATTAAAATTATCTTTCATAATTCAAAAGATGTAACATATCGAACTAGACGATATTCCAATCAACGATTAGCTACTTCAGAGCCACAAATAAGCTAGCTATTATCTGATGTATATCCTTCAATCGACACTACTGGTTTACCAGCCTCCATCCATCACTGACGAAAACCTACAGCATAGTCTCCTGTCTTTTACAGGTTTAGCTTCGACAGCAAATGGAAACAGAGAACGGAGATGTCATCACGCGCATTAAAATTAAGGAACTAAACCAAAACAAGGAATGACCGATAACAGCAAGAACTAGCACTTGATCCAAATTATATGCAGTATAATGGTTTTTTTTTTAAAATATGACATAAACGCTAAATTAGAATATACACCCAGCAAAAGTGAGGAAGAGGTAAAGTAGAACATATACCGACGAAAAAGTAACAAAAGGGGTGGGACAAAGGTTAGGGACCTGGACGGAATACTTGAGGGCGAGACCGGGAACGGAGTCACCGCGAACGAGCCTGTGGGATATGGCGAAGCGACCGAGGCTTGGATAGCGCCAAAATCCCGGCGATGAAGGATCTCCAAGGATGCGTCCCACCTTCCAAGGCGATTTGAAAGCCCTCTCCTTCACCTCCCGTTCAGAGGCAACCGCGTACCAGAGCCTGCATACACAGGCGGCCCGCGCAAGGTCCTTGGGGTGGAGGCGCTCAAGGATGCTCCGTAGCACATCCCGGCAGGAAATAAGCGCAGAGAAGTTGGAGTTCATCGGCGAAATCACCGTGGCAGCGCTGCAACCGGCAGCACTCTCTGTGGTCGAGGTTTCCACCAAGGTTTCGGCGAGCATCTGCGCAATTTGGTCATCCTCGTCACCGCAGCAACCCATAGACCCAACGATCCTTCCGACTGACCGGCCGCCAGGAGAGCAGAGCTGAAGGATTGACAGCCAACTGCCGGTGTCGCCCACCCGCACCCTTCCTTTCACTTGTTCTCGAAGTATCCGACTTAGCCAGGCAAGACAACAGTGCTCGCGGATCGGAGTCAACTGGGAGCCGATACGGATCCGGTTCCGTGTACCCGTTTAAATACTAAAAAGCGCCACACTAAAATATTAGAGGTAAGTTTGCAGGGCCTTTTATCCCCAACCTTGAAGTTTAGCTGACAACATTAAAACTAATTAATATCTAATTGGAAAAAAAAAGATCCGTATTCTCAGACTATTATAATAATTAATAATTGTTTAACGTATCGCCTACTATTTATGTAAATGTTTAGAAAACTATGATAGGACAGCAATAGAATTAGAAGGAGATGTTCCATTTGGCACCAAAGCCTTGTCAATAAAGAAGCTGGCCGGTCAAATTCCCAGTCCGTGGCCAAATCCAAATGGGCCTTATATCCTCAGGCTTACAGGTTTTAATCACGTCATTAAAACTAATTAATATCCAATTTAATTAATTTGGAAAATAATTCTCTATCTTCTCATATCTTAATATTGAGGCCCAATTGTTATAAAACTATGATAGGACGTCAATAGAATTCGAAGGAAATGTCTCATCTGGCACAAAACCTTTTCACTAAAGCAGATGGGTGGTCAAATTCCCCATCCGTGGCCGAATCCATATGTGTGGGTCCGGAAATGCGCCATGGTCCGAATGATGGTCGAGGTGTCTTGCACTGGACGGCTCCTGTGTCCGCCCAGATGGCAGCTCCTCGACAGTCCGTCGATCGGATTTGGGCAAAGATGAGACGACTTCGGCGTCCGTTCCGCTTTTCTCCGCCGAAGCGCCTTCCTGTGACCAGCAACCCACAACAGTCGTGGACTAAAGATAAAATAATATCAAAGAGCTGACTTCTGACTCCATAAGTACGCCAGAAAATATGTATACATATATATATACAGATTTCTAAGAGCTGGAATAATTCAATAGAGCTGACGTCATGAGTATGGGAGTTCATGCAAAATAGAGCTTAGATGAATAAATAGCTATCCGAAGAGCATAATACACAGATGGAGACGGTTGGGGGGCGGAATCTTCAGATGGAGACGCTGTTGGGGATACTGCAGCCGGTCAACCCGCCGACCCGCTTGAAGTCGGAGGTGCTTGGGTAGAGCAGGGTGTAGGGCACCTCCACCGGGCCATTACGGTTCTTGAGGCGGCTGTCCTGGTTCATCTCGATGATCCGGTTCTCGATGGCGACCAGCTTGTCGGCGAAGGCCTCGAAGGCGGTCAGTGCCTTCTCGTCGGAGTTCCACTCGGGGGTGTCCCTCTGCCCCAGGTAGACCTCGTCGGAGTGCCTAGGAAGAATCTCGATGAGGGAGATGCCGAGAATGCTCTGCAGCAGGCTGGTGATGGACTTGAGGAAGACTCTGTCGGGATTGGCCTCAAGCTCAGCGTACTCCAGCGTTCCCGGCTCCGGCATGAACCGCCGGCTGATGGTTGGGCGGTTGGGCAGGTAACTGGAGTAGGGGTACTGCCCGAAGTTGACGGCAGCGTGGAGGGCGGAGGCGATCCAGATGATCGTGCTGCAGGTCCGGTTCAGCTAGCCACGGTCCTCATGGCCGGCCACCATGGCTCGTCCTTCTTGTCTCCGTGGCCCCCCTCGCGCACCTCCCGCCACCAGGCCTGGAACTCGGTATCCTCCTGCACCGTCTTGTCGGAGGGATAGTAGATTGTGCAGTACGCCTCCACCCATTCCTCGATGGCCGACCAGACGGCGAGACCGTCGACGGCGTACGGGTAATCCTCGATCAGCAGCCGGAGCCTCCCGGGGGAGGCGGGATCCTCTACAGCCACACCCCTGAAACACCAGGTGAATCACAGATCAGTCGACGAACAGAGAATCGTGCACAACGCGAGACGATCGGCGATCTTCACAGCGTGGATGACTGTCGCACCTCTTGAGGAGGTCCACTGGCAAGGCGTGGTCTGTCAGTTTCCAGTTCTTGTACACCCTCGAAGACAGCTCCATGGAGTACTTGTCGGGGAAGACCGTCTTCTCGAGGACCCCCCCAGCGTTGATGAGGATCTGCCGGGCGAGGGCGTTAATGTTCATGGTATCGCGGAAGTGGGGGCTCAGCAGCTTGTAGATCGGGTGCACCACGCTAAGCTGCCGGTTCGTGGCGATCACAAAGGGCTCCATGGTCGCGTGGGTGTTCAGCCTGGATCCAGACGGGAAACGCGAGAGATTTAGAGTCCACTGCGAGTTGCAGTTCCCGTGGTGTGAGCAGATGGAGAGATTCATACCAGTGGCTGATGAGCTGGTGAACGCCGGAATCGTTCACGGCGGCGTAGGCCTTGGCCAACTGCCACAGGGTCCCCTCGACGCCGTGCTCGGCCGGGGTGTATACCTTACTGACGGCCACCTTCTTTCCTTGGATGGGCAAGCTCAGCTCTATCGCCAGGGCTTCAGAGTCCCGTGCAAGAGGCCAACAGATGGGTTGTTTCCACAAGCCTAATGACCACCCTGAGCGGACGACCCAGTCGTGCGTAATCTACTCCGCGTCCCCGGTTTTGACCTCGTTTTCAATTATCAGTGTCAGCGGCACCCTGTACGTCCCAAAGATTCCATCTTGGCTGGAAAAGAAAGATGAAGACCCCGGGGAATGACCTGTGCCCTCCTGGAACCTAAGGAAACCAACCATCTGTAATCCCAAGGCGTAGTCGACCGGCGGAAGCCTCGTGTTCCCATGGCGCCGCTTCCCAGACGCTTTCAGGGGCACCGTCCATGCTTTCGCGGGCTCTGTAGTACCTCTGTTTTCAGTGAAACGCCAAACGATCATATATATAATATTCTACCGTCCACATCAACGCCATAATGCCTTCGAACAGCGCATTGTAAACGTGGCTTTTGGAGAAAGGGCCCATCATATGGGCCTCACCGACACCGATCTTAGAAGAGAATGTGACACGGAGATTAGAAAACAATCTCCCACGTTGAAAAGTATGCGGCTTATACGCCTCATGTGTCCCATTAACATTCAAAACACGTTTGCTAAATGTATGTATGCCTGTCTGTGCAAAATAACTTCACCAGCAGAGAAAATCAGTTCTGGTGCTCCCACCTCAGACAAGTCCAAGTATTGTCGCCCTCGGGTCGCCATTTGCAATTTCGTGAGAATATTCCTCCTGCATGCTTCTCTTCACCGACTCGAGTAAGCATTCTCTTGCCTCTTTCAGAGATTATTTTATTGCTCATATGGGTTGGTTTCCCATCCGAGTGCCCATGAGGGTGAAGCGATCTTGGCAGACGCATCCATCTCGCTGAATGATTCCCTCTTGAATACCCAAAGCTAATGATATTGATCTGCAGGCAGACAGTACTGTTGGACAATCAACAAAAAAATGATCTACGAATTTCCCTATAATGAAATTCAATAAGCCCAGGTATACAACAGATTGGAAGGCGCTTGTGAGGAATCGAAGAGACTGTTGCCTAGAGCTCTTCTTGCCTCCTTGAAACACTAGCTGGCTCAGTTCAATGGTTTAAAGCTTTCCAATGGAATCTTGAGAAAACAAGATTAAACTTGGAAACGATGAAATGCCATGGGATAGATGGTGGAGGTCTGGCTGCACTCGAAAGCGATGATTCACTTGTCTCGTTGTCAATAGGGACTTCATAGCATACCACGGCCACGACTCCTGCTAGATAGTAACTGAGATTCCGATTGACGTAATTGACTTGGTATAAGATGCAGTCTGGTAGGTTTCACACTATTTTGCCATATCAAATCCAGTTGAACTAATGGAATTTTCTTCTCTCATTTCAACTACACATCCCTTTTTTCAAACTATGAAATCTATCCTGCAAAAAGAATTCTACACTGTGATATACCAACAACAACATTGTGTTCATTAGTTAAACTTCCACTATCTCTATGTGGGTAGATATTATTGAAATACATAGATGTATTTTACTCAATATTAGTGACCTCTTAGGTTTGGGCATGTTGGTGTAGCCTTCTCATATTTAGAAGAGAGGTGACTCTCTTATGCGAGTGACTCCTGATAGAAATGAAGTTGCGGAAGCGTACCGTCGGAATCCATGACACGGGATGGCTTTCTACTTCTATCACCGAAAAATTACTCCTTTGGCAGATGAGGACAGTGAGGATTCCAACGATGATGAAATAAGGATTAAACCTTTGAATTTATAGCCTCAAAAAGAGGCTCGACAATTTCAATTCCTTCCATCAAAAGATTGAAATCGTCGACTGATTTCTACATGATTTTCTTACATACCCTATTCCATAACACCTCAAGAGCGGCTATTGTAATAACCGACATGCACAACAATGATATGTGCAGCCCACAAAAAGGAAATATCCAACAATCTCCCACTTGGGCTGCACACCATGACTATCCAATCATTTGTACATTTTTAATCTCTATGAGCTCAGAACCTAGTTATTGTCACATAAGGCAAAATGCATCAATCTCGTCCATCAACACTCAAACATAAGACTACAACAGTTTTCATTATGATTTCATGCAACTAAGCCACACCAATCACTTACGTTCTCATAATGAATGACATAGCCCAAGTATGGATGTGTAGTGCGAAAATTTCAAATAAGATTTAAGATAAATATTTTCAACGAGTCCTCTTTTATGGAGATCAACATTCAAAATAGATTAAAAATAAGATTAAACTTTATTTCTGCATAAATATTTTACAAGTCCATAACGAAGAACACTAAATACAAACTTCCACTTAAATCATAATTCTTATCAAAGAAGAATACCCATGTGAGTGACATGATCTAAAAAGATCTTAGGCAACAAGCCTTTGGTAAGCGGATCTATAATCATTGAATTTGTATCAATATGTTCTATGGATACTTTTTCATTTTGACTCTTTTCTTTGACAACTAAATACTTAATTTCTATATGCTTAGACTTTGTCAAACTCCTATTATTATTAGAGAATAGCATGGCTAATTATTGTCACAATATATCTTAAAAGATTTTTGAATACCACTCACGATTCCAAGCTCATTGATAAAGTTATTCAACCATAATACTTGATTAGATGTCTTGTACATTGTAATATATTCTGCAGTCATTGTGGAGGAGGCTACAAGTGATTGCTTCGCACTTCTCTATAAAATAGCTCCACCAACTAGTAGAAATATATAACTTGATGTAGATCTTCTTGAATCTTGGCATCCAGCAAAGTCAGAATCAATGTAACCGATGATCTCCATTTGATATGACTTCTTATATGTGAGCATGTGATCTTTAGTTCTTTGTAAATAATAGATGACTCTCTTTGCTATTATCTAGTTATTTATTTTGGAATTACTTAAATATTTGTCTAACATTCTAATAATATAAATTATATTTGAAATTGCACTTCTTCTCTCTCTAGTAAATCTTCTTAATGGCATTGATTCTTGAAGTTGTCGAGTTTGAACTTCTGAAGTAAAAGTTCTTGAGTATTACATTGTTCATGAGTTATTGTTTCAACAATGTCAAGTAGTTGAACTTTATCTTGAACATTTTTAGAAATAATAAGAGGCATTGATAAACAATCCTCCCCAAAGATAATATCTTTAATCTTAGCTCCCCCTCACAAACTCATTATCTTCAAAAAATATAATATCATCTGTTTCAAAAATAGTATTAATAATAGTATCATAAAATTAATATCCCCTAAGAACATTCGGAGTAATCAACAAAGTGACAACTCAATGTCTTAGAGTCAAATTTTCTTTTATTAGGCCTATAAGGTAGTCTCTGCAGGACAACCCTAAACTAGTAAATGCCTTGAACTAAGTTTTCTACATGCCTAAAGCTCATAAGGGAGACGCTTTTGTTGGTACTCTATTGAATAAATAAGTTGATATTTTTAGTGCTTCACCTCAAAAGAATTTATATAAAAAAGTTTGACTAATCATACTTCTTACCATGTCTTTGAGTGTTTGATTTTGTCTCTCTATAATACCATTCGTGTTAGAAGATTCTAGCATGATGTATTGAGGGACAATCTCACGTTCTTCTAAAAACTTATCGAAAAGTCATTGACGTTGTTCACTCCGTTATTTCTACCATAGTATTCTCCATCATAGTCGGATCTTATGATCTTAATCCTTATGTTGAGTTGATTTTCAACTTTACCCTTGTAGTTTTTGAACATGTCCAAAGCTTGAGATTTCTCATGAATAAAATATAAGTATTTGTATCGAGAATAATCATCAATAAAAGTGATAAAATATTATTGTCCATTCAAATATGTCGTAAGGAATAATTCATCTTCAAGGTTAGGTTCCACCTTCCAAGGCGATTTGAAAGCCCTCTCCTTCACCTCCCGTTCAGAGGCAACTGCATACTAGAGCCTACAGACACAGGCGGCCTGCACAAGGTCCTTGGGGTGGAGGCGCTCAAGGACGCCCCGTAGCACATCCCGACAGGAAATAAGCACAGAGAAGTTGGAGTTCATCGGCGAAATCACCGTGGCAGTACTACAACCAGCGGCGCTCTTTGAGGTCGAGGTTCCCACCAAAGTCTCGATGAGCATCCGCACAATTTGGTTATCCTCATCGCCGCAGCAACCCAGCGACCCAATGATCCTTCCGACGGACTGGCCGGTGGGAGAGCAGGGCCGAAGGACGGACAGCTGACTATGGTCGACCTGTGTTGCCCACCTGCCCCCTTTCTTTCACTTGCCCTCGAAATGCCATCGAAAACCCTGTTAAAATATTAAAACACAATATTAACAGATTAGAGGGATCATTTATCCTTAACCTTAGAGTTTGGTTCACATCATTAAACTTGATTAATATTCAGTTATGTCTAATTTATCCAATTGAAGAAAATAATTTCTCAGTCTTCTCATACTATGATAATAAGGTATAGGTATTTAATTTAACACCTACTATTTATGTCACTCTCAAACTCTCTCTACAGGGATGATAATAAAGAAAATGAGAAATATTGGAGGATACTAGAACCAGAGAAGATACTCTCTATTTATACGCACCAGGAGTCGTGCCCAGCGAGCACCTCACAAAACGTGCTGTCAGTTAAGTGGTAGCCGTTTATTCTTCCGCTTGAATCGTGACTGGGTCCGCCGATAGAGGCCGTTGGGTCGGTGAGAATCGGTTCGTTGGATGTACCGATTCTCTCTCTCTCTCTCTCTCTCTCTCTCTCTCCATATTAAATGTTGTTTGGCTTCTTCTGCCTCCAACCGCTGCCGTATGAGCTGAATACCTGGCCCATGTGCTTACTTAATGAGTCAGCTGCCCAACAGAAACTCCGAAGGAGGTCCATCGCTGAGTGATGATGAGAAACTTGGTGCAACGGAACTTCTGATGTGGGGATGTGACGTGAGTCCTTGCAAACAAATCTCGCTTTGGACGCACCACACCTCATTTTTTGTACCCTACAAGAATCCATATTCATCATGGGTTTGAAATGTATCACTTTATTAATAGATGGGGATAAGAACCGGATAATTGACGGTCTATTTGCATTCTTTATCTTGATGTTTACTCTTCTCAATACCAGATCCTTTATAGTTTTCTTTCCAAAATATTGGCTTTTTCATGTGTTCAATATTGTCTACTGTAATATTTGTACATTGGAAAAGGAAATCAGAATGATATTACTAGAATGTTATAAATTAATTCTTTTTAAGATTAAAGTGCAGATCTTTGTTAGAATTATATTATTTACAATAAAATGATATTTTTGAAGGATATTATATTTTTATTTTTATTTTTATTTTTATCCTTTTGATGTTATAATTATATCCTTCTTGATATGGGTCCTTCTGTAGCTATATGGTATTAGAGCAAGTAGGTGAGATTGCTCAAATTAAATCTTATTTTTTGGGGTTCTCTTTCTAGCATGTTTAATTCCTAACCCACGAATGGCTGTTCATGAGTTTTTTTCGCCAAACTCGCCTGTGGGCCATACTTCTTCAAAGTTGTGAACCATAGGGGTCACTCTTTGGTGGCTGTTAACCCTATTCCATGCCACAGAGAGTTATTAGGCTGTTACAAACCTGTTTATCTCTTTTCCTAGGATTTGGTGAAGAAAGAATATCAATCTATGTTTGGTGGTGAGACCGAACATCTTAGCAACACGTATAACTGCTCAACGACCATGACGGATGAACTTGGTACGCGCGCACGCACGCACGGATTTGACAAATCGCCGACTCGGGCCCGCGGTCGGAAAGGGGACCGCCGTCCTCGCCATTAACTCCGTCTCGAGTGAGCACTGGCCCCGGAAGCTGGTGAGACTTGTCAGGGTCTTTACTGCCAGCATTGACTGACCTTAAATGGGGATTTATGCAGTCAATGGCGAATCTCACTCATTCAACGGAAATATAGATATCTTTAAACAATAAAATATGTGGGAATAATGGCGGTATTTGAAGCACATAATAGTTTAAAATCAGGCTCGTCCTTCGAGAGCAGGTGATACTATGGGCTTCTCCGCCTGATTCAGTCAACGGTCTGGAAGAGGACCTTGTCGATGTGGAGCTCAAGGGCGGCGGGCGGGCAGCTGGCGACGTAGTAAAGGCTCTTGGCGACGGCGAGGAAGGTCTGCAGGGTGCACCGGCCGGGCCCAGTGCTGTTTCGGAGTACGAGCATCACGAGTTCTTGCATGTCGGCGTCTTCTCCAATTCCGCCGGCGTTCTCCCCGTCGCCCTGCCAGTGCAACAGCGGCAGAAATTTATCAAGTTCTAGTCGACGGGGGAGAAGAGGACGATGTTGGGGAGGGGCCATACTAGACCGGCGGTGAGGACTGGGAGGCCGCGCCGGCCGAGGGGGCGGAGCCGGCGAGACAGGGACGAGATCAGTCGCGCCAGCTCGGCGTGGCATTGCTGGGGTTGCGAGGGTCGGTGTGAGCTGGCTATTAGTGACTCTTCAAGACCGGTCCTTCCAGCGCACAGCTCCAAAGACCGTACCACGAGGAGCCCGGTGTCGTCCTCATTTTTCCGCCGCGCCAGCGCCCAGTCCTCCCACTGCAGCAGGCAAGAAACCGCAGTCAGCAGAACTTAAGGGGAGCGGCGGCGGAGGCGGCGGCGACGGCGGCGACGGCGAGGCGGGGCTTTACGGTGCGGCGCAGGTGCTGGCGTATCTGGCTATGGGTGGCGGGCGGCGAGGCGCATGCGTCGAACGGGAGGAGGTCAAGAGTGCCGAGTAGGGATTCGAGGAGACCATTCCCCGTCAAATTCTGCGGCCCCGACCTGAAAGGAGGGTCGTGTTCTGCCATCAGGACTCCACTGAAGACAAAGAAACAATAGCTCAGGCTGCGACCGAAAGCCGTCGCCGTCACTCTCATAACACCGCAGTCGAAGATCCTCGTAGTGGGAATTATGTGACGGCAGCAACGTAGATATGCTCTGAGCTGTTCGTCACCTGAGAGAAGGCACCGCGGGGCCGTTGGCGTCTGTGCTCAGCGACCGTCGTCCAAGAAACTACCGGCGGCGCCCTCGCTGCCACATGCGGCCAGGTTGGCCGACACAGCGTCGACGAGCACGGCGGTGCGGGCCCATCCCAGGCGCTCAGTTGCCCTCTCCGGCTCAAAGACGCTGGCCGCGGCCACGAAGTAGGCTGTGAGAAGGCTCTTCCTGGTTACCCCGCGCCCTCTGAGCCCGCTGTCATCGAACCACCTTCAGCCACAAATCCGATATGAGTACTCTGGGTTTCACCCACGGCCGAGAGAGAGTGAGAAAGAGAGAGAGAGAGAGAGAGAGAGAGAGAGAGAGAGTAATTCCTCGTCACCTCTGAAGGCCAAGCCACTGCAGCTTGTGCAGGGCCTGGCACCGGCGGGAGTCAAATCTGGCTAGCTCCAAGTAGTCGTCGTTGCTATTCGCCGGAGTAGGGGTCACCATAGCGACAAGAGTCGTGGAGCCAGCAGGGCTCAAGTTCCAAGAACGTTATTCTTCAACAGCCGCATCCCCATCTGCATCTCCTTCTGAAGATTCCACAGCGCTGGCGGTAGATAAGAACTCGTATTTTACCGGCCAGATCACGACTTTGATAGGACGGGGTGACACCAATAGGCGCTGTCCCCCTCTCTCGGGCCTGCACTTCAGCCTTTACCCCCCCTCCGCCGGCGCCCCACTCGAGCCATATAAACTATAGATCGCAAAATGTATTGCAGAACTCGCAAGAACCATATAAAATATTCAGATCGTTACAAAGTCGGGATTACCGCTCTCACGAGCACTGTTCTGTGTTCAATGAAACTCCAGATCATCATATTCATAATATTCTGCCGACCACATCAACGCTATAATGCCTTCGACAGCATTCTCAGTGTGCAGCGCAATGTAAACGTCGTTTGTTGGAGAGATGGCCGTTCTTTCTAGCCACACCGACACCAGTATCAGAAGGGCATGTCCCACGGAGATTAGAAAACAATTTCCCGCGTTCGAAGTATACGGCTTATACACCTTGTGTGTCCCGTTAACATTGAAAGTATGTATGTATGCCTGTCTGTGCAAAATACCTTCACCAGCAGAGAAAAGCAACCCGTTAGTTGGAAAATATGTGACACCATGAAATAATGTGGCCAACAGCTGGGTTGCTTTCATAAGCTTAATGACCACTCTTGTGCTCCCACCTTATGCCCTCAGACAAGTCCAGTATTGCCGCCCTCGGGTCGCCATTTGCAATTTCGTGAGAATATTCCACCTGCATGCTTCTCTTCACCGACTAGGGTAATCATTCTCTTGCCTCTTTAAGAGATTATTCTACTGCTCCCATGTGTCGTAGTCCCATCCGAGTACCCATGAGGGTGAAGCAATCTTGGCATAGGCATCCATCTCACTGAATGGTTCCCTCTTGAATACCCAAAGCTAATGATATCGATCTGCAGGCAGAGAGTACTGATGGACAATCGACAAGAAAACGATCAAAGTTTTTCCCTATAATGAAATTCACTAAGCCCAGGTATACAACAGATTGGAAGGCTCTTGTGAGGAGTTGAAGAGACAGTTGCCTAGAGCTCTTCTTGCCTCCTTGAAACACTAACCGGCTCTGTGGACTCAGTGAGGCTGTGGATGTTAGAATATCCAAAACACATAAAAACATTTGTCGCCAGCTGTTCTTGTCTCTTTCTGACTATTTGGCGTAGCTGGTTTGCGCAAGTTGATCTTCTGTAGATGACAGAACACTGACCCAACCTTCTCTTTGACATTATTGGTCATCCCCACCACCGACATGCCAGATGGAAAAGTTTAAATTGACTCTGAGATGATTCTGTACGTTTAAATTTTCTTCCTTAGATGACAGTAACATTTTTACATACACGCTTCATGAATGAAAAAATAGGAGATGAAAACTGAGATGCTAAGTTTTTTATTTTTCATTTTCCTTTTGACTTTTAGATCATGTTGAAATTGACAGTTATTCAAGTGAAACATCTTCTGGGACAATAATTTCCTCGTCACATTAACCACTTATTACAATAATCTCAATGAGTATAACATTAATAGCTTTTACATTCAAATATATCGGCCTGAGTGATAAACTTTGTCCATGATCGTCTGGACCATGATATTTCAACTTATATTTACACAAACTCTCTAGAAATCCATACTCCAATGTCAAAAGTCCAAACTGTTACCTTTAAGACGGGAAAAGATAAATCATAAACGATTTTTGCCAATCAGTTCACCTTCATAATTAGATTTCAGAGTACCATTTTTCTTCTTTATCGAAAAATAATGATCTATCCCAACAACCAATTAAACCAGAAAGTTTCAGATTCCGCCCATCTCAAATGAAAACTTGGGAAAACGCCATCCATGATACCAAAAATATCATGTGAATGAGTTGTCTATTAAATTCTCTTCTGTTATATAGGAAATTTATGACCTCCTAGACCAATTACAATATTTCACCATCACATGGTCATACATAATATTTCTAAAATACTTTCCCGTAAAAAATTCTGGTTAATTCTGGTATGAACTTAAGCTCACCTGCTTTCTTCAGTGCCTAGATTTTTAACATTACATTTTTTTTATGTATATGCTCTTATATCAATTATCTTTCATAATTAAAAATATATAACATACCGAACTAGACGATATTCTAATCAATGATTAGCGTCATCAGAGTCGCAAATAAGCAAGATTTATTCTACCGTGTATTATTCAATCGACACTCCTCGTTTACCAGCCTACAACAAGTATTACAGAGGAACACCCACAAGATACCTTCCTGTCTTTTTCCGCGTTAGTTAGTTTCTATAGTAAATGGAAACAGAGAACGGAGATATCATCACGCGCAATGAAACTAAGTAACTAGACCAAAACAGGAATGTCAGATAATAGCAAGAAGTAGAACTCGATCCAATTAATATGCTGTACGATGGAACTTTTCTATAAAAGGTAAATTAGAATATGCAGCCAGAAAAAATGAGGACGAGGTAGAATCGAACATATACCAACGAAAAAGTAACTCGGATGGACCTGGATGGAATACTTTAGCCACGGAGTCGCCGCGAACGAGCCTTTGGAAGATGGCGAAGCCGCCGAGACTCGGATGGCGCCAAAATCCCGGCAATAATGGTCCTCCAAAGATGCGTCCCACCTTCCATTGGGTACTTGAAAGCCTGCTCCTCTACCCTCCCGCTCAGAGGCAACTGCGTACCAGAGCCTGCATACACAGGTGGCCCGCGCGAGGGGCGTGGTGGCGCTCAAGGATTCCCCAGAGCACATCCCTGCGGGAATATCAGCACAGAGATGCTGGAGTTCATCCGCGAAATCGCCGTGGCAGCGCTGCAACTGGCGGCACTCTTTGAGGTCGAGATTTCCACCAAGGTCTCGGCGAGCATCTGCGCAATTTGGTGATCCATACTGCTACTAAACAAGAGCAGAACACATCTTTCTTAAAAGTAGAAAAATTGGGAAAAGATGATGAATTAAGGAGTCAAAGATCCATATAAAATTCATCTAATTCAGCCATAAATTGTAACCATATATGAAAATATAATCTCTTAATAAAGTTTAGAAACCAGACACTTTGGAAGAAAAATAATAGTATGAATGCATATATTAAAGAGTCCAAAGAAAATGACCTTACACTATAAAAGAATTTGGTTGATTTGAGATTATATTATGACAAGTTGTGTGATAGTCAAAGAGCATTAAACATGCTGCTTGGAAGTCAAAAATTGTCATTCAAATAAGAAGGATTAGGCTTCTGACATCAACAAGAATTCATTTGAGGAATGAAACTAGAACTTTGAAAGTAAAAATGAAATGAAACCTAAAATGCAATGTAAAACTCATTCGAGAAAATTTATTGATATAATACTCCACTCAATAAAGATGAGATACGAATTAAATTCATCTATAAATTTATCGCATGAAATTCGCATTTGCATAAACGAGCATGACTGTATTAATACAAGTGATCACACATTCATACTATATAGGATAGTCATTCAATCATGCGAGATATATAGGATAGTCATTCAAGTAGACATATGAGATAGTCATTCAACCAAGCGAGATAGTCATGCAAACACACATTTCCCCCCTTGAATGAATGGTCCCCTTACGTCCATGCACTCATCTAATTTTCTCATTGTTATTATTTTTCTTCCCCTTCGTCATATCAAAAATATATAAATAAATAAATTTCAAGAAATCAACCAAAGATGCCGGTGCTCAAGCTTAAGTCAAGATCATGAGAAAAGAGATTTAAGGTCTGGAATTAGGTCTTTGATTTATCGAAATCATTCTTTCATCACTTTAAGTTGTTGCTTCGCTTGTTACACACTCTTGTTACTTTTTTCAACGATGGGCATCATATCAAGGAGTGTGAAAGAAGTATGATAGAGACTGACCATTAATTTGGAAATAATATATTTGGTAAAGAGTGGAATAAAATCATAGGGATAACAATTAATTAATTCTTTGGTGGAAGCAGCTACATTGACATACTAACGGACACTGAGAAGAAGAATGAGATCATATTTAGGAAGAGGGCACTAAATTAACTTTGTATTCTATGTACAAGACAATACATGTTAGAGACATATTTCACATAAATTCTATCAATAAGATGACCTACTAGGAAATGTATGATGCAATGAGAAAGAGGGAGTTGAAAGGTTTCATGTTCTATATTGTGGTGTTTTGCATATCAGTCAGTGTTGACAAGAAGGTATTGAGTATAGTTATGTCAAGATGGAGTGGTGATCTTAAGGGTAGGTTAATAATGGTATTAAGAATTGCGAGGGTGCGAGTAACCAGGGCCCCCTTTAACATAGTCAAAATATGTTTTTTGGATGCTAAAGTCTACAAATACGTGATGAAATGTATAGCAAAAATTCAGGTCGATCCTTAGGAAATTGAAAGAGCCTATTTGACCTTTTTATGAATTTAGTGGTGATTCTAAGAGAGAGACATGAGGAGGGTAAAGAAAGAATGATCTTGGGAAACAAGAGAACGTGGAGAATCTTACCTTGGCAATCTTCTGATCCCCATGATATATATATATATATATATATATATATATATATATATAAATGCATATATAACCATTCTAGGATAGCCTCTCTTTCCAATTTTCCTTAGTGTTACCCGAAGGATCGATGGCAAGAGAGGTTATGACCTAATCTTCTCCTAGTTAAACCTCGTGTCACGTGAGGGGTCAATAGGAATAGATGATAAAAAAATGACGAAATTAATCTTCATTAGTGCTGTGAAAGTCAAATATAATAAACGCACTAACCATAATAAGGACATTGTTCTAGTATTTCACCTAGAAAGTGACAAGTAGATGTCGGAGTAGATCTTGGACTCGCTTCCTCCTTCCGGATCTTGAGCAAACCCTCCTTCCGGATGACCTTTCTCTCCCCTCTATGGGCTATTTATATTTGTATACATTTAAAATCTCCCTTAGATGAAGAGGGGGGGGGGGAGCTTAATCTCCACTGTCAAAGCTTTTCCTCCTTGCGAGTTGGGCCTTCTCCCTGTCCTTGGCTAGCAGGTCATCCGCCTCACATGGAAGGATCATGATCTCTCACAAACCACCTTGTGCGGTGACCCGCCCAATAGGCCCAGTGACCCATTCCCATATTTCCTGAAAATAGTGAATGAACTGAAAATACGTGAGATGTAAGGAAATCATTCAATAATGTAGGTTATGCTATGATTGATAAATAGTTAAGACCAATCATCCTCATCACAAGCACACCCTACTACAAAAATATTCTTCAAATGATTCTAATCATCAAATTCATGCCAAATTCATAATCTATATGATTGAATTTGATAACTGTTAATTCTGAAGGATTAAACATATAAACTATGAATATAGATCAGTTTAATGAGCAGAATCAGGATGTTATCAAGCTGCAACTAGGGCACTCTCTAAGGTCAAGGTTCCATCGAGGTCTCAGCGAGCATCTGCACAAATTTGTCATCCTCATCGCCGCAACAACCCATCGTCCTAACAATCCTTCCAACTGACCACCCAGCAGGGAGAGTATAGTAGAAAGATGAACAAGCAACTGCCGACTGGTGCCGCTGACGTGCTCCCTTCCTTTCATTTGCCCTTGAAATGTACGAAGCTAGGCAAAACAGCCAAGCTAACGGACCAGTATGAATCCTATTCTCTATAGCCGTTAAAATATTGAAACCATATTAAAACATTAGATTTTCTCTCATTATTAAAACTAACTAATATCCAACTTATCTGATAGCAAAGAAAAAAGTTCTCTATCTTCTCAGACTTTGATATTAAGTTTTTAATTTGTCACCAACTATTTACGTCAATGCTTGTAAAACTACGAGAGGATAACAATAGAATTCCCCAGCCGTGGACAAATCCATATCAGCCTTATGCCCTCAGCCTTAAACCTCGGCTCTGCTCACATCAGTAAAACTAATTAATATCCAATTTTATTCAATTGGAAAGAAAAAACCTGTCCATCGTCTCGGACTACGATAATAAGTAATGATTAGTTTAATATATCACTTAGTATTTATGTCATTGATTGTAAAAACTATAATAGGAAAACAATAGTATTAAAAGGAAATGCCCCATTTGGCACAAAACCTTGTCAATAAACCAGATAAAACAGATGGGCGGTCAAATTCCCCATCCATGGCCAAATCCATATGGGTCTGGAAAGGCGACATGGTCCTGATGGTGGTCGAGGCTCCGCCCAGACAGTGGCTCCTCGAGAGTCCTTTGATTGGATTTGGGCAACGGTGAGACGAATTCGGCGATCTTCTCAGCTATCTCCGCCGAAGCGCCTTCCTGGGACCAGCAACCCACGACAGAGTCAAGGACTAAAGATGGAAAAATGTCAAAGAGCTGACTTCAGAAAAATGATTACATACCAACACGTACTAAACCAAAAAAGAAACAACAATAATAGATACAGTACTACGTCATGAGTGTGAGAGCTCAATCAAAATAGAGCTTGGATAAATAGATAGCCGTCGGAATTGAACACCCAAGTAAAGGGAAACAGGAAAAAGTTTACAGATTTTCTTAAAATGAAATTCTTATAAGAGAAAATATCTGGCCTTTTTTAAATCTACAGACCTCCATTTATTTATCTTCTTCATGAGAAAGTATCATTTTTGGGAAATTTAGAATCGCTTCAGGCCATAAGATTGCTGTTATTTGAAAAAGATAATCTCCAAGGAAAGAAATTTTTCCATGGATAATGAAGAAGGAATCCTTTCCCCATCTCGTCTGTGGATCTTTTAAGGAAACTTCAATAACTTAACCTTCAAGTGCAGCCAATTTCCCATGCTTCAAGCCATTCAATTCATTGCAGCAGGAGAAAATAAACGAAATAAAAAAATAAGCCTTCTTCACCAACAATGCTGATGAACTTGAAGCTCGATAAGTTCTGATGGAAGCATATGCATGCACTCACCTGAGGCCACCGCCCCCCAAAATGGTGGAAGAACTTTGCTTGCGGAACAGCATCGGCAATGCGGCGCCCCTCGTCGATCCATCTGTCAGACCAAGTGTTGGACCAGAGCACCTGAAGGGGCACGGCTGCCAACGCCTCGGAGGCACCCCAGTCTCCTACACTGAAGCTGAAGTTCAGAACCCTCCCGGCCTCCACCACTGCGTTCCTCCCGTTGTTCCTGTTCAGCAGATGGAGATGAGCCTCCGCCGCCGCAGCATCCATTGACCTCGAGCAGCACAGCTTGAGCAGACCAGAGAAGACGAAGCGGGAGCGTAGGAACAGTTCGCCGAGAAGGGGCACCCCCACAATCCAAGATGGGAATGCTGCGGATTCGGAAGAGGTATCCACCAATGTGACGCTACTGACGGCGCCTGGATTTCCGGTGACCCAGTGGGCGCCTACTGCGAGGGCTGAATCGTGGAGAACCAAATGGACGGGTACGAGCTCCAAGGAATCGATCACTTGAGCCACGATTCTGCTCAAGGTCTCTGATTCGAACGGAGATTCCTCATCAATCTTCTTATCAGGAACCCTAATTCTGTTACCTTCGTAGGCAATATGGCCTGTCTCGATGAGTTGATCAAAGCCCCAAAACAGGCCCTTGACTTTGATGTCGGAGTAAAGTTCCCGTGCCCAGACTAGGGCACCCGGCCACCCCCAACCTCTTCGCGATACCAGTTTGTCAGAGAAACCCGCTCCGGGAAGATCGATGGCGACGGCCCGCAGACCAAGGGCACCAAGAGACTGGAGGACCTCACGGAAGGAGTAGGAACTGCAGCCCAGGCCGTGGAGAAGGAGAACGGTCTCCCCGCCCTTAGGGCCGCGCTCGATCGCGAACACCTCCACTGGAGGACCTTCTGGCGTGATTTGAGCCTTGATCAGCCTCCCCCGGGAATAGTGGCTTCGGAGATCATTGGGCAGACCAAGGAACCAGGACCTCTCGTCCTTCGGACGTAGAGAGTAGAGAGAGGCGACTAGAACGGTGATGACGGAGACGAGAAAGGTTAAACGAGCCCAAAAGGAGAAGGCCTTAGCATACGAGCCGACGCCAGAGGCGGTAGAGGAAGAGGAGGAACGCCTCTCGTCGTCCGGCCATCGGCATCGGCCGGATCCCTTCTCACTCCTACATCCTTTCACTTCTTCGACGACGTCGGATTTCTTGCTCTCCGTCGCCTCCTTGATCGCCATGAATGGAGCTCGGAAGCGCTAAAGAAAGTTGGCGCGGGCTCTGCTGTCGTGGACGGAAGGGGATGAAATGTCAGAGAGGGTAGGAGCTGCAGCAGGTTTTATTATGACCGTCTTCGCTTATAGAGACCGCAGGTGACTAAATCATTGACTCACAGTGTCTGCTCACAAAGTTAGCGGTATTGGTAACCAGAATCAGTTACCGAGCTGATTAGTATCCGTTTATTAGAGTCTGCCTTACGACTACAAACTACCCTCCCCATGAGTTCCCTCTTCCCTTCAAATCTCTTTGCCACCACGCGGAGGTCGCCTTATCGCTGTTTGGAAGGGGAAGAAGATGGCAGCTGCAGCAGCGGCCCTCTCCCACGCTTCCTCCCCCTTCTCCGTCTTCCTGGTTCGCTCTACGCCGTGCGCGTCGATCCTCGGTCTCCGCTTCCTGAACGCGTCTGCGTCCTTCCAAGGAAAATTCGGGCCTCGGGGAGTGGTTCCTACGTCGAGGTCCCGAAATCTTGGGCATCCTACCGTGGCTGTCCGGTGCTCGGGGGGTCCTATAAAGGCACGCCCATCGTCAGAACTCCGAAGGAGTCCGTCGCTGGGTGATGACGAGAAACTTCGTGCTCTTCGGGAGTTGTTTTCGAGTCCTGGCGTCGGGATCGACGCCTATATTATCCCCTCTCAGGATGCTCATCAGGTTAGCTCCTCCTGATTCTGCTTATACTCTGGAAATATTTGGAAGCCTTGAAAATTGCTCTTTGCCACGGGGAAGCTACGATCCCTCTAATATTGATTATCCTAAATTATTCTTCATAGACTATGTTTAGCTTCGTTGAGGTTCCAATAACTTCGCTACTTTAAATAAAAAAAATCTAATTTTCCAATTATCTATTCGTCTTCCAACGAGACCACCTAAGACTTGGCACAATTTTTGTGTTGAGTAGGGATCACAAAGAAACAGAGGTGAATCACAGTAAATGCTACCATAATATGGATATTAGTGTTAAAGGCTAGAGAGACGGAACTTCTGATGTAGGGATCCGACGTGAGTCCTTGCATACAAATTTAGCTTTGGGCACACACCACTACGTTTGGCTAAAGCAGATGCAAACAGGGATAAGAGCTGGATAATTACGGGTCTATTTGCATTCTTATCTATCTTCATCCTTTTTAGTTTTCTTTCAACTAGTGTGGTCTTTACATGTGTTCTTCATTGTCTTATGTAATATTTGTACATTGGAAAAGGAAGTCACAGTCGTTAGTGTTCTTTAACGATATTACTTGGCATTTGATGCTGGGAGTCTATTCTTTATAAGTTTAAAGTGCAGAGTCTGTGCGAACATATTATTTTGGATAAAATATTGTCGACACTTTTTTGCCAACCATTCTCTTAACGGAGTCATCAAATAATGTTATCAGTTTTTTGAAAGCTATGAACCATCTAAGAAGTGATATGATAGAGTGGTATACAAAAATATTAATATTAATATTAAGAAGAATAAAAAGACCTCGGGGCTATCAATTTAATAAGGGTTAAAGTTGTCTTTAGGGTAGAAACATATAATTACCTCCTGCATGAGCATAGGTGCCACTTGAAGGATGAGAATCAGACTGAATTATCAGCTAACCTCCAGAATCAGACAGAATATGTTAGGAAGAAGCTGTCTTTCACGTATGGGAGGCTTTTGAGATTTAAATGGTGACTTGATTAAGAATGTATCTAGTTCTATCTGGGTTTCTTTACTAGTAAAAAAACAGCAAAAGGTCCTTGTGGCCATGACAAGATGACATATAAGAGAATGGAATTTTTCATATATATATATATATATATATATATATATATCAACTCTATGTGCTGTAATTTTAACTCTCTCCAATTCTTGTCTGTGAATTGATTTGTATGAGATATTTTTTGGAAGTTGGCCAGCATGTGAATTTTGTTAGACGAGGATAAGGGAATAAAGCTTCAGTCTTGAATGTCCAACTCAGCCTGGAAACTAGGTTCGGTGAACATTGTCATAATTGGTTACTTACTGATAGCTATCACCATTGGCCATGTCTGGCCTACATGTTCCTTCTCCTTGTTCAGGCCCCTGCAGGTGTTAAACCCATGACCTCAGATTGTGCAGTTTCCAGGCTAGCATGCAGTCACTTCGGTACGTTGTATTCTCATACAGGAAAAAATATATACGTGAATCTTTGCTTATTTGGCATAAACAACAGTGTGTGTCTAGAAAAAGCTTCGTGCAGAGATCAGTAACTTAGAGCCCTAGGATTATTTTTTGAGAGCCGGTAGATCAGGATTCAACAAATTTTCTTTTATTTTTTTGACTTCTGTTGATTTTTGAATATATTTCTCAGTGTTCTCCTATTTTCCCCCTTAACCAACATGGACCAGAAAATCCCCAAGGCTTCTCTATTCCAATTCAAAGGAACTCCGCTCTACGCATTGGACGGATGCTTTAAGAAGAAGTTGATTGTGGATTGATTTTAATTACTGTGTATTTTGATTGATAACTCTATATCATGTTTGCTAGGCCTAGTTAAATCGAGATAGATGAATCAGTGGTAATATGTTCTAAAAGAAATATTTCTTAGATCAGAGAATTAATTTTAAGAATAAATATCACATTGAACCACTGGTGTGGCTTGTCAAATGGTGCATGCTTTATTGTCAGAGGAAGAAGTGGGTTTTATGTTAACTATATTACTGTCAGAAGAAAAAAATTGGATGGATGAGTATTTCTCATTATAAGTGTACTTATATGGTTTTTCACTGTGTTTACTTGCTAGAGTGAGTTCATTGCTGAATGCTTCATGAGAAGGGCCTTCATATCAGGGTTCACTGGCAGTGCTGGGACTGCTGTGGTTACCCGAGGAAAAGCTGCTCTTTGGACTGACGGGCGCTATTTTCTTCAGGTTCCAGTCGTTTGAATATTATTACTTTAGAATGCATTTCTTCTTGTCGTTTGGTAAAAATAAATTTCAGAATGCAACCTTTGTCTTTTATACTTGATGTATGCAGATTTTATGACATTGACTTTTGTGATCAGGCTGAGAAACAATTGAACAAAGACTGGGTGCTTATGCGAAGTGGGAATATTGGAGTTCCTACTACTGGCGAATGGCTTAATGATGTTTTGACTCCAGGTTGCAGAGTTGGCATTGACCCTGTGAGTTTTCTTTATTTGTTGATCCGCATCTTCTTCTTGTTCATCATAGATCTGTAAAATTGTTGACTCGTTTTGATTACCAAAATCTTTGATGTTGGTTAAAAATACTTTGGTCATACCTATTGTGGGAACTGGCGGCTCTAATCACTTATTTCTCCTATTTGTGCAATGTTAGACACATGCTTCAGCAATCGTCTAGAATGTACTGTAACTCGCTTTTTCTCTGTTATTATTAGTTCTCTGTCTAATGTATTTGACTTTGTGAAGGGGACAGTTTCTTTTCTCTTCTGATGCAGCGGAGGAATTGAAAAACGTTCTCTCTAAGAAGAATCATCAGTTGGTTTACCTCTATGATTTCAATCTAGTGGACAAGATTTGGATAGAATCAAGGCCAAAACCTCCAGCGGAACCCATAAGAGTCCATGATATCAAATATGCAGGGATTGATGCCTCTTCAAAAATGATTTCCTTAAGATCTCAGCTCCACGAAGCTGGGTGTACAGCTATTGTTATCTCAATGCTCGATGAGATTGCTTGGTTACTGAACTTGGTAAGTTTTAATAATTAACTAAACTGAGTGTGGTGTTTATGTGATGTAGTTGATGCCGTCTATGCTGATTTAATATTTATATCGCGGACTGAACAGCAATGCAAAATAGGGTGGTCATTAGAAAGGCTTTAATTTAGTTAATTTAGTTTTATTCTGGAGTAAGATATCATTTTGCACACAACTCTTTTTAAAGAGGTCAGATCACTTATGCTTTCACCTTTTGCCAAGGTTGACAAAAACATAGATCAAAGTAGGTTTTTTTTTTTTTCGGCTTTTCAGATCATGAAATGTAGTCTAGATAATTATCCTGTGTATCTTACAGTTACGTGAGTGAATAATTGTTGATTTAGCAATTGAGTTACTAACATTTATTTCATTTTAGTTGTTAATGCTTTTATATAATTTTTAGTCACTGCTATTTTAGAGTTACGTATTGGTCTTGGATTTCTACTTTGGTGTAAGGATTTGAATTTTGATCTCCATTTTAAATAGTACCAGCAAGCTTTAGGATTAACAGCACTCCAGTGTGCTAAACTTTTGGCCTAAGATGCTTGCATAGCAACATAGAATAATCAGACTGTCGCTATCTTCAGTGATGGAATGCATGTTAACCGTCATGTATGTAACAGCATGTTTACACCAAAGAAAGTCTCATAAAGATGTACGATTTTGGATTATGTGTTCGTGATTACTGCTTCAAGTCAACATTTTTCCTATTGGTAGATTATCTTGATTTTTGTGTTTGTCTGGGAGGATGATACAAATTATGGTCTGCTAACCGATTTTTATCTCATTTTTATATTGCAGAGAGGAAATGATGTTCCAAATTCACCTGTGGTGTATGCATACTTAATTGTTGAGATTGACAGTGCTAAATTATTTGTTGATAAGTCTAAGGTGACTCAGGAAGTTTTGGTTCACTTGGAAAATTCTGGAGTGGAACTGAGGCCTTATGATTCTGTTATCTCAGAAATCGAGAGGTTTGCTTGACAACAATTAATAGTTTTTCTTATAATCTCTTCTATTATCTCAATTGAAATTTCGCGTAACCTTTCATGTATTCTGATCAATTTGCGTGTTAAATTTTCATGAGGCCATTTTATTCTCTCTTTATCCTTTGTGGGTTTTTAGCTTGATGTTGACGCAGACCCATTGAATGATGAGCGATCCGCCATATTCATTTATTGTGGTTTTTGGCTCCTTCAAAACAAAGCTAATATTTTTTACTTTTTGAGCTAAATCTCCGTCAGTAGAGGATGAATATATGCAGAAGATTCTAATTCTGTCAAACTTCTCAAAATGACAGAAAACTCATTCTCCTAGCTGACCTTCTCCCTTGCCCCTGGCTACCTCCCTTTTTTGTCGGCTGCCAAGAACTCTCCTTCCTGTTGGTTGTGCCCTGCCCTGGCCGTCCCCTCTCTTCATCCTGCAATACTCCTACTTTTCCCGGCAGTTCCCTCTCACCATCTGGCAACTTTGGCCCACGCATTTTCTCCTGCGGCCCAAATGCCTAACCCCTCTGTCTTGCGCTGAACCCCTAGGCCTTCTCCCAGTCCAGCTGTCTAATCTGCGCTAGGAGGCTTAGGAGCAAGTCATAAAAGTGATACTTTCAATGGAGTATGGTCGGACCTAAAAGGCATCAGAAAATAATTAATGTGTAATATTGTTTTCATTTTATTTCAACCAGAAATATTTTTAATTTTCTGCATCATAGGATGAAACATTTTTGAGATCCATATACGGGCTTATTAGAAAGTGTGCTAACTATAAATTCCCATGGGTAATGAAGCATCTGACTATCAATTGTTGCTTGAATTGAATTATAGAGCAGAAAAATTATGGTTTTCAAATTGATATTATGGTGGTGTTGAGGCAATCCCTTGCATGTCCCTAGTCGTCGAATCCTGACTCTCAGATCAGTTTGTCAGGATTCTCAATCAGACCGTTGAAACCCTTACCGAACTCTAGTAACCGTAGATACCCTGAAAAGCAGACAGGTCCACTGTCTTCTTAGAGGGACTATGCCTGCAGAAAGTGGAACGAGCTCCTGGGTTTGTGCTTGCTATCATGCATTACTTTAGAGGCTCTTTACAATTGTGAAAGGTCAAAAAAATGACACAAACAGTGGGGAGGAAGCCATAACAAAATTAAAACAGCCTGCAGATCAATGACCCTACAGAGGATAGCATCTGCTTAAGTGTATACACTTAACTCCAGTTTGTTTGATCTTCCTTTATCTGCTTAAGCAGATGCTTTCTCAAGTGTATGCTGCTAAGATCCAAAATCAGAGAGTGACGAACTTGTCTTATTTAATGAAAATAGTCCTCTGGATGGAAAGAAATGAAGAGAGAAATAGTAGAAGAACCAGGAACAGATTGGAGAGTCGCATACAACTCCCAATCAGAACCCCAAACCCTCTCGTTGATCCACGAGCACAATACAGCCGATTTCCCCCCCCCCCCCCATTCCTTCCTCCCTTGCTCCTTATATCCTGCTCCTTGCTACAACTTCCCTCTGCCTTATTTAGGCAGTTATCCTCCAAACTGCTCCTTGCTATAACTGCTCCTTCTCTCCATCCTTAAGTAATGCTGACCGTTACTCTCTTATTGGGGTTTGGGCCTTCTTCCTTCTAAAATATGTATGTGGAGGCTTATCATATGATTTCTCAAGCAGATGCTTTCTCAGGTTACATGCTTTCATTACAGCAAGATCTTGATTCTCTTTGCACTGTCATTTCTGATCCTAAAATTAATTGTCTTCCCCCTGTTAATTGTCAACTTACCCTTCTACAACCCTTTGTCTACACTTACTCAACTCTTTCTTTATTTGACATTATTAAAGTTTAAGCATCTGCTTTCTCAAGTGAACTACAGATCAAACAACCTGGAGTTCAGGAGGCATACACTTGAGAAATCATCTACTTAAAGTTTAATAATGTCAAATAAAGAAAAAGGTTGACAAGTGTAGACAAAGGGTTGTAGAAGGGTAAGTTGACAATTAACTGAGGGAAATGGCAGTTAATTATAGAGTCAGAAATGACAGTGCAAAGAGAATCAAGATCCTGCTGTAATAAAAGCATACAACTTGAGAAAGCATCTGCTTGAGAAACCATATGATAAGCCTCCACATACATATTATAGAAAGAAGAAGGCCCAAACCCCAATAAGAGAGTAACGGTCAGCATTAAAGGAAGAGTTTGACAGTTAATTATAGGGTCAGAAATGATAATGCAAAGAGAATCAAGATCCTAATGTAATGAAAGATGCTATTGTGAAATGGGATGCAGAAATTAATAAAATAGTTGAGCAGACAAAAAATGTTAAGACTTGGCACAAGATCACAGAAATGATAAATTGAATTCACTTCCCATTCCTAATCTTTGAAAACGGGAAGAAAATAAATGAGGTTCCAAGAAGTGTCTTGTTGTTATCGTTTTAGAATTTTTCGTTGTGTCTTCCACAATTCCACCACCAGATCTTCATCTCAACAGGAGTCTTCTTGTTTCCATGTTCTTCTCTACTTTTCAACAATTAAACATTGCAATTATATGTTTAGATTTAATTTTTTTAGCCCACTTTTGTGGATATTGAATCACGCAATCATACTCCAGGTAGTTGCTATCTACCAATCGACTTTTGGTTAGAAATTTGACATTTCATTTTAGTTATTTCCACTTGCATGTCCTTCTGATATGCTATTTGAGTCAGTAAAATGGGTCAGGAAACCCTGATATGCATGTGGCATCGTAAAACAATCTTAGCCAGTTACAGTTTTTATCTCTTCTTCTCACCCTCGAAAAATATACTCAGATAAGCTAACCGTCGCTGGTGAGTTTAATCAGTAAGAAACTTGATTATTATATCTTCTTTTTGCTTTGAATTGATTTCTCGATAATTGTCAGTACTTCCAACCCTAACAAGATATCTGCATAGATTCTCATTCACTGAATCATGTTTAACTTCCTAGTTTGGCAGCTCGAGGGGCGAACCTATGGTTAGATACCTCAAGTGCGAATGCTGCTATCTTTAGTAGGTTCAAGTCTGCTTGTGATAGATACTGGGAAAGTCTTCAAAAGAAAACAAACGCCAATTTTGGTCAAGAAAAGATTCAGTTGCCTGAATCTAATGGTTCTCCCACGGGAGGCCCTAGTGGCTTTTGTAGGCCTTCCCCCGTCACTTTTGCAAAAGCAGTGAAGAATGATGCAGAACTTGAAGGCATGCGTAATTCTCATCTGAGGTAACTGAACTCTTACAAGCTTCTATTTGTTGAAGATTCTGTTATTAATCCCCCTAAAATGTCTCCTTGACCGTCCTTTAAAGGAAGAAATTGACAATCTTTATTGCCAGCTAAATGGTGATAGGAATCATGGAATGTATGCAGCCCTAGGTTTCGAATCAATATACTTCTATAGCATGAATTATGGCAAGTTTCTAATATTGGGTTGGAAGATTCACTTCCTTGGTGGTTCCCAATTCACCGAGTATATAGAAGGTTGTATGTTATGTTTGGGTTGGCTTTGTCTCAGTCGTCGTAACGTGTGCATTTTTTAATACTTTTTTTCACAATAAATTACTACCGTCCACCATGAGATCAGTAAGAAGATAAACTGCGTTTGCATTAGCATGTCGACTTATACTGAAATATCTGTACTTAGCTTTGGATAGTGTTGTAGTAACAAACATTTTGAGTTGTAGCGACCAATGAATTGCAAAATGAAACAATTTTCTAAAGTGACCAAGTTAATTGTAAATTTCATAAATTGAATAGGGTGATCTCACATGAAGAATCCCTTCTTCGTGGTTTGTATATGTCTAATGCTGATGAGGAAATGTGACTCGGCTTTCAGAACTTTCCATTTAGAATTTATTGAAATGTAAACCAGAGAGAAGGACACAAAATCAATGATAACTAATGGTATTTGCAGAGATGCGGCTGCTCTTGCAGAATTTTGGGCTTGGCTGGAGGAAGAGGTCCATAAGACTCCAGTAACTGAAGTAGAAGTTGCTGATAAGCTGCTCGAGTTCCGTTCAAAGCAGAGTGGATTCCTTGACACGAGCTTTGATACTATCAGCGGTATGGCTATACTTTGTTCCTTAGTGCACACAATAAAGTAGAATCAATCGTCTGCTGTATTACAGGGACCTTAGAGCATTGCAATCGTATTGATCCATAGCTTTGCTATTTATTATTACTACTACTTTTAATTTATATCTGGGTTCCTAATTTTGTTAATCCCTTATATTTTCAATGTATTTAATGAATAAAACCAGTTTTCATGGTGCAGCATATGGTCCAAATGGTGCGATCATTCATTATAGGCCATATCCAGAAAGCTGTAGTGTTGTTGATTCCAAAAATCTTTTTCTACTGGATAGTGGCGGTCAGTATGTTGATGGTACCACTGACATAACGAGAACCGTTCATTTTGGAGAACCCACTTCCAGGCAAATGGACTGTTTTACCAGAGTCTTACAGGTTTCTTGTTATTTCGATGTTTTCTTTACTTTATTGTCTTTGGGCTGATTTGATTTCTAGTAGTTTCTTTAATTCAATCATCGACTTCACAATATTTCAATCATGTGTTCTTAGCTTTCCCATTAATTGTGATCGTGCTACAGGGACATATAGCTATTGATCAAGCAGTATTCCCTGAGCGTACTCCTGGTTTTGTGCTCGATGCACTTGCTCGCATTCCTCTCTGGAAGATTGGGCTAGATTATCGTCACGGTAACCTCCAATTACTTCTTTGACATGTTAGTGTGCCTTGTAAAAACACTATATGGCATCGTATGAACTCTCTGCGTTCTTTTTAGGAACTGGCCATGGTGTTGGAGCAGCACTCAATGTACATGAAGGGCCTCAAAGTATCAGCTTCCGATTTGGAAATATGACTCCACTGCAGAAAGGGATGGTTGTCAGCAACGAACCTGGATACTATGAAGACCATTCTTTTGGCATTCGGATCGAGGTACTGCAGTAATTATTATGATTGCGTTTGCAGAATACAATGGTCACACATTCGTATGCTATTACCATGCACCAAAATGTTACCTCATAGATAGATATATATATATATATATAAATGGATTTATAATTTATATCTGCTTCTCAATCCAGATTTGAGATTATATGCTCTTGTCCAGTACACAGGCTTCACCAAGTTGGCATCATTAATCGCTTTCAATAAATAGTCGGTGCTCTTTGTTACCTTCTCTCCGCACATTGCCACTTCAAATGTGCCTAATCTTTATGAAATCTTGAAATTTGTTTCATACGAATTGAAAATTTGAAATAAACGTTATATATTTAAGTTCCTGTGTGTGGGTTTTTTACAATTATGCAATATATGATGTGTCGTGGATACGGCATGCATCGGGGATTAAGCCAAAGGGGATGCCAGGTGCATCCCCTCCTGGATCGTCAAGCTTTTACATCGCTGAAACAAACTAGGGCTTTGAAAAGATCTGATCTCTCACATCCCTCTCTGCAGAATCTTCTTTACGTAAAAGAGGCTGAAACACCAAATTGCTTTGGAGGAATTGCATACCTTGGCTTTGAAAAACTTACGTTCGTCCCCTTTCAGGTAAATTACCTGCTTCGTAAGCTCTACCATCTTGACCTGTGAATCTGCCTCGTTCAATGGATGCAGAATAAGTAAGTGTTGCTTTATGGAGGTGGCGAGGAAGTGTATGAAGTCGCGTACAGTTTGTGTAGAGACATGCCATTCTATTAATTACCCCCGTCACCATTTATTTTATGCATCCATCCATTTCTTCATTATTATTCATCGTTTTCAATTTATTTTTTTCTGACCAGCCTTCTGCTTAACATCCTGCAGGGCAAATTAATTGATTTGTCCCTCTTATCTGCTGTGGAGGTCAGATGGCTCAACGATTATCATTCCCAAGTGTGGGAAAAGGTCAGCCATTGAAGGGGAGAGCGCTATGATTGACTTCCGGCTTGTCTTTTTGTTTTTCTTTGCTTTGGAATAGTGAAGCAGTTCGTATATTTCTTCAATGTTGGTTGCAACAACATAGTCCTAAGAAATCAATTTATATTTCTTTTGTTGCATGGAAACTTAACCATGGCCATGTTGTAGTTATTTGGGACGATGATCTCCTCATGCTTTGCGGCCTGACATGCAGGTTTCACCATTGCTGGACGGCCCCGCTCTTAAATGGCTGTGGGACAACACGAGACCTCTCTCCAAGTAGTAGCATCAGCTATACAACGCAGGCGCCTGCACTATAATTTCAGAGGTGATCCCCCCGGCTTATGTCAGATGCCCACACCAAGAAAGAGGAAACCTGATCCTGTCGGCCCCCAGAAAAAGATCTTGGACCGTGTCACCATTTATTCATGTTTTTTTATCGTAAAAAGGCTACTCTCTCTCTCTCTCTCTCTCTCTCTCTCTCTCTCTCTCTCTCTCTCTCTCTCTCTCTCTCTCTCTCTCTTGCTGTATACTTGTATATAGTTAATTCTTATTGATCAAATATCCGGACTTTGCGGCCGTGGAGGAATGAAGGGGGGTTGGCGAAGGATCCCCAGAGGTGAGATACCTACGAAGGAAATGGTGAAAAGGGAAAAGAAGAGTAGAGGGCCACGAGACCAGTTTTCCGTGTACAAAAACAATTCGATGGCTATGTACGCCGCCGACCAGCAGTCATGGCACCGAGAATTATTCATTCCAGCGTCAGGTGGAATGACGAGACTCACCGTACACGATCCCCCTCCCCAGCCGTGCCCTTGGGAGCCTCGAAGAGCGTCACGGCGGCGGCGCCGGCCTGGAGCAGGGGACCCCCTCCGTTCTCCGGTAGGTCTCGGAGGGATTCGAGGATCTCCACCACCTGGGACATTGTGGGCCTGCCCTTGGGGTTCGGACTGAGGCAGTAGTAGGCCACATTGGCCACCTTCTGGAGAGCTTTGACGGCGTACTGGCCCTCCATCCTCGGATCGATGATCTTCAGCAGCTTCCGGTTGTGGACCAGGAGCGGGCGAGCCCATTCGGCCAGGTTGTGCTCCCGGCTAGGTCTGCTCCTGTCCATGGCCTTGCGGCCGATCAGCATCTCTAGGAGCACCACTCCATAGCCGTAGACATCGCTCCGAGCCGTCAGATGGCCTGCCAGAAGGTGGAAACCAAGAACCATCTGATAGTTTCCATGGAGACAACAAGCAGGCATCAAGTTTTACGATAGAAAAAATCTCAGAAAAACCGTATCTCTAGACTGTATCACGCTTGGACTCTAACCCAAATTCATAAAATATGAACTTGGATTGGAGCATGGCTGATGCATCCACATTAGCTAAACGAGTAATGATACTGCCTAAAGTTTTAAAAAAAACTGAAAAGAATGATTTCCCTTTTCCCAAAATACACATGATACGCTGAGGCATTATTCACGAGACTCACCGGTCATCACATACTCGGGGGCGGCATAGCCATAGGTGCCCATGACTCGGGTGGAAACGTGGGTCTGATCTCCCATGGGACCCTCCTTGGCGAGCCCAAAATCCGAGAGCTTTGCATTGTAGTCCTGTAATTTATGGCGTAATTAATAGGTTGATGGTGTGAGATGCAAATGGCAAATGATAGAAAGGGGAGCGTAAAATCCTCCCCCCCACCCAAGGAGAATTTTCTAATTTAAGAATGCATGCGGAAGAAGATATATAATTTGGAAGAGATACCAACCGCGTCCAGCAGGATGTTTGATGTCTTGAAGTCGCGATAGATGACAGATCTTTCTGCTCCATGAAGAAAGGCAAGCCCTTTTGCAGCACCCAGTGCAACCTTCATCCTGGTTGGCCATGGCATTGTAAGGCAGACCCCTAGAGGCAAATCGTTTTTGAATTTGAATTCAATTAATCAGTTCCACGATAAATTAGATAGTTATAATTGATTATTTTGGGTATAATAATAAAATTTCCTTTTTAGAGAATTCTATTAGTAGGTAAAAAACTTGGTCTGTATTTGAACCAAGCATTTTGCGTGGAATTTAAAAAGAGTAGCCAAGTGAAAAAAATTACCGAGATATTCGGTCACATCATTGGATTAAACTAAGCGGGGTCTTTCGGGTTATTCAAAGATATAGGAGAAAATTCAGACCATAAAAGAAGTAAAATATCTGACGTTTTCAGGATTTCTTGCTGATTTATTTCCTTATCATTGCTCTCACGATTCCAATGATAATGAAATCGATCGTACGGCATTTTCCTTCAGTCATGCTCATTAACTACGAAGAACATTCTGACCTTTTTTTCCCCATGGGCAACTTTTTAGATGTAATTTCTTGATAGGGATGGACGATCAACTCAAAAGAGAAACTGTTTCAACAGTTCAATCTTTAAGCACCGTCTACCAACCAGTTTTCATCAGGCAGGTCAAATCGTGAGGGCATCCATTTTCTTCCAACAACCTGAAGCCCTTTCATTCAAGCAAGGAACATAGTGATTAGATTTCGAGCACATTGACTTTCTTATTCATCTTTCTTGACACAAATGGCCTGAATATGGTTATAAATGATAAACTAAATCTCAAACCCATGGAGTGCTTATTCTCTATTTCCAAGAATTGCCGTTGTTGAGCTGCAACTGTTCCAAGCTACTCACTTTGGCGTAGAAGGTCAGTGTTAGTGTAGCACTTAATGGGGTCTATATGAAGATTGAACACAGAAGGTTGCCGATAATAATAACATCACATACGTGGGGAATGATGCGAGCATTTGCTTTTGTTTTAAGCACCATCACACAGGGAAATCAAGGACAAAAAAATAAAAGAAAAGAAACAATGTTTGATTGCAATAAAAAATTAAAAAAATAAACCAAAAACTTTGATTTGTAACAATGAAAAGGTTAAATCAGAAAAAATCACTCTATTATCCTGTATGCATCTGCCAAGATCAATAGATTGGATTCTAGGTGAATCTCTACAAATACCAAGAAGACAGTATGTTCTACTTTAAACACATTTAATGCCATATTCAATTTCACATACGTTAGAAGTATTTCCCAAAGTGAACCTTAAAACGGATTAGGAAGTTTCCAAAGAAAAGTTCCAGCCTTCATCTGCTAAATTGACTAGAAAAAGGGTGACTGGTCATATTCCAAATGCATCTTCATGTAAGAGCAAAATACGAGTGCATAGTCATATTATATTTATATATCAGTATCTAGGGATAACATTTATAATCTTCAACTACCAAAGCGCGTAAAAAAATAAATAGAAATGCAGCAGTCAGCTTACGTCGAAAAAGGTGTTTTTCCAAGCTTCCACAGGCCATGTACTCATAGACTAACAACCGGTGGTCATCCTCACAGCAGTAACCGATAAGCTTAACAAGGTTTGGATGACTAAACTCCCCAAGATAGTTAACCTCTGCCTGAAGAAAGCAGAATGAAGACAATGCGTCAGCAAGAGTCACTCTAAACTTCACTGGCGCTGGAGGAATGGCGTATCTCCAAATGAGTGACGAGTCTAAAGAAGCAATAAAACCAGAAGGTAAGTAAGACCACTCACGAAAGATATATAGAAAAAAAAGAAAGAAAAAGTTGTTGGGTGGATTTATGAAAAAACATTTTCGCTGAACTATGGCAGAGAGTTGATTGCAAACGCCCAAACCGCGCACTAGAACTATGGCAGACAGTGGTATGCATACTTGGTATAGACCTTCCTTTGGTTTGAACGTAGACATTTGTGTAATTTAGTTGAAAATATCACATCACGTGAAACATATTTGAATGAAAAGTAAAAGTTCTCTGTATCCATTATGTCACAATTTCTCTAAAGAAAAATGAGATATTCTGTGTCAGCAGTGCATTCTTCTACAAAAAATATTCATGTATAATCTTTAAATGGCCTCTCTCATCTGCTTTAACCATCGTTTCCCTCTCCAAAACTGTAAAAAATATCTTTCAAGCAGCAGATATTCACACCGTACATACTTTGACATAACATTTTTTTTCTTTCTATCAACTGGGATAATGGTATAAATCTACATGTTATCGAAAAGAGTAAAAACGGATTAATGCAAACAAACTTATTGCCTTCTTGCTGCAAATAGGCCAACTTTTGAGCAACGTGAAAGGCCACCCGGGTATGTGTTCTAATTCTTGGGCATGCATATGAAGAAGAGAATATGTGAATCTAAATGAGCACGAACGAATCCTTCTGGAAAAATTATAATCATGCAGAAATTTCCGCACTATGTTTAATTAGTAAGACAGAGAGAAGCATAGGAGATAAGTACCAGCCATTCCCTGTCACCTTGGAAGCCCTCGGGGTTGAGCTCTTTCACAGCAACTAGGGTGTACTTAAAACAAGGCCTAACGTTCTCATCCAAAACTCCCTTATACACAATTCCAAAACCTCCTTCTCCAAGGATTTGGTCCGGCCTGAAATTTCTGGTGGCCACTCTCATTTCATCGTAAGTGAACACGTGGACATTTCCATTCCCAGCCTTCTGCCGGAATTCTTCCATATCTTTGGGTTTAATAACCTGTAAGCTCCCCGCAGAGTTGAACTCAGACTCAAATTCCTTCAGTTTGGTGGGAGGGGAAGCTGCAGAGAGATTCTCTAGCTCAACAATTCGTAGATAAAATAAACAAAATATGCTTCAGCCAAAGAAAATGCTATTAGAAGCCAAATTTAATTGGTTTAACAGAAGAGAACACAAGATTAACATTTTTCTTCGCTAATCCACGAGAACAATGCTATGAGTTGTAAATATATATATATAAAGGAGGACATAAAATCAACAGATCTATCAGATAAGTGCAACTTACGTCCATTGACATCATATAGCAAAACCTGTGGCTAAAATTTCCATTGACATGGCTAAAGAATGTCCCATATGCAATGCCTTGCATGTCAGATTCTTAGAGAGAGTCCAAAAATACAGCTGAAAAATGTGACCTTGACTATAGAACAAAGAGGCCTCGGTTGCGACTATATTGAGAATTTCCTATTTTGTTACAGGTGCCCAAATGGGCAGTATCTATTTATCCCTATTGGCCATAATTTTTCTACCAGTGTCCTTGCAGTTTGTACTGTCATTCGAAGACGGCAGAGCGTGAGAAAGACCGAGTATTCTAAGAAAGCACAGAATGCCAGTACATTTGCCTGGTACGAATGAAAGAGATTTGAAACCGAAAAATGCAGCGCTACTGGCGAACAGGATGCCAAAGACAATACGCCCGCAAAGGCCACGGAATGATTTCCTCGACTAATCCAGACGAAGTTCTTCGGACAGGAGAGGGAGAAAGGGAGAGAGCGAGGGCAGATGGGGGCCATCAAGATCCTAGTCATGCAGAAGTACGACATAGAGGGCAATGACGTTCCGCTTATACGATACCAGGCTCTCCATTGTCGGTGACAAAATTTCTTCCGCCTCCGTTGCTGCTGATCGTGCCCGCACCGCTTCCTTTCTTCAGGAAAGCTTGCGGCTCCTCCGAACTGCAACAGTTCCCCATCCCCGATCCCCGCCCCTCTTCGAAGAAGTCTGTCTACGCTCTTGCTACCCCATTCCTCGTCTGCCGTTCCGGCACTGCCCCACCACCCTGGAAGGATCTGTCTCTCTCACGATTCCGGAGGAGACACAAATGCAAACAGGAGATGGGATTTAGCGAGAGCCCGGCCTTCCCTCTCCGGAGCGCCGGCAGATACACCGCCGGAGCTGCGAGAGCTGATCGGAGCTCCCGCCGCAGGAAGCAGCGGTCTGTCCCCTCCACTCTACTTCTGAGGAGGGGTGCACAGCTCGACTGTTCGGGCGCGCACGTGGGGTCTGAAACTACTCATTCATACACCTTATCAAAAAACAACCTCTTACATAGGGCTTATTACGATCATACCATTTCGGTGGGAAGCCACGGTCTTCTCGCCTTTCTTGTCGCGGGGGGGGGGGTAGTTATGATGACGTGTAAATTCCATGCGAATTTGTCCATTTATGATCCAACTTACTCTCGAGTAGATATATTATATCGATTTATCGTATCAGATAATTCAATATTATAAGCTTCGTATCAGATATTCGGAGTATCCTCGGCCTGCAAGCTTCCCCGTGCGGTACTAATGGAAGATGTCAACTATCATATAATTGATCTAAAATACATCATATATCCATGTGTCACCCAATAGAGATGATAAGGCAAGGGATTGCATAAATTATTACAGCGAGCCGTTGAAATAATTCTGACGTTATTATATATTATGGGACGAAAATTCCGTTCCAAGTAAATTTTATCATCAACTAATCCAAGATACTTCCATCTATTTAAAGTATCTTATTGCATCCAAATCCATGCGATGGACAGAGTCTTGGATTATCCGTAGACTAGACTATTCGCCGGTAGTATTGATAGTCAACGCATGGTCACAAGGCGGGACTTGAGGTAGGGAAGGGGGGGGGGGGGGAATGGGTTGATGGGGCCAGAAGAAAAATGGACAAGGAGGTCAGCGCACTGATCCACTTTGCGAGAAGTCAGTGATTCCAACTTTGAATCGGAAATTAGACTAGTCAACATACCACATGGGTCTCGTTGATCCCACTTTTGTCATGGAAGGCTTTAAAAAAAGAGTTTTGAATCGGACCCGTTTGAGGTTTGAGGTCGGACCTGGATGGGTCTGGCCCGCCTTCTTCACTTGATCCATTACGATAGTGATCGTGGCTTGTCCGTGCTGCAAAGACGAGACGGACATTCTAAGGGAAATTGTATCCTAGTGTTGACATTTATCTCCGAACTTGATGTTGCTACCCTAATTTAGGCAAATAAATAAATAAATAATGTAGCAATTCCCATTATTTTACGTGTCCTCGACGAGGTGGGGGAGTGGGGACGCCATCACGTTGAAATCTACCGGGAATAATAGTGCGCCATCACGTGGGTTGTCCGCACAAACACCAGCATGGGAGAGAACCTCTCTCACCGAGGAGTACACCTCTGGGCCGGGCTTCATAATTGGGCCGATTTAATTGGGCATCCGCCACGTGGCATCACCAGCACAGGATAGCCACAGTAGAGCTCCTAAAAATATTCTCACCCAAGAGACGCGGCCCCACCAGCTATATAGTACGGTTGACTATGATGCCCCGCCGCCGCCGCCTCCTGGGACCGCCTTGGACGGCGAGTTGTTGCTGCGGCCTTCACGCAGCTTCTGCAAAATAAAAACATTGGCGGCGGCATCGGGGACCACGGGGCCTGCCATCTTACATGCCCCCTCACGCTGGGTGCCACATAAATGGAAAATATAATAATAATAATAAAAGACGACCACTCGTCGACCTATCCAGACGCCACACTCAACCCGGTGTGGTGGGGAAGGACAGGAAGGGAAGAAAAGGCAGCTCGGCTCTTTTGCTCCAATGGCGTCGCCATCTTTCAAAGGTCTGACCGTTTTTGACGGCCCGTCATCCCCAGAGATTCAAGGACCGGAGGGGAGGGGGGGGTGGGACTCGCACAGCAAAAAAAAGACACGACCGATCTTCAGGCCACAGGCCGTCGTCGTCTTCGGGGCAGCAGGGGAGAAGAGGAGGATGGCAAAGGGAAGGAGGAGCTTCGAGATGTTTGTTAAACAATGCCTGCCTAGAGAGTAATTGAAATTAGTTCTAAGAGAAGACAACTTAAATCGTTAACAGCCTCGTCTGCACAGCGGGTGATCAGCCTCGTCTACTACAACTGTACAAGGAGCAGAGGCGAGCCCACATCTTCCAAGCCGCCGGGAGGCGCGGGGGGACGACCTCCGTGTCCCGACGATCGTCGGCCTGCTCGGAGTCGCCGCGTCTGGGACTGGCAGGGAGGCATCAAAAGGCCGGCTGGCCAACCCTACGCTCTTCTTCTTCTTCTTCTGCTCCTGCTCCTGCTCCTGCTCATTTCATCATCCAGGCAGCGCCGCCCCTCCGCCGGACTTTCCATTCCGGCCGGCGAGGGAGGGCATTCTTCGAACGCTCAAGTCTCGGAGGAGTCTGGTCGTCTACGAACCGGCGGCCGGCTTCTGCTCTGCAGGCTTCACGGACACAGACGACATGCCGTGGAAGTACGGGAAGCCCGCCGCGGAGATGAGAGTCTGCGGACTACCGGAGGCAAAATGTGCGGCCTGCAGGATGCTCGGAGAAGCAAGGCCTTTCATGCTGTTCGGCCCTGCAGCGGCGGCGGTGGCGGTCGCCTTGGGGGGATCCGAGGTTGTGGCTGCGGAGCCGGCCAGGGTCAGCGAGGGGGGGCAGAGAGAGAGCGTACCACCGGAGGCCGAGGAAAGTGGCGGCTGATTCTGCTGCTGCTGCTGTTCAGAAGTGGGGGCTCTTTGATGGTACCCAGGGGCCGCCCCACCGGCGGCGGCGGAGTTTGAGTGGGAAGATTGGGCCGGCAGGTACGAGTTTGCGAAGAAGATCTGCGGTGGCGGAAATGGCTGCTGCTTCTGTAAATTTTGCTGCTGCTGCAGAGGGGACTGCGGTTGTTGCTGGGACTTCATGATTGAGCTCGGAGACGTAGCCATGTGTGGTTGACCCAGGATGGAGGGGGAGGAAGCCTTGCGGCCATGCCCCGTCCCCGAGCTCTTCGACAGGGGCTGTTGCTGCAGCGGCAGCGTGGTGCTCGGTGCCCCCATCTTGCTCCCGTTGGAAGAACCCCTCGGGCTGCCACCTACGTTCTTGGACGCTGAAGATGGCGAAGAACCGACGGAGGCGGCGGTGGCGGCAGATGCTGACGACGGGACGCTGTTCGTCCCACCGAGCTGTTGATGCTGCCCAGTTGGTGAGGGTCTGCCGGAGTTGATCCCGAAAGATATCTGCGACTGGCTCCCCACGTTTGAGAGGATCGACTGGGGAGGAGCCCTCCCTTGCTGCTGAGGCAGGTGGTTCTTGGCGGCCGGGGTGTTGGGGTTCGGAGCGGGAGTTGACATGGCGGCCGTTGCGCCGGCTCTAGCAGAGTTCTTCCACTGCCCCGACTGGGTAGGGTTGTTGTTGCCTTGGATGAGCGCCTGGGGAATGCCAGAGAGAGCATTTGGGAGCTTGGACATCGCCGCCCCTCCTGGCATCCGATCAGAGTAAGCGCCGGCCACATTGTTGCCGGGCCCCCCCGGCTTTCCCCGCGAGGCAAGCTGCTGTTGCATTTGCAGCTGTTGTTGATGCTGTTGATGCTGCTGCTGCTTCTGAAGATGGAGCAAGTGCTGTTGCCGCTGCTGGTGCTGAGAACCGCCCGTGGCAGCGGAGGAAGTGCCAGTCGCAGAAGGCGCGGCAGCATCAGGTCGATTGGGAGCCCTGCTGCCCCCATTCATCGACCCAACGATGTTTATAACCCTTGCGTTGGTCCCGTCGATGGAGCTGCTCCCTGTGACAGAGGAGATGGAACGATTACCTCCTGTCGTGGATAAGGAAATGAAGGGAAGATGAATGTTACTGACTTGAAGAAGGCTTTCCAGCCAGCATCGCCTTCCTCGCTTCTTCACCAGTATTGACCGACTCCCCCAGAGACTTCCCACCCTCAGGGAGCTGGTGTTGAGGCTTCTTGTGCTGGCCTGCCGCCTGTGCCGAGGAGGGGACTTGGTATCCATGCCTGGCCGCCTCTGGGAGACTCTGGAAAATAGCGTGATTCTGCGCAGCGGATGAGAAATCAAGGGCATGATGCTGCCCTGAAGCGGCGGCGGCGGCGGCCGCCGCAGCGGCGACTCCATTGAATGAGGCAAAGGACATGGCGAACGCCTGAGAAGGCGCAAGCTCCACTTTCATCCCCTGCTGTTGATGCGGGGGCGGGTGCTGCTGCAACTTATCGTTGTGGTTCGCGGCGCCGCCGCTCAGCGCCACCGCTGTGGACATCAACGCGAAATTCTGGGGATGGAGAGGCATCACAAAGTTGTGGCCGTAGATCCCTTTCTGCGCCTGTGATATCCTGCTGTCGACCGACGATGGGCTATCTCCACCGCCCGTTTCACCTTCAATTTGGCGCGCTTGATGGGGAGGAAGGTGATGCCGTTGTTGCTTCAGCGCAGGAACATCGGTACCCGATCCGCCGCCCGCCCCGCTGGCCCCATCCCCGGCGGCTTTCTGAGAATGCTTCTGGGAAGAAGAAGAGCTGGTGGATGTGCTCGCGTTCTGGTGGTTTTGCTGAGAAGGTTGTGGCGGCTGAGGCTGCTGCTGGTGCAGCTGCGAGGGATGAAGAATCTGGGAGGCGTACAAGGAGCCGTTGAAGAACGGCACCCCTTGGGTGTGACTTCCTCCCCTGTACTGCGGCGCCCCGACGTGTGCTGGAATAGGGAAAGGGTACCCGTGGTTCTGTAGAACGACGTACTGGGCCTCGCCCTGGGGCAAGTTCGCATAGTTGAATCCCACGGCGGCTGTCGGTGCAGCCACCGATCCGGAGCTGACGCCGGCAGCAGCAGCAGCAGCAGGAGCAGCGGAAGAGGGAGCCGGGTTCATGTTACTCAGGGGCGTCGCTCGGTTCACGCCCGCGCCGTGTGCTCCGTGTGTTTGATTAATCGGAAAAATAAAGGCTGGCGTAGGCTGTAGAGGGAGAGAGGGAAGGGGAGGGGAGGGAGTGAGCGAGGGAAGAAACATTTGTTTCGAAGAATCAAGGAAGAGAAAAGACTCCTCGCCATACCAGGATGTTGCTCGAGGCTCCCGCTGGCAGGGGCTGTTGAAGAACAAGCTGTTTCCTCTGAGCAGCATCTGCCAAACCACTCGCTGGGGAGCCCTTCTCTTTGGAAGGGTGACCAGGGATGGATCCAACCATGGGGCCCGCCGCTTTATCCTGTAGCCCGCCCAAGCCCCTACCTGGGAAGCCTCCCTGCAGATGACTGCCGAGGGCGACAGAATCCGCACCGGGCATCATGTTCAGATTGTACGGCTTCGCCCCGTACAATGGAGCGGCGGAGCCGGCGGCGGCCGACCAGAAGGGATTCATCCGAGTGAGCTGCTGATAGTATATGTTCTGCGCTATGTAGCAATGGGTCGCGCACCTCCTCGGCCGGAGATGCTGCGGAACGAAGTGCGGCGGCTGCAACAACCCGGGAAGGAAGGTCAGCCAATCAGCACACAGACAAGAACATGTGCGGAGGAGGACGAAGGAAGGAGACAATGGAGAGCAAGTACCTGGAGAGTCTTGGAATGCGCGGCGCCGCTGTCCACGGGAACGACCGCCTGCAAAGACGGAACTTGACCCACGTAGCTGCGGCAAAGAGTGAGCTTGTCAACGCATGGCCCTCAAGCCATCGAAATATACCACTAAGACTGTCAAGAAGATACCCACCCGAAAGGAAGGCCGCCAGGCCAGCTGGCCATGGACATGGGCAGAGGCACCGATCCAGGTTGTACTGCTTTGGAAAAAGAGGAAAGAAAAAAAAACAGAAGGCAGATGAGAGACGGCACTGTATCAGCCAGACCCGGTTGGGGAGATAAGTTTGAACGAGGGATATCGAAGAGAGCGAGATATTTACCGGCCCTCTCCGGTTTAGATTCTGATCTCGTGGCCTTCGACTGCTGCAGCGGCCTCTGTCCCGGCTGCTTGCTGCCGCCGATTCTGGCCTTATCGCCGCCTTTCTCGGCATCCAAGTGCAGATCAGGGGGCCTCTCCTTGCTCACGGGCCTCTCTCTGTCGAGACCCTCGAGGAAGCTCTTGTCGCCCTTCTCTTCCCTCCGGACCTCCCGAGTTTCCTGCTTGACAGCTCTCTCGTATCTACCTTCCTCGGTCTTCAGAAACTCAGCTTTCGGCATCTGGGGGAGGGAGGGGTAAAGAAAAGTCAACCCAAGAGGACGACCGGATCACGCACGCATCTAGCGAAATGGCCGAGATAGCAACCTACCCTTTCAACGTCGGGGGCGGGGGGCTTGCTGTCGTCCACGATAAAATCAGATTCCATCTCAGGCGAGGACTTCCCGGGTGGAGGTGCCTGCAGGAAGATGAGAGCCTCCTTAGAATAAATAAAACAAATCACTATATACGCATCCGCGTATTCTACGAGAGAGAGAGAGAGAGAGAGAGAGAGAGAGAGAGAGAGAGAGAGAGAGAGAGAGAGAGAGAGAGAGAGAGAGAGAGAGAGAGAGAGAGAGGAATCCCCACCATTAAATCGATCTGGAATTTCTCCCTTGGATGGTCATCTGCCGGGACGCTGTCGATCAAAGGAAGAAGATGGATAAGAGGGGAGAATATGGGGGGTCCTCAATGATATCTAGAGATGAATAAAAACTGTTGGAAATTTCTGGGCTTACGCTTTTGTCATCGTCGCTGCAGCGTCATTGACGTCCAATCCGAGCGGAGCGGGTTCCTTGGAGGGCACGGAGGCTTCCGATTCCGCCGCCGGGTACTTGACGTCGGGCACGGTGATGTCCTCCGGCTTCGATTCTTCCCGAACATCGGTGGGAGCCTCCGCCGCCGGACGAGAGCCGGAATCAGGCGGAGCCCCACCATTTTCAGCCGGAGATGAAGCCGCCCTCACCGATTTCGGCGAGGGGACGTCCATCTTGGGCCGCTCCCCTTCGGCTGCCTTATTGGTGGAAGAAACTGAGGCACTCGACACTACTCCCGACTGAGGATGGGGAGGGCTTGTGGGGCTCTCGTCCTCATATCTGACGGGTCGAGGTCTCTTCCTCTTCGGCGCTGTAAACAGCGATATGGAAATCTCACCATCGGAGGCCTGGGAAGAGAAAAAATACGAGAAAAAATGCGGAGGAAGGACTCCACAGCCATACCAAGCGGCAGGACCGAAGATTGAGATGTCGCCCGAGGGGGGGAGAAACAGTTGGGCGAAGAGGCTCTGGATTTCATCTCGTTGCAGGATCCGTTCGTATCCTTGGAATCTGGCGTCTGAGTCTCCGTCTTCGAAGGGTCCTGAAATTGCCTCGTCAGGCCATACAGTACCTCGGCGACCTCAATCTCGATTTCTTGGATCGAGGAAGGCGATTTCGATATCTTCGGCGGCCGCTGCTTCGAACCGCCAATCTGCTTCTGCAAAAGAGAGGAAAAAGGAGGAGGCGCGTCAGAATCTGGAACGGATTACCCTGAGGAAATCGGAACGAAAGAAATCGTGACAATCTGACCGTCTTCTTCCGGATAGACGCGTTCGAGGTAGCCGGCGAGATAGAAGTAGGGGGAACGGCGGCGGCAGCAGCAGCTGTCTGACTTTGTCTTGAAGGAGAACTTGAGGCTTGTCGATGCATCTGCTCACCACTGACACCACCTCCCCCGCCGCTACCTGAAGGCAAGCATTCGTGAGGCCTTTTCGCAGGCGCTGCAAAACCAAATGAAAGAAAACCTAAAACTGGTTAGAGATTTCAATCCAGGACCCAAAAATTTCCTACGGATCCCAAATTCCCCGCATCAAAACTTAGGTATTCTTCTGTACCTGACCGAGCCTTCCTCGGAACGGAGACCCCAATCATCTCATCAGCCGCCTTCCACACCGCGGGAGGCCGCATGACCTTGGAAGGGAAGATCTTCCGAGGGTTGTGATTTGTAGGCAGAGTCAAGGGCGGTGGCGACGGATTGGAGAATGGAGGAGGAGGCGGCGGCAGCCGAACGGCCACGCCGGAGACGTCGCCATCGTCCTCCTCGTCCTCGTCGATGCTCTCGTCGGTGCTGTCCTCTCCTTCTTCTCGGTTGCTTCCATGCAACATCCGGTCCCCTCTTCTCCGCTTACTCCGGCTAGATCTATCCCGATCTCGATCTTTCTTGCTTCCCCGATCTCGAAATCGAGTACTTTCTTGCATCTCCGCACCGCCATCTTCTTCTGCAATGGCGAGAGAGGGGTGGGTCAGAAGACGAAAAAATTAAACAGACAAGAAATGAAGAAAGATCTGTGGAATCACATTCGGACCAGGGGAGTCCCTCAAGCTGCCGTTCCTGGACCGTCGCCTTGATAACCCGTTCACCGCCGCCATATTTCCCCTTCTCCCATCCCTACTCCGTTCCATCGGCAACCCGTCCCTCTCATCAAACCAGACAAGACACCATAGGCGATCTACCTCCACCTTTCTCTGGTTCTTCCACCTTCAAATCAGCACAACAAGCGGAATCCGCCGCAGCCTAACAAGATGCCGAGCTCCCGGGAAGAATCCGGCCACCGCCACCAAGCGGGCAACAGGAACCGGCGCAGCTGAAGGAAGATGGAATATGATATCAGACGAGGCGATCTTCCGCCCTCTCCTCCTCGCGAGAGGCTCCGACTCCTCTCTCGTTGCTGTCGCTGGTCTGCTGCCCCTTCTCTCCTATCCGTCCTTTGCTCCTCCTCTCTCCCTCTCGCTATATCCCTACTTTCTTTCTCTCTCCTCCCCAGTCCCCACCCTCTCGCCCCTTGGTCTGCCCTCATCTCCTTTCGGCATTTCACTGCCCACCAGAACCCCCCATCTGGGGCTTGCGGACAAGATCGTCCGCCTGACGTTGCACCATCAATCGCACCCGTAGACTCATCTTTCCATCTGACGGCTCGCGTCGGGCACCGCCAGCGTGGCGACGAAAGGCACCGTTGGATGGACACGGCGCCAGGAAACCTCACATTCTCTCTCTCGCTTCCGCCACGTGTCATTAAATGTCGCTTTCCTTCATCCCCAAGTTTCTGCGGGGCGTGACTGACACGTGGAGGATTCGACCGGCTGCAGCCCGTCGTCTGACCACCTGATATTTTTTAATACCCCGGAGTCATTATTTTTCTATTAGGGAATTATTTGAGCCGTCTTTTATTCTCTCGGCAGTTGGACCTCGGGCCCACCGCGAAAGCAACCGGCGCCGCGGGCCGTTCCGATGTCCCCTCCCCTCACGTGAAGGCCTTTCAGCTGTTGGATGCCCCTGCTGACATGGCTGAGAGCTGCTCCCTGCAACCGACCTTGACTGAATGAATGGGGGACCCACCCATCAGAGGCCTCCCCTTGCGCTCTGCTGACCGTCCATTCTCGCCGATCTAATGGCCCTGGTGTATGATGATGGGGCCCGCGTGGGGACCACTATTTCCGCGCGGGCTTTTCTCACCGCCTACCGACGTGGCCTAACGTTGACGTCCACGGTGAGAGAGCCTGTGACGAGTCAAGGAAGGTGTACTCCGAAAGAAAGCTGGTCTACGGAAACGGCGAGAGGGAAATGGATATCGACTCGATCGATCCCCTTATTTACCATTTCCTCCCGCTCGCCAAGTGCAGCGACGGCGGTGGGACCCACCATGTAACGGCCGCAGCGGCAGCGGTCCCACGGCTTTTTTTCCTGCTCGCGAGAGGGCATCTGACGTGGAAACCGTGTGAGAGATTTCGAGAGGAAAAATATCTGGTCGGCTCCCGTCTCTTGTCTGCCAACTGGCGTCGTTGGCTCAAAGATTTTCCCGTGACGTCCGTCCCGCAAAATATCCTCCCCACCTCCCCGCTCCCCCAAAATCGAATGGTTCGCGTTGGCTTTGCAGGACTGACGACGGGGAGCAACTATTGTAAAGAAACCGGTGGGTCCCACTCCCTCCATCTCTTGTCGGAGTTGAAGGGGATGCCAACGTGGATGCCGCATCGACCGTAGAATCCAGTGAGCTGACCAGCCCCTCTGTGGGCCCCAGTGGGGACCACGTCATCGCTCGTCAACGGCAAGCTGATAAAACAGGCGGGAGGGGACGGTCGGCGTCACAAGGCGACCCGCCATGCGAATCGAGAGAGAGAGAAATTCGACGCACGTTCGCTGCGAAGAGTGCCCCTCTCCCATGCCCCTACCCCTACCCTTCCAATTAATGGCTACTAGTATTTTATGAAGAGTCGGGTCGTTCTCTCCCTCCACGCGCCACGTCATCAGATCATCACCGAACGCTCACCGCCCCGCCACCCCCCACCTAGTGTGGTCTGCTTTCCCCTTATTTTATGCATTATTAAAATTATTTCGCCATGGGCTCATCTAATATCAACTGGTTTTCTTTTCTCTGCCAATTTTTTAAGCTTCGTTTTTATAAACAACGTACAGTCGTATTATTTATACCCTCGAGTCGCCACTTGCTGGGGCGATGATGATGACGTGTACATCGATCCTGCCGTCCAAGCAGTTACATCTGTGTGTGTGTGTGTATGTGAGGGGGGGAGGGGGGGTCGGTCGGGGGCTAGTTCCGGCTGAACTAGTCCACCGTGGCACGCCTCTCGCATGGCATTATTATAGTACCGTCCTCCATTAAACCGTCATTAACCGAACTATCCCCCGTCTCTCATTCATTGCGACGAGTGAGAGGAACAATCCGCTGACATTTAAACGCGACCGTACGCTGCTCCCGCTCCCGGATGAGCGGGCAGTCGAAATGAACGGTTGTGATCGCAGACGGGATTTAAATCGTCCGTTTCGTACCATATGATTAGACCCGTCAAATCGCGCAATCCACGACCTGCCCTTTGACCCAAAAGTTATCCAGAGATTAAATTAATCCCGAGCCCCACTGCGTGCGATCGAGGCTTAGCCACGTGGCAAAACGGAATGGCTCACCCTCCCCCGGGGCCAACCCCCGCTGAGAACGCGCCAGGTCGGACTAAAACACGTATGCTACTCCCTAGATCTTGTCAGAACGAGCTATTAATAAAGGATTTAATTATTATTATTATTTTAAAATGTGGAAGGGACGAAGGAAGAAGCATCGCGTCGACCAGTGAGTGCTTGCTGAGGCGTTCGGGATTCTCCTCTCCTACTCTACGTTATCCTACGAAGGGAAGCCACAGGACCGGACGGCTGATAATGGCGCGGGGACTTTTACCGCGCTGATCCGCCGTCCTCAGCGGCGGCGCATCGCCTGGCCGTTTCTCCCTCCGCCGCAGATGGGCGGCGCTACCGTCGGCGCGGCCGGGTGTGGACGCCGTTGCGGCGGCGGGTGGGGGGCCGCCGCACCTGTGGAAAGATCCGCGGGACAAGGGACCGCCCCCGCCGCCGTCCCCACCCACCGCCATGCCCTCCTCCGCCACGCGGCGTGCTGATGCCTCCCCGACGAAAGATTATTTCTCGCCGGAGATCTTCCCCGTCCCGATCCTCCACTACTAAGATCCTCTCTTCCCAACTTACCGCAGAATAAAATATTATTCTCCATGGAAAAATGGATTCCTGAGCTTCCAAGGGGTCGGCCGCCGGCGTCCTCCTAGCCCAGAAGAGCACTCTGTTCGTCACGAGGAAGAATTATATCCATATTCTATTCTTGCATGAATCACAGAATGCAGTTACCTCCCCGTTTACTCCGCCGACATCAGGGACGTTGACCTTCAAGGTCCTGGGGTCTTCCGGTGGCTTGGGGCAGCAAGGTAGACGGATTTGATGGCTAATCCCCCTCCGCCTCTGCGAGCGAGCGAGCGGGGTGGGCGAGGACTCCGAAGTAACTGCGCGTACCAGTGATTTATAGAGAGGCCATTATATCCTCTGCTGTCTCAGAAGAAAACTGCCTTCTCCTGCTCCCCCGGGGGATAATCAACCACCTGCGAGAATACGAGAACAAAGCTTCATCTCCCACCGCTTCCTCCTCCCCATTGCGGCGGCGATGAGAAGGGGAGACGAAGGGAGGGGAAGAAAGAGCAGCCGGAGGAGGGCTCATCCCCGCCGGCCCGTGTAGTTTGGTCGCTGCCGGAGAGCTTCTGGCTTCTTCTTCCTCCACCCACCCGCTCGTCCAGACGTGGCGACAAGCAGGAAGAAGGAAACCTCTTTAACTGTGCACGGACGAAGGGGACCACGCGCACGAGGAGGGCGACAAGAGCCTTCGCCACTACTTCTCTCCTACCCGCAGAAGGCTCAATGATGGGGCTACTCTCCCACGTCGGTACTATCTTTTCTGTTAGATCCAGTTTATAACATGCCCGTGGAGGAGCACCAGACCGGTCATTCCCCACAGCCCCCCCCCTCCCGGTTTTCGGAAAGGGTGATATTGGCAGTCAGTGATAATGGATGGGCTCGATGGGCTTTACTGAGAATCAAAATTTAGGCCCCATGCCACATTAGATTTATAGATGGGCCGTCATAATTGACCCACGGCCCAAATCGGCTGCGCCTTTGTTTCACGAGGGAAGGAAAACGGATAAATCTCGCTTCTCTCTCTCTCTCATCACCTGCGCACCTACCATGGCGACAGTAGCAGCCGAGCTCCGCTCAGCTACTGCTTGTGTCGCGGCGGCGAGCAGTTGCAGCGGCAGCAGCAGCAGAAGCAGAAGCAAGTATGCGTTTAGGTTGTCGGCAGCCATTTCAATTCCTGCTCGCTTTTCCAGAGCTCTCAGCAGTAGGCCCTCACCTCTTCTCCCTCCCCTCCGCGGCTCCTCCTTTGGCGGGCTCTCATTTTGCCTCCTAAGACGCCCGTTGCGGGCCTCACATAGTTTGGCCGGTGATATCCCTGTCGACTCTAAGGAGGATTGGGAAGAAGGGGAGGCAGTGGATGGAGAAGAGGACGCAGCCGGCGGAGATGGTTATCCTTCCGACGTGGAGTCGCTTGAAGAAGAGGCGAGGAAAGTGGCTAGAGAGTTCTCACTCTCTATATCCCGCGAACTGAGAAGAGGTACTCGTCTGGACACGGTCTTACCTATGTCGTATATTTCTTTTATCCTGAAACTGACACTGAGTATTCTTCTAAACTCAACCATTACGATACACTGCGGGCGTGGGATGAAAGATGAATTATCCGGGATCAGGGACTTAAAAATTACCTGGTGGTAGGATTTGGTTATGACATTAAGGACAGTAGACGACGACAGTTCGCATGCTCTGATTAGCTGCACAATGGACTATATTGAGTTCATGTTACAACGCAAGCCCATGATCCAAAAAAAAGCCTGCTTAAATTGAGGTGTTCTCATGTGACTTAGAGGTTAACCGAGCGCACAATGCTGTCCAAATATTATTAGATTGGAATCTTTGACGAAATATCCGAAGATACGGGAGTATCTACTAAAAATTTGAGTGTAGAATGAGATTTCAGAGAAGACAATGCAGATAACATGGATATCACCATTAATGAGTGGAATAGCTTTGCAATTTTTATTGTCTGAGTTCCATGTCAGGGCGATAGGGAAACTGATTCTGGAAACGATGATATCATCCAAACGGGGCATGAAGTTTGGCAGATTTTGATGTACCTTCTGATAACTAGTGACAATTAAGTTTAAAGGATATCGGGCGATCACACTGCTAGTTATGATGTGGGATCGTGCGGCAATACTGCAGTTAGAAACTTGTTGAAGGCGAAGAAGATGAAGGTGCTAATGGGGAATACCTGCAGGATATTAAAGATATTTCGAGGCCAGGTTCAGCACCTTTCAAGAACGGAATTATGGAGCAGCGTTCCAGATGTTTGGAACTATTGGGCGTAGTAGACCTTATAATCCTATAAGTTATAACTCTCAAAAGGGATCATTGAAGTTATGTAATCCTTTTGATGCACCCCAATGCGGGAAACAATTACCTCAAGGTTCTCCAAAGATTCAGCAGTCCATCTCATATGTCCTAAGCTTATTCCAGGCATGAGGACCTTCTGATCCTCACACCTGGAATCAGCCTACAAGGAACTCTGATGGCATTATAATAGGGTAGAGAAAAGTCTACTAGGAATGGAAGAGAAGGAAAGTAAGAAGCTAATGAGTTTGCTACCGAGGTAGAATGGGTTTTTTTAATGATGCAAACGTTTTTTGAATTTGATCATGGTCAGGCATTTATTGTATCGTTACTTGTTGTTATTCTCTTTACGTCTATGCGTTTCTTTTTCCCTTAAAATAATTTTCCTGTGTCCTTCAGTGAGTATTTAGAAGAATTAAATTTCGAGTATGAGAAAGAAAATATTTAGAACGACGTAGAAATGAGAAAAATAATGCTGTGATGTGCCATGTGTCATTATTTTGTCATATTTTCGTTTCGTATGCTTGTGTCATAACCACTTTTCTTTTATGTATACAGAAGATGACGCATTTCTTCACAAGGAACTTGGTGAACCACAGTCAACGGAAGCTTCTAACAGACATGTTAGCGGGCTTATTACTTTTATTAGTTTGACCGTTTTATGATTTTCATTGATAAACATATTATCTTTAATAGAGTTTGAATATATATATTTTTTGTCATTATATCAGACAAATATTCAGTAATGACTAGCAGCCTTTTTTTCTCTTTCCTGTATATTTTACCTTAATGAAAATTTTACTTTGCCAGTTGCCTTGAAAACTTTTTTTTCCATGCGTATGGCATCTGATTCAATCTTATATGTTACATACAGATTCCTGACCATCGTCTTCCTAGAGTGACAATTGTTGGGAGGCCTAACGTTGGCAAATCTGCATTATTCAACCGCCTTGTTGGGGTATATCCTCGCTTATATATCTTTAAGAACGTCTTAAGTTAATGGCCCTTTCTATGGTTAGTGTCGTAATTCGAATCTGATTTCTTCAGTCATGAATATCATTTTGTATTTGACAATCCTCGAACATTTCAGTATTTCCCTCTTTAATTAAACAGTAAGGTAAGGCGTAAAAGCAAACATTTTTTTTTTAATGGCTCCTTTATCATTGTGCTTGAAGGGAAACAAGGCGATAGTGGTGGATGAGCCAGGTGTCACCAGAGATCGCTTGTATGGTAGATCATTTTGGGGTGATCATGAATTCATGGTTGTTGACACCGGTGGTGTTGTTATTTTTTCCAAATCTCAAGATGATGTCATGGAAGAACTTGCTATTACAAAGACAGTTGGTATGGATGGTATTCCACTTCCTTCTAGGGAAGCTGCTGTTGCAAGGATGCCCTCAATGATAGAGAAACAAGCAGTTGTTGCTGTTGAAGAAGCGTCTGTTATCATATTTCTGGTTGATGGCCAGGTACCTTTGCTTATCATGCAAATTATTCGATGGTGGACTTGTGGGCTTTACGACGTTATATTTGTATTGTCGTTTAGTTTAAACGCATTTGCTTATAACAAGTCTTTATGTTATGAGCATACCTTCTGATTGACAATGATTTCTATTTTTATTATTTTCTGAACTGGTATATTATCACTTATTGGAGATTTTCACAAATATGGCTTGAAACTTTTTGCTTAAACAATGAGTGCACCAATTTTGTATAAATTAATGTTCATTGTAAAAATTATATAAAATATAAAGTCAGGAAAAATCAAGAAAATAACTTTCATTGAAACATGAAAACTATGTGATGTTGTCATCCATTGGAACATTATAGGAATCATTGGCACTATACATTATGAAACAAATCAAGTTAGCACTATTTCCATTGTCCACAATGAAAGCAGTATAGATAAATGACGAAGTACAATCTGATAGTGTATGAAATCAACACCTCTAATGAACCATAAATAACATTGGCCCCAACAAAATAGGAATACATGATAAGACCAGTGTTCTATAGAAGTTGGTGTGGCTTCGGTTTTGTAAAGACCGAGCTGTTTAAATGAAACTGTTGGGTAGAACAGACCATTCATGGCTCCTTTAATGATTTTCTTGTGTCCTGTTCATGAATTCCCATTACACTTTTGATACTAGGCAAATCATTTGAGAATTGTTATTTGAGGTGACACAGTCGATTTCCGCACATTAATGTCGTAGTAGCTCACTTCAAGCACTTACTACGTGAGAGTTCTTGTTGGCGTGTTTCCCCTGTGTTCTAAATCCTTTTCTTTCTGGTTCTTGATGCTGACTGCCAGATGATATGATCATCTTTTTGCATGATGAAGTGTATTATGTTGAATAGGCAGGCGTGACAGCAGCAGATGTGGAAATTGCGCACTGGCTTCGAAGGAACTATTCAAAAAAGTTCACCATTCTTGCTGTGAACAAATGTGAATCTCCACGGAAAGGACTTATGCAGTCTTTCGAATTCTTTTCGTTAGGGTGAGTTAGGGACTTGACATCCGTTGCTTCTATATACAATTCCTGTTTCATTAAACTTTTCTTTTTCTTTATGCTTTTTAGGAGTTGAATAGATTAATAATTTTGGAGAACTTCCAACTAGTGACTGGATCACTGAAAATTTTCCGTGTGAAATTGATCACACTTTTACCTAAAACAATGACAAGAGTTCTCTTATAGTAAAAGCAGTTTATTATTCTTAATAAAATTTTCAATACTTCATCTTTCTGTCTGAGTCAGGCTTTTTTTACTACGCCATCGGATTTGGGTGATTCCATCCCAGTCCATTCGTTTGGTGGTCCAATTCGGTTCATCCTACCCGATTGAGATTGGATCACCGTGTACATCTGTCAAGTGGGTTTCTAAAGAACTGTCATAAAGTCCAGACAAATCTATTTACCCTTGACTCTCGTTATGAAGGAAATATGTATAGATTTCTTCTGATTTTAACTAGTTATTTATATTGACTGGCGTATGTAAAAATTTATATTTAATGAACACTTTTTGCCCAATTTTTTCTCCCTCCTCTCCACTAATCTGTCGTGACTTATCTTTTATTTAGGTTCACTCCCCTGCCCATATCTGCTATTTCTGGAACTGGAACTGGAGAGCTTCTGGATCTTGTTTGTTCAGAACTGAAGAAAATCGAGGTAACTCTTCTGTGAATTCGGAAGGATGCCGAGCTTTTCAATCAAACAATATTTTTCTTATCGACGTGTTATTAAAAAATCATGTTTTAACTGTTTCTAGTCGCAATGGATAGTTCTTTATTCATTCCGCAAGCTGTATGCATGATGAGTACCAACTTTTTGTCATATTGAGTGACATTATTGTCTGTGGATGGTTATTTCTTGGCCTTAATTGTTTATCTTATGATTCCATGTTGTTTATAAGTCCAAGGGTGTGGTTTGTACCATTCAATTTAATGCCTTTAGCGAGTGGAAGCTCCTATTAATTCTCCTCCATCCCACGACAAAAGAAGAAAAGGAAAAAATGAAAATGAGTCCTCGGTTAGGCATTAACTCCTTGATGAGATATGGCGATTGTTGAAACCGTTATAAATTTTTGGAATTGGTTGAAGGTGTGGGTGGAGTTAGGGTTGATATATTTTTAGTCCCATAGCATATTCTCAAATTAGTGAATCAGTTCTCGGATGAAAAAGGTTAATTTCGGAATCTAATGTATCATACAGGAGACTCTGACCTTCCATTTCGGATTGATCTGGGATGCTATCTCTGACGATCTACTGGATGGAAGGGCAGAAAAATATGGATGAAAACAACGTAATTGGAGGAAGGGAGGAAATACAACGAAAGTGAGATAAATCATGAAAAAGGCTTTTATACCTGAGATGATTGGTAAGAAGTGGCACATCTACGAGACAACCACAGCAACAAGCGTCACTCTTAGCATGTCTATCTAGGACTGTCCCGTCCATGAGGCATACGCTTGCTAGAAAATATGTTCACTATGGTAGTTTTTTGAAAAGGATCCACTTTATAAGAGACGATTGGGTACAGTTTTTCAGTATTTAAAATTCAATTTACATCATAAGAAAGAGGTTGCCTTCCATGAAATTGATCTCACCACTATAGTCACTAATTTTGTGGATTATATTTCGTCTTGTTTGCATCTGTTTTCTGTCATCCATGTTTAATATTTTTTTTTCTGAAAGGTATGGAAATCAAGGCAATGTTATCTGTAGATGTTAAACAAAATGGTCAAATATGTCTTCCCATATATATTCTTGGGATATTGTATCAATCTCGTTGACGCAACCATCATTCTTGTCAGCCCTTGGAAGATCCTGTTGAGCAAGAAAAGTACGTTCCATCTATCGCTATCGTTGGTCGACCTAATGTTGGGAAGAGTAGCATTTTGAATGCTTTAGTCGGTGAGGACAGAACAATTGTTAGCCCAATCAGTGGCACAACCCGTGATGCCATTGATACTGAATTTACTGGGCCAGATGGACAGGTTTGTCTGAATGATTTTATAAATATATTTTTATTTTTTTATAATTTCATTTATCAGGACCGAATGACTTGTTTTCTATTACTTTTTTTCGACCATTCTAGTTGAACTCAGAGATTTCATGTATTTATCTTGGTTCTCGAGGGCACAGGGGTAAATTCAATTCTATTCCAATTCCTACGAACCTATGGTCAAAACCCTCTGAAAATAATTTGATTATTTCATTACCTCAATCAGACGAGCTTTGTGACCTTATTGTGCACTGGAGAGCAAAACCACAACAACGTTAGCACATGAGTTAGAACAACTCAACTCAATATGCTCCCCAAAGGTGGACTATGGAAGGTGAATCTCAGGACACAGATTAATATGCTCCATATAGCTGATCTGTTATGGACACACTGTCAGTTCATTATACAACTATTGGCTTCAGAAAGCCAGTTCTCAATAAAAAGAATCAAATAGGTTTAGAAGTTCGTGTAACCTTCCAGAATCTATTTGTTCTTGTGGGAAATGGAGTTATAATTTCCGTCAAGATTGCACATCTAGATAAATACAGTGCGCCAAGAGAACCTCCTTTGATTGAACGCGAAGATCGGAAGATCGTGGCTATTACTTTTCTGCCAGAGCTCTTGGTGTATGGAATTCCTGAGAGAAAATGTTCCTTCCTAAACATCTGTACTTTCATGTCTTATTATAAATGTATATCATAAGCAAGATGATTATTCTCATTTGTTTGTCATATTAAACGGTAGCCTGTTATGTTCAACTTGTTAAGGCTGTTATGTTGGTTTTATGTCAAGAGTAGATTCTACAACATTCAGAATCCTGCTACTCAGTGCATGAGTAAAATATTCCTGAGAGTTAATAAGGTCAAAATCACCTCAATGATGATGATATGCGATGTTATGCAGTTATTGTTACTTTATCCAATTAGTTCCGCATAAAATGTTTCTTACGTTCGATGTAGTTCATAGTTTTTTTTACTGTACTAAGCTCTCTTAATGTTTACTGCATATGTGATCTTTAAGGTATCTTATGCAGAAAATTCCTGAAAGATTCACTCCCTATTGCTTTTTGTTTCATTTCTCTCATAAATATTTGATCTGATACGATACAGGCTTAGTTACTCCGGGACATCTCCTGCTGATGTTCCCTAAAAGGCTCAAATATAAGTGCAATTAGTGGGTGTGACCTATGATTTTATTTCGTCTGTTTTTTATTTCTCTTGGCTTGTCTTTTCCTTGTTCCATGAACCACAATGTTCGAAGTTAGATAATTCCGTGATGCACCAGAAGATAATAAGATAAATTTGTAGATAGTTTTCTGGTTTGTCATAAGTAAATTTGCATTTCTAACTTATAAATATACTTCAACTCAACTATTCGAACCATTTAGCAATAACATGGAAAATGGATTTCTTTTGACATTCCACTCCAGAAGTTCAAGCTTATTGACACTGCTGGAATTCGAAGGAGAGCTGTAGTCGCTTCTTCAGGCAGCACAACAGAAGCTTTATCGGTTAACAGGGCATTTCGTGCTGTGCGCCGTTCAGATGTGGTGGCTCTTGTGATTGAAGCCTTGGCCTGTATTACAGAGCAGGTATCATTAAAGTTTATTTTTAATTTCATTTCTACCAATTTGGAAGGGAAATAAAAACAGCACTGCTCATATGAATAATCGATGGTTTATCACTCATCGCCATCACTTTATTGGTGAACCTGTCTTAGCATCTCCATGTCTTTTTGTATAAGATCTGCATATGGATGGCTGTCTATGCTTTTCATTATTATAAAAAAGAATGGGAAACGCTAAGAGTCCTGATAGCTCTCCTTAGGGAAATTCACTAGAAATTCTTTATAAGCTTGATCCGTGAAGCATTTATTCACTATTGTGATGCTTTTGTCATAGGTGTGTGAGAGAATTATCTTTTCAGGGTTGTTGGAGCAGGATACGCGCGCTAAAGCATATTGATGGTCGAAAAACGTTTGAATTCCTGATGTTTTTCCAACCATTTTGCAGCTTACACCATCAGAATAAAGAAAATCTGTAATTATGATTTTCTTTAATAAATTGTTGTAGTTAGTTAGAATGGTATGCCTTAGGTTGACAACTTGTTGGAAAACTCTCCAAATCATAGATCATAAAATGCATATTAAAGTGACTCAAGAGGGGAGTTTAGAAGGGTCTTACATATCTTTTAATTCTTTAGGTGTCATGCGATAGTGTTTCTGGCTGAACAACATCCTCCCTCTTTTAGAGCAAAACATGTGTCGCCTTGACATGGCTCTTACTGGTAGGGATGTACACTGATTTATGCTGAATCAGCCTGACACGTTATCAAACTGGAATCCTCAAGGTCTACCCTCCTATATTCTGGCAACAGTCTGATTGATCTCTATTTGGCACACCACTGGTAAGTCCAAAAACTGAGTTAGTACCATTGAACCAGCCTGAATTGGAACAAGTTGACAGCTAAGAAATATGCTAAATGACTTAAAATTTTATTGAGACCAAAATTGATTTTCACTCGTAGCTTTTGATCTCCATTACGAACTTTCTCATCAACAGCAAAAGTTTGACAAGGAAATCCGCAAACATTTGAACGAAACTAGTTAGATGTTATTATTATATCAAATATAACATACAAAATAGATAAGTATTATGTTGATCCATTTGGTTTGTTCGCTCCCGTTAAGACCATGCCCCTCATGGGTCGGTTTCATAACTTTCTTCTTTATGAGCAGGACTACCGGATAGCTGAAAGAATAGAGAAAGAAGGAAAAGGTTGCGTGATTGTTGTCAACAAGTGGGACACAATACCTGATAAAAACCAACACACAGTAAAATACTACGAGCAAGATGTCAGAGAGAAGCTCCGCATGCTTGGTTGGGCACCGGTTGTCTACTCGACTGCAATTGCCGGTCATAGCGTGGATAAGTATTTCCTTAATCCATCTCCATTATAGAACTTTGTTTATTTTTTTCTCCATGACTTCCATGGTTCCTACATCTTCCAGTGCTTATGCTCAAAGACTCTTTTGAAACAAACACACTCGGACGTATAAAGAAAATCAGCACATTTATATTATTAAATTCACTGTCAATTAATGGCTTCCATGACGTTGCTACGCAATTAATTTTCTTGTAGTTCTATATAGCATATTGCAGAAGACTAAACAGTGTACTGCTACTTGTTCAGTATGTGAAAATCCGGTTCATAAACTATGCTTCAACCATGTCTTTATGTTACGGATTTACGTACATACTTCGTTTACTAGCCCATGCTCTCATAGGCTACTAATGTAAAATGTTTAAAGTTTGTTCGCTTAGGAGGCTGGACTTGCCTTGTTTTATGTGCAATGGATGACAGAAGAATTTTTATTGTTTATTCAATCAAGAAACACTTGTTTTTGTTAATGGCATAATTATCAATCAATAATTGGAATTTATGGGCCTTCAATTGGAAATAGTTTTTTATTATTCGAGCATCAGCCCTGGTGCAACACCATGTTAGATACATTCGGGTGCCTTTATCACTGGACTTGCAAATTCTAGTCATAGGTGTCTTATGAAGAGCTATTTCTGCTGACTTTAACATGGAAATCTCATATATGGAAAGCTATATTCACTCCATAGTTTGGGTTTCTATGTAGAGGAGTGTCCTGCTTTCATTTGCATACCCCACACCTCATCGCTTATGTGCTTTACTGTTGTTCGCATATCTAACTTCTGTACTTTTTTTCTGTATCTTATTAAGGTATTTCCTAAAGAAAATGTTTTTTTTGTCTGTCTATTATAGTTTTGGCTGTAGTTTATTACAATTCTATCTCTTGCTTAAAGAAGCGTACGGCACTTAAGGTAGAAGTCAAAGTTATTTCCCATTGGCTGAGATGCGAGTTTCTAAAATGCCCCTTTTTGCCTTTATTGTGCTCAATATCCAGAAAATGCTAATTTTTTATGCATTCTCCATACATCGTTTTTGGTTGATGATGTTCAAAGACGCTTGTTTGTAAATATCTAACGTCATTGGCTGTTTATTGCTATTTATAACTAGTACTTTCTCTTCTGCCTCAGGGTAATTGCTGCAGCCAGCATGGTTGAGAAAGAAAGATCAAGAAGATTAAGTACGGCCACTCTGAATCAAGTGGTTCGTGAAGCAGTAACTTTCAAGCCGCCACCAAGGACAAGAGGTGGAAAGAGAGGGCGTGTGTATTACTGCACTCAGGTGGATTTTCTTTTCTTAGTAATATAGTTATTAACCTTCTGAGTCCGTAATACTCGTTATTGCTTCCAAAATGCTGACGCGTCTAGCTAGTCCTGGCAGAAACTTTGGGTAGAATCCCCCCCCCTCCCCCCCTTTCAAGAAGAAAAAGGAAAAGATTAATGAGAAACCTGGACTAATATTCGAAATGCACACCTATTGTACCGAGCATTAAAAATTCCCCGTGACTATCCATTCAAACCAAGCTTATTCAGTACGGTGGAATCTTAGAAAATAAATCTTGCCCTGTAATCATCTGCCAATCCTTCACGCAGTACGGTGGAGTCTTAGGCTACCTCTTTCATAACATGCTTTCATTTTCTCACCTGGTTGTCACCCAGGAGTGTCCTTCTTTAGTTTTATCTCTTCTTGCCAAGACAACTTACTTGGGAAATGATGCGTATAATCCCAGTTGCAGAGAGACCTCACCTTCATGTTAATCTTGCTTTCTCAGTCACTGTCTCCACCGCATCTTCAGTTTATATGGGTTTCCCACACATGTGCATATCTCATCTTCTGTTCGTCAGAAGACTTATCTTTTTGCTAATTTTTTGTCTGCCCATATCATCCTGCAGGCTGCCATCCGCCCTCCGACCTTTGTGTTCTTCGTGAATGATGCTCAGCTTTTCCCAGAAACATACCGACGATACATGGAGAAGCAACTGAGATCAGATGCTGGTTTTCCTGGTACGCCAATACGCCTCCTGTGGCGCAGTAGAAGGAAGCTCGAGAAGAAAGGTAAACAGGCCGTTTCATCAAATGTGAAATAGCCCAGGACCAATAGAATTCCTGTGATCATAATCCCAAAAGAGCATCTCCCAGTATAATCAACACAGACAGACGATAAATGTGATATTATCCATGAAGCACAGATCAATTGTTTGTTGAAAGATACCCCGGTGGCTGAATCATTTGAAAGTTTTGATGAGAAACTATGAGCTATCAAATTATATAAGCCACTATGAATTGATTGCTGTTACATGAAGATAACACTGCTCACTCACTGATTAGGCCATCCAAATCTGTAGAAAATGAAGAACAAAAAAGTGGGTATGCGCGCATAAAGCTTAATTTTGACTATAATTATCTGTAGATTCATAAAAAGCTTGTATATGCTTGGTTTGGTCGATGCTCCAGTTCTGTGGAACGACTAGGAATGGTCAAGCTGGTGGACTGCCCATCTTGAAACGCGTCTGTCCCGGGCTTTCTTTTTTATTCCATGTTATACTGCATCTGTGGAGTTCGTTCTTGGCCGATCGCAGCAGCCCGCCACTCGCTAGCTCTGTAAAATTTCCTGAAATAGAGCTACCAAGGCTTCTTTCAACCCTAAATACCCCTTTTGTGTAGTATCATACTCATTGTAAAAGGTATAAAAGTGGCCTCTTTCTGCAAAGTATTTCCCCCCGATCTTTGTCACCTCTCACCCCGCGCGTGTGGCGGACTCGAGGAGAGTGTCTAGTGGCACGAATGGGTGCGGGGGGAGGAGCAGGCCCAGCGAGGGATTGCCGTTGGGCTGTTCTCGAGGGGGTCTTAATTAATGGTGCCCGCCGCCGAGACGTACTCTCCCTCTGCCATCAGGGAGATCATGCATGTGAAGCGTTGAAGAGAGGGAGAGAGAGAGAGGGAGGGAGGGTTGTTTCGGGCTGCCTCGAGAATCACCGGGGGGGGCGACCTCCATGCATGTGAAGCTGAGACGGGCACCCGTGAAGCTACGAAATGTCTGTGAGGTGGGATTTTAAGACGTTTCAATTCTCCCATCACCCTCTCTCTCTCTCTCTCTCTCTCTCTCTCTCTCTCTCTCTCTCTCTCTCTCTCTCTATCCACACACACAGAGAGGGAGATTTCAGAGGAACGAGCCGGGTCAAACCCATGAAAGTAGGTAAACGAGAAGGTTTTCTACGATGAGGGCTTTGAGGGTCATCGTTGTTGCAGTGGGGTTCCGGTCTTCTGGGGTGCGTAGGTACGTGAGGATCTCTACTTCAAAGGCTTGCGGACTGTGGATTAGGAAATGGGAATTTCGCCCCAGCGATTTAATGGACGTAGAGAGATAATGCGCAAAGGCCAACGGTCACATGGGCTTCAAAAAAATCCACGGGAACGTGAAAACATTTACGCTACTCGTCACTCCCACGCGCTACAAATCCCGCGCCATGCCCCCTCCCCCGCAAGCACGCTGCGCACGGAGCTTCCACTCCTACTCTGCTTCCACTGCCTCCCCGCTGCTCTCTCTCTCTCTCTCTCTCTCTCTCTCTCTCGCTAAGAACCCACCAAGACGGGCATGGAGAACAGCAGGAGAGGACCGCTGCGGCCGTGGAAGAAGGGCCCGAGCAGGGGGAAGGGCGGCCCGCTGAACGCTTCCTGCGAGTACCGCGGGGTGCGGCAGAGGACGTGGGGGAAGTGGGTGGCGGAGATCAGGGAGCCCAAGAAGCGGACGAGGCTCTGGCTGGGCTCCTTCGCCACCGCCGAGGAGGCCGCCATGGCCTACGACGAGGCCGCGAGGCGCCTCTACGGCCCAGAAGCCTATCTCAACCTCCCCCACCTGCAGAGCAGCTTGGCAGCCCCCGGCATGGGCAGGCCGCACCGCTTCCGCTGGTTCCCTTCGGGGGGCTTCTCCTCCATCTTCCCCAAGTGCGGGTTTCTCAACCTCGGCGCCCAGCACAACGTCCACGCCATCCACCGGCGGCTGCAGGAGCTCCAGAACGCCAAACCTTCCTCCTCTGTCGAGCCCCCGCTCGGAGCAGTGGGAGCCCGGCTGCAGAACTCGCCGGCCACGGCCGAGAAAGTGGACCTCCAGCTTGAGAACCACGGCATTGCCGTCCCCGAGAAGCCCCAGATCGATCTGAAGGAGTTCCTCCAGCAGCTGGGCGTGCTCAGAGCGGACGAAACCAGGGAGCCCGCTGAGGAGGGAGTCGGCGTCAACAGCTCCACTCATACGCCGCCGCCGCCGGCCTTCGAAACCTGCAGCGCTGGCGCTGACGTTGGCGGGTTCAGCCACAGTGAGTTCTCCTGGGACGAGCTGGTCGACATGCGGGACTTGGAGGACGACAGCGGCCTCCAAGCCCACGACATGCATGAAGAAGTCGGCTTCCCGATTTCTCTCTGGGACTTGTAGACTTATCCGGCGGCGCTGGTCGTATGACCCAGCCAACCGCGCCTCCTCCGCCTCTGTAGCTCTCGCCACGTACACTCGCTTTCCTCCTGCAACTCCTTTCTTCGGCCAGGCACGGGCTTCGTCCCCACGAGCAACATCACCAAGATTTGAGAATACACCCCGCAATTAGATGATCACCTCTTAACGATTACCGTCACCAAGACCTCGTTTTTATATGATATTTTCCTTCCCGACCGTCTGCTCAGCCGCTCTCTCAAATATATCGTACATATATATATGGCGTAACAAAGGACGGAGGGTAGGATTATCCAGTCGTCTCCTCTTCAAACTTCATAGCCTGGTCAGTCGAGAGGAGCAAGGAACGAACGACCCACTCCGGCCCACTCAGGCTTTTGTACCGTGTTTAGACCGGGACGAGCCTCTTGCTGTGAGCGTTTCATGCGTGGATGTAGGCGATGAGAACCTCTGTGGAGTACGACGATCACGATTGGCTTTGGCTGGAGACCAAGCATTCATCCCCTCTACCCGGAGACCAAACGTCTCCGGGATTTCACAGATGATCCCATATAGTTCCCATACAATATGTTACATAAAATATCCCTATGATATCTGCAGGATTTATGCAGAAAATCAGCCCAGCTGTTGCCTAAACCCAAATATCTTGACGGCAGAGCCTGCTCACAAGCTATACATACCCCGCATCATCAGTGAAACTTTGGATTTTGGGTAAATGATCTAGCTCTCTGGTATTTATCATTATATGCTCGATGCAAATAAATCCACAAAAATGGTTTCCCCTGAGAATCATTAGAAAAGGAGTGGACCTGGTAAGGATCCTTCCATAAGAATGACTGAGGAACGCCCCCCCCCCCCCCGCCCCCCCCATTCAGGGGGCACAGAAATGGATGGAAGACTCTGCGGGGGGTGGGGGGACGATGGACCCAGATTTTAGATTTTCTCCATGCACGCACAGTGAAATCTTAGTCCTCATTCCTAAACAAACTCCGATGCACTCTGATATTCGCCGTGCTCCTCGAAATACTCCACCAAACGTTTCAAGAAGCCGTTGTGACTTACTGTTTCAGTGTCACAGATGATGCAGCACTGCCTCCGCGCGCGGGTGACGGCGACGTTCATCCGCCGATGATCACTTAAGAAGCCAACCTGAGAAGGTAAACGTCAGAGGGGGTGTGGATTTACAAGGATGCTCTCCTCGAAACGGCGTGTTTTTTCAGAGAATTTGGCACCTCTTTCTTCGAGTTGGAGCGAACCATGGAGATGATGATGGCCTCCTTTTCTCGACCTTGGAACCCGTCAACAGTAGAGATTTCCAACTCTTTCAGCTTGTCATTTTTGCTTCTTGTCATCCTCAGTAGCACAACCTGAAGGAGAGGGCAGTGTTTTCAGCGAGATCTTTCATCAATACAGCAGATAGAATCTACTGATTCTAGAGGAACTGACTGTTCCAAGGATGTTTCTTGTTGGGTCTAGAAGGCATTGCCACAGTCTTTTCTCTTCTCACAACCTGAGGGCCATTATCAACAGATTTTGCTAAAATGTTGACTAGATATACGTTAGAACCTGTGCAGCATATGGGGTGATGATTCCAATGTCAGATGGGTGAACGCCGCCCTCAACAAGCCTTGTTGCGTGAGCAATGGCTACTGCAGCTTCACCTTCGTTCATCGTGCTGTCCTCTTCATCCTTCTTCTCTTCCATGTCGCAACTGTGACCAATGGGTAAGCAAATTATAAGATCAGACAATAAGACACATGGGAAGTAAATAATCCAAAATCATAGGGGGGAAGTGCAACTTTCTGGAGATAATACGTCTCATTTATGTTATATTCAATCATTATGGATATGTTGTTGGAAACTCTCCACAAGGATTAACAGAAAAACAGAGACTGCTGTACCATGCGGTTCCAGACAAAATATCAAAGATATGAAGCTACCGCCTCGCAGTTTGTGTATTTTATAACCAGTTACAAAAAATATTTACACAATCCAATCGACAAGAAGTTCATAATTAAATAGGAATTTCATTTGTTTCAGTTAGAAAGTACAAGCGCTCACTAATTAATGACGAGATTATAAAAACAGAATACCAATCAAATGGCGAGATAATCAACATACTGGCACTTTATATAGAGCTTTAGCCACTAGTAACATAAATGGCATTGGTGGGTGAGCAAGGAAATCATACCCAGCAGTATCAACGAGGATAAGAGTGGGTTCTGTCGAAGGAGTCCTCTGCACATTTTCGAGATCGTAGAGCATATGTCCAGCAACACTGGGGTGGGCTTTGATCTGGGCAAAGCAAAAAGAATCTGAGAAGAAAATTTGATGCATAATGCTTTCAATGCCCCCATATCTGTGCCCTCAAAAGAAAAAGGAAGACACCCATAGACAGCCGTTGTGCATGCAACCAAAAGAAAAAGAGAGCATCAACAAGCCACTAGACCTGATGGCCTAACCTTAAAAAAGGTAAGAAAATATAAGAAAATTTTAAACTTCCAACGCTAGGGGGAAAAAAACACTACATGGCACCTGATTCCTCAACTAACAAATCGATAACTTAGATTTTCTTGGTTTTCATGTGGCCTATACATTAGAAATAGCCACATGCCAAATGGGCAAAGCTCTGTAGATTATATAGGTTCAGTCTTTTGAATCAATCCTGAGATTCTCCAGCTCGAACAACAAAAAACACCGGTCCATCTCACATCAGTCCTGATGGACATGCGCACAGAATGTAAAAAGACTGAGCTAGCATGCTGTAATCCAGATGGTAAAACAGGTACCCATCAAAACGACTGAATATACTTCTAAACTATATATGCTTATTCGATGCATACAACTTTCGAGATTGCAGATAAGGCTATGCTCTACCTTGCTATCATACAACTCCTTGGATGACCAGTTCATAACACGCTCGTGCATTCGGTATTGGACAGTAAGCATAGACATGATTTCCTCCCCATATAGGTCTGCAAGACGTTCAAAAAGTGTTTTACCCAAACCCTTCCTCTCAGCTTCTGCACTCTGTATGGTAGGGGGAAGCTGAAGATGATCGCCTGAAAGAATACATCTTGATCCCTGCAATGGTATAGAAACAGCATTTTACCATTGTGTAGAAAAATGGTCCACATAACAGGAAATATCTATATTGCTGGGTTTTTCAATACGATACAATGTTGAACAATTCAACTAAATGATTAGCCACTGTAAATAAAAAAGAGAAAAAAAATGGTTAAAATTATCAGGCATGGCAGTTCGATTTCTATATAGTTAGCCCTTAGTTCCCAAATTGATATAAAGTTTTACCCAAATTTTAGGTCCCCAGAGCCTCGGTCATAAAGGGCACCAAGAGACGTCTCTCCCTTCCTCACTCATGCTGCTGAAACAAATATCTCAAAATCCGTCAAGTCAGCACCATGATCTAGACCGCTATCTCGGGTCTTTGTATTCTAGAAAGTGCAACTAACTAAATCTACCAACAAAGCCTTATCCAACCAGTTAGATGACATCAGGACGATGTAAACTAAAAGGTTTTGAAGACGGAAAGAGTGATTTACATACTAAAAGAATACCTTTCCCTCGGGAAGTCATGTGTGTGGTCATTGGTTGTCTTTCTAACATAAGTGACCAACATCAAGACGGTGGTGCTTGTTATTTTAGTAAGATCTGTCCTCTTAATCATAAAATAGTGGTTCCAAAATATATTTTCCTTTTTAAAAAACAGGTTTCACAAGTTTGAAAACAGAAATTGATAGAGGGTTTTGTAAATCAAAGACGCCATTAAGAAATAAAAAGAATAATATTTGACGATTGTGAATTGACTTTTTGACCTTTAGATTAGAATTACACCCAATCGTGTGAGAAAGAAGCCAAATTTACCAAAATAAATAATTTTACCAACATGAATGATTAAGAGGAATGAGAATCAGTTTATTTGTCTAAGAAAGCACATTTCGATGGCCTTCCCGAGATTCACCAGGAGGGGTAGAGGTAAAGAAAGATCTCACCTTTAATAAAGCAATCCAGCATGCTATCTCAAGTGCTTGAGCAGCTTCATCAATAATTACCAAGTCAAATGTCATACTATCCAGTTTACGAGATGATGCACCTGTTAAGGTTGTCAACACTACATCTGAATTTTTAAGCACATCAGTGATTGCAAGCTGTTGCCTCTTCCGTTCTTCCTTTGCAAGCGTTTTAAGCTCCTTCCTAATATCCCTTTTTGAGTTTCTATCTTTGGCTTTCAACAACTTTCCATTTAATGCCTGGTATTAAACAATATGTCAAAGAATACAGATAACATGTGCAGAGAAAATTCCTAGAAAATTAAAAATTTTAAGGACGTAGATGATTTTCGGTAAATCTCCTTTTTTTGCCTCTATTCATGAATAAATTTTGAGAAGATTATCTCCTCATGGTGGATCTTTCTTTGCCGTTTTAGGCTGAGTAATTACACTTCGTCATTATAAAACCATGAAAACAGTTGTCTTCGCTCACTCAAATGTAGCATTTGGAGAGGAACTCTCCTTGGCGTATTGCTGACATAGGGTTTGATATTCAAACCTGAATTGAAACTAGGTGTAAGGTATATTCTTATTTTTGTATCAAGGGTGAAAACGGGAAAAATGCGTTTGACAAGAAAAATGTTTGGAATCATAGAATATAATTTTACCTTTATATAATATAAATATTAACACAATAATTAATGACGGTACATCATCCTACATCCAACAGCTCATAATCAATGAACCAGAATAGGTTATGACTTAACTATGGAGCATTAGGCCACAACTAACGATGGAATTAACCATACGTGATGATTTTGGAGATTCAAAACAACGATGCTCGTTCAGCTATTCATCATTTAAAAGTTAAGTTAATAATATATTGATTAAAAAAACGTAAGTTCGTGATCCATAGTGATGTATAACAGATGATTCGAGGACAATGTCTCATAAACCGTGCGTTGGTGTAAATTCATAATTGCAACCAACTGCTAAACAGATAGTCCAAGTAGAAACACATTAAAGACGATTGGTGGCTTGTACGTAGTGGTCAATGATGTACATATAACTATACATAATATACCTTCATCTCTTTGCGAATGTCATTGGCCAGACTACTATTATCCCCTCGCAATACCTAGCAGGAAATGAAGTCAAACAATAATACGACATTTGGAGCAACATATACTAATAGAGACAAATGAGGACAGCAATACCCGTGACCCAAGAAGCAAACTCAACTGTTAAAAGCAAAACAAAAACAAACATTGACAAAAAAAATTCAAAAAATGAATTAAAAACATTGAAATTATAACATTTTGATGAATTATGCTGATGTCAGAAGAGAGAAAATAAACTTAATGAAATACAGTAATTGTACAAACAGGATGTGCTATGCTTCCCAGGAATGGTGTCTGAAAATTATTTTCTGAAAAAATAACCTACGTAATCCGTCCATGAGACAACATTACTCCTGATCCAATAATCAATCCAGATAAAGATTAATAAAATATTTCATATTGTTGAGGCTTCTGGATGTATAATTCTGTTACATGGATACTTATATAGCTTGTCACGATTTGTGATGGAACATAACCAACATTCAGTACGAATTACAGAGAAAGAAGGTACTTGGATGGACATGGCGCAGAGTGAGATAGGAGTAGATGAAAGATCAACCGTGGAGAGTTAAGAGAAGTGGATCCTAAGATACCTGGGGGACTGCCAGGGGCACCAGCGTTCAAGAGACCAGTGACATGAAATACAAAAAGGAGGCAGATTACGTTCCAAGAGAATGTCCAAAGTCAAAATCGACCACAGGAACCTTCTCTATGTTACCAGAAGAAAAATAAGGGAAATGATAAAGGCAATGGTTAGTAGAGTATGGTATCTGACTTCTACCAGGTAAGGTCACCTTCTGTTCTCCAGATCCTCATGGTAACTTTCTGGAGGTGTTAGTGACTTTTTACTTTGAGGCGTATTGCCCTAACCTCTCTGTATTTAAATGAGCATCTCCTCTCTTGCACTTTGCGACTCCTATATTGTCGTGTACGAATTGCCAAAACAGTTAAAACATGTGCGTTATTGTGTGCGGTCTTCTTCCCCCTCCACCTTGGTCTTTTCTCTTTTTGTCATCTCATATGGGTCGCTTGAGGGTTTCACTCCTAACTACTAAAGCATCAATGATAGTTACTTCGCAAACAGGCAGAAGATACTGGGTTTGTACTCTCCCATACAATAAATGACTTCTCTATTTAAGAAAATGGAGAAAACAGTGAAGGCTCGGGAACAGAACATCGCTGATTCCATGGGTCCATCGCCAGAGAAGGAAGTGGAAATCAGGGAACCACTCATGGACAGATTAGCAGACTCAGATGAACATAAGAGACACCAAACACAGGCGCCAAGAGGATGATGTATATTGGAATGACAAACAGGAAGTTTGCAGCCGGGAATAGTTCCTTGATAAGCTGCAAGCACATTTGCATAATTCTTCCCAAGGTTTGCTATCCAATTTTTTACGGATTTCGCAATGATGCATGCAACAATTGCGCGGATTAAGCCTGGCATATTGCTTGGGAACTGGTCGGGATTGTACAGACCAAATCGTGGGATAAAATCGTTGGATATATGCATATTTCAAAAAGGCTTCTTGACATATAGTTAAATGGTTCATGGGATTGCATCTTTCTGCCCTCATAAACAATACATTGCCATCCTTCATTAATAGAAAGTAGTTCGTCACGTTTTCCACAATGTCTAACGAAAGCAACCATCAGTAGTAGCATATATATGCAGATCTATGCGCTCCAAATAATGGGAATAAAACTATCAATCCATTATCGCCTAGACTGTGAGTAAAGGAAGGATATAAATTTATGTGTGTGTATATATACACAGATACAAGCATATCTCATAAAAGACACCCATGGGATATATGTACAGATCAGATAACCTAATTAACATAAAAAAGAAAGCACCTGGGCATCAAGTGCACTCTCCAACACTTGAGGCAGCAATCTTGCAGGATGCCCCAGTCTTACCAACTTTACCCTACATTGCAGATTATGTAAAACTGTCATAAAAAATCAGCATGACAATTGGAGAAATATGCATATGGATCACTGATATCTCAATGCATCTAGCAAGACCGTAGAAAAAGACGAATTAGAAAAAAAAAATGACTAATTTCTCAATGTTTGCTAAGCAGTGCACAAAAAAATGTCAAGCAAGCCTACCAATTGGTGATTTCCCTGCACAACCCCAATGGGATGGTCTACAGGTAGTAAAACTACTCTCACTACAGGACGCTTGCCTAGCCAACATGACGATCCGGATCTACCCACACTTTTTTTTGTTCACCCCAACTTATTCCCAGTAAAATCAAAGTATGAAAATAAAACTAAATAAAAGTTTACGAACAAATAAGAAGTCATTGAAGAATCTTCTCAGCCACTTATAAGCATGCAACCAGTGAAACCTGCCATCACATTTCTGACTGTTTAATATCGCAGCATTTAGGCAACATGATTGATGTGTCAGGTGAAAAGTAAAGCAGGAGAATAGCATAATATCATGTGCAAATTGATGCAGTTTTCATTTAGTTAATCATAAAACCTAGGGTTGCAAGAAAATTTTAAAGGTTCATTTCATCACCCATAATTGCAGTATGAAGCTTGGAAAGCTGAAGCGAACATCTAAGAACCTTGAAAATAGTTCATAATTTAATGACCTTTCTCTCAAGCTTTGGATCAAGCTGTACACATTCTAAAGACATTGCGGCATCAATCAGTTTTCAAGAAAAAAAAGAGCACTCAAATTTAAGTATCCCAAAACAAGAAGAATCTCTTTCCAGAAATTATTATAACCAGCGGTTTCCGTAAAATATATCAGACATACTTGAAGGGGAAAAGGCGTTCAACAATATTGTCAACAGCAATGTTAGAAGCAGCGCAGGCAAGAATCTTTGATCCTCGTTTAACTTCCTGTAAAATAATTTCGATTACGGTAGTTGTTTTCCCTGTTCCAGGAGGGCCATGCAACAGAAACACATCCTTTGATGAAAGTGCTTTTGAAATGGCAGCTTTCTACAAAAATAGTAGGTCAAACGTCAGCCCTTATCAAAAGTTGTAGCTAAAAGCGCCAAATGCTAAAAGAATCCCACAGGAAAGCTCCTAAAAAGGATTTAACATCTGACAATCGATAATTCACAGAGAGAATTTATTAAAACGCAGACATCAACTAAAACATCAGAAGACAATCTTAAGAAAGTGACAAATCCTAGATCCTGGTAACTAGTCAGAAATCTACAGAGAAATACATTTGCACAAAACATATCAGATAGGAGAAATGTAAGAAACATTACAACATAAGATTACAATTAAAAAATCTAACTAACGTGAGAAAAATATATATCAGTAAAGGGACAAAGGATGTTATAAACAATGCCAGTACAAGTAGAGCACTAATCTTGAATTCTTGCATGAAAACCTTGGCATTTGTTCTCCAAAAGTGCTAAATCTGTGAGTCCCTTCAAGTTTATACAAGCCTCACAAACTGTAGAGACTGACTTGGATCAGTCACCAGATTGGCCAGGTCTGATCTGATCATATCTGGATCGAATAGCATGAGTCTGTCAATCTGAGGAAATACTGATTTGATTGTACGTAGCAAAGAACTTATAATCTGTGAACAAAATGAAAGGATAAATAAGGTCATTCTTGAGGCCACAGCGTGTATTGAACCCTGCAAATCCGAATCCCCCGACCTTATTTCCGACTCTCATGAGGGTAGGGGTAGAGCGCAGGGAAAAACTATCATGTGCACTAGGCCAGCAGTGGCGAGCGTTGGTGGTTAGTCGTGATTGGCGACAGCAAATGAAAATCTGCAGAGGCTCCAGAGGACATCTTTCGTCGTTCCCTTAATCTCCTACACCGTTACCTTCCATCTTCTACATCATGCACTCCCTCCCAGAAGATCTTTTATACTTTTCCTCTAATAGCACCAATTTTTGTAGTAAACTGACCAATCTGAGTGAGATCAAGCTACAGCAGCCAGAAAATTGGCTGGTCTCACGTTGATTTCAGCTGTTTTTAAAAAATAAGTTGGGGCCTGAGGGGGGTGAAGGAAAATGTTTGATAAGAGACAACTGCAACTAAATCAGCTGATGTGAATATGTATCAGGTAATTTGAAGAATGAAATATCGTTTTCCCTTACAGATACTTGAGTAGAGTAGCTCTCTGGGGGATGTTCAAACTAAAGTAAAAATATGTATCAAATCAGGCCAATGGATCTTTGTTCTCAAGAAATGGTACATGAATCACTCAGTTGACCGATATATACACAAACTGTACTAGAATGCAATAGTGAAAAACAAGATTTGACTAAGTAATCGTAAAGCGATTATGTCCATCATGTTATGATCTACAAGAAAAAAACTAAAATTATAATACATCTGTCATGTCAAAGTTATCTTTACTTCATATGAAAAAAGGAGGAACAAAAACCTGAGAATGGTCGAGGTTCTTATTAAATAGAGAAAGTGGCACAGCTTTCTTCGCTATGGCTGAAGGTTTTTCCCCAAAAAGTACGGGAACCAAGTCTGCAGCTGGTCCCTTTTGCACGCCTTTACTAAGCTGAATCAGTGCACCTTTCATTCTGAGATAGGTCACCTACAAAAATGAATGAAGATTTCAATTTTTCATTCTAAATTTGGAGCCAAACAAGCAACTTTCTCAAACAATAATCGATGGGACTACAGTCACGAATGGAAGTTATCCTGGAGGAGCCACTTTTCTACTTCTCAAATAGGAAATAAGGCATGACAATATGGATTCCACACAAAACCCAGAAATTATGATACTAGTCCCACTAGATATCCTGCGAGATGGTAGAACCGCAAAGAGCAGTGTTACTCACACGACCAACGACAAATAACCGTCCCACTGACTAAAGCTTTCTAAATACAAAACACTTATTATCTCTGTGAAGAAATGGCAATGCCATTAAATGGTGGAAACTTGTCATTGGTAATTTCATTGAATGAGGATGTATCCACAAATCAATTGCAAAAAGAACAAATCGTTATGCCACAATGTCATAACGATGATGCCAAACAGAGAATATTCAAAAAAGTCAGGTTCAACAGGTCCGTTTCCTTTCTGGACAAGTTGTAGTAATTATGCAAACAAGGTAGATCAGCATCTTGTGACGAGCTTAATTATGCCAGTCAATTAGCATTTCACGATCAAGGGATAATTTTTTGTCGCCACGACCACCAATCTGAACCAAAAATCAGTTCAACTCCTTTGTCTTCATCGGCATATGTGGAGTGACAATCCACTATTCTCGTGTTTACATCTTCAATCACAAATAGACACATAGGAACACCAACTGGAGCTGAAATAATCTAATCTGCCATATTTTGCAAAAAAAATCATGAGATCTAGCAAAAGGAAAACAAGAAAGAAGAATCATCTTCGTTTCTATTTGATCGAACTCTGATCCCGACTCTAAAGTAGAGCGAGGAAGCCCCTCGTCCAACGAGGTCTCATCAATAGGGAACCATTTTGTACCCACTGGCGTGGCATGATTCATTGCTTAAAACCTTTCTGAAGAGTGTCTCCAACAGAACCAACTAATTTGTGAGTTTCTTATTCATTAGTCCTTTCTTGCAGGATAAGTTGCTCGATGTTTTCATTTCTGCAGAATACAGCAGATTGTCACGTCATATTCGTGTTGTCAACGTCCAAATCTTATGCTACTTAATCGCATCCCATTAACTAGGTTCTATGCAAAGAAAATGCAAGAAGATTGGAATCATTTTGAACTCTTTGAGGATAAGTAATTCAATAAAGGGGAACAATAAGCATAATCAAACAGTAGGGTACATAAGTGGAATTAGGACCAAAAAGGAGGATCGTTACTCACTGAATAAATACTGTTGAAAGGCATTACCAGGGAAGAGCATCAAAAGACTGGTAATTGAATATTAGCTTTCGTTGACATCAGAACACAACCTCATCCCTTATCAACCTATCGTAGGTCGCTTAGATGGAAAAGAATTATCGTGCGTTCTGTCAATCTCTAGAATTTTGCAATGCCTTTTTTTCTTTCCAGTAGATTTCATTCAGTAGAGTTTCGGACGATAGACTTCTAACTGAAGTCTTTGGCCCAAATAAGACAAATAACAATGTAATCCAGAGTACATCGTTTACAGGGCAATACATTCTTCCACAGATTACACGCAGACAACTCACAATCATACACAATCAATGGATTCAACTTGAATGGCATCAACCACAGACATCTAAAACATAGATAAAACCATTCATGACTAAAAATATTTATTCATTGTTTAGTGTCTATAATTACAAGTTTAGCATAAAATATTACAAGACTACTACTATTTGGTAGATTCAAAAAAAGAACATGTAGGAAAAGAGGGATGATAATAGAAGAAGATGGAAGAAATAACAATATGGATGCGAAATGTGTACCTCATTTGCAACTTTCTCAAGTCTCAAAGGATTATTCAAACCATCCTCTGGAATATCATCAAAAGCAACAGTTATGGAAGTCTCCTGTTTTCCAACCATTTACAAAACATGAGAAACACAAATAAAGCTTCTGATCAACTAAAAATAACAACAATAAGGGAATCGTAAATTTCTCCCTTCCAAGCTGTATAATAAAAGTATTTTATCCAGTTGTTAACATTGTGTTAATGAGTGAGAGCGATAGATAAAAGGAGTACCTTCAAACGATAAACTACACCTTGTCCAAGGGAAGAAGACGCTGCATCGGCCTTATTAGGCTTAAGAATAACCACATCATGCGTTCCAAACTGGAAGAATTTCTTAGCGTTCAAGTTAGTCTATCTAAGAGTACACAGAACTGATTGAGAACATGAACAATTAAAAATATAAATTTAAAATCCACGGATATTGAAAACCAAAAAGATATGTGCACGATGAACTTCTGAGTAACAGTCCAATAGTTAAATTCAAAAGAGAAAGAACCTTAAATATATTTGAACCATTTAGACAAATTATGTTTCCATAGTCTTTACGAGCGTCATTTCGAAATAATTCACTTACATCATTAACATTTGTTTTATAAAAAATAGATTTAAAGAAGACTATTTCATGGATCAAAATAAAGAAAACACTTTTATCTTCAAAATATCTGTCCCTTTCCAAAATTTGACCCAGTGTCATTTCGTAGAAATTCCCCCCATCCCTTGCATTGTCTCTGTCACTAGGACAAATTTTCCTTGGATAAAATTCCATAACAATTTCGCCTGTAAATGCTCCAACCTTGTGAGAGATATCAACAATCATGATCAAGTATCAAAGCATCTCCGAATGTTACCTTACAGCTCTTATCCACTAGCCAACAAGAATCAATTAGGATTTAGCATCTTCAAAAGATAACACTTAAGGTTCCCATATTGACAGCCAGCAAATAAATATTTTCAACTTGCTGGTAACTCAACTTGTTAGCCTAATTGAATCCAGAACTAATGGGACAGACCTCATAATGAAAATAACAAAAATGGCAACATTCCAAACATCAAAATCAAAAAGTTGATGATTAAAAATATACACTACTAAAGCAATTCAGGTACTATAAATCAGAATGCAAGAAAATTTTTTGGGTAAGATAACCCTATTACAGTACATGTAAAGATATATTATTTTTCCTTCACCTTTCATGATAGATTTCTTCAGTTGCCACTGCTCAATACTTTGATGAACTCCGGTGAAAATAGAATAAAATAAAACGACGGCGGATGGCTGTTTAGAATGTAAACTATGCTCTTTAATACGTTTTCAGGAAAAATTACCACCTTGTGAGTTGGAAGGACGTCTCCCTTGGTAGATTGAAACTCCAGAAGTGTTTTTCCCATCAATCCTGTCTAACATAAAACCAAATAGTAATGGACTTTAATAGTATGATTAACAACTAAGGCATAGTCTAACTCCACACTCATACCTGAGCGTCTATGCATTTAAGGTTGACGATCACTGAGCCCCTCTTTTTCATAGCATCTAGATTGCTTGATGAAGATGAACTGATGGATGTTGATACCTCAGCCTCCTGAAAACGGGCATACGTATGTAAATAACATAAATGCAGAAAGAATCCCACATTTGCACTGATTGAAGGCCATTAGAACTTCGTTCAGACTTCTCTTCAGAGTACAATCTTTTTTTTATAAAACTGATAAAAAATAAACATAATCAGTAAAATTTATGAAACCGAGACATGACATTCATTTATCCTCCCCAGATCTTGCATTCAAGTCAAGTTCGATCTTAATGTGTCCTTCTTTCTCCATGTAGAACATTATATTCCTCAGCTTGAATTATCGGTGATACTCGCAACATGAAGAATTTATTTCCTTTTAGGTGACCCAGGGACGTTGGTGGATTCGCCGTGATGCTGTCATCAAGCTAAGTCCTGTAAATCAACTAACATTTCCGTCTTCCTTATGTATAGGTCCTCTTCTGACACTTCAAGATTCCATTCCTACAACTTCGTACCTCTTGACAGACAATGGTGAAACGGCAGAGTACCTCCAATTCCCAAAGTACTAAGAATAGTTGACATGATTGCAGATACTTTTTTCTACTGTGACAGATTATATTGACAGCCAGCAAGCTGCGGCTGGTATGTCGCCATAATTCAGAGAATAGTGCTCCCTTTCCGGGAAATTCATACAGCCCTGTTGATGCTGCAGCAGATGAAGGCTGATGTTAGCCTGACAATCAGGAAGCCTTTCCAAAACCTCAGTATCTTCCCATGTACGCCCACCAAAGCTAGTTCCGACGATGTCAAAGATACACGAAGACGTTTCTGTTCCTCAGAATTTTTCTTTTAGGATATTTCAGTCGTGTTATACACAACAATGGAAGATTTAATTTTATCCAGTTATTTAACAACTAATTTATTTTTTGCTGCGATAATCGTCTCCATGATCGAAGCATCAGACCAGAGAGTCATCTCAACGGTACTCACTAATCATGTTATCCTAAAATATTATAGTTACGTGTACAACAAAGTTCTGAGATGTCAAGCCTCCCGAACAACAACGATACTCCACTGATTGCCAAGGCCAAACAAGGAAACCCGACTCCCAGCGTATGAGAAAAACTTAAAGAACCGATCCGTCCAGCTGCCGCGAGCAACAAGGAAGTTGAATTTAAGCTTCACAGAGCTCCAAAAGAAAATCACAGCAACGGGAGACGAGAGCACAGAAAGGGGACGCGGACCTTCTCCATGTCGATCAGTGGGGCCATGAGAGAGACGAACTGCTCCACAGACATAGCAGAGGTTCTGCTCCGACCTTTCCCTCCCTGCATGGTTGACGCCGGAAGCCTATCCGGTCTCTACGCCGCTGAAGAGCAGAGAACAAGAACAAGGGGCAGTAGGGCGTTTCGAACATTCACCGAAGAGCCGTTGCCCGTCCCGCTGAATGGACTTGCCACAGCAGATGGACGGTCAGGCACCGCCAATCAGATGTCATCGATCGTAATGGGCCGCCTGGTCGAACGGACCAGTTTTTCCGTCGACGTGGCAACCCTCTCTCTCTCTCTCTCTCTCCCTCCCTCTCTCCCCCTCTCTCTCTCTCTCTCTCTCTCTAAGTAGACGTGAAGGGTTGGGCGGGTGAGGCCCATGAAGGCCCATTTACGATAGCCCACCGAGGTATCACTGATCTACCCTTATATATACCTGTTGGCGAATATTCGACTCAATCGTCGACCGGGAAACGATGTAATCCAGAGAAAATCGAAAGCTTTCTTGCCCATTCAAAGTTTGACTAGACAGCCAAAGACACAGCTGACTCAATTGACAGGAAAAGTCAACGGGGGTCTCAGAACTGAAGCCCATTCTCCTTAGCGGCATCGGCGAGGGCCTCTATGCGCCCATGTTACGGGTACCCGCCGCGGTCAAAGGCGACCTTTGTGATTCCCTTCTCCAAGCAAGACTTTGCGATGGCTTCACCCACCTTCCTCGCCACTTCCTGGTACGAGCGGAAAGGCAGCAAAGCAGTGAATTACGGTGTGTGATAGGAAAACGTGGAGAGAGTTCATCATGTAGATGACAGATTTAGTCAACGGCCTCCCTCTGAGGCCACACCAAATCATAAGAATCTGCCAGTTTGACTAATATTTTAAGACTGTCTAGATGCCTTAAAAGTCAACGTAAGCATTGTTGGTTGACTAAGAAGGGAGTCAGGGGCAGAAGAGAGCCGAGTATCTAAGATGAGCTCTACATCGGCAACGTGATCTCTCCTGGTTGACTGAGCGCAAATCATTGCTTTCTCTCACTTGATTGTTTTGCACTGTCAACTGCTACCCATAAAAAGGATTCACACCTCCCGAACATAGAACAAGTGCGAGAAAGCAAAGCAGATGATGATGCATCAGATATGAATAGGATCAGCATTCACGACGAAGTTCAATGCTGAGTAATTACATGAGCAGTGGTGATTCAGAGCTAAATCATGGTCCTCTAATCATCCATGCTAATCATCACATCGTGCCATGTAAGTTTTTCTGCCAGAAACTGGAAAATATGGCTTTTTTTTTTAATAACAAGCACTCATGCAGATTTGGCATTTCTCAGCATTAAGAGGACTAACAAGCCCAGAGATGATATTAATGAAAAGTGTTTACTATTCCAGAGGAAATCATATATCACTTACGATTGTGGGTCCACATGAGTAATCGGATTCCTCAGAGACAGGTTTCTGCATGGTTGAAGCTGAAGCCAGGGTGTGCATCTTAGAATCATCAATCACTTGTACACATAGATGCTTGTTGGAACGGAACACAGACATCCGTGGCCTCTCCGGAGTACCCTCAACCTGGTTGCAAAGGCAGTGATGATATAAAAAAAAAAGGAACAACCATTTCAGGAAATATGGAAAGAAAAAGATGTCACAGAGCTCAGAGAGGGAAACTCACAAGGTTTCCAGCAGAAGGAAATTGGTCAAACGAGAACAAACATGGGTATGAACCCTAGAATGTCCATTGGAAGGACCTCTTGCCCACCAGATTTGGGGTATCTGGGCAAACTATTGACAACATGAGGTGTGGTTGTTTGGAACAGCCCAGGTGGGATTCAGCTCCTCCCTGGTGTCCTGTTGGTGAATGATGGAATCCTCTCCATCTGATCACATACATGATGAAACCTCAACTGAATATATGTCAAGAAAATGAATACACATATGAAAATATCTCAACAAAAAAAAATTGATGAAAAGAAGAGGAACAGAAAGAAAACGGGAGCAGGGCACACATGTCAGTAATATTTATTAATAAAGATGAAGAAGGTACGTAAAGAAAGATCTCAGCAGTAAATATTGGGCCTTGGAACCGTGCAAATCCGCCGTATTAATACTTAAATGAGACAAGTCAGCCAATCCATGGTCCACACTTATGTTCACATGATGAGTAGGCGAAGTAGATTGATATAAAAAGGTCAAACGCTTCTTAGTTATTGCACCCTCATTCTCAAGGCACCCAAAATCTATAGATTCATTTTTACATCTCCATCATCATACTGAGCCAACCATTTTCTAGAATCTCCCGCGCAGCAAGTACACTCGGGTCTGCCTGTCTCATGCATCCAAAGCCATAGCCAACTGACAGCATTTGACAGTGGGAAGTCCAATCCATACCCATTGCTAAAGTTATGGGAACGGACCTTCTTCCGGATGCGCTTATGCCTAGCGTTGCGATTCTCCCTCCTCGTCGTGGCCTTGGCCTCGTGGTTGCCGGCGCCACCCTCGGCACTCTGGCGCCGAGGAGCAGCTGCTGTGGCCTCTGGCCGCAGACGAAGGCGCTGCTGCCCACGGACCAACCTACAGCCGTTGAAGAAGGCAAGACGATCCCCATAGCCATGGCTCCTCTAAAAATCCTATCCCGCTCCCTCCCCCCTCCCAACTGAGCTCCCCTTGCTCAGTCTACCCAACCTTATCCATCGCTCAAAGATCATTTTTTTTTCTATCATTCCCTCAATACCCAATTCCGGTCGAGATTTTACTGCGGAGTTGATACGATGACGTAATATTATGAAATGTAATATATTAATTACGTCATCAATCATTCGTAGCATAAACATGGAAGTTTGAGCCAAATTTAAACACATCATGCAGTTGGCTGTTCCAGAGGGGGATCGAGCCAGCTGCAGCCGACCGCCTTCTTGACGCCCTTCCGCCTCATCGCGTCCCTCACGCCGACGGCGAGGCTCCAGTCTCCGGCTCCGGCGAACGCGTTGCACAAGAGCGCGTAGGTGCCCCCACCGCCGGCCAGTTCCCCGTCCACCAGGTGCTTGCAGCCCTTCGCTTCGCGGCCGTGGATCTTGCAGGCGTTCAGCAGAGCGCTGCGGACGGCGCCGTCGAGGCCCCCGGGCATGATCTCCGCGACGAAAGCCTCGGCTTCTTCCAGCATGCCGGCTCTGCCCAGCATGTCGGCGACGCATCCGTAGTGCTGCTTCTCGGGACTGACGCAGGAAGCTCTGCCCATGGCGGAGAGGAAGAGCAGCCCCTGATCGACCAGGCCCGCGTGCCGGCAGGCAGAGAGGACCGCGAGGAAGGCGACTCCGTCGGGTTGAACCCCGTGCCGTATCATCAGTGAGAACAGCTTGATGGCGTGCTTTCCGAGCCCGTTCAGCGCCATCCCTCCAATGAGGGTGCACCACGCCGTTAAGTCCTTCTCGGGGAGCTCATGGAACACCTCGAGGGCGCTGGCCATGTCCCCGCACTTGGCGTACATGTTCATCAGCGCGTTCCCTGCGATCCCTCCAACTCCGACTCCTGCCATGTCCATGTAAGAGTGCACCCACTTCCCCGAGGTCAAGGCCGCCATGGAAGCGCAGGCGCCGAGCACGCTCACAAGGGTCGCCTCGTTGGGCACGGCTTCTCCGCACAGCACCATGGCGCGGAAGACGGAGATGGCCTCGTCGGGGCGCCCGTTTCGAGTACAACCGGAGATCGCCGTAGTCCAGGAGAAGACGTCTCTGTGGGTCATTATAGTGAACATGTGACGTGCGGTGTCTGTGGCGCCGCATCGCATGTACATCTCCATGATCGCGTTGTCCAAGATGATGTTGCGATCACCATGGGTGGTCCTCAGTCTGTGCCCGTGGACGGATTTCCCCAGTTGCAGCGCTCTCAGTCGCGAACAGGCCGATAGCACGGCGACGAGGGTCACCGGATTGGGCTCCAAATCCATGCGGGAGAAGACGGCGATGGCCTCCGCGATTCGCCCGTTCCTGGCGAGCCCCGCCATGAACGAAGTCCAGGAGACGACATCGGGGAAAGTGATGCCGGAGAAGACGGAGCTAGCGGAGTCGACGTCGCTGGAGGCGGCGTAGAGGCTGACGAGGGAGTTTTGGACGAAGATGTCCGCGAAGTGGCCGGACTTCAGGGCGCGCGCGTGAATCTCGCGGCCCTTGGTGGCGGCGCAGGCGTGGCGACGGAGGAGGGAGCAGCAGGCCTTGACGGCGAACGTGAAGGAGAAGTGATCGTGAGGGGCGGAGCGGCGGAGCAAGTGGTTGAAGACGTGGAGGGCTGCCTCGGGGACGGCGGAGTGGGCGGCTGATCGAATGATATAGTTCAGGAGGTGCGGCGAGGGTGACTTCACGATGTGGGCATGGATCTGGGCTTCTAGCTGAGGGTGAAGCATGAGAGTGAAGATCTTGGTCAAATCTGGAGGATCCCACGGAGATCAGACCCTTAAATGTCAGCGTTTCCCCGAGTTTCACGATCGTATGTTTCTCTTGATATGATTTTATTGAGGAAAAAAATTATATTTTTCAATGCCCATGCTTCCGAGGGAAGAACTATCCCGGCATCTGAAATCAATGCATTTCTGCAGTGCGACGTGCCCTTTCTGGGTCTCGCCTTCCCCTGCGAGGAGTGGCAGAGCGTATAAAAACGTCTCCTTGAGGAACCCTCCTTCCTCCGATCGAGTAATGAAGCACTGGATTCTCCCCTTTTTATCTCGATTGAGGAGCTCCGTCTGATGCAGGGGCGGTGCAACGACGGGAGAGAGAGAGAGAGAGAGAGAGAGAGAGAGAGGAGAGAAGGAGGGAGAGAGAGGGAGAGAGAGAGAGGGAGGGAGGTGGAGGGGGGGGGACCCTTCCTTCTTTAACGGGCTTCTGTCCTCCGACTGGACGGCCTCCCGTGTCCAGACGACGTGGACTTGGCCCGAGAAGACGAGCTTCACCGGCAACAATCATGTCGAGAATGTCCCGTGCAAGCTACACCTGTAGGCGCGTGTGTAGCTTTCTTGGTCTGGGAAAGCACCCTAGAACCTCCAGAGTGCAGCTACAGATGCGGAGACCCTCTGAACTTCAACGATGGAACATGTATTCCCATCCAGAGTGACAACTGTTGAGAACCTACGTCATCTTTCACCCCATTTCCTTATACGCTGAAGTATTTATCAAAGGTAAGCAAATCTATCTCTCTCTCTCTCTACCTTCTCTTCCGGTCTCTGTCAAAATTTCAGCCGTAAACAGCAGAAAACTGTCAAAAAACGAAAATATAAGTACTGCAAATCTATCTTCCCCCCACGGGTGGGTAGCAGACAGGACGACGAATAGAAGTCCACAGAGAGAGAGAGAGAGAGAGAGAGATCAGCTGTAGACCAATCGTGGCCCCGCCCCGTCTTCCCAGAGACCAGGGTCGCAGTTCTCTTGCTTCCCGACTCGCCCTCTGCTGGATGATTACCTTGTGAGTGAAGAAAGATGCATCTGAGAGCAAAAGAGGGAGAGAGATGGAGTCAAAGACAAGAATAACACCCCGCAGACCTTCAAGACTCCCTCTCCAGCACATTCTTGTCCCCACCCTCTCGGTCCACCTCGAGACCGTTTTCTCTCTCTACCCCCTGCTTCTCCGCGTTCGAAGCAAGAACCCGCACCCCCGCAACATCTCTAATTCATAAGTCGTCGGACTCGTCGTCTCCACAATCGGCTTCTGTTTCTCTCTCCTCCTCCTCTCTCTCACACCCATCCTTCTTCTTCCTCCTCTTCCTGCTCCTCGGACAGCATTCTCGTTGGTCCGGGATGAGGAAGCCGGAGGCGCCGGCGAAGGATCATATATCAGAAGATGCCGCCGGCAAGCTGAAGAAGGGCCTGTGGTCGCCGGAGGAGGACGAGAAGCTCGTCAGCTACATGCTCAAGAACAGCCATGGATGTTGGAGTGACGTCGCTCGCAACGCCGGCCTGCAGAGATGCGGCAAGAGCTGCCGGCTCCGGTGGATCAACTACCTGAGGCCCGACCTCAAGCGGGGGCCTTTCTCTCCCCAAGAGGAGGAGCTCATCGTCCAACTCCAATCTATTATCGGCAACAGGTCCTCCCTCTCTCTCTTAAAAATCTAGCTTAGAACTGGTGGTCATCAATGACTGGTGATCTATTTTACCGTGAAGCTCGTCATGGATTCTAACTCTCAATGACCCCGGCTTCTCCAAACCTTCACAGGTGGTCTCAGATCGCGTCGCGGCTGCCGGGGCGCACCGACAACGAGATAAAGAACTTCTGGAACTCTACGATCAAGAAAAAGCTGAAGAACTCGACGTCGCCGGCGCCGCCAACCAGAGAAGCCACCGCAGATCTCGGGTCAGCGAGAAATGCCGCAATGGGAGCTCCGATGGGCAGGTCCACAGGTCATCTGTTCAGCGCGCTGTCCCTCCCGGAAAGAAGCTACGCTGCAGCTGGATCGAGCGGCAACTGCATCAATGGAGACTCGTGCCTGTCGCCCATTGGAGAGAGCTTCTACGGCGGCCATGGATTTACAGTGGACAGCGGCCTCGTGGGAGTAGGCTTTGGCGTTTACGAGGCCCCACCGGAGAGCGCGTACTTGGAGGAGAGCTCCATTGGCCGGGTCTCCTGGTGCAGTAATACCACCGACAAGAATTATTTCCATAACGGCGGCGATAATTCCGGCTACATCGGTGGAGAAGAACAGCAGACTCAGAGCGGTCCCAGTGAGTATGGAAGATACGAGCTCTGGGGAGGAAGAGGAGTGAGTGCCGGGGTGTGGGACTTGGCGGAGTCGATGGGGGACGTCCCTTTCTTTCCTCTCCTCGATTTCCAAGTCTAACGTTTCCCCACGACGCTTCATCTCCCAACAAGACCCGCAGCTCTCTCTCTCTCTCTCCCTCCCTCCCTCCCCCTCTCTCTCTCTCCCTCTTGCGGGCCAATGAAACTCCCCGGCATTTATTTCTCAATAAAGATCGGGTGGGGGTGGGGCGGTCCTTCCCCTGACCTCAGAGTTTTTCGCTTTTCTTCGAGAATCGGCTTCTCTTACTGCCTTCTGAAGCGCGCGCCCTTCTTGCGCTGGTTCTCAGTAGAGGTGTTTGGAAAATGTACAGATCAATGGACTCCACACTGTTTTTTTTTTTTTTTCAATCTCTGCAACTCTCAGCGATGTAGCAGTGTTCTTGTGTGAACATGATATCCATAATCTTTCGTTCGAACGGTGGGAAAATATTCATTTACCCAGTTAATTTTTCCCCTTTTTGGGGCAGTATTGGTCATCCTGTTCCTAGATTTCTCGGCCAGGTGATCATACGATGAAACAATGGGTGGAGGATTTTGACATTAGCAAGCACAGTGATGAAGCCCGAGTCGAAGGGGTTCGCAGCGTCGCTGGAGGGGTAAAAACCAGATTATTTCCTTCCAAAAATGGAAAATGCTTGCATTTTTCCTCATTTTTTTTTTGGAACAAAAGAGGAAGGATCCCCAGTCCTCGTTCGAGATCGTAGTCAACCCTTTACGGCATCTCAACTACGTTTCAAAGCGGGAAAATCACATTAAAAAATATCAAATTATCCGTATATTAATTCCATTTGTGTATTTCACATCCTCGAATATCGATTACTAAAATTATCGAAAATATCGGGTTTTCCATTTTTTAAAATCAGTTTTTTGTTTATGGGTTTTTGGCTTTCAGTGCTGCACACGACTTATTCACTCAGTCTCGTGGTTGCTGATGTTCTTCACTATTTCCACGTTGACTTCACTTCTGGGCGCATCTCAGATTTACCCAAAATTAGCGAAGTCGACTTACCTTGGTAGCCATTGCAAGTTAGAAAAAGACAAATCAAGCAAACCCCCCCTCTCTCTCTCTCTCTCATCCATACGGACAAGCACATTCTGCTCCACCGACGTGGACCTCCCAATTTAGCATCCGGAAATTGAATCTGTAGAGGGGTCAAGTCAAGTGCGCCGGAACAATGCCGAGCACCGGCGCCCATCAACCTCTCCACCATCACCAGTGGGAGTACAGCAGCTCCCATCACACTGGACCACCTCTCACCTGTCACAGAAGCTTCGACCACACACAACTCTCATCATACTCCAAAGTCAGTCATTAATAGATCGTCCGGCGGCGAGAAGGCCTCTAGCTCCCGCCAGGAAGCCCACGTGGGCAGCCATGGCTCAGCACAGGAAGGACGACGACGACGAGGTTTACAGTGGGATAAGCTCTTCAGTCGTCCTCAGCTCCTCAAAGCAATGGGTGGATACCCTTTATTTTCTTTGACTGAACAGAGAGAGAGAGAGAGAGAGGATCAGAAGAGGGGCTTGTGCGCGTTGACTTTCCAGACCCACCAACTGAAAGGAGCAGCTGTACCATCCACTGGAGAACGACCAGAGGATCCGAGCAACAAAATCAATGAAGGGAAGAGACTGATGGCGAAGGAAGTAAGAACACTGCATATCCTTCAGAATGCCTGGTTTCCACAGTGGGTCACATCCGGTTCCTCTACCCAGCAAACAAAGCTTGCAAGGGGAGCACCGACGATCACAGTTTTGACCAAAAAATCGGATTACTAAATTTCTCGTCATCAGGATATGCAGATCAGCCAAGAGCTACACCCCAACAGGCCAAGAGTTCCTACGAGCACAAGCAAATGAGCATTTATCACATCTAAAAGAGATGAATCTCAGAAGGCAAGCAGCCATAAACCCAGTTTTTTCTTCTTCTTCTTCCACAGAGAAACAAGTGGGTCGATCAGCAGATGCAGAAAACAATGCTAAATTAAGCAACAGCAGAAGAAGAAGTGTTTAGATCAAGAGAGTGAGCTACTCGTGCTTGGGATTAACCAAACCGAAGTCCTCAGAAAGTACCCAATGGCCATGAACTGATTGTGTAGAGATCGAGTTATCTGATTCGGAAAGAGAAAAATTAGGCATCGGTCAAGATCGGTATCATCAATAAGGCATTAGATTGTAGCACAGAACCTGCCCAGCGAGAAAGGAGCAGAGATCGCGAAGAACACATTTAAGAAGCGAGCATTCTGCCGTGACGACTTCCAGAAAAATGCAGACCAAATGTGTTCTTCGCAGGAAGAAATTTGCAGGAAGAGGGATCAGAACGATGAGAAGATCTATGCACACAAAAACGCGATCCGAAGGCCAAGGAATCTCGAAGGGTATAGAAAAACAGGCGATTCTGTCGTCTCTTTCAGCCATTTGCCTCTCGGAGCTTGATGCAATCCCATGGAGGTAGAAAACCCACGGACCTCACATATAGACTTTCGAAACAGAAGAAGAAGAAGGAAGACGAAGAAAAACCTAAGAGCCCACCCAGTGACACCTGCAGGCCAGCTCCATTACAGACCTCCAATCACACTCACCAACGACTAAAGATAGCAACCTAGAGAAGTTCTGCATTCCGTCCACCATCCACAAGCTACAAAGTCGGAAAACTCCATAGCAGGAGGAAAATGGGAAGCGGCGAAGAAACCCTAGGACCCAGAGCGAAGCAAACTCGTCGAGCTTACACCTACCCTGTGATAGACGACTGGTTGGGCTCGAAAGACAACCACCGGCGAGAATGTAACTCGTCCAGAATCCCCTCCATTAATGGGTCTGGATTACTTGGATTTCCTCATCGATCCAGCCCAGCGGACATGATAAATTGGCCCAGATGAAATCCTCAGACTGCACCATCCGACATGCTCCAGCTCTGAAATCTTACTCGCACCCTGTCATGCTCAAACCCAGCACGAATATTTCAAAAAAATATTTCTTTAATACGTTGTTTTAGTTATTTTAATAAGGACAGAACCCTAATGATCTTGCCCGAGTCTAATTCACCCCCACGTGAGTTGGGCCTTAAAAAAAGCCGGCCTTTATGCTCAGTCCCCCAGAACCCTAAATATCTGAATTATGAGCGTGACTCCGTCCAGGGGGCTACGCCGACCTCTGTCGGGCCCCCATGGTGGTGGTTTGGGCGGCGGTACATTGAATTCGAAGGGAAGGATTCAGCAACCACTTCCCAATTCAGTTCCCCGAAGGAGATGGCAGACTGAACCGCTCACCCGGCGGCGCCGCCCAATCGCCGCCGCGCGCACCCCCCACACAGACCAAAGAAAACCCACGGCGGCGCCTCCTCCCAACACTTGGATCCAATCCAGCCTTCATCATGCTCTGATGGGTAACCAAAAATAAATAAAAATAATTAGTTTCCGATGACGAACTTCCAAGGTGATGTGGATGGTCCACCCTATCGGCAGGCAGGATGATGCCCGGCTGACTCGACTCCGGCATGGTCAATCACGGATATGAGGTAGGCGGCCCAAACCTCCGGCTAATAATGGCAGCCGGGCCGATCATCTTCATCCCCTTCCCCCCCCCCCACCCCCCCCAAACAACCACGGTAGCGGAGTCCTAATCCGCGGATGGAAACGACGCTCAGATGCCCACAGAGGGATCTTGTGAGGACCAAAAATAGAAACGGAATAAGTGCGATATAATAACAACGGTGAAAGTAGTCAAGGCAGATTAAAATGCGGTCTTACATGGAAACTTGCCAGAGTTACAGAACCAGAGACCTGGACAAGAATACGGTAGCAAATAGAAAACTAGAGAGAGAGAGGGAGGACATACCTTTCTCTCTCTCTCTCTCTCTCTCTAAAGATATCGACCAGTTTACCATGAGAACGAATAATAATTAAATTATTAATATTCTTAGTAATCGATTCCTTTTTTCGAACACAGTAAAGGCAAAAAAAATGAGACCTAAAAATCAGAACTCTGGACGAGAAACTTAGCTGGGCTCGGCTGGAATTCACCCTCTCGGTCTTGTCTGAAACTGTTGCGAGACTTGGTCACCCTCCATTTGCCACACCCTTCCTTCTACGTATATATATATATATATATATTTACCATCTGTTATCGTTGAAGCAGGTCCGTCTTTACAACGCCACCAGCTGGTCGAGCTGCATCTGCTCCAGCCACGCACCCAGCACCGTTTGATCGACACCCTCCGCCTGTAGATTGGAGCTAGTTGAGTCGTCGCCGACGGTAACGGGCGTGGTCACTGGTGCCTCGTCATTGGCTTCTAATGGCGACTCCTTGACCAGTGACTGCACCCATGAGAGATCCGGCTCCTCCCCACCAGAACCAAGCTCGAAGGAGGATGATGGCGGCTGCCTGAAAACGCTGTTACCAAGGCCTAGATCGTCGCTATTCACGCCCCAGTCCAGCTTCCCCCCCGGAGAACCCCACATGGACATGGATGGGCTTGCAGGGGAACCCGAGCCCAAATCTCTTGAGCTGAGAGACCTAAGCTGATGCTGTTGCTGCTGCTGCTTCTCGAGCTGGGCGAAGGCGGCCAGCCGGCCACTCATGGGAGAGTGAGGCTCCACGCTGCGAGGGGACATCCGGCCGGACGACACCATGGCTAAAGATGCCTGAAGGAGGCTGCTGCGACCGACGGCGAACGGGGAGTCCACTGACTTCGGGGAGAAGACGCTGGGATTGATGGGCGAGAGCAGACCCTGATGCTGATGCTGCTGGAACTGATTCAAAACAGCTGCTTCGTGGGAGGGAGAGAACATGGCGCCCTGGTCGGAATCGTACCTCGGTGAGGAACCCATCTCGGCAGAGAAGAGGTCGTCCAGATTTGACGGAGCCATGGACTTCGACCTCCCCGGCATATTACTCATCAAGGACCCCAGCCGGGAGTGAGTCGAGGAATAACCGGAAAAGTCGTTCATCAGCTGCTGGGAATCGTACTCCGGCGACGCAGTGAAGTCATCCACTGGCATGTCCCTAGCACTGACAGAAGAACGGAGCCTGCTGCTCCCGGGGAGGCTCAGCGTGGGCACGTTCGACTGCGGCCACACCAAAGACGAGTGAGGAGAGATCCCGTTCGCGGCCGAAGGTGAGATCGGCGGGGTGAAAGCCGCCATGGACATCAGCGAGAGAGACGACGGCGACCCAGGAAGCATGCTCATTGCCGCAGCAGCCATCTCCATAGCCGATGCAGCCGCAGAAGACGATCTTGGTGACGGCACAGCAGATCCAGTGGACATATACAACGGGCGGAGCTCCTCCGCCGTGTGGGCAAAGAAGCAGACTCTCCTACTGCAGCTCGTCCCGTCCTTGCACAGTCTTGTTCTGTACTGCGCCGGATGAAGCCAGCACTCAAAAACTCCATGCGCGTACTCACAAAGGTCTCCCCTGCGGCATGCGCCTTTGCGAAAATCTGGGCAGGGTACGCAGCTGTAATGATACTTCCTGGGATCACGCCTCCGGGCGTTCTCGCCGGGATGCACGAAGGGGCACTCTGTCCAGTCATGGGAGTACGCCCGAGAGCAAGGCCGGACCTTGAAGGAGAACATGCGGAACTCATCTGTGGAGTAGATGCTGTTCTTGATGTCGGGAAGCGACGCGTCGACTGGGTACTCTTTCTTCTCTGCGACCGCAGAAGGGGCCAGATCAGGGGACTTGCCCGTCTTGGGTGAAGAAGTTGAATCCGACGACGCTGATCCACCATCGTCGTCTAGGGAAGACGACAACGGCGGCGACTCGGAGCTCGAACTGCTGACGGAGATGCGGAGATGGTTGTTCTGACGGAAACTGCCCAGAAGATCTTCCAATGTGACCTTCACATCAGAGTGGAGCGGAGAGACGACGATCACATCATAGGGCCGGCGACCGTTCACATCGACGGCTTTCTGATCGGCACCCGCGGCCAAGAGCCGCTTCACGACGTCAACGGCGTTGATGGACCCACTGGACGCCGCGCAGTGGAGCGCCGTCGTGTTGTCGGAGCCGCAGCTACGGTTGACGTCGGCGATGGAGAGCAACAGAATCAGCTTAACGACGTCAACGCTGCCGTATGTCGCAGCAACCATTAAGGGAGTCCGCTGCTCCAGCACCATCTGATTGGAGCCCTTCTTGCGGCCATACCAGAGACCAATCTCGTCGACAGCCGTCGGGCTCCGCTCGACGAAGCGATTGAAACCCTTGACATCGTTGTTGGCCGCGAGTTCCAGGAGGCTGGAGAAGTCTTCGGTCTCAGAGGTCAAATGAGACATCAGGGCGCCCTTCGCAGAGATGCAAGGGGACAACGTAGCATGTGATGAATCGGAAATTGGAGGCGGTAGCGGCGGTTGCGGCGACGTTGGCTTGAGGAGTTCAGGATCATAGCACTTGGGTTGACCAGAAATCCAGCTACAAACAAATACAGGATGGTAAGGACAGGACAACATAAAATAAAAAAGATGCACGACATGCAACGAAGAGATAAATCACAAGCAGAAAGTTAGGACGAAGATCAGGAAAACGGTAAGAGCAGATGAAAAAATAATCGGGGTGCTTCTTCTTGCTCGCAGAAGATGAGATTTCAGGATAACGGCTAAAAAAAATGGGAATAAAAACAACAAAGCACGATTCTTCGCACGACAAAAAAAAGGATAACGCGAGCATCTGGTTCTACTGGGAACAGGAGGAGATATGGAGAAGACCGGAGGACAGCAATAGACAAGCCGATGATGGAAGGCCGCCGGGGGAAAGGGTTTAGATGCCGGAACCCGGACCATAAATCACGCCCCGGAGAAGAAGATTTCAAGATTCACAACGAAGATGATCTCCACACCCATGCTCCAAGGAAGACGCTAAGCGAAGAAACTCCAAGGAAGCTCCCATAAAAGTGTAATCCGGCTTGGAACAAAACCCTCGACCTTCACCGAAGGCCGAAAACCCCAAACAATAAAACACACCACACGATATTTCCTTCTTCGCTATTCACTGAGAAAGATTTCCCAGAACCGACCTAGAAACAAACAACGACACAAGAAGCCTCCGCCGAGTGATTATCGGAGCTTACCGGTTCCCAGGAGCTGTAAGGGGCGAAAAGGTGGTCTCACTCCCCATCAGACCCCCTCCCCCAGCCTGCACCAAAACAGATCGGAGAAGAAGCTACCCGAGACCTTCCTCCCTCTCACCAATCCGACGAGAAAACCCCACAAGCGATTCCAAGCCCTCTTCGACCGCACCAGGGGAGGCACCGCCTCCTTCCCATCGCAGCCTGCCCGCCTTCAGCTCTGCAAGCGCCACCGGCACGACGATCTGTTGGAGGGATTTGAACGGGGAGTGGGGAGAGAAAAGGGAGGAAGGGGGGGGGGGGGGAAGTCTCACCCTGCGCCCTGCCCGCCCACCTGCCTGCAAGTCTCAGAGCACGTTTCAGAAACCAAAATGAAATGAAACGCCGCCCAAATACACGGTACGCAAATTTCGGAGGCCCCAGCCAAGTTACGAGGACGCCCCCTTTTCACTCCAAATGAATGAGGTCGAAATTCATCCCAAATTCGCCCCAAACCCAGCCCTGAGGGCAAGACTGTAATTGTCCAAAATAGGAGAATTCGAGCAGCCGGCGACCGGGATAGCCGGTGGAATATGGGCGTGACCGCTTGTGTCCGGTCGCCAGTTCCCCAAACGCGTGAGCCCATACGAATGGCGACCAGTGAAGCCTGGAGGAGTACTTTTGCCCGAGGAATTCAAAATTGTAAATAATAAATATTTTTTCCTGACGGATGTCGCTTCATAATGGGGCCCATTAGCCGGCCCAATGGGCCCACCCGTATTCGTCATCAATCTTATGTTGGCTTCCGCACGGCGTTGGAGACCAACAACGAGCCGCCGCCACCAATCCGCTTCACACCGACGGCCATGATCGACGCGTTCCGTCAAATAATGACGAAAAAGCCGCTTCATAAAGACGACGAAGAAAAGCATCAACCCATAAAGCAATCAACTCTCTCTCTCTCTCTCTATCGCTGTGCATTCCACACGGCAATTCCCCTTTCGAAAAGCAATCACCCCACGACGGCTCTCGCTTTCTCCTCTCGTGGTCGGTCGTCTCGGAGATGAATGAATGTTTGCTGATAAAAAGGTATTTTTACGGAAACATGTGAGCATATTTGTGAAGGATGGCGAAGATTTTTGAACGCCGGTTTGCGGCGGCGGAGGGCCGCTCCTCCTCCGTCCTTTCCGGCGGCGGGGCCCTCCGACCGCCCATCCTCGTCCGGCACCGCCCGCCACCAACCCAGAGCCCCTCGTGGGATGGGGACCGCTACTCCCCCCCGCCCCCCTATCGGCTCCCCCGCGGGGGGCGGCGATGTTGACCCACACAGGCTACAGAAAAAGAGGAACTCTTTTCCTCCTCCGTTGCCGCCACCGGCGCCGGCGCCGCCGCTGGTCTCATACCAGAAATCGGTGGCTCCGGCAGCCTCCACCCTCTCTCAACAGCCAGGCCACTGGGCTTCCCTCCCCACCACAGAGATGGCCCGAGAAGAAGAAAAGTAGCAAGATATTCTCTCTCTCTCTGTCTCTCTCTCTCTCTATCTGATAAGAAACCGAAAGCGACCAGGAAATCTCCAGCCTTGATCCATCGGATGGGCATCCTCCTCAGAGCCTGGGCTGTGTGAATATTATTATTTCTATCATCCATCGTTGCCGCCTGCCCACCCTTTGACCAGGCTTTCATTTGGAAGGCTCCTGTAAGTAGATACCAAAGCGGCGACCTTCTTCCAGTATTAATTTATCTAAGATTTTGTTGGTCCTAGTTCGCTGTTTTCTTCGGAGTAAAATAATCTCACATTTAAGCATGGTTGCGAGTATATAGACACTAGAAACATCTCCCCAGCGGCCCGTCCGTTTTCTCAGTCCATCATCTTTATTAATTTAATAAAAAAAAAATTAAGTAATTTAACGATGGAAAACCAGTGTGTCGTGGAACGGATCAACTTCCAACTACCCCCGAATGCAGCGCGCGGATCCCAAGGTCAAGGTCAACGACTGCGTTATGGCCTCCCCTTTCCCAGTTCATCTGGGTCTATACGGTGGGCCCATGAGCTCGATTGACTAAATAGCGCATGGAGAATTCTATAATTTTTAAAATAAATTGATTGTTTCTAGCACCACGGGGGACATTAAAATCATATAACCAATAATCTAGATAATATTTTTCAGTTAGTGGATCAATCCCCCCACCACACCCGCCTAACCCTCACCCGTCATCTTGATCACCTCTTTAGGTTGGCTAAAAAATGACCACCGAGCAGGACAAAAATCGGGATACCGGCGATTAGTCCACCAATTATTTTTAAAAAATTACCACAGAAAATTTATAAAGAAAACGGTTTAATTAATTACGACCTTTATTTTTTTTTTTCTCGTGCTCGGAAGTCGCATTTATTTGGATTTTTCCCATCGTCTTGGTAGAAAATAAAATAATCCGTACATATTATAAATATTAAAAAGTAAGATGATTTTGGTAGATAGATCGAGATTGTATATGTTTTATTTCATTTTATTGTTTTCAAAGAACAGCCTATATTTTATATTATCTTCTGGTTCTAAGAGAGAGAAAAGGGGATCTTCTGTGATTCTCTCAGTCGCTTGGCGGGAATGCTTATCTGCTAAGTGGGGCCCGCGATATCCACGTCACTCCGTTGCCCGTCTGAACGCGGGCGGTTATTGTCGCGACGTTGAAGATGCACATCTCGCTGTCCGTCGGTCCCACAACATCGCACCTGGACAAACTTGCGAATAATTCGAATGGGCCTCATCTGGGCCCACCTTCTGGCCCATTGGGAGGCCCGGGATAGACCGAGAACCTTCTGGTGCTAGGGAGACAATATCGACACGAGGGAAGGGCCGTTTATTAATAAAACCTTGTTAAAAAATTTATTTTAGTTTTACCTGACTTTGGTAACATTTATGAATATACCTTTATGTCGTCCGGGGCCGAGGATCATAAGAGGGGAGACTCAAGCCCGAGGCCCGGACTGATGACTTGAAAATCTCCCGTGCTTGGGCCCGTACCAAAGCCCGGATACTCACGACTTATCATTAAATACAATAATTTCAGGGTTATCAAATTAGTTACTTCAAGATGAGAAGTGGAGCTTGTTTCTTCGGCATCTGAATCTCTGTACCCTTCCCTTGTCTACGAGGTCCTTCACTTCTCCCTCCCGCTACCGATTACAACGAAGTGCTCCCTTTGTACAGCGAGATGCCGGCGTCCGCGATGAGCAGCCGGCCGGAGGAGCTGACGGAGAGGCTCGGGGCTGCCTCCGTGGAGACCGGCGGGGAAGCGCTTCTAAAGGTTCTCAGGGAGGTGAAGAACCAGATCATAGGCAACAAGACGAAGAAGGTCCTCTATCTCCATCTTGGCGCTGTACCGAGGATCGTCGCCGTCCTCACCTCCGCCTTGGACGCGGACGGGGGATCCACCGCCACCAACCTGATCGTACAGTCGGCGGCGGCGCTCGGCAGCTTCTCTTGCGGCGTGGACGACGGAGTCCGGGCGGTGCTCGACGCCGGAGGGGTTCCGCACCTCATACGGCTTCTCTCCAGTCCTGAAGAGAAGGTTTCGACATTTTGCCCTCTACACCTCATTCGACGCGGCTAAATTTTTATCTTATCGGTGTTTTCCACCTCGGCGGTTGGTGGTTAATTCCCGTCCCCCTTTCGTCTATGTAAAACTTGGGATTGTGATAGAGAAATATTTTTTCCATCTCGAGAAATAGTTTACTGTTTAGTTCATTCATATGATTCCTTATAATTTTCTCCCTTTTGAGGGGAGGCCGTGTACAAATCGATCGCCGATCAATTTGTAAAACTACATCATTTTGCCAATGAAAAGCGCCGAAGAAATTTTTCATTTCTCTTTTCCGTTAAATGCTGCATGCCTGGAAATAATACATCTGTCCTGGGCTTTGAATTTATTGCTTAGTATGCTCCATTTCGGAAAGGAGATTATTAGTAAGAAAATCATTAGCAAGATCAGAATGCCACGTGATTGGGGGATTCAGGTGAGATGTTGGCTTATCTGTACATCATTTTGATAGGAATAGTCCATAGTGTTCTCCCAATCTTGTTTGAAATGGTATCCCGATCTGTTTTAGGCGGTCTGGATTCATCCATGTTAATAATCCCTTCCTTTGGACGGTGTTTTACTGTATCGCCGTAAAGCATAGTGGAGATAAAAGCAGGGCACTCAGATGATGATTAAAGCATAAGGACATTCGAAAAGATGCATTGTGCGGTGAAGCATTCCATAGATAATCAAAACACAGTAGGAAAATCGGGAAAGGCATTGTGTGGTGATGCATTTTATACATTATCAGCATATGTTAGGACAGTCAAAAAAAGCGCGTTTTGTGGTGAAGCAATCACTTGACGATCAAAACACACAAGGATATTTGAGGAACACATTTGAGAAGTGGTGACAAAGTGAGCTTAAACATGGTACTGTATTGATGAAAGAGACTCCAATATTTAAGTTGATGGAAGTCTTTTTCGGTGCTTTTGCCTTGAAACATTTCGCAAATCTTTGGCTTTCTTTGTTTCCCCTAATGCGTTGTTATATAATAGATTGTATGACTTCATATCATATATTTTTTTTTATCAATGATATCTTGTACCGATTCTTACGGTTAATAATACATATGAGTAATGTAACATTTTTATGTTGACACATCCACATTTAAAAATGTAATCCCAAAGTTCTCTATACTTGCTGCTCACGTCAGTGCTTTTGTACTATATGCTTATATTTATGTATGTATGTATGTATGTATGTATGTATGTATGTATGTATGTAGGTATACGTGTAGATATGGTTCTATGGTCCTTTCACATGAGCGCTCTGATGAATTTACTGCATTCATGACTGAAGATTCAAATAGAACGATCTCTTTCGTATGGTATGGTTCTTTCGTATGGCACCGATATAAAAAGAGGTGAACGCGTCAGTGTCTCAGGCCAAGTCTCAGTGAGATGCGTGTTGGAGGAAGAAAAGGAAAAACTCGCCATAGGATCGCTGCAGGCAATAGTGTCAGTGATGAGAGTGATGGGAACATTGATCGGAGTGCTTGCATTAATTAACTTTCTAGGGATAAACATTTTGAGAAATCCAATATCATTTCCCGATATTTGTATATTTTTTTTCTTTATGACCAATAAAGATTGACCATGGACACGAGATCTGAGATGGGAAACCATCTCGATTTTATATTTTTAAAACCTGATTTACAATAGTGGAGTGACTAAGTGACAATGATTCATGTGCCCTTGCATAGTTTCGATTGAATTGGATGACCAGAGAAAACTTACCCACACAAGTTTTTTGAACTTCCTCGTTTGACTTAGCTTGTTAAACTTATTGAACAAGGTCTCAAGGTGTTGAACTTCATCGGGTAATGTTTATGGAAGTGTGAGCTTATATGAATTGAGTGGTGGGAAGCTAAACTTCTTGTTCTTGTTCTTGTTCTTTTCTTTTTTTGTTTGAGGTACGAGGGAACCTTCACTCAAACTGCCGAGTACATGCTGATAAGCTTTCTGATATTTGCCAAAATGGGACGAGGAAAGGTTCACCATGTCATCTAGCTTAACTGACTGGAGGCCTTAAATATTAGCCTTGAGTTTGGCTTATTAAATCCGTTTATAAACTCTTGATAAGTCATCGTTTACTAGGTCTCATGCAGCTTGTCTTAAATTACCTTATAATGGCATTACCTTGCTAACTTGCTGATATGTTTTCCAGTAAGTTTTTACCCGATAAAAGCTGAAGAAAATGGTGAACATCTTGTATGATTAATGGCTGCATATAATGCTTGCTCTAACATCTCACTGGAAATTGTGCTTTCACAGGTTGTGGACGCTGGTGCACGTTCTCTGAGAATGATTTTTCAGTCAAAGCTTGCCCCAAAATATGATTTTCTTCAGGAGAATAATTTGAAATTTCTTCTTTTGCTTCTGAACAGTAAGAATGAGAATGTGACAGACCTTGCTGCTAGTATTATAAAGCATTCCTGTGTGTCCAGAGAGGAGCAGAAGGTATTGTGTGATGCAGGGGTTCTGCAAAGGCTTGTTTGTCTGCTTGAAGGTTCTCTATGTCAGAGAGATTCTAGTTTAGATTCTATAGCAGCAGTTGTCAAGAACAACTCTGAGACCGTCTCGCAATTGGTCGGTATCAAGAATGGAATAGCATTGAATTTAATTGTTGAGCTGATGAAAGATAGATGTCCAAGGACAAGGCTGCTGTCTTGTGTGTGCTTGATACTTATTGGTCAGGCATCATGTTATGTTCAGGAACATGAAATTAAGACCAAGTTGATCCTTATTTTAACCGAACTGTTGGAAGAACATGGCCAAGTTGGGGATGAAGCCCCATTTGCTTTAGTAACACTTATTACAGACAACGAAGACCTGCAGAAACAAGCCCATTCCGTGAATGTTGTTGAAAAGCTTTGTAATTTTCTACGTCAAGGCCACATAAATAGGAAGCGTCTCCAAGGAATTTTGCTTGCCTTATCTGAATTGTGCTCAAGATGGGAGAAGAGCAGGAACCAGTTCATGTCATCAATGGTATGCTATTTAAAGAATATTAATGAAAATGAGACACTTTTCCGAATTTTATTTAAGATTATCTAAAATGTTCTATCATGTTCGTTTACACACTCATGCATACTTGGAGAATTGTTTGAGTCAGTTTGTGGATAAAAAAAAACATTTTTCTTCTACTTAAAGCTTGATTCTAGCTACATTCGACCTAAGGTGTCAAAAAATGTATTCTGCGAAATATTCTTTCACTACGTTAAGTATTAACCTCCATTATTGAAGTATCTAAAAAGAAAATGTGTTTTATGTCTGTGTAGATGTCTCTGTATTTATTTAGTCCTCAGATCACCCACGTTCATAACGTTCTGTGTTCACGTGTGGTCAATATCTTTAACATTTTGTATAATTTCTGAAACAGGTACTAAATATAGTCTCTGATGCTTTGAAACATGAATGTGTTGATGTCCGCGTAGCAGCATGCACTTCTATTTCCAGCATCTCTCGCTCAGTGAAGGTTAGCTTCCTGAATCACAAATTTAATTGTCAAGTTTGGTGTCATAGACACAGTTTAATGAAGCGATTTTATCCAGAATCTGTTTGCAGGTCATCTAACAGACGAGTCAATTGTCCTTCCCCTGGTCCAGCTTTTGCACGACTCATCTAGTCGTGTACAGGTATGCCCACTTTCCCTGTCCCAAGTGATAAATCCTCAGTAACATTCAAAAAAGAGCTGTTCCCATTGTGTGCTGTGTGTTCATTACTTTTGATGGAGGAAGTGTCGCCAATTTTCTTGCTTTATTCATCTAATTCTGTTAATCATAGAACTTGCAAATGGCTATGTGAAGTCCTCCTTTATCTGTATAATTTATTCTTCTAACGCTGAAACCAAAGTTTGACGCTCTAAATCCAGTCGATATGAGATGATTCACATTGAAGTGTTAGACTTAAGTGCAATTTACATCTTAAATGCTAAGATAGACAAGACAGCTTAGCGCTTTTGATGGATTCACATGGAATTTGGTACTTCATTCCGTAATTCAGTTATTAAACGGTATGATTGGAGGAGCTTAAATTAAATTAAACATAAAGAGAAAATTGCCTGATTAATGATTTACTCACATGGCATATCGGTGTCTCATTTAGGGACAAGTAACGGCTGAATTTTTTTTGTTACTATCGTTAGAGGCATTGGACCCTGGAAATATGAAAAGAAGGCTCACACTTCCTCAGAATACTTGATCAGACTGGATTCCTCAGAATATATTGATCCGGTGAATTGGATCAATTTAATTCACCTTGTAGCCACAAAACTCTTTATTTTGCTCAGCCTATCATATGCTTGAGCTAGGAGTTGTAAATACAGGCGTGCTGGTACAAATTTCCACTTAGCCAATTGGGGAAGCAGATTTCTGAGGTACGACCCATGATGTCAGTTGTTTCACATTGGGTGAATGACCCCACGAGCAGCAAGTGGTATGGATTATGCCCAAGAAAAGAGATAGCGGCAAATAGTTCAAAATTGATAGCGTGCCACACAAGCAGCAAGTGGTATGGATTATGCCCAAGAAAAGAGATAGCGGCAAATAGTTCAAAATATATAGCGTGCCACACAAGCAGCAAGTGGTATGAATTATGCCCAAGAAAAGAGGCAAGAGATCACATGCAGGAAGTGTTCCATTTCCATCCCTCGTTCACCAGAAAGCCACTTTGGTGAATCAAAGAGCATATATATGGTGAATCATCTCATGCCCACGCTCACGTGGGGAGTGAGCTTTTAAATCACAATGACATGAGTGGAGGTTGACAAAGTATATGCGAAGTCATAGAGATCTAACATTCTGCAGCTTAATCTTTTTGGAAAAAGAGTTTATCTCCTGTAGCTGAAGATAAAATCTATTTTCTCCTATCTCCATAATGTAGGGTTTCCTTGTACAGTTTTTCAGATCCAGGTCCCTGGATCTAGTGCCTGCAACGTTCATAAATCAATCATTGACATAAAAATACGATCGCCGGATATCATGGAAATATAAAAGAATCAAACCACTAACCTTTATTGTGAATGGCTTTTTCTGGTGGGTGGGTTTTAAACAGTTTGAACAATCACACTGTTAACAATGTGAAACCCAAGCCCCTCCACGATTTCTTCTGGCCTGGTTTTCAAATCGTTGCTTAATTCACATGGCATGGTTTGCTGATCCAATTTTAATGGAGCAATTCGGGTCTCCTCTTCAATTTTTAGAGGAAAAGAGACCGAAAGATCAGTTGACTGGCTTGGAGTGCCCACTTGGAAGCCCATACTGCGCCTTTTTAAAAGATGCTTAGGCCTTCCCTCCTGTGGTTCGACAAATATCCAGAGAAGAAGTTCAAATTAAGTAGAAAAGGAAGGTAACGAGAGGGAAATAGGAGAAATAATAAAACGAATAACAAATGGGAATAATGAGGGAAAAACTATTGGCCCTGTCATCAGCAGAGGTGGGATTAACAAAGGCTTGCACACCAAATATGTTTGCTTGTTTTTTTAATACATACAAATGCTCTCGGTGTGAATACAAGTTGAGATGGCGGAAATATCCCTCGATCCATTTTGATCGACTGTTTATGTTCTTCTCTAGTCATGATATTGCCAGTATGTAATGCCCGCTAATTTACTACTGTCATCAGTGAACACAATTAACTTCTAGATTATTGGCGTTGTTCATTGTTTTTAACATCCAACAACATGCGTATATTTGCGTGTTGTTTTTCATGCTCGTCATTACCCATCCATGCAGCATCCAACCCTAGAAAGTATTTTGTCCGCTTATCTTTGAAATTTGTTAAGCAATTCACTTTTACTATATCAATTGGTACCGCTAAGTGTTTATATTCACATTTTCCAACTGATTATGAACGTTGCAGGCAGCTGCACTTAAAGCTATGTGCAATGTTGTCGTTGACTTTAAGGATAAGAAAACCATTTTTATCCAGAGCGGATGTGTTAAACAGCTGGTTCAATTGTCCAAGTCGATGGATTCCGCGCTCAAGATAAATGCCGTTTGGGCACTGAGGAACTTGACGTTTCACGCCGACAGAGCAGGCAGAGAGCACATTCTTTCCGAGCTCACAGAAGCCCAGCTTGCCGGCTTGATATGCGGTAACAATTTTTTATTGATGATTTAAACAGTTTCGGATTTAACACGAGAACTGGGTATGAACTAATCTCATTATTTAATCTCAGATTCTGAACCTCGCGTCCAAGAGCAGGCCTTGGCCCTCGTCCGTAATCTCGTCGATGGTTGCAGTGAGACTATTGAGAGCATTTTTAGAGAGAATGCTGTAATCTTGGACGCTGTCACCAGACAAGTGCAGCATGCAGCCTCACCCGAAGTCTGCATTCAGGTACTGCTCACTGCGGATTTCCCTGTTGTCTTCTGGCTGATCAGAAAGCCTTCTCAGAGATCACGAGTGGAGAGGGTCTCTGTTTGGGTTTGAATGGCCGCTGCGATATTTGTTCATATATCGTTGTGATTCCCAGGGAATGTTCGCTCTCGGGAATGTTGCCGCCGGGAATGATTTCCACAAGGAGGCCGTGATGACCAGCCTTCTTCCGCCCAGAAAGGAGGAGCTCAACCCCTTCCTTCTAAAACTCCTGCGGAGCAGCGACAGCCTGCTAAGAACAGCTGCGGTCTGGTGCGTAGTCAACCTGACCTACCCAGATTGTCCGAACTCCTCTGCTAGGGTTTCGAGGCTCCGCGACGCAGGGATAATCTCTCAGCTGAAGGCCATGGTCAACGACATTTGCCTGGACGTCAAGGTCTTCTACTCTTCCATCCCCCCTCTGGTTTCACCACGTGAATTTCTCTGACGATTGCCGTGGCTTCTTGTGTACAGTTTCGAGCCAGAACAGCTCTCGGGCAATGCACCATCGCTGAGCAGAACGCCGCCTGATCCGCTGCCGCGCCCATTGTAATCCGGCACCTTTTTCCCAGCCTCGAGAGCTCCTTCCTGCGGCTATCTTTAGTTCTATCTCATGTTCTCTCTCTTCCCCCCTTGGAGCGTATCAGGTATGCCCACTCGAGGTGGAAAAACATGGCTCGCTGCTTTTTTGCTCCGTGTGACGCGTGTTTGAATAGAGCTCTTGTTTCTCAGGGTCAACGGGTGGAGGGGTCAACAGGCGACCGACCGTTCTTCTTTTTAGGTGAGTTCCGCTGACCTTGATGCATGCATGACCAGGCATGTGCGCCCCCTTTTCTTGTTCATCGCTCAATCTTTTCGTTGAGACTGTATTTATTATATTGGAAGAAAAAAAGATTGTACAGAATTTCTTTCCTCTCGGCATCCGAAACGAGACTTGTTTCGATAAAACTCGGGATAACCCGATCATCATCATTATTACTGTAATTATTTCACCGGTTTGCTAGCCACCTACAACGGGTTACAGTACACAGCGCAGAAGAGCCGGCGCCCAAATTCATCCACCTCCGCTTAGACCTGCACTTCCAAGGTCCACCGGTGCATCTGCTTCTCCGGCACGGGGATGGCGACGGTGAGCAACCCGGTCGCCGCGTCGTAGCCGAACTCCGCCTCCGCCGAGTCCAGCGCGCACCGGAGAGGCCGCTGCGCACTGTACGCGCCGAAGCGCCCGCAGCCGCGCACCGTCAGCGCCACAGTGCCCGACGAGGCGCCGCCCCCCTTTTTGATGTCTATCTCCTCCACCGCTCCGCCGGCGTTGAACATGTCGAGGAGGCCGATCGGCGCGAAGGAGATGCCCGGAGAGATTTCCTGCACAAGGGCCGTCAGCAGAGGAAGGAAAGGACAAAAGATTCCTGCCCCGGAAGGGGAGGGGGTGGCTCACCATGAGAGGGCAGATGTGGAAGAGCTCATACTCCAGGACCTTGAGGGTGACAGGCAATGCGGCGCCCTTGGGCAGTCGGATTACCTCCCCTGTTCTCATTTCCGTCAGTGAGGTGTTCATCTCCAAGGAATAAAAAGATGATGATGAAGAAGAAGAGGGGGAGTAGTAGGGCACCTGATCTGTAGGCGTAGACGACGGCGTGGCCGGACCAGGAGGGACCGGCGATGTGGGGGAGGAGGTCGACGTCGCGGACGCTGACGGTGCCCGTGAGGGTTCCCGGGTCGGCGTCGTGGATGAGGGTCTTCTTGGCGATCTTGCACCAGCCGGCGCCCTGGCAGTTGAACACCCCCACCACCCCGCTGCACTTGTTCACGTTCCACACCTTCAGCAGGCTGAAAGAAGAAGGACGTCAATGGCGGATCGATCGCCTGGGCCAATGGAGGATCAAATTGGGGGAGGTGGGTCCAGATTACCCACCTTGTGCCGTCCCGAGCAGGATCGGTGAAGAGGCAGTCGATCGTCGGCCGGCCGGGGAGCTGCGCCCGCAGCACCGAACCGTCGGGCAGGACCAGCTTCCTCAGAAGATCGAAGTTGTGGTTTCCCGGCTTGTCACTGTGATTCCACCAGTAATCAGTGAAACCGAACAAATCCTACAAGACGACTGGATGGAAGAAGGATTATTATTTATCATCTTATACCTGACGTAGATGGCGCATCCGCCGATCGCCCTCGCCGCGCCGTGGTACTCCGCCGCCGGATGAAGACTCTGAGATCCCCGAGAAAACCCATGGCGAAGTCAGAAACCCATTTGAAGAACAAGAAGAAAAAGAAGAAGAAGAAGAAGAAGAAGAAGACGGCGACTCACGTGGAACATGTCCCAGTCGGGCTGCATGAACTCGCCGAGGAAGAGGCTGTTGTAGGCGACGGAGGAGATGTGGACAGTGTGGGAAGCTGGGTCCTTGGGGTAGAAGTCATCGGAGGCTCTCACCACCGCCGTCCGCTGCGAGCTGTAGAGACCGTCGGTGTTGTGGCACATGCAGGCGATGCAGCCGTTGTCGGGGAAGTTCCTGGCCACGGAGGTCTCCAGGGCCTGAACATAGCTCCGGGTGATGGACACCCGCCCGCCATGGCCCGCCCCTAAGGTTTCTATGATGTTCTGCACGTCGACCTTGACGCCGTCGACGCCGCAGGAAGCGAGGTAGGCGTGGAGCTCGTTGTAGAACTGCAAGACTTTCTTGGGGTGGACCAGTCCGAGCCCGTGCACGGCGAGGCTGTCCATGACGATGTCCGGCTGGTTCCCCATCACGCCCGGAGACTGAACGGGGTAAGCTAGCGTGGTGTCGTAGTGCTCCATGCCCTCAGCCGCCGGCTTCACGCCGCCCCAGTACCCCGCCAGCGCGTGCCACACGTACACGTACCTGCTCCGGGGAGTTAAAGAGAGAGAGAGAGAGAGAGAGAGAGAGAGAGAGAGAGAGAGAGAGAGAGAGAGAGAGAGAGAGAGAGAGAGCAGAGAGAGAAGAGAGAGGGAGAGAAGTCGAGGTCTTACTTGACTTTGTGGCTGTTCTTGGCTTCCTTGACAAGGAGCTTCAAGCCCGACGCCCGGCCCTCGTCGTCCTCGTCGACTTCCTTGACGTGGGGATCGTTCTTCGTCTTCCCGTTCTTTTGGAACTTGGCGTTCTCCTTGATTCCAGTCAACCTATTCGCGAATCTGATGCAAAGATTGGAAATACCCGAGCCCACTCCCATCAGAGACGACCACTCTGATATTAAAAAATACGAGTTCGGATGAGTACATACTGTGCCCCTTCTTGTACCACCACACTGGGCTGGTCCTTGAACTCGTTGCCGATCTGTTGCCACCCGTCGTCTATGATGAGGAAACGAGGGGGCGTGCCACCCGCTGATAGACTGCAGCAGCCCGAGATCACGAATTAAACGTAAGAGATTTTTTTACGATTGAGGAAAATTTACCCCGATTATCAGATATGAACGGCGGTGGGTGATCACGAAAATTGGAGAAGCTTGCAGACCCACCTCTTTAGTCCCTCGTCCACGCCCTCCGCGGTGACATCGGTGTAGAAGGCGTCCCAAGTGCACCACCCGAACCAGTCGACAAATGGAGGTATCTGATTAAGAAATCCACGAGATATCAGTCAAAGCACCCCGGCTTTTATTATATATTTTTTAATTCTGCTCTTAAGAGTTTGTCTGTTCACGTACCTTCTTCTTTTCACGGTGGAGGAAGGTCTGCTTGTGCGTCTCGACGGCCCTGAAGAAGGAGAGAGACGTCGGAATTATCCAGGTCATTCTTCTCATGGACGCTGGCCGGCCGGCAAGCAATCAACAAAAAGGTGGCGGAAGAAGAAGGCGTATCAGAGAAAAAAACCCTCACTTGACGGCTTGGTTGACCACCTCGAAGGGGTTGGTGCCAGCATGCAGGTAGACCATGCGCATCCCCTGGTCTGTCCTCACGGCATCGTCCCCTGCATACCCACAGAAGACGGCAAGAGTCGTTTCGGTCCTTGCCCCATTCTCATGTCGGCCCGTTCTCAGAAAACGATGGCGACGGTGGTGGTCGAGGGGTCCACATTCATTCTGTCGGCAGCCTTCCCAGCAGCAGCCGTCCGGGGGGGAGCTGCCGGTGGTAGGTCGAGGGGTCGAGTTTAACTGGACTAAAGAGTTTTAATGATAGACATTTTCGAGGGGAGGGACTCACCGCTCTCGAGGCAAATCTGGATCTGGTTCTGCTCGTTCCCCTGGAGGGCGGCGCGGAACTGCCCCTCAAGCAGTGGGAGGAACACGGTGTAGACGGTGGTGGCGTCCTCGCCGTCGTCTTTGCTCTCCACCAGCATGAACTGTGTCTCCAGGGGGACCTCCTTACCGCAGGTGCCCATCCGCTGCGTCATCCACCACAGCTTGAACCTGAAGCAACACATGAACCGCAGGCCCCTGGGGGAGAAGAGCAAGGAAAGAGGGAAACGTTAGCTGCCGCCGTCAATGTCAGCGGAGGGGAAGAAAGAGGGGGAAAAAGGAAGAGGCATACTCGAGGGTGCCTATGGGAAAAACAAGGTGGCTTTTGCTAGCGGAAGCGGTTGCGCCGACGAATGCTCCGGCGACGAGGCCCGCGCCGGAACCTGGCGTGATCACGATATTATCCGGCACGGCTGTGAGGATTGTCTTGCCCTGGATCACCAGGTTGCCATCATTGACATGGATCCTCGGCGTCACCGTCATTTTGGCGCTCCTGATTCTCTGCGCACAGGAAAATGACGAAGGGAATGGTGGGGGCGGACTCAGCACTGTCTTCCACCACAGATCTATCAGACGCAGTAGCAAGTCGGCCTCCTCTTAAACGGAGAAATCCGGAGACTCGAGCAGATCCTAGTCCCCCTGTTTCCTCGTCGGAAGCCGGGGATCATTGACCGAAAACCAAAACTAGAGTCCCCACTCAGATCCCAAGAACAACATCCACCATGATTTTTCGCAGCTAGGGTAAGGCACGGCGAGAGATCAACCGGAAAACCCTAGCGGAAACCTCCAGCAGATCAGAGCCCCGGAAGGCTTCCTGAACAGCCAAACCTTCCTCCATCGTCCTCTCCAAAATGCAGCCGTATCAGGAAACTCACCTCTGCAGATGCTCCGCCGGAGATGGCAGGGTAGACGCACGCTCAAGCTGCGGGAGACGGAGACGAAGTCAAGGAAACCTCCCTATACGAAGCACACTGCTTACTCTAGACTCTGCTTCTCCTGCACCATTTTATAGGCGGGAAAGGAGATGGACGCACCGTCATTTTTTGGACACGTGTCATCCTCGGCTTCTGAGCCGCCGCCTTGCGGTGCCCTCTCTATCACGGGTTTCGGGTTGGCGCTGGAGTTTGCTGGCTGGGACTAACTGCTGACGCGGTGTCCAGTCAGTGAGAGAATCATAGGATGACGTCACCCATGAATCCCCCGTCTCCTTAACCGGGGACCGATTACTTCAGCAGCGACCACCGCCTCGCCGGAGCTGGCAAGGGCTGAGTCAGCGCTGCGTGTCTGGGGGCCCCTTTTTGTCGTTTTCCCCTTCGGTGCGGATCTCGAGATGAATACCGACAACCGCTCCCTCTGCGTGGAATGATTACGACATGTGACGTCACCAACAACCGATATTTTCATCGAGCCGGCCCGCTTCCTGTTATTAATGGGTCGCAGTAATGTAATAGATAAGGCCCAAGCTTCCCCTGTCAGGGGACGTGGGCCTCGGAGAGAGGGTTGGGCCTATTTAATAAATGGGCCTAGTGTTTTGGGCCTAAGCTTCGTCTCCTTGGTCTTCTTCTCGAGCTCGTCTTCTTCATCATCTTCGTTCGATCCGAGCTCCACGAGTTTCCAAATGAGAGGATCACCGAGGAAGAGGATGAAGTGAGGGGCATGAAGAATTTCTGAATCAGGGAAGATATTTACAGAAAAGAGCAGCCATCCTCTGCGGAGCTCTGAAGAAAATCGATCTCAGATTGGCACACACAACCCTAGAAGAAGAACTGTTCTTCGCGCAGCAGGATCCTGAATCCCTCCCTGCCCCAATCATCGTCGTCGTCGTCGTCGTCGTCGGCTTCTTCACATGTGCACCTTCAGTGATCCGTCCTTCATCAGCTCCAGGCTCAGGGAGTTGAATCTCTCCCTCGAGTACTGCCTCGAGGCCTTCCTCCAATCCGTTCCGGCCCTCATCATCGCGACGAACTCCTCGTAGCTGATGCGCCCGTCCTGCAACAATGGAGGAAATCGTCAGGATCTCTTCCGGAAGAAGAAGAAGAAGAGGAAGAAGAACAGGCGTCGACCTTGTCTGTGTCTACGTCGTGGATGATGGCGTTGATGACGGGCTCGTTGTTCGGCCCCAATTCATCGGCGAGAGAGTCCCGAAGCTCCTCGATTTCTATGTATCCGCTCTGGTTCTGATCGAAGTACGCGAAGGCTTGACGAAGGTGTTCATCGTTGCCCATCTTCTCCAGATGAACTGAGACAGCGACGAACTCTCCGTAGTCCAGGATCCCGTTACCATCTACATCCGCCTGCCATTAACCAAGAAGAGAAGAAAATCCGGGATTAAGCGACTGGGCGCGCTCGATCGCTCGAAGAACTGTTCGACTGCCGGCAGGATGCTTACAGCTTCCATTAATATCTTCACATCGGGGTCTGGAATGTGTTGCCCGAGCTTGTGGAGGCCGATCTTCAGCTCCTCGAGGGTTATGGCGCCGTCGTTGTTCAAGTCCATCATCTTGAACATCTCCTTGATCCCTGAAACCTCTTCCGTAGACAGATGCTCCGCCACAACCTGGATCATCCACAGAGATGGTGTTTTCAGATTCTTTTTTCTTTTTTTTCTTTCTGATAGAGCAAGAAAATATGGAGTGATGTTCTTGGTGCTCACCCTGAGAGCAATCTTCTTGAACTTGTTCATCACGGAGAACTGCTTCAATCTGGCGCGAACAGTCTCGCCGAGAGGAACATTCGGAGCCGTCTTGGCGTTCTGCATCCACGGATGATCTGCAGAGAACCAGAGGTTTGGCTCAGAACCAGATCAAGAACGAACGCTCCTCCACTTCGGATATAACAAGCCCTAGCAAGGTGCTCTCAGAAGATTTTCCCAGGTTTGGGAGGGAGGGAGCTCACCGAGGACCTCCTGGGCAGTCAATCGCTTCGCAGGATCGGGGTTGAGCATCCGCTTGACCAGGTCCTTGGCATTATTGGATACCATCGGCCATGGATCTCTCTTGAAGTCGACCACAGATCGGATGATTGCTTGGGCGACTCCCTGCTCGGACTCTGGATCGAGTAGGAGAGAGAAACTCACATCTGAGGAAACATGGATCCCGTAGAATCTGAGGAAGGAGGAAGGAGGAAGATGAAGCTCACCGGCCCAGAACGGCGGTACACCGCAGAGCAGAATGTAGAGGATCACTCCGGCGCTCCAGACGTCGATCTCGGGGCCGTAGTTTCTCTTGAGGACCTCTGGGGCCATGTAGTAAGGGCTTCCCACAATTTCAGAAAATTTCTCGCCTGCAGGAAGAAGGGAGAAATCTCAATAAACCGGGAAGAGCAGCAGCGGCGGCGCTATGGGAGGAGGGCGGGTTTCAGAGGGCTCACCGGGGGAGAAGAAGACGGACAACCCGAAGTCGATGGCCTTAAGGGGAGACGTCTCCTTCTTGTTGGCGAACAGGAAATTCTCTGGTTTGAGGTCGCGATGGATCACCCCGTGTTTGTGGCACATCTGCGAACGGACCCACAAAGATTAGGAGATGAGAAACTTTTTCCGCTTCGTCCGTGCAGAGCGAATTAGGGCAGACGACGCGTTCAAACCTGCACAACTTCGACGATGGTCCGGGTGACGGCGGCGGCGGCCCGCTCGGTGTAGTGGCCCCTGGAGACGATGCGGTCGAAGAGCTCGCCGCCCTCGCACAGCTCCATGACGAGATGGACGGCACCGTTGTCCTCGTAGGTGTCCTTCAGGGTGACGATGTTCGCGTGGACGGGGAGCTGCCTCATGATTTCCACCTCCCTCCTCACGTCGTCCACATCGACGGGCGTCCTGAGCTTCTTCTTGGAGATGGACTTGCAGGCCAGGACCTCGCCGGAGACTCGGTCTGTGCAGAGATGGGTGACTCCGAACTCGCCTCTCCCGAGCTCTCTACCCAGCTCGTAGCGTGCGGCGATGTCCCTCCCCGTGGGATCCTTGAGCACCGTGAGGCTGCTCTGAGCGGCGGCGGGCTTCCTCTTGCTCCCCGTCCAAAAGGGGTTCCTTCTCTCCTTCTGCTTCTTCTGCTTCTTCTGCTTCTTCTCCGAGGAGAAGGCGGAGGGGATGGCGCAGCAGTTACCCATCGAGGATTCCTCCCACAGAGCAGGATGATCGGATTTCCCAGAGCTCGATCTTCCTTCCAGACGAAGACCCAACTCGAATTCCGGCCTCTTCACGCTGCCCAACAGGTGAATTTCGCCGAATCCCGCGGTTCCTCGCCGAAAGCTCGTTCCCGGTGGCCGGAAGAGGAGGAACGGGGAATATCTTCCGCGAGGTGAGGACTCTGAGTAAGAAGAAGAGGAGGCGGCTAACGCGTTGTGCGGGGGATTTCAAGGGCCAGCTGCGGACGGCAGCAGAAGTTGACCGTCGCTCAGGAGAAGAGGAAGGAGGGTCAACCCCCTCAACTCTGAGTCTTTGCTCCCCCCCCCCCTCCGCTCTGCCCATTTTCTAGTTAAATAAAAACAGATCGAATTCAGATTCCGTATTAAAGGAAATTTCAGTACTAAAGTAAGAACCCCCATTGATACCTTCACGCAGGAGGCGTGACGCGTGTGGGCCCGGGATTCCAGAAGCCCGGCAAGATCTTCTAGATGACACATACCAGTCAACGGTACATACTACGGTCAATGACCCGTTCAAAGATCTTTTAAATGCTTGGAGAAATTATCCTCTCGATAAAAATATCCGTAGGAACGGATATTTTTAATTTATGTATTTTTTTTATTTTTTTAATATCAGGGATGCGCCGACGGCGAGTGAACGTTTCAGTGGGAGATTCAGTCAAACAGTACATGGGCGTCCGGGGCGCCTTTTTTTCTTGGACACTGTTAAAGGCTTTTTCAGGGCGTCTCTTCAGCCTTTCGATCAAGATTTGTCGGAGATCGCACGGCCGTTGTTACTCGAATCGCTCTCCAGTCAACTCGTGAGACGTCATCACCTGCCCTGCTGGCAGCAGGCCGATACGCCGTCGGAAGCACGTGCAAATGTACCCGGCACCACAGAGGGCAAAATGGTCATTACACAGAGCGAGAATATTGACTCTGAGGGAGTGGAGAGAGAATTGCACGCCGTTGACCGACGACTGGCAGCCAACGTGTGGAATATTCAAAGACTTTTCGCTGGCACCCCGCGCCCGACGGCTGGTCGTAGTTGAACCAAATCCGCAGCATCTGAGCCGGCCCTCACCGTTGACCATGATTCGTCCGTCAGAAATTCCAAGATACTGTTAGTTTAGATGAACTAGCGCGTGCATTTAACGGCAAATTACTTAACCACGTTGACCTGATCGAAAAATGTTCGAAACGACAGAGTTATCATCAGATAAAAAGATTAACATCAAAACACCTTAAGGCTTCTCTGAAAGAAGTCAACACCTCAAGGCTTCTCTGAAAGAAGCGGGGCTATCTGTTCTTTGGCGCCGCCGGGGGATCTCCTTACAACGGTTGGAGTGGGCTCATCGCCGTCCACATAGGGTTTTACAAAGACGCCGAAGAGCAGGTTATTGACAAAAGTGAGAATGAGAAGAGCGATGGCGGAGTAAGCAAGCACCGAACCAGAGATTTCCGGCGTGTCCACTCCCATCGTTTCCTTCCAGAGCAAATCGGGGTCTGAAAAAGACCATGAGAGATGAGAACATTGGTGGCGGAAAGTTCTCACGAATTTCTCCAGCTGAAAAAATAAATTCCATGTATTTGATATCTGATGCTCATTTTATTCTGCTTTCAGATGGGACCAAGATCCAGCTCCTACAGTTTCTCACGGAAAATAATCATATATTTAGAACAGACAAACATAGATCAGCATAGCACATTATTTCATGAAGGTAAGATATGATCAGATCAGAGCCCACAGAGGGGCAGAAAACATGAATCATTTCATCAGAAGTGTCCTTTCCATCTGATATTATCATGTTCCAAGGAGACCAAATCTACGTGTATTAGATTCCTCTTACACAGAGCTTGTTAATAGTTGACTTCTAATTTTTTTTATTATAATTAATCTTTCACAGAGCCCATCTGAGAGAAAAAAAACCTATTTACTAGGATGAAACCCTGAGAACAAGCTTCATTCTGAGAGAATCAGAGGAGGACCAAAGATGTTCATGTGGTGGATTCCTTTAGCAGGATTGAATTATCGTGAAGGAAAATTTCTTCCACTATAACGCAAGAAGAGTTTTTGGATGGAAAAAATACGTCCTATGTTCCAAAGGAATAACACTGCTTTGATCATATGCCATGGAGAAGAAGCGATGTGCTTTCTGTAGAGGTTTGCAAGTTTCTGACACCCATCCTTCGGATTAGTGGTCAACCTTTGTGGAACTAGATCAGAACAATGGAATCGTGACCGGAGTCGACTTGCTTTGATCCCGAACTGGCTGCTGGTTTCATAATCACGGACAACTTTGAAGGCTTACAGACGATTTTTCAGCAATTTCCTTCATCGTATTCTAAGGGAATATCCTACATAGGCTGCTTCGTCGCTAGCAACAAAGCCATTGATGATTCTAGTGGTAGGATAGTGGTCAATAACCCAATCCTTATGGATGCTTTCGTCTGGATTATGGACACGATCAATGTCGTGCGGACTTTGGGGCCATGAACTCGGAACGCGCCTGTGCACAGGCTATGATGCGGAAAACAGATGAATGGATCTACCGTTCTCTGTGATTTCAGAGAAAAAAGGCTACCGGACGGAGCGTCTAGGGCATCATTCTTCGCGTATCTTTCTAATTGCCGATCGTTTTCTGCCATATTAACATTGGATATGAAGAAATGGCATCCAGTTCATCTGGTATTATCGATTAGAAATAGGAGGCATGGTCAGAGAAAGGTTACCTGAGGAAGAAAAAGAGGGAGGAGAAGGGGGCCTTCTCCTGGGCGGGGCGGTTTCCTTCTCTGACAGGGCCTTGAGCTGCTGATCGAGCTTCTCTAACGCCGCCAGGGCCTTTTCCCTGTCGATTTCGAATTCAGACTCTCTCTCAACCGCTCCCAACCTCTTCGTCCTCCTACGGTTGTAGACTCCATTGTTGCTGTTACTGCCATCGCCGGATTGCGAAAGGAACGGAGAGAAAGATGCGACGGCGACCGGCGTTCTAGCGTGGAAAGAAGAAAGAAGAGATGGCGGAGGCGATGGAAACCTAGACGGCGAGACCGACCGCATCAGCGGCGGCATTTACTCTCTGTTGGGTTTCACCTCCCCGAACCTCCGCCACTAGCCGAAGAAACGAAGATAGAATAGAACCGAAGTTAATTCTGAAAGAAAAAAAATATGGCTTTTTTTGGATTTTCACATAAACTACAACTGTATTTAACATATTTTATTTAATTCATATTCTTTTTATATTTAAATATACACCCACTACCTTATGGCCCATTATTTTCGGTCTCTGTAAATGGGTCATACACCCGGCCCATCACCTTTTAGGCGAGGTTACGAGAAGGGATCGAATACTCCTCGCCGGAAATGTCTTCTCTTTCACCCGCAAAAGTCGCCGAGTCAAAGAAACCAGCAACGGATCCTCCACATTTCTCTGCGCCACCCGTGCCTTCTCCAAGCTCGCTCCTTTCAAATCTCCAAACTGCTTCCTCCATCCTTCTCAGAGAACCTAGAGAGAGAGAGAGAGAGAGAGAGAGAGAGAGAGAGAGAGAGAGAGAGAGAGGGAGAGAGAGGGAGAGAGAGGGAGAGAGAGGGAGAGAGAGGGAGAGAGAGGGAGAGAGAGGGAGAGAGATGAGGAGAATGGCAGCGTTGTCGTTCTGGTCTGGGAAGGCATTGATCGTCATCCTCGTGCTTCTCTCCTCCGTGGGCTCTCTCTCAGTGACCGGCGTTGACTACGAGGTTGGGGACGACGAGGGATGGAAGGTTCCATCGTCGGGCGACCCCCAGTTCTACAACCAGTGGGCTTCCAAGAACAGGTTCCGGGTCGGCGACGCCGTCGGTGAGTTCTCCCCGGAGTTTTCTTCTCCAGCCATCTGTGTTCTCTCTTCTCTTATCTTCTCTGTTCGATCGGTCGTCTGTGGCTCCAGTTTTCAAGTACAGGAAGGACTCGGTGATGGTGGTGACGGAGGAGGACTACGGCAACTGCAACTCCTCCCATCCGATCCTGTTCGATAACGGAGGGAGAACAGAAGTGGATCTGGATCGCTCAGGGCCCTTCTTCTTCATCAGCGGCATCGTGGGTCACTGCCAGATGGGCCAGAAGATGATCGTCAAGGTGCTGAGCAGCTCGGAGGAGCCGGGGGGCTCGCCGGCGCCGGCGAACCAGACGGGACCCGCCGCCGCTCCCACCGCCCCAGACGGCAGTGCGGCCGCCCCGGCCACTGTGGTCTCCTCCCTCCTCTGGGTCCTGCTTCTCTCTGTGCCTCTTTTCTCCTCAGTTTAGGTTTTTGAAGCTGGTTTCTGCGCTGATCGCGCTTCCATTACACTTGAATATGCTTTTAGAGAGAGAGTGAGAGAGAGCCCACCGAAGCCTAAACCTGGGCCATACGTTTTGGGCCGGGTTTTTCGGCGGCCCAAAAGCCCAAAAAATAAATGTCATTATTATTTATAAGATAATAATTTCTTTAAAAGTCATCAATTAGGGGAGCCAAATATTTAAAATAATAATATATAGCTCCCAACGCAATATTTTTTTTCAATAAATAAATACACCAATAAATAAAGAACTTCCTGTTATAGTATGAGGATGTGGGCCCCGTTATCCCCAGAAGCCCAGAAGTCCGACGGCCACAAGTCTGCAGGGGACATGTGGACCAGAGGAAAAGTTACACAAGCCAAGCGAAAGACACGGGGCTCCTTTGTGGCTTCCCTCTGGACTACGTTAAGCCATAGAAGCGAGTGGCTTGCCATGTTCCACCGCGCACAAGTGTGTGCGTTCGGAAAACATGGAGGCTACAGCTAGGGTCTTTAAGATAAATTGTTCTGGGAGTACAACAGACACATGCCATCTATATATGGGTATTTCGACTCGAGCGGTTTCGTTAGCGGATAACTGGGGCTTCACTCGTTGCCGCTCACCTGCCTTTCTGCTTCCCTCTCCGAGCTGCGGGGCGCGCAAATGGAGATGGCAATGGGATTCGGAAGCGCCGTCAAGCCTTACGCTTCGGCCGCAGGTTCTCCGGTTACCTCCACGGCAATCCGTTTATCCAAGGAGATGGTTGGGCGGGGATTCTCTCCGCTTGTGGCTGTGCGGAAATGCGGCTGTCCTGGGGTCCGTTCGCGGTCCTCCCCTCGAAAGGGCATCAGTTGCTCTGTTTCTTCAGCTACGGAGAATACCGCCTCTGGTAGGACGCTGATATCCGTGGGCTGCTCGAGTAAACAATGGAAATTCTCGCGGCTGCCTTCTAATTTTTGTCGAAATGTTGACGACCGTCGTAGACTTTATCCTCGTTGATGATATGCACAGGGAATTGAATGTAATATTACGTAATTTTGGCGAGTAGTGGATTTTATAGTCGTCGTTTTTTCACTAAAACTTTGTGCTCTTTCATTCTTGTTTGTTTCACTTATTCTCCAAACACACCCCCTTCCCCCAAAAGAGAACGGAGGGTTTTCTGTTTCTTCGTTTTTCCCTTTGAAGTTCCCCTTTGATGCAATCATTCTCCATGGAAAGCCCATGTTCTTTGTAGCGTTTATTTAAATCTAATCCATCAAGATGTTTCCTATATTCCAAAATGTTTGGTTATCATGCTAAATTTTACGCTTCTGTCCGTTTGACTAGGAAATTATATTTTCTAATTCAGCGACTGGAATGACTTAAAGAATTTCATAAATAATTTATTTTTCCTAATTTCTGGTGCATGCTTGAGTTTTTTGGCACAATGTTCCCTCACTACGTGAATGTAGACGTACTTATTTATAATGTGTCTAATGTTCTCGATTCTACTAATTCAGTAGAGAAGAAGAATCAACTAGTGACAAGAAGAGATGTACGAAATATTGCAATCGTTGCTCACGTAGACCATGGAAAGACAACATTGGTTGATGCAATGTTAAGGCAAGCAAAGGTGGGGACATTTTGGTTGATTTTTGTTTAAACTTATAAATTCAATAACTCATTACTTTGATTAATTCTCGGTCCAGTTACGAAGAATAAATAAATGAGCCGACTTCTTTGATTCTATGTAGGAAATTCTCTTATTGCACGGGATTTTAAGCGTTTTTATTTTCGGAAATCTCTTTCATATAATTTGATTTCTGTGATTCTGTAACAAATGTAGACTAATGATTCGAACATGAAAGATAAATCAACTGGTAAATTGTGATAGAAAAGAAAAATAGGGAAGATCTCTTCCTTTTTTCTGTGCATGATGGATTGCTTATTATACATCATCAACATTATCCTGATTTCCCTGGTGCTCTTATATGTGTAATTTTCTTTCATTTGTCTCTCTACGTCTCTACTTTAGGCATTTACTTACTACATAGGACCTAGTCTGTCAAAACCTGTCTATAATATTTTGATCCTCACTGAAGTTCATTTTCATCAGGAAAATAAAACTTGAATGGTCTGAGACATCTGTAAATCAAGGAGTCGTTGGTTCTTAGGAGACTCAATTGGTTGAATATAGACTTGAGTGATTCAACTTGTTATAACTGATCATTTTTATATCAATCCGTAGCTGAAACAGCCTATTTCAAGCTTGAGCTAGTAAATACCGAGGGTTTTTATGTTTCACAAGTCATGGTACTTTCCATTTTTTGAATCCCAGTACCTTCTGTGCTTTCGGTACTTTGCTCAATCAGGTGTGCGGTGATCCTTGCCTCTGAGACAACACCACAGATAGTTTATTTAAATTTAAATAATAAATATACCCTAGGATCATATGCCTATTGTAAGGTTTATTACTGAATTTACGATATGAATTAGCCAACCCACTTCAATTGGATATGCAATACGTCAAGTTAACTCTAATGCATCTTTTATTGCAAACAAAGAATGTAATGCGATTTTTTTCTGAATTTATGAAATTATGATGTACAAGAAAAATGCATATGTATGAAACGTAACTGTGAATTCTTTTATGTTTCAGGTGTTTCGTGATAACCAGTTCGTGCAAGAGAGGGTGATGGACTCGAATGATTTGGAACGAGAAAGGGGAATCACAATACTGAGCAAAAACACGTCAATCTCTTACAAAGATACTAAGATAAATATTATTGATACCCCTGGTCACTCCGACTTTGGTGGAGAAGTAGAACGTGTCCTTAATATGGTTGAAGGAGTTCTGTTAGTGGTAACATATTCTGACTTTTACAATGTCATAACTTATCGCCTATCGCATGCTATTTACTATCTCTTTGAATATAATGACTGCTACTTTGATAATATGTTGCTCCATGCCTTCTCTAGTTGAATTTATATGGAATTGTAATTTTAAAATTGACTAATGATCTCTTGATGCGCTTACAGAAGGGTTTTTGACCTGAATCTTTCATGATAATGCGAAACAAAATTTCTACAATCATCAGGGAATGATGCTTATAGTTACATGTGCTCTGATGTATGTTCGCCAAGAGAATTTCAAGGATCAGCTAATCCTGATAGCTTTGGACACCTGATCATGTTATTTGGCCTGATCTTTGTTAATCTGGTAGTTTGGCCCTAATATTTATAACGTAGTTTAAATTACTAGGAAATGCATTTTGGATGCAAAACATGTAAGTTTACATTGCTAACCATTTCTATGGGGATCATGCTTTTCTTTTGAGGAAAAAGATGATCCCTCAGAAGTGGAATGCCTAAAGCTATCTTCTGCATAATCCTCTGTCTTCGATTTTCTTTGTGGTATCAAAACATTGGCTTCTTTGGGCTGGGAAACAATTTCGTTACGCCTGAATAAGTTTTGGGATTCAAGTTGAGACCCTGATATCTTTAAAATACCATTTCGTTATGTCTGAATATATATGATTCACCTTTCTTCTTGAAATTAGGTTTTTGTTGTTATTTTATGATGGGTATAGCTCTGTATTGACTGGAAAGCCTAATGATATATCTTACAGGTAGATTCCGTAGAGGGACCAATGCCACAAACACGATTTGTTCTAAAGAAAGCTCTGGAATTTGGACATGCAGTTGTTGTCGTTGTGAACAAGATTGATAGACCTTCAGCCCGTCCAGATTTTGTGATCAATTCCACTTTTGAACTTTTTATCGAGCTCAATGCAACTGATGAACAGGTGCACTTACCAAGATAGAACCCAAAATTTGTGTTATCAGTTTTTTTTATCAAGAAATACTGCTGCATATCTAACTTGTTGGGAACTGTCTTGGTCATAGTGCGACTTTCAAGCGATATATGCTAGCGGGATCAAGGGAAAAGCTGGACTATCTCCAGATAATTTGGCAGATGATCTTGGGCCATTGTTTGAGACGATTATTAGATGTATACCAGAGCCAAGCATTGATAAAGATGGTGCTTTACAGATGCTCGTAAGTGTTCATTCTGCGATTTCATTGTTTGTTGATCATGTTTCATTTAAACTTTCTCTGATTGTATTTTCCACTGCTTACGTGCTTTTACATGAAGAACTTAACCTCCACAGTAGTTTGTCATTTCTTGCTTTTGGAATCATTTCATTACGTCCACGATCACCTGTGAGAACGACTGTCAGACATCTATTTCCATCAATCATGGCAAAAAGCAACGGATCAAGATTTAATAAAAAGTTTGCACATACCCAAATGCCTTTTAGATTAACCATCTAGGGTTGGCTAGGTCAGATAATTTTCTCAGCCATGCACTGAGCTTGTTTTCTGAGAGTATGATGCTGGCTCTTTTTTCTCATCCTCATGCTCTGCTCATCTCTTATAAACTCATATTCGTTTGTATGGACGGATTTCTTCTTGTCTTGTCATTTGTGTTTGTTTTAATTTTGATTGCGCACTCTTTAGCTGGGTGCTTACTGTTTTTCTCAATATTATCTCAGTTTTTGAGATTTTTATTTGCTCTTCTCTATTATTTTTTTTTCTTATTATAATGATATCATATGAATTATATAATTTTTCCTGGGTTTACATGTTATACATTATGCATCATTATGGTTCACATTCAGTATGATGTATGACAATTTCTCTGCATCCACCGTGAGGTCAATAAATTTTTAACCCTTCTCAAGAATAGAATCTCCTATAGAAATCTCGGACATAGCTTGAAAGCTTGACCTTCCTCACGTATCAGGTATCGAACACTGAATATGATGGACACAAGGGAAGAATAGCTATCGGTCGTCTTCATGCTGGGGCTCTGCAGAGAGGCATGGAAGTGAAGGTGAATATGCTTTTATCTGCAAATGTTTCTTAACTTACGTGTTGGATTTTCAATGAAAGATATATATTATGTTAATGATCTGGTAGTAGCTAGTTATCTCTTCTAGTCGTCCTATTGAAACATGTCATTTAGTATCTCACATTGGATGGCTCCCAGGCTCTTCTCATCTTCCTCAGTTAGTCTATCGATTTTTGCTTAATCTTCTTCAAGAATGTCTCGTTGTGTGCTATTCAGAATAGAATCGTCACTGAAGCAGCCTTTTTTTTCTTGATTTGGCAAGGTCTGCACATCAGAGGACGCATGCAGAGTTGGTAAAGTCAGTGAGCTTTTTGTTTATGAGAACTTCTCTAGGGTTCCTGTTGAGACTGTGGAGGCTGGCGACATCTGTGCAGTATGCGGTATTAGTGACATAATGGTAGGGTTTCTCATCAACCTGCACCATCATCGATAGGAGACTGCATATCATTCGCAGCCTAGAAGCTTACTCTTCCCGTCCTTACTGCTGCAGATTGGGGAGACCATAGCGGACAAAAATACAGGAAAGCCATTGCCTGCCATTAAGATTGAAGAGCCGACTGTCAAGATGGCTTTCTCCATTAATACTTCTCCATTTGTTGGCCGTGAGGTATGATTAATATTTTTTCTTGATATTTCGCATTAAATGCTTATAAGATACTCTTGACTGATGACATTTTTGCTAAACTTCGGAAAAACAAGGGATTTTTTTGTTGCTTTTGTTGGGAATTGCTCAAGTATTTTGGTGAATTCTTATGGATCATTGGATGATCCTCATATCCACCTAGAAGAACAGTTATGTAATGTTCATTGCCATGATATTATTCTAGTATTTCAGTTGCATAAAATATGATAGAACTCACTATTTATGGGAAATTTTATGTTTCAAAGTGGAGGGGAAGCTTTTATGACAGATTTTTTTTTAAAATTCTGATATATAAAACGGTCAGATGGTGCTTCAAGTCATCTGAGATCTTTCAGTAGCTATCAGGTCAGCGTCCCTCTCCCCATGAGTTGACTATTGACAGCCTTCTTTAATCTTCAGGGGAAATATGTTACTAGCCGAAACCTTCGCGATCGCCTCTACCGCGAGCTCGAAAAGAATCTGGCAATGAAGGTTGACGACGGTGAAACAGCAGACACGTTCATCGTCAGCGGGAGGGGGACACTGCACATCACCATCTTGATAGAGAACATGTAGGGTTCATCTCCTGTTCGTCAGCTTCCTCCAGGTGATCGATGGACATGCTAACCACCCTGCCCCTCTCTCTCAGGCGAAGAGAAGGATATGAGTTCATGGTGGGCCCACCCAAGGTCATCAACAAGCGCGTGGACGACAAGCTGCTGGAGCCATTTGAGGTGTGGAGATCGTTTGACCTTCTTGGTTTTCCGGGTGGAACATTTCTCGTCCAGGAGTCAACCCTTTGACCCGCGTAGGGTCTTGCAGATTGCTACCGTGGAGGTTCCAGAGGAGTACATGGGGGCTGTGGTCGAGCTCCTGGGGAAGAGGCGCGGGCAGATGTGCGACATGCAGGGACTCGGGTCTGCTCACCGCCCCTTCATCTTCTTGCTTCGCCCCTGAGATAGATTCCTAACAGGGATCGATGTGAAACAGGTCCGAGGGGACTTCACTGATCAAGTACAAGATCCCCACCCGGGGGCTCCTCGGGCTGAGGAACTCGATGCTGACGGTCTCTCGAGGCACGGCCGTTCTCAACACGGTGTTCGACAGCTATGGCCCCTGGGCCGGAGACATCAGCACCCGTGACCAGGGATCCCTGGTGATTATATCCGATTGTTTCCTCTCTGGGATTCCTCCCATGGTTGACTTTGGGTGTTTATTTACTATAAATGGAATTGTGTGGTTGCAGGTAGCTTTTGAGGACGGAAACACCACCTCCTATGCGCTGTTCAGCGCCCAGGAGAGGGGCCAGATGTTCGTCAGCCCCGGGACGGAGGTCTACAAGGGGCAGATTGTGGGCATCCACCAGCGCCCCGGAGACCTGTCGTTGAACGTCTGCAAGAAGAAGGCCGCCACTAACGTGCGCTCCAACAAGGAACAGACAGGTGCGCGCGTTGACTTTCCCATGCTGCCGTTTATTTGGGTCGCTCACGGTTTTTCCTCTTCTGTTCGTACGCAGTGGTTCTCGACACGCCGTTGACTTACAGTCTCGATGACTGCATAGAGTACATTCAAGAGGATGAGCTCGTGGAGGTGACCCCTCAGAGCGTCCGGATGTGCAAGAACCCCAAGATCGTGAAGAAGAAATGAGATCCCCCCCCACCCGCCTATTTATGTCAGCTTGTTGCGCTTCCAACGGGCCGGTTGACCTTGTCTCTTAGGTCAACGGGTAGATGCCGCGTAGGGCCACTCCACGGAGGTGTATATAGTAATTCTTCGGCGCATCAGGGCCATTTTTGGATATCCTGGGCGATCACTCCTCCGCCCTGTTCGCCATTTTTGGAAAAAAATGCTGATCTCGGAGGAGCTGTGAACTGCTCCGTTTGTAGCCAAGTGTGCTTGGTATTGATCCATATAGGTTGAATGATGCGTGTTTACTTCCTCTTTGGGGAAATCTGATGCTCTTCCTCCCTTCTCTTCGGCCCACGAGGCCCGACGACACCGTCTCTCTCTCTCTCTCTCTCTCTCTCACTCTATAGGCGGTGAGGAGTAGAGGAGAGGCTATGATTCCTTGAATCGGTGGGAAGTTTCTAAGGCGATCTGTGGCGTCTGGCCAGAAGTCGGAGGAACGATTGGTGGACGCGGTGGAGCCGGAGGGCCGCGGCGAACTTTTGTTCAGAGAATGGAAGGATTTCGGTCACTCATGGCAGCGCCACCGCCGATGGTGGGGGGGACAACTGAGAGCGATGGTGATGACGGACGAGAGACGCCGTCGTGGAGATCCAGTTGGACGCTCTCCCGTGGTTCTCTCCGGGATACGATCTGCGTAGAGACCTCCGAGTCGATCTTAGAAGATGCTGGAGTCGTCGACGGGGACGGCGCCGTCTGTGTCTCCGGAGGCCAGCTTCTGACAAGGCCGGTTGGTCGGGAGTCCGATCCGTGCGAAATCACCGGTAGGTGCGCTTGTACATCATGATCACCTCCGGAGTTCTTGATCTCGCTACTTTTTCCTCTTCTACTCTCCTGTTAATGCCTTTCCCTGAGAGAGAGCTCGGCGGAGTTAGGGTATACCGAACGTTATCGCGATCGATAACAGCCGAGTACTGAAGGGGTTGGGATTTCTTCTTGAATCTGCTGTTGCTATTTCTGCTGATGTCTCCCAACCCCCCGCACCATCATCACCTCTTTTTCTGCTCATCAATTAGTCATGCTAGGGATTTTCTTATTCAACTGGCAGCTGAGATCCACCTTAGTCCTTCGAACAATTCTCATTTTCTTGATCCTTATTTTGGCGGTATTGCCTATTCTTCCCGTCACTTCTGGGAAATTCAGGGTTCTCTGCCACCTATCCATTATACTTCGTCCATCTTTCGAAGATGAAGTAAGAATCTGCCTTCTCCTAGCATTAGGCTTCGCGTATATGCTACTTTCAATAGTATAAAGCAATGAAGCCTGGGATCTGTATTGTTATTTTATGATCATCGGTGCATATAGTTCATAAACCGTGAAATCCTTTTTTTCCATAAAGGTGCATACACAACATAAACGGATCTAAAGACATTTCAGGTATACCCTTTATGCGTGATGAACAACTTCCTCTGGCCAAGACAGATAGTAAAAGGGCAATATAGTGCTAGAATTTTTTCTGGCTTTAACCTCATTGAATTAGGTGTTCTTATGACTGTAGCAGTTAGGATCTTCCCATTAACCATCTTATTCAATCACCACCATCACAATATCCCAGCACCATTTGCAATGGAGCTGCTTTCCTTCTAGGGGGGTTGTGTTGTTGTTGGTGTTTAATGGTACAGAAATAATCTACACTTCACTATTAGTCTCCACGGTAAGATTTGCTTTAGATTTGTTTTAGATTTATTTTGAGCAGATTTTCAATGCAGAAGTAACCACTAATATGTGGTCTTGCATGGATCCTACTTGGCAAGCTTGATTCCCCCTAGCAGACTACCTACTACTTGTATTCTGCAGTCTGTTTCAGGGAGAGACATGAAATTCACAGGGTCTATGTACGGAGCACGGCCCGAGTGTTTGAAATATATTACGGTTTGGAAGAGCAGGACGGAGACAATGAATACTTATGTACAGTGCGATGTGGACCCACTGAAAAGGAGGTACTTCTACCCAGATTTGACGGTGAGGAAGAACATCTGAAGGACTCTAATGCATCTATCGAAGCTCCTGGGAAGACAACTAAAGGTGAAAATAACACAAGCAGTGAAGAAGATGGATGGGTCGAAGTCAAAGTTCCCGAGTCTCCTCTGCTTGGCACTGGGAGTGACCCTTTCTCTGACAATAAAGATGGGACTGTCAAGGCAAACGGTCAGGTAATTTAAACTTCTTCCCTGAATTGTCAATTCAAATATTTCTTGCGCTTTAAGAATATGATCTGATTGGCAACGAACGGCTGCAGATTTATTTTGAGGCAACTGCAGAAATTTCAGATGCAAGTCCTTGCATGTCCCTGAAAATCCGTCTGTTGTCTCTCCAAGCCAAAGAATGGATTCACATAGAGGAAGTTTATATCTATGCAGACCCAGTCGAATCTACAGATTCAAGGCCTCCATTGAGCAAGGGAGAAGACATGGCTGGGAATTCTCTCTTGGCCATGCTTGTTCCTGGTATTCTGCAACTGTCAAAGCCAGGGAGCAGTAGAGTGCACGATACTGCTGCTTCTTTCAGCTCTGCTGTGCAGAAACATGGAAATAATGGAACAAAAGGAATTGAGGAAATGAAACCTGAAACGGCAAAATCAGGATTGCAGAAAATATGCTCCACTTTGGAAGGGCAAGAGCACAAGCCAACTTTGGTGCCAATTGAATCCAGTGAAATAATCACACGGTTGACAACTGAGAATTCAGGTCTCCGACATGTACCTGGATCTTCTCCTGAAAAAGATAATGGAATTTCTTGTCTTGAAAAAAAATTGGATGAGATTGTTTCGAGAATGGGAAGAATGGAAGATTACCTTTCGAGATTTGAAGAGAACATCCTGAAGCCTCTCAGTTGCATCGATACAAGGCTTCAGCAAGTGGAACGGCAATTAGATGCACTTTCCTCGAGGGGAGGGTCTTCCAGACCATTGGATTGCTCCAGGATTTCAGCACCAGAGTTTCAAATTGATGAATGTGATTCTGACGGAGGCTTTGGTCTTCCAGATTTATCCAATGAAGATGCCACCGTCAGCAGCCTCAATCCGACCAAGGAAGGTGAAACTGTTAACACCCCGGAGGTGGTCAAAGAATACGTCACTGTCGATGATCAACATGTAGGCGAAAAGCTGCCAAATGGTAATCCGGTGTTGGCAGCTGCTGGTGGGGAAGGATTTCCCTCTGCTTCGATATGTCCAGGTTTGCTCATAAAAGCACCAGATTTTCCTAACGAAGAAGATGAACATGTTAGCAGCAGTGACATTTCTGGATCAGCTGTGATTGCTTTTACTAAAGTCAGAGCACCCTTCTCAATTGATGACGCATTAACTTCAGCGCTTGAGGCATTCATGCTGTCAGGATCCACCAACTCTCCCAAAAATAAGATCGATTCAGACCTTACGTCCCAAGCTTCAGATGAGGCCGATCATAACCCTAGTCTGGATGGAAATTTTTCAACGGGCATTGGAGGCCAAATTAAAGACACAATCGTCAATGAAACCAACGGAGTGCATAGTGTCGATTTGGTATCAGCCCAACGAGGTAAAGGGCAAGAGGCAAGTCACCTCCAGCAGTGGTCCCGGGGCATTTCTGGAGGTTTGGTCTCTGAAGAAGACGTATCTAACGACCAGTTTTTGGCGGATGATGTTGAGAGGGAGAGTGGAAATGGATGGGGTGACGATGTTAGAAACAGAGAGGATGCTCTAGCAGAATTCCCCTGTCCAACCAGAGGCTGGAAGAAGTGGGATGGCAGTGGTAGCTCAGACTCGACCATTGATGCAAATGAAACTGAAAACCTTTCCAACATGGATTTGTCGGGTGAAAACAGCATGGATTTAGCAAACCAGCTCCACACCCTCCATAATCAATTTAACGTGCACGAGGATGATTATGAATTAGGAATCGAGAGACTGAAGGGAGCAGGGGTCTGCGATGATCCCAACTCTGTCTCCGGTGATAGACCCATGGAACATACCCAGGACCAGTCAAAGGAGGTGACCCAGCAGATTTTGAACGCTTTTCTGGGTAGTGTATTTAAGGTGGATAGTCAACAAGTGTCACACACTTCTCAGGAGGAATCAATTTTAGATGTGAAATTTGTTAGACATGAGGAATCAGAAGGTAGCTTTCACTTTGATGCCCTGGTAATGGATATGGCGGACCCGGGTGTTCCAGCTGATGACAGTATGTGTCTCAATGGAGTTGGAACTGCAAAGCAATATGATTCAGGTTCCGCAGAGATTACAGATTTGGGTGCTTCTCCTACCGGTGAGTGCTTACTAATCGATTTGGAGGTTGCTGTGAATGATGACAGCCCAGCCATGGAGGGAAGCCACAATCAGCAACCGTTATCCAGCTTAATATGACCTGTGTTGACTTCCCTTTTATAGCAAATCAAGAAAGATGCTTCAGAAACTGAGAGCAGGATAGGATATAAGGTAAGCTAAGGTTGATGGCCGTATACATAGTTGATTTGACTCATTTTGCATCCTTGTCGCAGTCACAGCTATCTGGTTTGTATGAAGCTCAAGTATTTGAAAAAGTTGCATAAGAGGAACTGCTCTGAAGCCAAGCTGTCTGCTCTGTTGCAGTGTAGAGCAAGAGCCCGTCTCATCCTTCCATGATTACAGCATATATAATAATTGCCGCCGGAGTCTGCTACAAAATTGGTTTGTGCATGGGGAAATCTCCTCGTTCTTCCGATTTATGGCAAAACAACAATCCAAGACACATGGATGCCTTCCTATTTGAGATGCAGAAAGAGAAACAGACATCGGGTTCTTCTAAGAAGAAGAAGGACATGTATGGAACTCAAAAGCTTCCATGTGATTGAAAATAGCCACATCCGTCTCTTCATGCTCCTTTGCCATTCTGCTGGGTTGAGACGAAGTTGTGGATGACCTCCGTTGCCAGTTGGTGAACAGTCTTGTTCTGCAGCTGCGCGAGCTCGTTCATGGCTTCGTATGTCTGTCTGTCGGAGAAAACTCTGAGATTGAACCCTGATGGGCTCTCTGTTGGGCCTTCCCATTTCTCCACTATGCTCTGGAGTTTCTCGAAGCCCTGATGAACATCACCAGACAAACTTCGCTTATGTTTTGCCCAGTTGGTGGAAGCAAGATAAGGTATCAACTTCAGACCCATAAGCATGCCTAAACTACCATATTTGGTTTGGAACCCCATTTGTAGATATAATCATCACTACTTGTCAATATATGTAAAGGTTCTGTTTTATCTTTTCACAGAAAACAAAAAATCTTATCTACTGTGAGGAATACGTTCATACTTTTTTCTTTACTGAGAATAATTACAGACAAAACAATCACAAAATGCTTCTGAAACATTGGTAGGGAAGCTGGTTACGGGGTACTTACGATGCGATTAGTGAAGTCACCAAACGATTCTCCCTGCAAACGCTTTCTTTTCCAGTTGTAGAATAATGGTTCAAGAACCTTCTCCAGATCGTGGACCTTCACCTTATTCATGAAGGTCCTTGCTAATTTTGTCTGGTTTGGTGTTCCTCCAAGCCAAATCTGAACATTGCATTCAAAAGGGATTAAATTAGTGGAAAATATATATTATATCAAACCAAATCTCTCAGCAAAGCATCAATCCTTGGTGATTTCATGTGTTACATTCTCTAAGCAGGAGAGTAGAACGACTTTTTTTTTTTCTTGTTTTTTTTTTTCTGTTTTCTTACCTGATAACTATTGGGTCCGTCACCAACAAGCCCTAGCTCAGCCATGTAAGGCCTGGCACAGCCATTGGGACATCCAGTGACCCTAATGACGACTGACTCCTTGAACTTGAGGCCAACCTGAAATAACGTACACATCAAGTACCAAGATTTCATAGTCCTCAGACTAGCCATTTTTCCTGATGAAAGCATATAAAAAAAAATTCATCATAAAATCTGTAGCACCATAGAAGAATGGATTACCTTGTCAAAAACAGCCCTAACTCGTTTGAGAATATCTGGTATTCCTCGCTCAGCTTCTGTTATCGCCAGAGGACACAGCGGTAGAGCTGGGCACGCCATTGCAGTGATGTTAAGAGGATCAACATACCGAGGAAGCTGTGAATGGCATAAACAGTGAGGATCAGCTGTTGAGTACGAAGAAAGCAACCTTTAAAGACCCAACCTAGTAGTACTCCATTGTATGCTCATTCCTCAGGGGAATTTCTTTCCCTCTATGGAACTTTACATAGAGAACTCCATATCAACATCTGAATGGCCTGCAGGCGCTGTTTTACTCAGTTTTCTTTATACCTCGAGGGAAGTTTATAAGTGATATCTAAGAATCTACTTGATAAAATAACAAGTTGAGAGGGAAATCATCAGATATGAGATTCAACTGATACTAGCTCAACACCAACTTTACTCAGGGGATTAGGGTGTAAGTTATCTACTGTGAGCTAGATTGGAGGATCAACATTTTGCAACACATAAATGCATGAAATCAATTACCAGTAAGCCCGCCTGCGCAAGAGCGGTGGTGATTGGCCTTCTCCATGTCTGGCGAATATCGCAGAGGATTAGGTTCTGGTTTGGAGTGATTCTTACACTCAGATTGTATTTTTCGATTATCTCCCTCAACGTTTTCTTCATTTTCCCCCCAATTCGACCATTATCAACGTGAAGTCCACAGAACATCGCACCGTCACCCTGCAAGAATTCCAAGAAAGGCAACAACACAGAGTTTCTTCTTCGTAAGCAAAAATAGAAAACGACATGCAAATCCGGCGCACAGCAGCAGATGAATGCTTGCTACAACAAAATCTTGGTAAAAAGAAAAAATAACTGATTTTGGTAGTAACCACCTGCTCATGCCATCCAAGGTAACTCTCGAATTCCCATTCGGGTAGCTCTTTGAAGGGCTCGAACTTCTTGCCGTAGTACTCCTCAGTGACACTCCGAAACTTTTCGATTCCCCATTCGTTGACCAAATACTTCATTCTACTATATCGCCTTTCATCTCTTCTCCCATGCTCACGCTGCACCACAACAATGGCTTTCACAGCATATAAGATATCTTCTTTCGGCACGTAACCAAGAGGCTTCGCCAGGCAAGGGAATGTTGTCTCCACCCGATGGGTTCTCCCCATGCCACCTCCAACCTACAATTAAAGAAATATTTACAACGGAAAAAATGCCATTTATCACCCTCCGAGATAGAAATAATCCACAAAGGATGAAATTTTTATGTCTTACATAAATATTGAAGCCTTGAGGTTCCCCATCAGCGTCAGATACTAGTACCACACCGATGTCATTAGTGAGAATATCTACAGAGTTATCAGTGGGCACAGTAACAGCGATCTTGAACTTCCTGGGCAGGAACTGGGTGCCATATATGGGCTCTGGAGAATCAGGGAAGTTGGTCCCATGCGAGTTATCATTACGAGCTGTCACCACCTCAGGAGGCTCTGCCGACATGAATTTCTCCCCATCAACCCACAGGTCATAATATGCACCGGACTGAGGAGTTAGAAGCGTAGCAATGTTATCCGCAGTCTCCTGAGCAAATAGATAATCCTTCCTTGTGAAGGGTGCTGCAGGGGCGAGAACATTTCTGTTCAGATCGCCGCATGCTCCAAGTGTAGATCCCATGCTCCTGATAATGGTGCTCAAAACAGTCTTCAGATTCTTCTTTAGAATACCATGCAGCTGAAATGTTTGCCTGGTGGTCAAGCGGAGGGTGCCGCTACCAAACTCATCCGCAAGGTCGTCCATGGTCAAGTAGAGTTTATTTGTGACCTTGCCGCAGGGATTCTTGGTGCGAAGCATGAATTGATATGATTTTACACCACGCTCGTCTCTGTTAGTCTGCTGATAACTTCCGTGGAACTTGATCAGTTGTGTTGCAGCCTCATTTATATTCCCCGCCTCTGTTTCTAGCTCCTCCTTCAGAGGGTACCTGAGAAAGTTGCTCTGCTCTTTAAAGATTTCAACCTTGCTCCGTTTAGTCTCAGCTGAGTCAGTCTTCACGGGCTGCAAAGAAAAGCTCAAGTGATGAGGCAAATGCAAGAGAGAGCAGAAGTAAGAACACTCGGTTAATTGAGCCAATTATCACGGAGAACCTGCTGAAAACAACAACAACGCCCGCCATCTCCTTCCCCAGAAAATAAAAAACGTAGAAAAGAATAAATTGTAAAAACAAGCAGCCTTCAAGGAATGAGATTATAAATAAAAGCACATGGCAGTTTCAGATCCAATTACATCCCTAATAGTAGTACTTTGTTACTGTTCATGGATGCCGTTCTTTTTTTGAAGTACACAGCCCCTTCACAGATTTTTTATGGAAAACTTCGCAGGGCACATTATTTCAGAGAAACTTCATTCACACAATGTTTTTTCCCTGTTGTGATTCCATCTCTGGAAAGAGTTTTGATAAATTGAAGAACAGGATACGGAAAATCTCTCCAACAAAACTGAAACAGTGAATGGTAGGTAGAACATATTGTGGCATTGCAGTGTTTATACATGCCAACATATGAGGGTTTTACAAGTACCAATTGTGGCATTTCAATCTACATTCAATAGTAGGTAGAACATAGAAGTCATGGCCCAACAGGGATCAAGGATAGTGTGAGCTCTATTAGGAAAAATCATGAGCTTTTCGTTAGAATTTTTTTTGGGATATATAAGTTTCAAAAATATTAAAGTTCCTCCAAATTTTGTAGAAATATAGGATAATTTAAACTTATTTTAGGGTGCTAGTTGGGGGAGGGAGTTGTTCTTGGTGGGAAGAAGAACCTTCTGAATGATTTCACACGATATCCACATGAAACTACGCCATTAATCATCTTTTCGGATGTCCACCCCTTCTAGAGGTTAGTCAGTTGGGAGGAGTCCGTTTCGTCTTCTTCCATTTTACTTACAGATTCACAGAGAGCTCACTGGTGAAGGCATTCTATCTATGAAGATATCTATGAAGAAGGTTAAAAGGGAAGCTAAGAGCAGAACCTAGACCACATTCAATGGATAAATATCCTGATAGCTTTAATGCATAGAGGACGAAGACCATGGCAAGGGATAGTCTGAAGCAGGACACAGAATGAAAGAAGGAAGAAGACCATGAGCCTGACGACGACGGCGAAGAAGATACTCACAGTAGAGACTGCGGTTACTCCGGAGAACTTAGCAGGAGATGGAGGCACCGATCGGATGGACCTCGAGAGGGGAGCCAAGCCAGACGCCCTCAGACCCCGATACCTTTGAATGCACACATCCGGATCGCCGGAAACGGCAGAGCTCGCAGCACCGATCGCAGCCATCAGTCACCACGGAAGGAGGAACAACAAGAAAGAATCCCCCAGGGAGCGAGGCAGAAAAGGAGGGATGGCGAAGAAGAGAGCGCTGCCGCAGTCGTCTGACAATCTAGAGTTTGACCTCGTGACCGCCGCCGGCGGCTAGCCGCCGCCAATCGTGGCAGCTCGGGAAGCGGGTGTGGCGAACGACGTCTTCGACGGCATCGACCGAGCGAGTGGCGGCGGCGACAAACGAAAGCCGATCGATGAGGATGAAGAATAAATCCCTCCTCCTTTCTTTATTTTATTAATATATTTTTTATTATTGCTGAAAATTGTTTTTTTTAAGTATCCGATTCGGGGGTGGCGGCGCTCTGATGCTACCTTCACTCCCTATTTTTCGCCTTTGCCTCTCTGTAGGTCTATTCGATGGACGAACAGCCGCAGTTATAAACTGCAGCAGAACGAGACAGATGTTGACGACAGGGGTGTGGATATATCACAACCCGGCTCTCGCGCGTGCCATCGGTCAACGTCGAGATTCACTGAACTTGGACACTATTTCAATCAAATATAATGTCACGAAAATAGATAATATAATATTTAAATATTGTATAATTGGGAAGACCTCTGTGAGGCCTGTGGGCTCTGGTGGGCCGCTGCTAACCTTTCGTTCCATCAGTCGAAGGGAAAGCCCATTATCTCTCCCTCTCTCTCTCGCAAACTTGGATGTGAAAGAAAATTGCTCCCCAGGTTTTTTTCTTGTGCTCAAAATAATTAAAATATATATACTAGAAAGAAAAAGTGAAAGGACCCGCCAAAAAATAATCATTTATTTTTATTTTTAGGAAATTAGACGGCGCGAAAAACTAAATTCGAAATTGGACGTCGCGATGGAGATTTATTAGGAGATAATCACGTGGTTGAGCACCCGACAACCATTTAAAACCGTTTAAAACCATTTAAAACCGTTTCCCGCGCTTCACCGGCTCCTCTTCGCAAGACCCACTCATCATCCTCCCCCCTGCATCCTCTTCCCGCCACCTTCTCTCTCTCTCATCCTGAGCAGAATCAAGAACCCGCTCCCATGGTGGAGATCGGAGGGAATGGCCGGGCTCTCCCCTGATCTGGCCTCCCACCCCTTCAAGCGGAACCACCTGCGGGGTCGGCTTTTCACCCCCTCCGCCTCCGGCTTAGAAGACGAGTGTTGGTGCCACCGATCGCGGCGCCGGCGGGTCCTCGGACGTCTCCGACGACGGGTGGCTGCGATCCGTGCCCCGCGGCGACTTGGCAGCGTCATCTTCCTCTAGTGGGACGGCGACACCAAACACGGCCCCTGTCGCTACACCTGTTCGGCGGGGGTTTCAGCTGGAAGCAGGATCCTGCTGCATGCCGAATAAAGGACAGAACCTGCTCGGCGAGGACACCCACTTCATCAGCAAGGCAGGAAAGGCCTTCGGCGTGCGTCGGGGGGGTGGACGGGCCGTTCACCCGGGTGGTCAGCGTCGGCGACAGTGGATTCATGGTGGTGCGGGGCGGTGCCGTCGCCTACCGCTCCCCTCCACTGCAGAAACACTTCAATCACCCCTATCAGATCGACCGCCTGGACCCAGCCGATCCGCTCGACAGCGATATGAGCTTCACCGTGCGGCTCTCGCTAGGCAACGTCGTCCTTGTGAGAATATGGCCCAATGGGCCCACATAGGAGATGAGCGGTCGCCCCCTCTCTCTCTCTTTCTCTCTCTCCCACGTCCTCGCACCTTCCGCGACATTCTCTCTTCTTCTGACGTCCCTTCTCCTCCTATATGTAGCCTCTAATTTCTCTCTAATAAAGTGTGACGGTTTGCCATTGCCTCTCGCTGAGCCTCTGCAGGCATTGCTACCGCCGCTTCTCGTCGTGCCTCTTCTATTGTTCTCACTGCCCTTCTGGTGACACCACCACTGTATTACAAGCTGCTGCCCCCTTCTAGCTTCAACATCAGTCGCTTATGGAGACAAAAATTCTTCCAATGTCTCCATCCGTCTCTACCAACCACAGGCAAACTACCGGCGCCTCTGCCCCCATTGTTTCTATTACATTGGTGAATCTACTCCTTAATCAGCTTCACAGTCCGAGTCTGCCTCTTGCCGAAGACAATGCCAATTATCGTCAATTTATTACGAATTTACTGCAACCCCTGGTAACTCCAGCCTTTTTAATTGAATAATGAGAGATAAGATCGTCCAAGCCTGAATTCTTAAGATGGTCACTCCACAACTTACTGGAACTATCAAGTATTTGGATACAGCCAAACAAATGTGGGACAAATTTTATCATTCATTTGGGGCCAAAGGGAGTATCGATCATGTGATGGATATCTTCAGCAACCTTATTAAACTGCATAACACATTGTCTTCATGACATTCTACGTATCTTATATTGACGAAGTTTGAGAATATGTTAGATCAATATTAGTCGATTTCTTTCAATCTGGATGTCAATCAATGCTATCGTCAGGAGCTATTAGTGACTGTCTATCTTGACTCTATTGATCTGAGTTTGGTCGATCAAGTCAAAGGCTTGGTCCTCAATAAAGTTACTTCTCTCACCTTTCATCTTTGGCAGTCGCTTCTAAAGCTTCACTTACAACTACCACTCTTGGAGCGTGTCATGGTGCCTCCTCTAACTATGGTCATGGATGGAGTCATGGGCGTGCTACTCTTCCTTGCTGCAATACTTTTCCTCCTTGTGAGCATTGTGACAGAAACAATCATTTCGCAACCAAATACTTCTAGAAGTTTAGGTATCTAGCAAATTGACCTCATAAGCTTCCTTTAGACGAGATCACACTAATGCGGGATTGCCTACTCTTGCTGCTCCTACACTATCATCTAGACAACTTGCTGGATTTACTCCTCTGACACTAATGACTGGAGTTATGATCACTATCTCCCAAAGAGTATGATCGATGGTCAAAGTCTAAGGCCCCTACATCATCCTCTCATATATCACACCACACATCATCTTTTTATGCAAGTGACGTGACTTAGTCATACAGTAAATCACATAAATTTAAAATTTATAAAATTAAAAAATATCATTTTTTTGATATTTAGAAGTATTTTTAAACAAATATATCAATTATAATTTAATAAAACTTACAAAAATAGTGATAATTTTTCAGGTTGATCACGTGAAAAGAGAGTGGTGTACACATGCTCCCATCAGTCTTAGCCACTCGAGCCCCTACTTGCAGCTCCTCTTGACTGCACTTTTGACTTGTTTGTAAGCTCGACTGGTCAATAAGTTCTCCTTTTTTTGCTATATATTTATTTGTATTTCTATTTCTTTATTTATCTAAAAAATAAGACTATAAAAATTATATAAATTTGTAAAAAATCACATAATTAGCCAACAATTCATGTTAATCAATTGAAAACTACTTTTCATAATTTAACATAAATATAAGTCTATTTATCATAAATTAAGATTAAAACTATATTATTTATTAATTATTAACTCATGATAATGAAGACTTATTAGGCCTCCACCCACATGACTAGTATCCTCATTATTCTCACCTCCTATCAGTCTAGCTTGACCTGTCCCCTTGTCACCATTGCCAATAGTCATACCTGTCTAGTCAAAAGTCATGGTGCCACCTCGACTTCTCCCTCCCTTCACCTTACCCAAGTTCTCTACGTTCTCAATTTTCTTATTAAACTTCTTTCCATTAGTGCTATTACTCATGCCATCTTTTATACAGTCACTTTCTTTTCCTTTCACTGTATTTTTCAAGATCTACATACCAAACAGAAGATTTATTTGAGCTGTGGAAACAGGTGGGATGTTTATAAACTTATTTTTTATGAACCCTCATCTGGCCTTCAAGCCTTTCTTATTGCCTCTACGACTACTTCTCTTTTGTGACATTGCTATTTAAGTCATCCTTATTTCTTTAAATTATAAAAAACTTTACCGTAGCTTTCTCTCTTTAAATTTATGTGTGAGTCTTGTTAGTTGGGTAAACATCACCATACTTCTTATCCTTGTCATTATAGCATCCCTTTTTTTACTCTTTTTGACCTTCTCTATTGTGATGTATGCGGTCCATCTCGTACTTTTGTCATCTCAAGCCATCACTATTACATCATTTTTGTTGATAACTATATTCATGTCAATTGGGTCTACCTCTTCTGCGACCGCTCTAATGTCATCACCGTGATTACCCACTTCATCACCAAAATTATCACCCAATACACAACTACGCTCAAGATTCTTCATATTGATAACGCTCTTGAGTTTGTCCAAGTATCTCTTCGCACCTTCTACGATAATCGTTACATCCTCTATCCCAAGTCACATGTCCTCACATTTTGTAGCAAAATAGTGTTGCCGAACACAAACATCATCAGCTCTTTGACATTACTCACACACTTCTTCTTAAGATGAATGTCCCCTACTATCTCTAGGCTAACGCCCTTCTAATTGCCACTTATCTCTAGAATCAACTTCCCTTCACTCTTCTTGGGGGGGATAATTCCTCTCTATTGCTTCATTCATGATTTTCCTCTTTTTTCTCTTCCCTCTCGAGTCTTTAGATGTATCGCCTTCGTCTAGGATTCTTCTCCATCTCTTTCTAAACTCACCCCTTGTGCTCTTAAAAGGGTCTTTGTCAACTATTATCACACGCAAAAAGGCTATCGGGTCTACTTTCCGAATATCCAACGCTATGTGACCTCAATTGATATCACTTTCCATAGTCTCCTTTCTTCTCTCTTATTTTAACTTTTTCTCCTCTTCTTCCTCAAACCACAATGTCTCCTTTACTTAGGTTCCCTCTCTTGGTGGTTCTTACGAATACTCCCTCTTGTCTTCCTTCCTGTCTACTTTCTTTAGAGTCATTACCTGTGTTTGCCTCTTTTTTTCCCATGTCCTCCTACTCCAGATGCAATATCCTCCTCTTCCTCTCCTACAATCTCCTCCACACCTTCGGTCGCTACTCCACTTGATGATCGCCTTTTTTCCTCCTTTCATGTCTTTGCCTTCTTCATGGCCTCCAAGTCGCTTCCACGATCATATGTTGAGATTGCAAATGTAACTATGTGGAAGGTGGCCATAGATTCGGAGGCAGCTGTGTTGATCACTCGGAGGACTTAAGATTTGATTCTGCACTCGACCGATGCCAACATTATGACATGCAAGTGGGTGTTTCCCATTAAGTATCAGTTGGATGGCTCTATCACTCGTCACAAAGCTTGTTTGATTGCTTAGGGCTTCACACAAGCATATGAGGTCGACTACACTAAGATGTTCTCTCACGTCATTTGTCTCAACTCTGTCTGCATGTTTCTCTCTCTCACCGTCAATCAGGCATGATCTTGTTACCTTTTTCTATGGTGATCTCACAAAGTAGGTCTTTATGAAGTAACCTCCCAAGCATGTTGCTCAAGGAGAGTCATCAAAGGTGTCTTTTGCGGCATGTCATTTATGGGCTCAAGTAAAGTTTACGTACTTGGTTCACCAAGTTTAGTAATTTACTCATTACCTTTGACTTCATCTCCTATATTTAGACCCCACCATGCTCATGAAGATAATAAAGGACGGCCTTATCATCTTTGTAGTCTATGTCGACGATATTCTTGTGACTAGAAATGATGAGGCTGACATTTCTATTACTAAAGCTTACTTACAACAACACCTCAGCATTCGTGACTTAGGACTCCACGGTATTTCTTTAGGATTGTGTTAGCATATCAAGATGGAAAGCTCACCCTCACTCAACAGAAGTATGCCCTCAACATGCTTCAAGAGATAGACCTCTTTAGGTGCAAGCCGGAGACTTTGTCTATAGACACTCGCCTGTAGTTCTATGACACTTCATCTCCCTTACTTGATAATGTCAACCGATATCAATGATCGTTGGACAAGTTGATATATCTCACCGTCACTTACCTTCACATCGTGTACATAATTAGTGTCTTGAGCCAATCCATGTAAGAGCCTTGACGAGTTTATTGAGAGGGAGCTCTATGAGTCCTCACCTACATCAGTGATCTCTAAGAAAAACGCTCATCTATCGATAACACAGCCATCTCCACATTGCAGCCTACTATGACGCTGGGTATGCCAGTGACAAGGGTGACTAAAATTCTACTACAAATTATTGCACATATATTGGTGGTAACTTAGTTATCTAGTAGTCTCAAAAATAAAGGATAGCGTCATGTTCTAGTGTAGAATTCAAATATCGAGCTATGACTAAGATAACACAGAAAATAGTATGGCTTTAATCACTTCTCGATGATCTTAGTATTATTTATCTATCTCTAATGTTCATGTATTGTGACAATCAAGTCGTCATCTTCATTACTGATAATTTCACTTTTCATGAGCATACGAAGCACATTGAGATCGACTATCACTACATTCGAGATAAGATTATGTTTGAACTTATCTCTACTTCTCATATAACATCATCTCATCAACTTGCATACGTCTTCATGAAGAGTCTAGTTGACATCTCCTATAACACTACATGTACCAAGTTAAATATGTTCGACTTATATGCTCTAACTTGAGGAAGAGTGTTTGATAGTAGTATCAGACTTTCGACACACTATGACCCATTATCTCTCTCTCTCTCTCATTTCTCCTCTCTCCTATATAAGAGTCATATATTCTATCTTTGAGACTACATAGATTTCAATTTTTTCCTCTCTCATGTTAACACCCCTCAACAAGTTCAATCAATAAACTCTTTTAAGGAAGGCAGGGTCTTCCTGCACAAGCAAACAAGTGACCTTCCCTAGATGTCCAAGTGAAACCATATGAGGTGATGGCATGTTACATGGATCTCCACCCAAGTAATTTGAGAGGCATTACAGCTGGATCTTCACGTAGATTCAAAGATGATGGCATGTTACAAGGATCTTCCCTTGACAACATCAACAAGTGTCTATAAGGTCAAGCCCACAACCACAACAAATAGTTTCATATGATAAGACTCACTCGCTCCCTCCCTCCTCACCTCTTCTGTCATGTTCTCAAACCTACCCACACACATGTAGAGGCCAATGTGTTAATATTTAATTCAAAAAAATATTTCTCATTTTTTTTTATATTAGGCCTTTTTTTTGTCTTTTAGTAGGCTAAAGTCGTCCTATTTTTTAGTGGGCCATAAGTGGCCAGTCCATTTAATGTGTTGCAATAAATACTATTCTCTCTCTCATTTTATATGAAATATTTTCATTTCATCTTTTTCTAAGGTTTATTCTGTTATTTTTCTTAGAAGTGGTATCACAGTGCCAAGTTCGCATATTAGGCATTGGTTTTCTGTGGAGAGGCCAACATACTTCGAAGAGAAGAAATTCAAGGTTTGTGAAATTTATTTGAGGTTTTTTAGAGATTTCTTGGCATTACAAGGATTCTGAAGATTTGAATCGATGTTTATATGAAGATGTACCATCATAGACAGTGAAATGGTGAATGTTAATCTGCTAAATTTCTCACAATCCTTATTTTATTTTGTAATGGAGAGAAATATAATTTTTGGAATATTAAAATGAAGATATTTTTTATTTCTCCATATTTATGAGAATTAGTTAAGACTGGAAATAAGGAAGGAGAGACTTCGAGACAAGAAAATAAGGAATTTCAAAAAAAAAGATGCTAAGACATTATTAGTTTTACAACAATCAGTTTAGAAGTAATTTTTCCACGAATTGCTAATGCATCAAGTTCATTTGAAACAAGGAAAATTTTGAAAGATGAATTTCATGGTGATAATATAATTATGAATGTGAAGCTTCAAACTCTTTGTCAAGAATTTGAAAATATTTTTATGAAATCAGATGTATTAGTGCATGATTTCTTTCCTAGAGTTGTTGTTATTATAAATGAAATGAGGATTTTGGTGAAGATATTTCTGAAAAGAAAATTATTGAAAAAAAATTAAGAAGTTTACCTTCTAAATTTGATCATATTATTGCTGCCATTAAATAGTCTAAGAATTTATCTATTTATACCCAAAATGAGTTGGCTGGAACATTGTTAACGCATGAAGAATGAATTAATAGATAAAAGGAAAAATTTATTAAATAAGTATTTCAAGCAAAGATTGAACTTTCAAAGAATGAGAAAACTAGTGAAAGAACATTTACACAACAAGGACATGGTAGAGGACACTATCAAAATAGAGGTTGTGGAAGAGGACATGATAGATCATATTATGGGCAGCAAAGAAATGATGGAAGAAATCAACAAAATCAGAAACCAAATTACAAAATTATGTAATGTCATTTTTACAAGAAATATGGTCACATTGAAGCATATTGTTATGAAAAATTAAAACAACAAGAAAATATAAGAGAATGAAATTTAAACAAATGTGTAATTTTTGCAAGAATATGGTCATATTGAAGCAAATTGTTGTGACAAGAAAAAGAAGTAAGCAAATATTGTTGAAGAAAATAATCAAAATAAGTTATTTATAACTAATATTTCTTTAAGCTTAAGAACATCATATGACAGGTGAAAAAGATTTATTTCAAAATATTGACACCTCTATGATTTGTGATGTTACTATAGTGTGAAAATTGAAGGCATTAGTACTATTGTTGTTCATATTAAATCAGGGGTACAAACATTAATTCATGATATTTATTTATTTTTAAAATTAGCACATAATATGCTTAGTATGGGTCAATTATTAGAATGTAGCTTTATTATTCATTTCAAAGATGATAAATGTGTTGTCAAACATTAGAAGAGTGGTATGACTTCAATGGTGATTCCTTAGATTGGAAAGAGGATGTTTCCTCTCAATATCTCAAGATTTATTGATTTTGGTATGATTATAAAAGAAAATAATTTATCCACACTTTGGCATATGTGTTAGGGTCATTTAAACTTTAATGCATTAAAATTATTACATCACAAGCAAATGGTCGTTGGTTTACCTTATATTTTAGCAAATGGTTGTTGTTTATGACAAACAACATCGATTATCATTTATTATTAGCAAATCATGGAGAGCAAGATTTCCTCTCAAATTATTACATGTTGATTTATGTGGTCCAATGAGAACATTATCCTTGAATGGTAGTTGATATTTTTTATTGATTGTTGATGACTTCACACGTATGAGTTAAGTTTATTTTATCTCTTATAAATTTGAAACATTTGATAAGTTTATTTATTTCAAGGCTTTTGCTGAAAAATCAAGTGGGCATGTTATTAAAATTCTTCGAACAGATCGAGGGGAAGAATTTATTTCTCATTAGTTTTAGTTATTTTGTAAGAAGCATGGAATTAAAAGACATCTCACTATTGGAAAAACTCCATAGCAAAATAGTATTGCTGAAAGAAAGAACATAACTATTGTGGAAATGGCTAGAAGCATGCATAGTGAGAAGCATCTTCCGAGTGATTTTTAGGCTAAAGTAGTTGCAACTTCTATTTATCTTTTAAATATTTCTTCTACAAAAGCAGTGATGAATATGACTTCTTATGAAGCTTGGTATCATCGAAAGCTTAATATTGGTCATTTAAAAGTTTTTTGTTGCATATTTTATGCTTTAATTGATGTTGATGATCGTGATAAGATGGACAAAAAGAGTGAAAAATATATTTTTCTTGGATATAATGATGAGAGTAAGGGTTATTGATTATATAATCATGAAATAAAAAGATTATTGATTTCTTGTGATATTATATTTGATAAATATGCTTGCTAGAGTTAGAATGCGAATCTAATTTGTCAAACTTTTTCTTGTGAAAATGGGCAGAAAACTATGCAAAATGGTGAAGATTCGATAAGTGAAGCTTTTACTTCATGTATCACACCTTCAAGATATTCTTTAAGAAATACAAGTGATATCAATGGTCAAAATTATTCAAGTCTAGAATCATCAAGCCCACTAAGAAAGATGAAATCTTTATGTGATATTTATGAATCATGTGTTTTTACTCTTATGATTGTAGAACCAATAAGCTATGAGAAGGCACAAGGCAAAGATGAATAGGAGAAAGCAATGTAAGAAGAAATTACAATAATTGAGAAGAATTATACATGAGAGTTGGCAGATTTACCACAAAAGACAAAAGCAATTTGAGTCAAGTGGGTTTACAAAGTGAAGTATAAAGTAGAAGGCAATGTTTAAAAATATAAAATAAGGTTAGTAGTGAAGGGATATGCACAACAACAAGGTATTGATTAATTTGAAATAATTTGTATTGTTTTAGTCGTGACAACTCAAATGAAATGAAAAGTTTGTCATTTTAATGTTAATCAGTATTTTTAAATGGTTATTTAAATGAAGATATATGTGTTGAGCAACCACTAGGCTTTATTCTTGAAGGAAGAGAAAACAAATTGTATAAATTGAAGAAGACACTTTATGGCTTAAACAAGCACCAAAAGTATGATATAATAGACTTAATATTTTCACAAGTATCACTTTTATAGAAGTGAGAATGAGTCAACACTTTATATCAAGACTCAAGATAAAGATAATTGATAGTATGTGTTTATGTTGATGATATTATATATACTGGATCTTCTTTGTCACTAATTTCAGATTTCAAGAATGGTATGATGGCTGAATTTGATATGACAAATTTGGGATTACTTCATTAATTTCTTGGACTTTAAATTATTCAAAATGATCATAGTATATTTATTTCAAATGAGAAATATGCATGTGACTTGCTGAAAAAGTTTAATATGTTTCATTGGAAGACTTATTCTACTCCTATGAATATAAATGATAAATTATGTCTTGATGATGGGACTGCAAAAACAACTAAACACTTTTATAGAAGCGTTGTTGGTGGTTTGATGTATTTGACTCATACTTATCCAGATATATTATTTTCAATTGGCATAATTTCAAGGTTTATGCATTCACCATCTGTTCATCATCTTAGAGTAGCAAAAAGAATACTTCTATATGTGCGTGGCACTATTAATTATGGAATTCTATATCAACATGATGTTGAATTCATTTTTTCTGATTATTCAAATAGTGATTGGACAAATTCTATTGGTTATTCAAATAGTGGTTTTGTTTTCAGCTTTAGTTAAGATACAATCTCATAGATTTCTAAGAAACAAGAATCTACAGCATTATCATCTCTGAAGTTGAATATATTGCTGCATCATTGACTATACAATAAGTAATATGGATGAGAAGGATTTTACAAGATATCAATATTCCATAGTCAATGCCTACAGTGATCTATTATGACAATGTGTCAACTATTTCTATGATGAAGAATTCAGTATTTTATGGAAGAACAAAACATATTGAGATAAGACACTATTACTTTATTCTAGATTTGGTTGCCAAAAATGTTATTGAAATGAAATTATGTTCAACATTAGGTCAAGTGGCAGATGGCTTTACGAAGGTGCTTGGACATTCTAAATTTGTGAAAGTTAGAGAAACTCTTGGTCTTAAACGTTTTTGCATTAAGGGGGAGTGTTAATATTTAATGCAAAAAAAAAATCTCATTTTTGTCTATATTAAGCCCTTTTTTTGTCTTTTAGTGAGCTAAAGTCGTAGTCTTTTAGTGGGCCATAAGTGTCCACCATTTAATGTGTGGCTATAAATACTCTCTCTCTCTCTCTCTCTCTCTCTCTCTCTCTCTCTCTCTCTCTCTCTCTCTCTCTCTCTCTCTCTCTCTCTCTCTCTCTCTCTCTCTCATTTTGTTGGAATATTTTCATTTCGTCCTTTTCTAGGGTTTATTCTGTTATTTTTCCTACACAATGAATATTGTACGAGCTATTCTTTGAATAATAATATGCTTATATTATCGTACAGCGGCGCCAAATCTTCCTTAGTCTTTGCTTTTGTGATGGGTAATCCAAACTTTGAGTAACGTTGAAAACTGGATGATGGAAGTTTTCTATGCTCCTTCGCAGTCGGTCGGTTTCCGTCGTTGACTTTCCGCTCCGTATGTGGTTCATCCACATCCTCATTCTGTGCTGTTCGTCTGTGTCCCCGACCCACGATCCAGCGCCTCAGAATGAGAATGGTCGAGATGGATGAGAATTACAGCATAAAATGGATGTTATGTGCATACCTTGATACATCGTGGAGCAACCATCGTGTTCTTTCTTGTTGGCGTGTAATGGATTCTCGTCTGCGTCGACCTGGTTTGATTAGCAGAAGGACGTGTGAGCTGCGATGATGATGCTGGTTGGGAAAAGCAGAAGGTGGGAGGGGAAAATTCTTCGAGGTGCCCACCGTGAGGACGACGACCGTCACATTGTCGCGCTTGCCGCCGGTCCGTGGGAACCCTGCTGCCCGGCGGGCCTCCGCGAAGGGCGAGTCTTTACTTCCGGTTAAGGCAGCAACGGCCGCCGCCGCCGCCGCCAAGGCATGACCCATATTCAACGCAGGTCGGTTGGGGCGCTCCTCTCTCTCGCTCGTCACCAGGGCGGCGATCTCGCCATTGAAGAGGTTGTCGAAGAGCCCGTCGGTCACGACGACGTCGCCCGGCGCGAGCCGCACCTTGAAGCTCATGGCGCTGTCGAGCGGATCGGCTGGGTCCAAGCGGCCGATTTGAAAGGGGTGATTGAAGTGTTTCTGATGTGGAGGGGAGCGGTAGGCGACAGCGCCGCCCCGCACCACCATGAATCCGCTGTCCCTGACGCTGACCGCCCAGAGGAACGGCCCGTCCACCGCCCCGACGCACGCCGTCGAGGTCCCCTTGGCGGTCGTCCCCGCCATGGCGGTCTTCATCACCCCCTGCAGCAGGGCCCCGATGACTGCACCGCAGGAAATTCGTCTGATCTGGGCGTCGCAGGAGGCCATGAGGTGCCGAGCGAACTCGCCGGCATCGATCCCTTGCCTGGTCCAGCTGCCGACCCCGTCGGCTACGCCGAAGGCCTTTCCTCCCTTGCTGATGAAGTAGGCGTCCTCGCCGAGCAGGTTCTGTCCTTTCTTCGGCATGCAGCAGCAGCCCGCGTTCAGCTGAAACCCCTGCTGAACAGGTGCAGCGACCGCGGACGTGCTCGGTGTCGTCGTCCCGCGAGGGGAAGAAGATGCCGCCAAGTCGACGGGGGGCACGGATCGCAGCCACCAGTCGTCGAAGACGTCCGAGGACCCGCCGGCGCCGCGATCGGTGGCACCGACCCTCGTCTTCTCAGCCGCCCGGCGGAGGGGGTGAAAAGCCGCCCGCCAGGGGGTTAAAAACTCGCCGGAGAGACGACGGCAGTTAAGACGTCGCCGGCGAGATCACCTCACGAGTCACGTGAAAAACACAGCCAGTAATGCGTGTCATGCAGAAAATTCTGCGCACAACGTGCTCTAACGTGTACACGCCAGATCACTTCTGGCGTTTTTTCCCCTTTGTAAGAGTTTTTTAAATAAAAGTAGAAAGTTTTCGTGAGGTGAGCGCCGGGACCGGGTTCCCAATGCTCAGAGCTTGGTTGCTCTGGACCGCCATTGAGAAAGGGGGCGTCGAACCCCATGAAGACATGCAGGCGCTCGACGCGCTCTGCAGCGCCGTGCCGCCGGAAATGTGGCCGGTGATTGCGGACAAGAGACGGCCAAGGAGGCCTGGGAGGCTATCGCCACCATGCGGATCGGCAATGACCGCGTAAAGAAGACGTCGGCTCAGAACTTGCGGCGGCAGTTCGACTCGGCGATGTTCAAGGAGGGAGAGTCTGTTGAGGACTACGCGCTGCGTCTCAACAGCATGGCGTCGACTCTCACCACCCTCGGCGACAAGGTCGAAGAGACGCAGGTAGTGGAGAAGATAATCCGCAGTGTTCCCCAGCGTTTCAGGCAGATCGTGGTCGCGATCACGATGCTGCTCGACGTGTCGACGCTCACCGTCGCGGATTTGACGGGTCGGCTCAAGGCGGCGAAGGATGCCTTCGAGAAACCGGCGTCGGCTATGCACCACGACGGCAAGCTGTACGTGACCAAAGAAGAGTGGGACGCACGGCGGAGGAAGCGTGATGCTGAGAAAACTGGTGGTGGAGGTAGCAGCAGCGTGACGCACCGTGGAGGACATGGGCACGGGCGCGGGCGCGGCCGTGGCAGCGACAAGGGTTCGTCATCAGGCGGCCTGACGGGCAACTCAGGCCGGCCCAGCGGTGATGAGTGCAGGAGATGCGGGAAGCTGGGCCACTGGGCCCGCGAGTGCCACTCCAAGCCCAAGAAAGAGCAGGCCCACGTCGTCCAGGATGAGGAGGAGGCCTCGCTCCTTCTCGTGAAGTCAACGACGGCCATATCGACGGCGCCGCCACCAACCTCCACTCCACCCCGTTTTGCTGCGACTCCGCAGGCAGAGGATCGGCTCCGGCGTGCAAGCCCACCGCCGCCGGGAGCAAAATGGGTCCCCGTCAATGGAGGGGCCGCCAAAGAAGAGAAGAAGCCAGGCGCCCAGACCCAGATCCATCTGCGGGAAGAGAAGGTGTTCGCCCACCTTGAAGAGGAGGAGCTGCGTGATGAGGAGGCGTGGGTCGTGGACACGGGCGCCACGAACCACATGTCGGGTTCCCGTACGGCTTTCACCGAGCTGGACACGGCGGTGCTTGGGACGGTGCGGTTCGGCGACGACTCGGTGGCGCGGATCGAAGGCCGGGGGGCAATCGTGTTCCTGTGCAAGAACGGCGAGCACCGGTCCTTCGCGGGGGTGTATTACATTCCCCGACTGACGACGAACATCGTCAGCGTCGGCCAACTCGATGAGGCCGGGTACCATATCGACATCGAGAAGGGGGCGATGAAGGTCCATGAGCCAGGCGGACGGCTCCTGGCGAAGGTGATGCGCGAAGAGAACCGGCTGTACATTCTCCACGCCAAGCTGGTTCGGCCGGTGTGCCTGGAGGCGCGGGGAGTCGAAGAAGCTTGGAAATGGCACGCACGCCTCGGACATGTCAACATGACCACGCTGCGGAAGATGGCTCGGGAGGAGCTGGTGCGGGGGTTGCCGGCAGTTGGTCAGGTGGACCAGCTGTGTGAGGCGTGTCTCGCTGGCAAGCAGAAGCGGTCGCCGTTCCCCGAGCAGGGAGAGTACCGGGCGCGGCGTGTTCTGGAGCTGGTGCACAGCGACCTCTGTGGTCCGATTGCGCCGGAAACGCCAAACGGCAGCAAGTATTTCCTGCTGCTCGTGGATGATCGAAGCCGGTACATGTGGGTGGCCATGCTACCTTCAAAGGACCGTGCTGCGGTGGCCATCAAGGAGATCAAGGCTCGGGCAGAAGGCGAGTCAGGACTGAAGCTGGGAGCGGTCCGTACTGATCGGGGCGGCGAATTCACCTCACATGAGTTCGCGGAGTACTGCGCGGGAGAAGGTATTCATCGTCAACACACGGCGCCATACAGCCCGCAGCAGAATGGCATCGTCGAGCGCAGGAACGGCACGGTGGTAGCAACCGCGAGGAGCATGCTCAAGGCAAAGGGGCTGCCGGGCTGGTTTTGGGGTGAGGCAGTGGTGGCAACTGCTGTATACATCCTGAACCGGTGTCCGACGAAGAGCGTGGACGGCGGTGCACCATCTGAAGAAGCCGACGGTGCACCATCTTAAGGTGTTCGGATGCATCGCCTACGTCCTGAACACGACATCGCATCTCAAGAAGCTGGAGGACCGCGGCCGCAAGATGATCTTCATCGGCTACGAGTGCGGATCAAAGGCCTACCGTGCCTACGATCCCACCACGAGGCGTGTCCATATGACACGGGACGTGGTGTCCCGTGTCATATGGCTGACGACACGCTGCTATCGTTCAGATTCAGGAGGAGTCCCTCGGAGCACGCCATCTACAGCAGGTAGAACGGGGAGGCGACGACATCAAGCAGTTCAAAAAGGAGATGGCTGACGCATTCAGGATGAGCGACCTCAGTCTGCTTCGTTACCATCTCGGCATTGAAGTCAGGCAGAGCGCGGAGGGCACCTCGATCAGCCAAGGAGCCTACGCCGCTAAGATTCTGGAGAGGAGCGGCATGACAGGGTGCAATCCCTGTCAATGACAACGCGTCTGAAACTGAGCAAGAGGACCCGACGTCTTCTTTACGCGGTCATCGCCGATCCGCATGGTGGCGATAGCCTCCCAGGCCTCCTTGGCCGTCTCCTTGTCCGCAATCACCGGCCACATTTCCGGCGGCACGGCGTTGCAGAGCGCGTCGAGCGCCTGCATGTCTTCATGGGGTTCGACGCCCCCTTTCTCAATGGCGGTCCAGAGCAACCGGGCTCTGAGCATTGGGAACCCGGTCCCGGCGCTTACCTCACGAATCACCCTCTGGACCACGCCGTCCTTTCCTCCTGCCATAGCGCGTCTCGATTGCGCGTTCTCGATTCCAACGGCTGTACCTTGCCGCGATCGAGTCCCGGCCCGCAACCTGTGGGCTCTGATACCACTTGTCAGAAACTCGCCGGAGAGACGACGGCAGTTAAGACGTCTCCGGCGAGTTTCTGACAGGGAGCAGGTTCTTGATTCTGCGCAGGAGGGGAGAGAGAGAGAGAGAGAGAAAGTAGCGGGAAGAGGAGGAAGCAGGAGGGAGGATGAGTGGCTCTTGCGAAGAGGAGACCGTGAAGCGCGGGAAACGGTGATAAAAGGAAATGAATCACAGAAAGGGGGGGGGGGTTAACCACGTGATTATCTCCTAATAGAAACCCCTCGCGCCTTCCAATTTCGTATTTAGTTTTTCGCGCCGTCCCATTTCCTTTATATAAAATAAATGTTCATTTTGTGTCAGGCCATTTCACCGAAAAGAAAACTATTTTTTGCCGTATATTTTTTAATTATTTTGAGCACTAGAAAAAAATATGGGCTTTCCCTTCGACTGATGGAACCGAAACGTTAGCAGGGGCCCACCAGAGCCTACGGGCCTCTCAGAGGTCATCCGTGGGACTTTTCCAATTATACGATATCTATTTTCAGTTACATTATTTTTTTAGAAATAATATAAAATGGAAATAGTGTCTAACTTCAGTGAATCTCCGCGTCGACGGATGGCACATGCAGCAGCTGGCTTGTGATATATCCACACCCCTGTCTGAAGATGATGGAGCCACAAAGAGAGAGAGAGAGAGAGAGAGAGAGCTACACCAACAGCTAGAGATGGAGCCGTGGGTGCATCATGGGGGCACTATTTTCACCTGGGAGGGAGATGAAGGCGTCGGAACGCTTGGTCATCTTCGATCTCCGCTTGTGTATGTCCCCGACTGTCATCACCCCGCCGACGGTCTCCTATGAAATCTGAACGTCGCCGTCTTCTTGGATTCTCGAAGAACGAAAAGAAACACTGTTCACGGGGAAGAGATGCATCTGACTTCACCACTCAGGGAAGAGGAGCTAGAGGAATGACACTCTCACGAGAGAGAGAGAGAGAGAGAGAGAGAGAGAGAGAGAGAGAGAGAGAGATCCCCGTATTAATGATGGAAGTTCCAGAGAAGAACAGTATAAGGAATTGGAGAATGAACTAAGGAATATAGTAAGTAGTACCCGAGAGCATGCCGGCTACCGTCGACGACAGTTCGAGATCAGACCCATCATCCCAACGCTTCTGCCGCCGTACGGTCGATTTCCCGCTCCACCTGCGAAGTCGAAAGCAGTAAAGAATCCTACTTTTGAGGAAGATGTCATGCTGGTTCCCCTTGGGGTAAAAGTTTCCTCATGGACACAAAAGAATGTTGTGTTAACTCGATGGGGGAGGGAGGAAGGGAGGGGCAGAGAGAGAGAGAATGAGAACCATCAGGCCTCTGTCGCGAGTTTTCTTCAGTCATAATCTGAACGTTGTTCTTACCCATTGGGGAAGGGTGGAAGATCGAGAGAGAACAGAAAGTGACAGAACCACCGTTAAACAAGAGAAAGCGAAACCAGGGTTGAGCTCCCAAAGGAGGAAGCACACGATTGAGAGAGAAATCTGCTGCACGAAGGAGCTTTTCTTTCCCTCTCTTATCAGTTGCGGACCCAGCCGAAAGGCCGCATTTCTGAACGAAGCTCTGTTACCTGATCTGTTCCCACGGAAGACGCAGATCCTCCCAACCTCCGCCCTTAGGAAGTCCTCTCTCTCTCTCTCTCTAAGAGTCTGGCGCCATCCTCTTGAGAGCAGGTGGGGTTACTGAAAGTTGATGATTTCTACAATAACCAGGCCTCACAGTTCAACTAGGCCTTGAGGAGTTTATCACAAAGATGGAGCTACAGGAAGGTGGGGACGATGACAAAGCACACAGTAATAGGGAAAGAATCTGCCCTCTCTCTTTCTCTCTCTCTTTCTCTCTAGCTAGTTGGGGGGCTGTTCCTTTACCAGGCCCCCTCGTCAACTGCAGGAGGATGACGCCCATGACAGCTGTGGGAACAGCACAAGGACCCAATGGAGGCCGGACGTAAACTGTTGCCTTTCCCGTTCTACTTTCTTCTATAATAATGAGGCCGCGTCAACTCTCTCTCCAACTCGTTCGCACCACTTCTTCATTAAGCAATAGTTCGCCCCTGCTACCGATGGATTGACAGCTTTTCCTAGAACTCTCGGTAGGGAGGTCAACCCTCTCTATCTCTCTCTCTCTCTCTCTCTCTCTCTCTCTCTCTCTCTCTCTCTCCCTTTCTCTCCATCTCTATCCAGCCAACCTTCAGTGGGCCATTGAAACCCCATGCCATCGGCCTCAACTGGGCAATATTTATTTATACTGTCTATGCCCCATCAAGATTTATTCAAAATGATCTTCCCTGGGATCCTAAAGAGCCAGACTGAACGAGCAGTCTGCGTAGCACTTCTATCAGCCGTTCAAAATCCTGATTGCCTCATTGCATCAAGCGGCGATTAATCTTGTTTCTGTCTTAATGCGGGGGGAGTTCCAAATACATATAAATAAATAAAAAACAAAAAAACAGATAATCTCCTCCTCCAGCTGGTATTGTGAAGCCAGATCTCTGGGATGATCTCCATCTTCCTCATGAACCCTATAAACTGGTGCATTCCTTCTAAGCCTACCCAAAACTGAATCAGTCAGTATCAGTGTAGAAATCTGAGACCAGTGTCACTCGGATGAAGGTTCTCAGAGCTCTTTCACTCCGGGGGCAACGGTAGGACGAATCTTCATCCCCGTCGTCGGCCCTGGAGCACCCCCTCTGAGCGAGGTCACATCAATCGTGTATCTATTTCCAGTTCAGAGCAAGAAGAAAAGGGTTAATGAAGATAATTATGAAACCACCAGCGATCAATGACCAGATAATCATCATCCACTTACATGGAACTGGGCCGCTTCCCCGCCTCTGTTGCTCCGCAGTAGATCAGAATCTTTCCATCCTCTTTAGACGCAGAGTGGCTCGTTATTTCCTCGATCTTCTTAGCTGAATAATTGCTTTTAGTTTCCATTAGAGGTATGTTTGAGAAAACCAGTCGAAATATTTATGGGTCATTGCAGTCTGAACTTACATGGCTGATGAGCTGAACCATTGAGCCCTTCAAGGCAGAGTAGTTTCTGCATTTGGATAGATTGCAGAGATGAAATCAGAACATCTCCACATCCTGGAACTAGGAAGAAGAGAAAATAACAGAAATGGGCAAATAATGTTCGTAAAAGTTGTGAAAAAAATACTACCTTGAAGTCTGCATAGCAGGACTCAAACTCGTCATTCACCAATAAATGATCAAAGATGCCAGAAGTTTTCCCTTCCTCCAGCTCCGCCCGGGCATTTCTCAGTCGCTTCTGGATCTGCTCCTCTGATTCAGTCCCCCTGCGACAAGCGCCAGCGCTAAGATCTTAGCATCTTATCATTTTTTTAGCGGAATTCATAGCATCAAGATCCTGCCTGGCTACCTTGAACGAAGGCGCTTCTCAAGTTCCTCAAAGCTCGGCGGGCAGATAAATATAAATATGGCTTCGATAGAGCTAGCCCTGACCGATTTCGCTCCCTGGACATCGATATCAAGGATGCATCTCTGCAAGAAGAGAAAAGCTGAGATAAATCGTTCTATCTTCTTATCGAATGAACACCAAAGGATATTACCTTCCCCTCGTCCATCACAGCCTCCACTGCTTTAATGCTGGTCCCGTACAGATTCCCATGAACGGATGCATGTTCCAGGAACTTGCCATCGGTTATGTCCTTCTCCATGGCATTCTTCTGTGTGAAGTGGTAATGAATGCCGTCCTTCTCCTTCTCTCTAGGGGAGCGAGTCGTGTGGCTGACAGAGAAACCAAAGGTCGAAGGGAACTCTTTCATGAGCCTCGATATCAGAGTCCCCTTGCCCACACCAGAGGGACCGCTGATGACTATGGGCTTCAGACAGTCGCCTTCCACCCCCTTGCTCCAGGCGACTACTTCTACACCGAGCTTCTTCCTCTGTTCTTTGATGAACGGCGTGTTGAACTGTCAGGAAAGTGGTGCAAAAAAATTAAAAATAATCAGTAAGAAAACAATGGTTCAGGAAGAGATAAGATTATTGGTCACTGGAAACCATATGAATCGTGAATTAATGAACAATTATAAAAATCATCAAGAAACGTTCTTCCGGATCCAGACCTCGAGAAACCAGGCACAATCATCCGGCGATGAATTCTGCTTCAGAACGAGTAAACGTTCTTCACCCAAAACCATAGCAGAGTGTCCTCTGAAAGGTGCCGGTGCAGCGCCGAGCACAGAAGGAATCGTCCTGATGATCATTAAAAAATACATATATATATACATATCTAATACATGCAGGATCTCCGATAAAGCTAAAGACGATGAGAAATGCTCGATAATCTCACCATTTGCCTGCTGATAAGTCGAAAATTCTCACACAAACTGAGGAAGAATCTCCATTCTCAGATTCGCCAATTAAGTACTGCCCAAATAAGCAATGCCATGGACTACATCATGTGGGACTTCACCCAAGGTAAAGATTCAGTAAAGCCTGTTGATGAGCTAGACTCACAATCTTCTCCCCAAAGATAGTAACAGTCTGATGGCCATGAGCCTCTGAATCAAGCTGCACCAGCAAGCTCTCATCCAAGCCATTAAGAAAGGGTGCCTGAACCTCTTCACCCTGAGAACGAGAACCACTGAAGAGTTAATGCTCTTCGGCTACCAGTTTGTCGCCGGAAAATAATAAACGGCTAGCTGACTCACGGCGTTCTTAGTCAAACGTGAACAGATAAATTTTACAGTAAGAAATTATCTCACCATGTGGAGGGTGGAATTTTTCTTTGCCCAGGTCAACCTCCACCTCCTCCCCCCCTGGAAAGAAAGGAAGAGGGAGAGAGAAAATGGCATTAAATTAAAAGTCCGAATCTCAGTATCTAATTCAGAAGTCAAAAGCGAAACCCTCCATCTTACAACTAAGAATAGATACAGACACTTTTCCTTCTTTCCCGTCACAAAAGTCAAAGCCCAATTTTTTTCTATATTACTCCATAAAAAAGGACCACAGAAACGACAGAATTATTTAAAGATAATTGAATGGCCTTCATTTCGCTGCCAAATAATAAAAAGACGGGGACGGTAAAAACTCTATGGAGAAGGTGGGAAAATTTCTGTTCCAGATCCGGATGAACCCTTGAAGAAGCAGTGCAGCCAAATAAGCGATCGTGGGTAAGAAGATCGCAGATCACGCGTTCAACACATGAAAAAAGAAAAACGAGCCACTTGCGTCATAGGATCCAAACAATGCCATAATCACAAGGAGAGTCGTCTACAGACAAATAGGTAGAAGGGATCCCGATTCAAGTCGATTTCACCAAGAACAGGGGAATTGCACTGGGCAAAGAAGACTAAACGGAACGAGGCATTACTCCAAACCGCCGTCGACGCCCAATCAACCCGAGGACAAACAAACAGGAGGGGAGGGGGGCAACCAAGACTTACCAACGAAGATCGGAGAGAACAGGCACCTCTCGTGAGCCCAGATTCAAGATCCCCGGATCAGGGTGGCAATGGCCAGGGAGGAGAGAAGCCCGAAATAAATAGGCCAAGTTAGAAGACGAGAATCTGGTTTCGGCGGGAGATCCACGTGCCGACGCCCTTCTGCGGTGTTACCGGACGGCCGGTTTCCTCCGTCGCCGTCTCCCGCATTTGATTCCTCATCACCCCGACCAGATTACCGATGACCTAAAGCCGTAAATAGGCACAAGAAAAAAAGAAACCTGGAGGGCATCCAATTCGATGGAGACGATGGGAGGATGGCAGACGCGGTCATCAGCCGCTCGGCTTAACCCTATCGATGACGGCACCGGGTCACGTCAACGACTCAACGGTTCTCCACCCCCCCCCCCCAAAAATAAAAGTTGACCTTTTTATATTTCCCAAAAAAAATTAAAATACCGTTTAAACAGTGCTGAAAATAAAATAAAATAAAAGTCAAAGTGGGGAAGGCATATGCTCGGAATATCCCTCTCATAATGGCTCTCGGTGGTGGACGAACCGATCCTGGTCTTGTCGGCCAGAGATGTGCGAGCCCATATCAGATCCCTCGAGGCAGCAGACCCTGGGCACACCAATGAGAGGTCGAGGCTCAGCGATGGAGAGATCTGTTTGTGGGCCCCATCAGAACCGGGGCCCACCACGACCAAGCACTTCCCCGGACCAGATCCAATTGCCACTGGGCCGTACTATGGGAAAACCTGGGCCCACTTACCCTTGAGTTTATTTCTACAACCAGCAACCAAAGTTACTAAGATGACTTCGATATTTATTTTCTTTATAATGTTTATTATTATAATTATTAGAGCTATAAAAGTCAATTAGGTAGTCACAGCTGACATGAAAACGTCGACGGCCAAAATCCAGTGGCTGAGCCGGGCACTGCCATTAATTAATTAAATAATTAATTTTCATAAAATGGTCGCTGATAATTAACTACGGCTCTTATTAAATGTAAAGTAGCAAGTTCAATGTTATTTTTCACCCAAAAAATGACTTTTTATTAATTGTAGGAGATAAATATTCACGACGTGAAGCCTTCTTCTTCTCCTTCTCCTAATCGACGTGGACATAGTTGGGATTGCCACACCTTCTTTGCCCTTCTCATGATGTAAGCTGTCGCTTCTGTTGGCTATTTCTCAAGCCCGGGGAGAGAGAGAGGGGAGGGGGGGTCCACCTGTCAGGACGACGGAGGCCGCCGACATCTCAAGGCCAAATCCATTACGTTCTCTTCCCCTCGCCGTGAGGGGAGTGCTTGCGCCATGCCTGTCCAAAGAGGGCATCTTTCTTTCTCTCTCTCTCTCTAGATGTTTGGTCGCCTGATGACAGTATGCTCTGCTGTGGTAGGCAGTTTGAACATCCATAGAGCGAGAGAGAGGCGAGATAGAGAGAGAGAAAGAGCGAGAAGCGAGAGAGAGAGGAGTCTATCTCCCACACGAAACTCCACCGACTGTTAAGCGGCATCTACAGCCATGGATGGATCAACCTCTACCAATGGATCGAAACATATAGGTATAAAACGTCCTCCAAGATATATAGATATATAAAAACATACGAAAAAAAGGGTTATTGCAGATCATCTCCAACATCATAAGCTCTCTCTACGTTATGACTAAGATGCACCACCCAGCTCTCCAGCTTCCTCTTCTCCAGGCATAACTCGGCAGTACTAACTGCGGAATTCTACGGGCACCTGCCGAGGGCCCTCATCAAGTTCGCCATATCCAGAACCCTCGCCACCTTCCCCGCCCTCTTCGCCTCCGCGGAGGCCCGCTTCTCCTCTGCCTTCCTCCGCGCCTTCGCCATTTCATTCCGCATTCTCTCCAAGGCCCTCGCCCTCTTCTCTTCCAGCTTTCTCTGCAAGACCGTCGCCACCATATGCACCACTAATCAAACCTCTGCAACGAAGGATGAGGAGCTTACGAGGGCTTTTGACGTACCTCTACTTTCTTGAGCACGACGGCGGCCTTCTCGACCTGCTCGCTCTCCCACCCGTTGATGGTCACGTCCTCCCGCTTGAACCTGTTGTTGATCTTCGCCACCTTCGCCGTCTGCCATGCCGATATCTTCGACTCCACCTCCTCTTTCTTCACTATCTCCAGCGACACCTCCTCCACGGCGCCATCGCCGGGCGGCGCCGCCGTGAGGCGGCGGCGCGAGGGCACCGCCTCAAAGGGATGCCCATCAGGGACGATGGCCAGCGGGTTCGTCTCCGCCACCGCCGCCTCCTCCTGGATTCGGCCCAAGCCGCCTGCTTCCTCGTCGCCAACCGGCATGGTGGATCCTGCGAGTATTAATGCGTTGAACTCCCTGCTCATCGTGGTGAACTGCTCACTCGAGGCCTCGCTCTCCGACAAGGAGGACGACCGGGCGGCGCCGCTCCTCGCCGGCGGCGACGGCGGCGTCAGAGCGTGGATCTCCCGCACCTCATAATCATCGTCTTCTCCTCCGCTCCTGCTGCTGTCCCTCTTCCGATCACTCGACATATCCGCAGCGAGGGGAAGCTCGAGTGAAAAATGAGGAGAGGGCCCTCCTCTGGGGCATTTGTCCGGTGTGGGAGGAGGAACATGACGGAGCTCGGCCACACGTAGCGTCCTCTGCTCAACTCGGCGGCGGCGTTGGAAGTAAAGGGAGACAACGACCTCGCCGGCGGCTGGATGGAAGACAACGAGGCCCGGAAAATGTCGGCGGACCACACGCGGCGCAACATCAGGCTCTTTACGTCATCTTTTCCACGGTCTCCATTTCTGCAGTAGGAGTTCCACTCCGATGACTGCGAGAGTCTTGATCCTCTCTCAGCCACGCCGCAGCCGGAGAACCCACCTCACCGCGGCGTGCGAATCTCCCTCTCTCTCTCTCTCTCTCTCTCTCTCTCTCTCTCCCTCTCTCTCTTGAAATGGGCTCTTCCCAGCCCATTAACAGCAACCTCTTTCCGGCCCACTGAGAGAGAGAGAGACTGGACGCAGAAATCCCCCACCTCGGTGTCCAATGGTAGCGACTTTAGACTGCACGTGTTCACACAGATGTCTCCATCCCTACCGACAAAAGCTTCTGGCGAGCACGTGACCCCGCACCTTCATCTCTAGCCGAAAAGGTCTGGTGTGCTCTCACGGGCTGCTCTGCAGGTGCTCTTCCCCATCTCCTCCTCCCCCGGCGGCGCACGCCTGCCGTCTATCCCTGGGGTGGTGTTGGAGACTTCCCGGCGGCGACATGGAGGCGATTGCAGCGGCAGTTCCCACCGCTGCCCTTTGCTAGTAAGCTCTGTTTACCGGAGCCCCGCTTCGGAGTCTCTGCGAGTTGGTTGCCATTGGTTCATAGCTCCGGCCATTTTCACGGCCGTGGCCTTGAGATCTATCCCCAGTCAGCCGCCGGTGCCCCGCCTGCTCTGGTCAGCTCATACCAGTGATTTTGATGGGTACCAGCTAGTATGGCGGTACTTCCCATCCATAATCGTGGTCGATGGCCTGATTCCTGGTAAAAGAGACGCAAAGGGGGATCTGCCCCCCGAGAGGAGGGAGTCAAACTTCCTCTCCGGTGACCTACTTTGCTCTGCTGAAAAAAACCTTCCAGGGTGGCGATTTGGGAGCCCTAACTCTTCTCGAGATGCTTCCTGCCGTGGTCGTTTTGGTCATCTTCTTCCCCACCCTTTCTTCTGCCACTTCACGAATCCCTCTGGGGTCGAAGCTCACCGCCGCGAAAGGTAATCACTGGGTCTCCGCCAATGGCCGCTTCGCACTGGGGTTCTTCAACCTCTCCGACCGGCCTGACCGATACGGCGTCGGGATTCAGTTCAACTCGCCTTCGATCCCCGCCAGCGAGAGGACCGTGGTCTGGGCCGCCGGCGCCGACGTGTCCGTGGGGGTCAACTCCTATCTCCTCCTCACAGAGGCCGGGGAGCTGGTCCTCTTCGACTCTTCCGAAGGGATCATCGCGTGGACAAGCAACACCAGCCACTCCGCAGTCTCCTCCGGCGAGCTTCTCGACGACGGGAACTTCGTCCTCGTAAACAAAAACCATGGGATCGTCTGGCAGAGCTTCGACACCCCTTCCGACACTCTCCTCCCCGGCCAGATTCTCACCTCCTCGCAGACCCTGCGCGCCGCCGGCAGGAACTCCGTCGCCAGCTACTACACCTTCTCCATAGACGCCGACGGTCGGATGAAGCTCCGCTGGGAGACGAACGTCACCTACTGGAAGACCGAAGCTCCACATGCAGAGCCGCCGTTCGTCGCCATGTTCACCAACGACGGTTCCCTGCAACTCCTCGATCGGAGCTTGACGCCGGTGTGGTCGACGTTTGGAGACGACCACGGGGATTCTTCCGTCGTCTTCCGATTTATTAGGCTGGACGTCGACGGTAACCTCCGGATGTACTCGCTGACGAGGAGATCCAGCTCGTGGACGTCTGTTTGGCAAGCGTTGCAGAACCAGTGCGACGTCTTCGCCACCTGCGGCCTCCACGGTCTCTGTTTCTTCAACACGTCGAGCATGGCCAGTTGCAAATGCCCGTTTGGAGAAGCTCCTGGTTCGAGCTCCACCTGCTTGGCACCCTACAGGAAGAACTGCGGTCACGGTGCCACCATGGTTATCCTCAAGCACACGTTTCTGTACGGAGTCTACCCGCCGGAGGAAGCTTCAACCCGGGTGAGCATGGAGGAGTGCAGGAGATCTTGCTTGAAGGACCCCTACTGCACTTCTGCTACTTCAACCAACGACGGTGAAGCCTGGTGCCTGATGAAGAGGACCCCCTTCATAACAGGCTATCAAGATCCCTCTCTGTCGTCCCTCTCCTTCGTCAAGATCTGCCTGGATCCTGTCGCCGTTATACTGCCCGGAAGCCGTTCGAGATCTTCCTCACCTTCGCCGCCATCTTCGCCGGCGAGCGGAGCTCCGCGGCCATTGTGCACCTCCTGCCTCGCCGCGGCAGCCTCTGCCGCATTCTTCGCCCTGTTCTTAATCCAGCTCGGTCTTGCAGTCTGGTTCATGAGGAGGAGGAGGAGAGCAGCAGAAACCAGCAGAGCTTCCCTTAAGCTGCGCGTGGGTTCAGTAGGGTTGATTCCTTTGTCGCTCTCGGAGATCAGGAGCCTGAGCAGCGACTTCAAACACCGGCTGGGGCCGAACACCTACAGGGGTGTTCTCCCAGACAAGAAGGCTGTGGTGATCAGGGAGTTGAAGGACCTCGCAGAGAGCTCGGAAACAGTCGATGGGAGGCATTTCCAGAGATGGATTTCGATTCTGGGCGTTGTTCACCACAGGAATCTGGCCAAGCTGGAGGGTTACTGCTGCAAGTCCGAGCGGAGGTTCCTGGTCTACGAATCCGCCAAGAATGGCTCCGTCGATAGGTGGAGGACGGACCCCAGGCTGAGCAGGAAGCTCACCTGGGACAGGAGAATGGAGATCTGCAGAGGTGTGGCGAGGGCTCTCTCATACTTGCACTTGGAGTGCAGGGAGTTCATCAGCCATGGGAACCTGAGCTGGAGCAACGTGCTTTTGGACGGAGACATGGAGGCGAAGGTGACGGATTACGGACTCTGTGCGCTCCGCCGCCGCGGCAGCGGTGGCGCCGCCGAGGAAGATGTGGCCAGGTTCGGGGAGATGGTGCTGATGCTGGTGACTGGGAAGGAGCCCTGCTCTGTTTACGAGGAATGGGCGAAGGGGCTCGCAGAGGACGTGGTGGACTCCGCCATGGGAGGGCGGATGGATCCCCAGGAAGCGGAACGAGCTCTGAGGGTGGCGTTTTGGTGCATTCAACCAGACGAGCGGCTCAGACCCGCCATGGGAGAGGTTGCCAAGGTGCTGGACGGCTCGCTTCCTGTGGATCCTCCGCCGCCGCCACCGGCCCAGCATCAGCAGCTGGAATGTCCGACTGTAGTGCCCTTCTAACGGAAACCACTTAGGAAGGCTGACTTCCCGGTTGACCGATCAAAGGTTCGGGTTGACCCAGATGTTTAGACGCATTTCTTTTCTTCTTTCGTTTCTTATTCTCTGCTCGTCTCCTCTGCATCCTCGGTGAAGAAATCCGAGAGGCGGAGGAGCCAGATGCTCTAATCTATTATAGCAGGGGTGTTCTCTTTCAACGTCTCTCGTCCTTTCGACAGGACGGCCTTGACCTGGTAGACTGGACCCCCTTCCTTGAGGGAGAGAAAGAGATAGAGGGTTGACTTTGGGTCGCCTTTACTCTGTCTTTTTGTTGCTGGCTGGGCATCTGGTACCATCATTCAGTACGACTTTTTAGCTATCATTACGAGAAATATGATTTTCGGTCAACTTTATCTACGTAAAGTTAAACAGCAATCGCGCGTGCAATAGGAACCGTTCATGTTGATTATTATAAAAAACAAAACTTGATTATAAATATACCCATTTAATTTAATTTTGAATGCGATGGGCCATTGACTGTAATCTTAATAGGCACATATTACCATATATAATACGGAAGTTGAAATATTTGCTACGGGAAAATAGGTCGCACGTGGCGGATTCCAATTGGAAGGGGAATTTCGAGACTACTACGTCGATGCTCATGGGCCCGGGTGGGAGAGTAAATGGGCCGAAAGTGGGGAGGCCCAAATATTCCGCCGCACTCCAAGGTTAGGTGAAGCGTTGTTTTTTATTGGGTGATTGCATGGGTTTGACGACGACAGCCCAACCCCTCCGCCAACGACCAGGCATCCGTTCTCAGAAATAGACCGCCAGTGAAACTCGTGGAAAAATAGTGTCGGTGCACGTGTCGGCACCAACTACTGACAGAAGTCTTGCACGTGCCGGACAATCGTCAAATATATCTATCTTTACTTGGATAAAAAGCTCTCGGGCTCGATTTATACGTAATCTACTGTTCAATAATTACGAAATATTGCAATTTTTAATTATATATTCTCATCTCGGAGCCGGGTATTGGTTGGATAAAATTTTGGAGGGGTCAGGTTACCGCCGACGCATGTCGGGAGAATCTAGGCGCTAGTTACAGTCGAACGTGTGTAAATGGTCGCTGAATGGGTGACGTCAACATCATTCAGAAATGCCCCAGGATTCTGTTAATCTACGAAACTGCCGGCCGCCGCAGCCAGCGCGTGCCAGCTGGTAGAGGCTCGTTCGCTGCTCAGCTGTCGGAAAACAAAAGTATTATTTATATCGACGCCGTTAGTATAAAGTCGTACCCGTAATTATTTCTAAACGATGTATTGTTGTAAATTACGAGATAAATTTTCTTCTTCGGAAAGCAGGGTAATAATATGGAAAGTCGAGTGGTAACAGCAGTAGGCGGAGGGTCGCTTTCGGATCGAGCGTCCGGTCCATTTCCGTCACTGATCTAACAGCAACACGAAAACCACCACCACCCCCCTCATCATGCTCCGCACAGCCAAGCTAATAAGAGACAGAGAGAGATAGAAAGAGAGAGACAGGCGGCGGTGGCGGCGGCGGCGAAGGACGGGATCGTCAGTGCAGGCCGAGTCGGCATTGGATCCCGACTCGTCAGTAGCCGCGTGAACTTCTCCTTTCGGTCCTGTGGTTGCTCCGTGTCCTGCTGTGGTGGAGGGATCTGGCCAACAGGTTTGTTGCTCTTGCCGTGAGTGTGCTTGGTTTCGAGGATTGTGATCATGTGAATTCGAGATGGATTGTTTTCCCGCGTGATTTTAGGAGATGGATGAGGTTCTCCCTTGGTTTTTTTTTTGTTTCTCGTATTGATAATTGTTGGGGAGAAGAGAAGAAGACGGATTCCTAACGAAGTTTCTCTTGTTTTCTTTTGCTTATTGTTCTGTAGGATGCTGTAGGGAGGGTCTCTGCGCTGCATTCTGCCCCCCGTAGATCTGGCTGGGATATAAGGTTGCCCCTCGGCGACTCCTGATCGATACTGCGGAAGAGAGCAATTCTCATGGAGAGAGAAGACGAGCCCGGGGTCAGCGCCATCTCTGTTATCTCCTCCCGTCTCCTTATCGTTCCGATATAGTGTCAAACTGTAGAACCAGCAGAATTCTATTTCTGTCTATAGTTCCATGTGCCGACTTGAATGTAGTATTCATTCCTCAAGTTATTTGTCTTTTTTCTTCTGTGCTACAGAAGACCTCGAAGTCGCAGCCAGGAACCTCACGTCAGGTCGATGGGGACGATATCGGCATCCCAGTTGAAGGTATTAGTCTCAGTGGTTCCCTGCCTACCCACAGTGCTATGAATATGAGAAAAAGAATGGGAACCAGTTTGGTCCCCAGTTCAAGATGAAGTATAAGAGACACCAGTTTTATGACTGACTTCTCGGAGCCGGATCTTAAACATCATCCATTTGTGTTTCTACCCTTCAGGACGTCCCCCGGTTCGTGGGGAGGAACCTCGCGATGGGGGTGCAGATGATTCAAGTGATTCAAATCACCCATCACGAAATCAAGATCAGAAACAAAAGATTGCTGAACGGATGTTAAGCTGGCGCATGAATTATGGGCGCGGAGAAGATGTCTCAGGTCCAAAATATGACAGCGGATTAAGTGGGGAGCTTCCGAGGAATCATATGTCATTACACGCTCATGGCCGTGCTGTATGTCACTTCTCTGTTTTTTGTTCTAGTTTATGTTGCCATTTAAAATTTTTACTCTTTTATTTTCCTAAATTGTCTAAATTAAATAAAGTCTTCACCCTCTCTCTTTGCAGCATTCAGGAGAATTGCCAGCAGCATCCCCTGACCATCATATGATGTCCCCTGGTGGGAAGCGGATCCACCCAATTCCTTATACAGATGCAAATCAGTCGCGTATGTTTCTTTCTTCTTTTTTTATTTTTTTATTTACTATTTATGACTTACCACATGGTGCACGGGATTTCTCTTGTCGACACTAAGTGTCTAAATCGATCTTCTTCATGTGGCCAGCAAATGTAAGGGTAATAGATTCATCCAGAGAGTTCTCTGGCGGACTGGGAAATGTTGCTTGGAAAGAGAGGGTCGATGGCTGGAAGATGAAGCAGGATAAAAGTTCAGTTCACGGGCATACCATGACTAATGGCACAAGCCATGCTCCTTCAGAAGGCAGGGGAACTGTAGATATCGATGCGACTACTGATTATAACATGGATGATGCTTTGCTGTGAGTTCTGCAATTCTCCGGACATAATTTCTCCAATCATATGCTTCGTTATTGTTGTGATATTATATAGCGTATTTATGGATCGAAACACATTTACCGGTCCTGACAATCAGATCAGTTGATTTCTGGTTCTCAATGTCTTGTATATGATTACAATTCATGGTTGGGGAATTTTATGACGTGATAACTTGTAGAAAATTAGTTCCACCTCGTGAAAACGAAATAACTTGAAAGCAGGGCTGTCAAATGGGTCTCCGATAATCCTAGGGTTAATTTTTTATATAATTAATACGCCATCGTTTTTTTTTACTAAGGTTTCAAGTTTGTATTAGTAGGCATATTTTCGGTATTTCCTGCCACATCCACGCAAACGATTTGGTGGTACTGGTACTACTTTTAAACAAGTGCATTTGTATACTTCATACCGGGATGGAAGGGTTTTGATTATTACTCTGCCCATCAAACTGTCTTATAGATTGCGTGAACAACTCCAGAGAAGTAATCCAAGGCCATAGTTTGTTTACATGCATATAGATATGTGTCGGACTTCCTGAGGTTAAGTTTATAATGTTCAGATCAAATATAGTGCATGAAATATTTCTTTGCCTGTTTAGCTACAGAATAGGTTTAGTCCTAAATCTTTTTTTTGGATAATAATTCAAAGCGGTATTTTTCTAGTTCTTAGTATTAATTATTCCGTTATTGCAGGAATGATGAAGCACGTCAGCCTCTTTCAAGGAAGGTGCCTATTCCTTCATCTAGGATAAACCCATACAGAATGGTCATTATTCTGCGGCTCTTTATTCTCAGCATTTTCCTGCACTATCGGTTGACGAATCCTGTCCGCAATGCCTATCCTTTGTGGCTGTTATCTGTGATATGTGAGATTTGGTTTGCCATTTCCTGGATATTGGACCAGTTTCCCAAGTGGTTTCCAATAAACCGTGAGACTTATCTTGATAGGCTTTCCTTGAGGTGAGCACTGCTCTATTATTGCTTCTTTATCTGTCAGACTGTCCATATAGTTGTTCTAATTACGGGTCTATGTTTATAAACAGGTATGACCGGGAAGGAGAACCTTCTCAGTTGGCTGCCGTGGATATTTTTGTCAGTACAGTCGACCCTCTGAAAGAGCCACCTCTTGTGACCGCGAATACAGTGCTATCAATCCTTGCTGTTGATTATCCTGTTGACAAAGTCTCTTGCTATGTCTCTGACGATGGTGCTGCAATGCTGACATTTGAAGCTTTAGCTGAAACATCTGAATTTGCTCGGAAATGGGTACCTTTCTGCAAGAAATATACCATCGAACCAAGAGCTCCTGAATGGTATTTCGCCCAAAAAGTTGACTACTTAAAGGATAAAGTCCACCCATCATTTGTGAAGGACCGCAGAGCCATGAAGGTAGGCGGCCGTTCTCTCCGTTCTCTCCTTTTAAAAAGTACCTCTTCTGTGGTTCCTCTCGCAAATTATTGAACCTGTTGTTGGTGCCCAATTGTGCGATACAGAGGGAATATGAAGAATTTAAGGTTCGTGTCAATGGTCTCGTTGCAAAGGCACAAAAAATTCCAGATGAGGGATGGATCATGCAAGACGGCACACCTTGGCCTGGAAACAATACTCGGGATCACCCTGGCATGATTCAGGTGTGTAGATATTTAATGGTTGAGCTGATGCTTCTCAGAACTATTAATTTAAATGATTATTCACCACTGCTATCATCTTTCTTCGCATAGAAAAATTAGCATCTAATCATAGTTCTACATATTTTGTTGTACATTTCGAGGACATTTGGAACATCGCCTTTATCTCATAATTCAAGAGATATCTCCCTCACTCTTTAATTATCAAGTATCATCCATCTACTCCAAAATAGTGGAAACTCGTAAATGAGAAACTTTTTTTAAAAAAAAATTATCATATATTTTCACTCATAGTTCCTTATTTTGGTTAATTTTCCTTCATTAAATAATCAGGGTGGTTATTCTACTGGAGGCAGCTCCATTGCAGATTCATTTGCGGAATGATGCCCATCACCGTCTGCTAATCATCCAATTTTCGCAGGTTTTCCTGGGTCAAAATGGAGGGCTGGACACCGATGGCAATGAACTTCCAAGATTGGTGTATGTTTCTCGTGAAAAGCGTCCTGGATTCCAACACCACAAGAAGGCCGGTGCGATGAATGCTCTGGTGAGTAGCCAAATCGAATACACTCAATTGGTTTGAACTCGTGAGCCTGCCATTTTGTCCAGCCTGCAATGGTTAATCTTGCTGCAAATGTACAGGTCCGAGTCTCAGCAGTCCTCACCAATGGTCCCTATTTATTGAATCTCGATTGTGATCACTATATTAACAACAGCAAGGCCTTGAGGGAGGCCATGTGCTTCCTCATGGATCCAAATCTCGGAGGATCCGTCTGCTACGTACAGTTTCCTCAGAGATTCGATGGAATCGACAGGAACGATCGTTATGCCAACCGAAACACCGTGTTCTTTGACGTAAGTTTGTTGTGCACATCATTTTATATATATATATATATGTAAGGAAAATAAATGGTGGATATGAATTCACTTCTGCCAGAAACCATGTGGTCCATTGGAGAGTGTCTGGGCTAGTTTTCTCTGCGCTCATGTCTTCTAACTCCTTCCTCCTCGTGCGATCCAGATAAACTTGAGAGGTCTTGATGGTATCCAAGGGCCTGTTTATGTGGGCACGGGATGCGTCTTCAACAGGACAGCCTTGTATGGCTACGAACCCCCGGTCAAAAATAAGAAGAAGAACAACAAGGCCAGCTTTTTCTCATCATGCTGCGGTGGATCAAGGAAGAAGGGCTCAAAGTACAACAAGAACTCTGATAAGTCAAACAAGAAAGTGGATAGCACTGTGCCGGTCTTCACCCTGGACGACATAGAAGAGGGAGTTGAAGGTATGCACGGTCAACGATCCTGCCACGCACGCAGCTCTCATGGGCTTTCCCATTCATCCCGCCTTTCCATCTTCCAGGTGCTGGATTTGACGACGAAAAGTCGTTGATCATGTCACAAATGAGCCTGGAGAAGAGGTTCGGCCAGTCGTCTGTCTTCGTTGCGTCCACGCTCATGGAGAATGGCGGCGTCCCTCAATCTGCCACCCCGGACGTTCTTCTGAAAGAAGCAATCCATGTTATCAGCTGTGGGTACGAAGACAAGTCGGACTGGGGAAGTGAGGTACGCATGAAATCATTCAGCCTGGGCAATATGATAATAAATAAATAATCTTTAATTATTTTATACTGACAAGCGATGATTAATCTGACTGCAGATCGGGTGGATCTACGGGTCCGTGACGGAAGATATTCTGACGGGGTTCAAGATGCACGCTCGCGGGTGGCGGTCCATCTACTGTATGCCGAACCCCCCGGCCTTCAAAGGGTCCGCCCCGATCAACCTGTCGGACCGTCTGAACCAGGTGCTCCGATGGGCTCTGGGTTCCGTCGAGATTCTCCTCAGCCGCCATTGCCCCATATGGTACGGCTATGGCGGAAGGCTCAAGTTCCTGGAGAGATTCGCCTACGTCAACACCACCATTTACCCCGTCACTGCTATCCCGCTCATCATCTACTGCACCCTCCCCGCCATCTGTCTCCTCACCGGCAAGTTCATCATCCCCCAGGTGCGCCTCTCTCTAGCTCTTTCTCTCTCTAGAACCCACCCCTCTCGGAGGCTTCCAGTTTGATTCGGATCTTCTGCTTGACTTGTTGCAGATCAGCAACTTTGCTAGTATCTGGTTCATATCTCTCTTCCTGTCGATCTTCGCCACGGGTATCCTGGAGATGAGGTGGAGCGGGGTGGGAATCGAGGAGTGGTGGAGGAACGAGCAGTTCTGGGTCATCGGCGGCGTCTCCGCTCACCTCTTCGCCGTCTTCCAAGGCCTCCTCAAAGTGCTCGCCGGCATCGACACCAACTTCACCGTCACCTCCAAGGCCTCCGACGAGGACGGCGACTTTGCAGAGCTCTACATGTTCAAGTGGACGACGCTGCTTATCCCCCCCACCACGCTGCTCATCATCAACCTCGTCGGCGTGGTCGCCGGCATCTCCTACGCCGTCAACAGCGGCTACCAGTCATGGGGGCCCCTCTTCGGCAAGCTCTTCTTCGCCTTCTGGGTCATCGTCCATCTTTACCCTTTCCTCAAGGGTCTAATGGGCCGGCAGAACCGCACCCCCACCATCGTAGTCGTCTGGTCAATCCTCCTCGCCTCCATCTTCTCCCTCCTGTGGGTCCGCATTGACCCATTCACCACCCGGGTCACCGGCCCAGACGTGGAGCAGTGTGGCATCAACTGCTAGGGAGGAGCTACCCAGTCAATCATCCGAGGTGGCTTTCTTCCCTCTCAATCTTGTCGAACCCTATAAGATACCATATACACACATACACAGAGAGAGAGAGAGAGAGAGAGGTACAGGAGGGGGCTGCTTGTAGATAGATATGTAATCAGCTTGTTGCCTGCCGTGTTATGTGCTTGCTCCTGCAAGTGAAAAGCTGTAATTTTTTTTCTCTCTGGACATCGTGGGATTTGGAAATGGGTTTGGCGCAGATTCCTCCTCCCCCTCTCCCACCCCGGTGTAAAAGGACGAATAAAGATCATTTTTTTTATCTGAATGAGTGGCATCCCCCCCCCCCCAACCCCTCCTGTTCGTCGCGTCCAAATCTGGCGGCTATCCGGTGTATTCTTCGGTGGTTTTGTTCCAGAGATTTTGTCGGCCCCGAGCGGAATTCCACCGTTGAATTCAGAGGCTTGGGAAAGGGACCGGATTCAACGAATCCGGAGCTGGGCTCCAAAGGAGGAGGAGCTGCCGCCACCGCACAGAGAGCTAACCCCAGGCCGCTGCTCTGAGCAACGTGTTCCATGCGCAAGCCGTTGAACGGTTGCCGAAAGTCAGCTGGCGGGTGGGAGACGGATCTTGACGGGCTAGATGGCGAGGCGGAGCCACGGGTTGACCCACGCCGGACAAGGGACTCGGAAGGCGGCGAGATTTTCTTGTGCACCAGAATTTTTGGAGAGGGAGAGGCAAAGATGATCTCTTTTTTTTTCTGGCGTCTGCGTGTGGTGGAGCCTCCCTCGTGTGGGGCACACGCAGGACGGTGTGGGGGAGCAGGCGGAGGGAGCAGAGCCTCACAAGATTGACTGGCTCGAGCGCCGGGTGGAGGAAGGAAGGTGACCGGCGCCTCCCCACCCTCTCTTTCTCTCTCTCTCTCCCCCTCCTCGCCCACGTTTTCACCGCCTTCCTCTCCGGACGACAGAAAAGAGAGGGGAAACAAGGGGGAGAGCGCCGCCGCCGCTATTCTTTCTTCTTGTTCTTCTCGGGGGCTTTCCCTCGCATCGTTTAGTGGGGATCTCTCCCTTTCTCGAGCTTGGCGGAGAAGATGGCCGGAGCTGGGCCGATCGCTGTCGGCGGCCTCGCCGCCACAGCCGCGGAGTTGTCCCCCTACCGCTGCCTCTGCAGCGCCGTGGACGCCCACGCCCACCAAGCTTCCAGTTTTCACCTGAGAAGCGGCCTCCGGCATCTGGGTCAGGTAAGAAGGGTCCGGTCGACCCGTCTCTCCCCCGCCCCCGAGCAACTGAGCAGCGCCTTCGCCGGCGACTGGCCGGCGGCGGGAGGGCGCCTCGCGCGGCCCAGCAAGCCCAGGAGGCGGCAGAGCCTCCTCGTCGTCGCCGCCGAGCTCGGCGGCCAGTACGAGGAGGGCTTTGAAGACGTCCACCTGGTCAGTCTCATCGGAATCTCGGAATCTCGGAATCTCTCTCTCTCTCTCTCTCTCTCTCCTGATATCTATGAGCTCCTTGCAGCAACTCATCAATTACTTCACGTACAAGGCGGTGAGGACCGTTCTTCACCAGCTCTACGAGATGAACCCCCCCAAGTACATGTGGTTCTACAAGTAAGTCTCTGTCAAAACCCTCACCACCAGCACCACAAACCGGCTCTCTTCTCCTCTCCTTCTGGCCCTCATCCACGCCGCCTTCCCTTTCTCCTCCGCAGCTTCGTCGCCACCAACAAGCCCGACGACGGCAAGAGGTTCCTCCGCCTCCTCGGCAAGGTAGCAGCCCTCCCCCACCTACTCTATCCCCACATAACCACCCATCTAGGTCTGTCGATTCTCATCTTCTTCCTCCGCAGGAAAAGCAAGATCTTGCGGAAAGGGTCATGATTACCCGCCTCCACTTGTACGGCAAATGGATCAAGGTGATCTTCCATCCTCAGAAATACCCTTCTTTTTTCTAGTTCACAAGCGCACCTTGAATATCTCCTTTTGATTGTCGCTGTTCTTCATCAGAAATGCGATCACGCGAGGATGTATCAGCGGATATCCGACGAGAATCTCGAGCTGATGCGGGAACGGCTCATCGAAACGGTGATCTGGCCGTCCGATGACACCAACTCGGAGAGAGTCGGATGACGATGGGAGCCTGGCCTCGCCCCTCCTCCCAATGTACAATATCGTGGATGCATATTTCTCCCTTCTCTTTTTTGTCAAATTTATTAGCTCAAAGAACGAAATAAAACGGTCGAATTATTCATGTTCTCGTTCGGCCTGCACGAATGTTCTCCTCTTCCTTGGGGAGGGAGGGGAGGCTGCGGCCATCTCCGGCGATCATTGAGGTGGCGCCGCCGTAAGAAGATTGCTTTCATAGCAGTATTAAGAGAGAGAGAGAGAGAGAGAGAGATTCACGGGAAATGAAATCATCTTTTTAACCAGAAAGAAGCAGATTAGTGTAGCCATCTATTGAAGGAGAACACCGGGGGACTGTTCTTTCCTCCTCTGCGCGCTGAGAGCGGCAGAAGAGCTACATGGAAAACAGCTTAAAGCAGCGACTCAAGATTCGCTCCTCTCCACGTCCTCGGCGATGAGCGCCTTGCCGACGGGCTTCGCCAGAAGATCGGTGAACTCCTGGAAGGGGGCCTTGGAGAAGCGGGTCTCCTTCCAGAGGTCGGGGGTGAGGAAGCCGTACGTCTTCATGAGGCAGTCAAACGTGGCCTGCAGAAGGTCAATGCAGTTAGAGAACTCTGGAAGATATGCGGGCGTCGATTGTTATGAAAATCAATGGGCAAGTAGGAAATAATCCTAAAAAACTCCCACAAAGATTATCAAGTGACATGGAAATAAAATCGTCAAAAACCAATTCCACTTGTCTACAGCTTTTGAAAGAGATTTGAAAAGAAAAAAAACAGAAAGTGACATGTTCCGTGAAATCAGCCAATCGAATGTCTAAAAAGGCCCAACACCCCTCCAGATGAGGAGATTAATATTTAGTGAGATTGACTGTCTGATACTCCAACCAGATAGTAAAACGGGAGATAGCAGCAGTGAGGAAAGTGCAGCTAGAACAGCTGGAGCCTTCCAAGGAAAATAAAAGGAAGAAAGAATCACAGCTGATTTCATAATTTTGATCTGCACCCTATCCAAATATCGACGAAAAAGTAGATGTTGCTCAATGGTAGTTATTTCCAAACAGTTTCTATATGTAAAGTGGTTTCCCTTTCTTCGAGCTGTTTATCCACACAAGAAGTACACAGAGAGAGAAAAACAAGTCACCCAGCAAACCAGAAAGAGTAAAAGTAATAAATTTGGTCCATTAAGGTTCGTGATCCCCAAGTTGAAACTTGATCAGCTACAATAAATAACCAATGCCCCTGCGATGGATTATGTTACAACACAAAAGATGATCCGATAAAAAAAACAACTAGCAATCTTGGTAAAAATATTGTAACAGCAAAAGTGTATGATGGCAGGAATCGTCCCCGCCGAACAAAATAAGCTTACACAACAAAACTAAATTTTTACGTTTCTCATGTTCATTTTTTAATAATTAAATTTCAATTCAGCTTTTTGCACTCTTTATGAAGCAAAAAAAAAGTAAATGAAGCCGAAAGTAGTAGTAACGTTAACAGTCTGAACTTTTTGCCCTATTTTCTTGATAAATTTTGTTCAGCATCAAGCAATAAACTGATGAATATTTCCATTTTATATCACAAATTGGTTGGAAATCTAGTCTTAGTACTGCAGTATACTGACACTGGTTTTTAGAAGAAATATTGTAGTTCTTTGCCCTAGTAATGTCAAGTGATAAGACTTTGGAGACATTTAAACTTTTAATGAAGGGCGGAGCCAATTGAACATTTAGAGCAATAAGTAACGTTAAAAAATGAAACAAAAGCATCGTATGACAACATTAGAATGGAGGCGGCAACCGTTCTTCCTTCTAAAAAGAAAAGGACACAATCAACTAGATCTTAAACAATTAATCACACTGGATGATAACATTCTATAGCAGAGTCCTACGTGTGCAAAGATTTTCACGAGATCCTACATAACAAATCAACGCTAAAATATGTAATCATCCAACCAGCATGCAAATCTTCTATTACTGATGCCATGGGCACTATAGACTTACTGATGAAGAACGCGACAAATGATGGAGCTTAGCATTTGACAAATTGAAGTCGCAAAAGAAAAGGAAGGGTAAAATTAAAGATAAGAAACATGAATCGGAATATGAAAAACATGTATGAGAAATTCAATCAATCGAACAGAAAGACAATCGCGAAAGAATGATGAAAAAGCATCAAGTCCAAACGTTCAAGCGACCTTGACGAAGTTGCCGAGGGTCTTGGTGGACCCACGGGACGATGTGAAGACGTCCTCGATCCCGGCGAACTGGAGGACCTTCTTGGGGACACGAGCAGCCACAATTCCAGCCCCACGGGGAGCGGGAACCATCCTTACAGTGACGGAACCGCACTTTCCGGTGACCTTGCACGGCACTGTGTGTGGCTTACCGATCTTGTTTCCCCAGTATCCCCTCCTCACAGGGACCACCGAGAGCTTAGCGAGAATGATGGCACCTCGGATGGCCGTGGCCACCTCCTTAGAGCATTTCACCCCGAGACCGACATGGCCGTTGTTGTCGCCGACGACAACGAAGGCCTTGAACCGGGTGCGCTGCCCGGCGCGCGTCTGCTTCTGCACAGGCATGATCTTCATGACCTCATCCTTGAGCTGCGGCCCGAGCATAGTCTCCACAATCTGGTGCTCCTTCACGGGGAGAGAGTGGAGGTAGATCTGCTCCAGGCTCCGGATCTTACCATCCTTGACGAGGCGACCGAGCTTGGTGACAGGCACCCACTTCTCTTCCTCATCGCGGTTGCGCCCACCACGCCTCCCTCCCCGGCGATCACCACGCCCACGGTCACCGCGTCCACGGCCAAACCCACGGCCAAACCCTCCTCGCTCTCCCCCCCGCTCCGCCATGGTCGGTCTGGTAAGATCGACTGTCTGGATTCAACGCGGGCGACGACGACGGCGCTCGAGCAGAGGGAGATCAAGGGGCGAATATATACGCGCGGCTAGGGTTTTGATGCAACTCTCACTCCTCACCCCGCGACACGTGCTCTTATCCGCCTTTTTTAATTTCATAAAAAAAACATTTTATTTATGCCTGCTTTAAATCCTAGTAATTATAAATAAATAAATAAATCAGGCATTTGGGAGAGCATCTGCTTTAAATAAATTCTCCCCTCCTAAAAAATAAATTTCGCCCAGAAATTTCCCATTTTCTCTCAGACACAAAAATAAAATCCAGAAGATATTAACTATAAAATAAAATCGACAAACTGGGAAGAGAAGGCATCTGGGGAGTTAGATAATCAGATTTATTTTCTGCAAGCTAATCGCAATGATGCCAATACATTACACGGATGCAACCTTACACACAGCACCTCTCCCCTGATGGTCGCATCCAATCTCCCCCTCCATCTCGCTGCGGAGACGACAAGAAGACCGCTCACTCTCTGCCAGGTCTGCCCCACAAAACTTTACCCATCTTGGAAAGGGGGAAGGGGGGGGGGTACAAAAATGGAAAGGTAATCTCTCAGACCAGGGTGGGGGCCGGAGATCTTGGAACCCCGGAGGCATGGCTGCGTGATTTTTCACCTGGGAATCCAGTGTATGCGTTGACTCCGGCCTGGAGCTTCTGAGGCATTGCATTCGACGGCGGGGTCACAACCGCGTTCTTTTGTGCTTCTGAGAGATAAATCGGATGCCGTGCTTCCCCAGCTCCAGTGTCTTCGTCCCTCCGTCATCCAGGCGGACCAGTAACGATGAGGTTCCTTCGATCACGTCTGATACCACTCCCTTGTGCCTGCAGCAGAGCAAGAGGGGAGAGAGAGAGTTTAGAAGATTGGGCGATTGGGCGATTGGGCGATTGCTTCTGCTTGTCTTGAAGAAGAAGGAGAAAAAGATGAAGTACTGCAATGAAGTAAACAGCCTCGATAGAGCATATGGAAAAAAAAAAAAGGGACTCACCAGGAACCGCCGGATTGTTGGACTTCGACTCTCTTCCCTATTGCCCCCTTGCCCAGCTTCTGCAGTATCCAGTTTGCATCCATAACCTCCTCCGACATATTCTCTTGAACGGAATCCTTGCTTGGCTCATCTTCCTGAGAACCCGACTTTTCCATCAGAGGAGACGGCCTCATTCTCTTCGACCTCTGCTTCTTGACGGAGTGGTTCTCTTCTCCCTGGGAAACCCAGGAGCTTCTGTTTTCAGAGTACAGGTTCTTGAACTTCAGCTTCAGCAAAGGCTTGGAGTCTTTGGAGGGGTCGGCAACAGCGGGGGGAGGAGTTGGATCCCGAGAGTCTCCTCGTGAGCCATCAGAGGCAACGCTGGGGTCTGCCGGTGGAGCGACTGCGTCATTCCCTGGCGTAGACTCAGCTGCCTTCCTCACTGAATTGCTTCCCTCACTACCTCGTCTCCGGAGTACAATATGCCTATCCGTCAAAGCAGTCTCATGTCCCTCAGAAACGGTGCCTCTGCTCACATTGGCGTGCGTCATCTCAGAGTCCTTTCCGTGTTTCTTCAATGTCACTTCCCTCTCCCTGTGCTTTGAATGCTTTGACTCATTTACACGGTCATGTTTACTCCCTGGAAGAGATGAGAGTCCGGAGAAATGGTTGAAAATAGTAAGGGAACTGGATCAAGTCACATGAGAAGACATTAGCAGCAGAGAGATGGTTGAAAATGAGATAACAAGGCACCTTTTCCTTCCACCAATCGAGTGGCTCCATCTTTCGGCTCAAGCACATTGTTCTCGGTATCAGTTATCTTCCTTTGGCTTGAAGCCTCACTACCTGTGTCGACGATAGCAGAGATAGATCTGTCAGCATGAAGCCTTATAGAGCCAACTTCAACAGTGAGCTATAATTAATAATGGATTTTGATTCAGGGATAAGCCACACTAGAACCAAACTGAGCTGGGATAAGACTACTGACTTGGTAGAGGATATGCAGATCTACTAAAAAAAGAGATTATCATATTATTAAATATAATTAAATGTCTAAACGCCCAGAATTGAATAAAATGGACATCATCTGTTGAGCCAGGACTAGGATAAGTCAATGGAGCGCGCAGCATGTTACACTGTTTCTAATAAGGTCAAAAGATGCCAGCAATTTGCTGAAATAGTAACTATCAATCGCTCCAGTTGTGGGAAGTACACTACTCAAGTTAAGATTCAGGACTGAAATGATGCACATTCAAGTTTCAAACGTATGGCACAGATGTCGATTCCTGAAAATGGATTTACCACTCAAAATCGAAAGATCAGGTTAAAATTTGCAAATAGAAGGACATATGGAGTCAGGGCTTACCGTTGGAGGCTACCAAATCATGCTGTCTATGGCAACTAGAAGCCTCGGATGTTGGGGAGCTAGAGATATTCTTGCTTCTTGAACCAAAATGTATGACTAATTTAGGCCCCTTCACGGGTTCACTCTTGTTCTCGAGTTTTCCAGAACGTTCTGTGGTACCATGAGATTTACTAGTCTTAATTTCAACCTTGGGAACCTTATCAAGACTGCTTGCCACTGAATCCTTCCTAATTCTATGACTTTCTTTTTCGTGCTCATTCACAGGGGATTTTTCTTTTTTGTGCCCCAAACTAATGGTGAGATGAAGGGGGAGATTTTCTTGTCCTCTGATCCCAAATGGCTTTGTGTCACCGTTCTTCTCATCTACAGAACTGCCCTCTACTGATCTCACCTCATCCTGTCTCTCAAAATCTTGGTATTTCTCCTCAGATTTATTGACAATCTTTACTTGGGAGCCTTTCTTTTTTGCATGTTTCTTACTGGATGATGAGCTCCTGGGAGTTTTCTTTCCATATTCTTTAGCAGTATCTACTGCTTTCTCAGACAAACCTTTGACAGAAAATTTCAACGACCTTCCATTATTACTTTTCATTACCATCTGGCTACTTTCTTCATCATCAGAAAAAGGAGAGATGGAGAATATATCTTCTTGATAAGGCAATCCTGCAGCGACCCTCAAGCTGGCAATTAGATCCTTATCACTTTTATCTCTTCTCTTCCAGAGCTCTTGAATAGCATCGTCAATGTCCTTGACCTGGTCGAAAAAATATGTGCTCATATATAACAGTTTTATCACAAGATTTCCCAATTAAAAGTAAATAATCCCGAACAAACCTGGTAACAATCCCCACGGCATGCAGCACATTTGTAGTGAAGGTTACCGTCAGTTTGGAACTGCTGATATTTTTCATCGCTGTAGAAAATGATATAGTTAAGAAGCCAATGATTTTTAAGTTTGAATAAAACATATCCTCAAACACTAAAGTACAAGATAGTTCTGAAAACGCTTTATAGGAAAGAATCAATTTGAAATTTGAAATTTCTAGGCATTGCTAGTAGCCTACTTCAGATGATACACAAATGAAAGTTCGCAAGGGAAAGTCAAAAGTTCAATGATTGTTTTCACATCTAAACTGAGTAAAGCAGCTAACAATTAAAGTAAGGACAAGATTGTAACACAAGCCCATTATGGCACCAATTATTAACAGAGTTATAGGTGGGAACATATCCGCTCAAGAATTCAAAATCAGTGTACATGCACGCAGAACCTTGACAAACCAAATCACCAGATAATTAATTTCATATTTATAACCAGATTTTCAATGCAGAAGTCAGGGTGCTCTCAACAACAAAACTTTTAAGGATTTCATAATGTTTCCATTAGAATGTCAAATAAGATTTTGTTCTAAGATAAGAAAATCTGCCGATTTTTAATACAGATGACCTTCTTGATATTAACTTCTCTCCTTCGTCAAGGTTCAGGACCAACAACACGGTGAAGCATAATGGCATAAATCAAGACCCACTAAATGCATCGTCGTGACTTAGTAAGGATTTAGAAAGGAGAAGAACAGGAAAATCCAAAAAGACCGATAAAGAAGGACATGAAAAAACAACGTGCTAAACAAAGATGCTATAAGTTAGTAAAGATTAATGAGACCTTTCTGACAACGATTACATCCATTGAAATGTAAGCATAGGGTGTGGAGCATGATTCTGATGGTATCACAGATAACTAAGTAATAGTGTAGTCATGGGCGTGACAACACATTTAAGTGCCACCATTGTCCAGCCCGTAGGATGACAAGGAGACATTTTAAGCAAACGAGGCCATTTACGTGCAAAAATATTACAACACCAACTACAACGAAAGATCAATCGTAGCTACTGCCCTCTATTTTCTGTCAACTTTTCTTTCAGAAAAAATGTCTTCCCAAGGAAAAGTTGATCAATACATCACATATTTATGTACCATTTAATTGCATTATCACAAGGACACACCTGATTCCATCACATGAACAGTGCACCCACCGCTGACAAATGTCACAGCAGACCATTGGTGTTGATTCAGAATCTCTGTAAACCTAAAAGTTCAAGAGGCGTCCCTCAGCATTCAAAGGGCCAAAAAAAAAATGAAGCAAACTCTACAAAACACAATAGGACATAACTTTCCACATGAATGTCAAACAATCTAAAGAGCTAGCATAAGACTATTTAGAAAAAAAAACTAAAAGAAAAACACCCTTGCCTTTAACATTTTGAGCTTGAATTTCGTCCTTGTCTATGAATCTTCTATATTTGCAACAGTTAATACAATCCCCGACTTTTCAATATGGTTTCAACAAATGTCTTTTAACAAAAATGATGTAGCATGATGTGGAAAATCATATATGCTGAACTCCAACTCCTTTTTTATTGCTAGAACCTTGAAACTTTCCTGGGTTACAATAATCCCCCTAAAATTTCATTAAACACTGAGATGTACCTTTAAACAAACAGGGCAATAGTTTCCCTTGACAAATAATCTCCCGCATGCATCGCAACAAGTGTAAGACAAGAACCACCTGCATCCATCAGCCAGGCAGATTTATTACCAAAAAACAGTTATTTTTAATTTTCACATTAACTTACAATCTGATATTCAATTCAGGGAAACTTATACACGTGCAGTAACTGACCCAGAAATGAGAACTAAGAAAAAAGAAAGGGCATCACAAATTTTATAGGTATGCGACTTTTTAAGCTTAACAGCGTATACCTTGTACTAGGCCCACTGCCAGGGACAGAAGATCCACAGCTATGGCATTTGGTATGCTTTGGGCACAAATAAGGTCCGCGACTGACATTCTACAGTGTATAAACGACATTATAAATATGTGACTATTTTGAAAATAAGGACAAAAGGGCCTACCTTGTGAGGAGGTTGCTGGCAATAGCAATGATAAGCAGCATCACATCGTTTGCAGTACATAAACTTACTGGGATCACCAGCTTTTCTACAAACCTGGAATGAGTGTACATCATGTCAAAATTAAGAGTAACCATGTAAGTATGCCGTAATTCTATGGGCACAGCATTCAGTCAACTTCACACTCAACCCTAGGCAGGAATTCTCTGGTAAATGAGAATTCCCATAAAAGATTTCTAGTTTAGCAAACCATGATGATTTTCAAGATTTTTATCTTCCTCCCTGTTATGTAGTCACCATTGTAGAAGCTGCTGATTGAAATCAAATGGGCAAAATGCCCAAAATGCAGAGTAGCAAACATCTGCCTGCACACATGCACAGGTCAATTTCCTTCTATTCAGTATCTAAACACACGTTGTCAAGAGGAAACTATCAATTGTTACTTTTTTGGTGTTTGGTGGTCGTTTAAGCCTGGAAGAGTTCTCTACCAAAGTAGATGACTTGGTTCTTTCATCCTCGATGCAAGATATCATTTCGTATCGGCACAAGAAGTCACAACGAAAGAACAATCCGAAGACACAGTAGCGAAATATGCATAGCACTAATTCAGCGTTCAATTTGGGAAGTGTCAAATGAATTGAAAGCAAGTGACGACATGAGCTGTGACAGATTTCTCTCTACGATCCCCATAGAGGTTAAGATAATTCACTAAGAATGAAATTAAAATGTTCACCATGTATCATCAGATCCCTCTTGGAAAAAATATCACACTTCCGTGAAATGTAGCCAACCTCAACCAAAATCTTCCTAAGAATTGTCGATTGATAAAGCATATGAAAGTTGGATTAGTGGAGCTTGATGGATTTTTCGTTTTCATACCACAAGGTGGCGAAAATCTCCAAGAAATACGCTTGGAATGATTGGTACCTAAAATTTGAAGCATTTACTCATACATAGATTTCCCCTGATTTAAACCATACTATCAACCCAATAGGAAAACAGTTGTTGGCCCATTTCATTCTGTGTAGTCCGATGGACTGCAGTGAGAATTTTCACTCTGTGTTAGCTTAGATAGTATCATACACTATTTTTGACTACTGAACATGTTAGTCCACAATTGACTAACATTATAATAAGTACACCTCAAATCAATGATAAATCCCAAAGCATATCCATGCATGTACATACAAACAAACTATTGTATGTAGAATTATGATAATGAGAAAGGAGCAACCTGACAACCCGTGATTAGTCAGCCCCCCGCCTATCATAAAACAACAGACTTCTTACCCAAAGTCTCGGCCACAATAGAGAAAAGTTGTTGAAGACACGATGGATAGTTATCACTAAATTAAAAGAAAAGGCAGATCCTGCATCTTTCTTTTTGCTATCTACAATAGAGAAAATTTCGAAGTTTCATCCCGTGCTTATAAGTTAGAGTAAAAAGTTCCCAAAAGCATGAAAAACAACTAACCTCGCAAGTTCGACAGTGAGGACAAACCCAAGAACTCCAATGAAATAGATCTGCCAAAACAACTTTAATTTAGAAGACTAACATTGTCTACTAAAAAAATCCCACAAGTTCATTAGGCATGAAAGAACCTCTATTCTCAGCCCAGTTTTTCACACAACTTCTATGATACTTTCTGTTGCAAACTTTACATGGAAGCATTTTCATAGCTCTTTCACTTCCTTCATTTTCACCAGAAAAACATATTCGACATATAGCTTTGACCGTTGAAGATGCTTGATCTTCTCCAGCAACATCACCACCTGCTTCCCCGGCTCCTTCCTGAAATAAAAGTGTTTGAACTCAAACTGACAACATGATTGAAGGTATCACACGGGATCAAATTAAATATAACGAAAACTTTTAGAACTGTAAAAGCATTTGAAGAAATGAAAAATCCCTGGAAAAATTATTCACAATCGATGCTGAACGAAAAACTCATACCAATATAGCTCATATATAAGATATAACTAAATCGACCACATATTCGGTACAGCATGTAGTCCACATTATCGAAGCACAAGTGCACAACATCCTTGAGAAGAAGAGGCACAGTTTATTCCCAAAATCTATTAGTTAACATGAGTGTAATTGTGTGTAAATAACCAATTATAAGTAAAGCGTGAATCTGTTCAGGACCAACGATTGAGGTTGAGTTCTCGGTTCATAAGCACACACTAGAAGCTTTACGTGGAGAATAAATGTTAAAGTGTTTCCCCATCACTTTCTCACTAATGGATGATTTTAATAGAATTACCATAAGAGCTAACCCTATGAAATAAGCAGATTCTAACCAATACCCACTATTTTGGATCACAATTACCCCCCACTGATCTGATTTCAAGGGAGGAACACGATCTCCTTGATTTAGTATACGAGCAAAATCTATGTCAAAAATCAGCAGAATCCAAGTCAATCCAATTCTAATCCAGGTTAAAACTGACCCAGCACAAGCAAGGTGTCCAAACTGATTTCATAGACTTTGACACGAATAGCTCACATGTGAACATAGAAACTTCAGTAGCCTGAAGTATCTGAGCCAACAAAAAGGTGATGATAATCACGAACTTGAGTAGAGAATCGAATGAGAGAAAAAATTTTAAAAGGCAAAATGTTCGAGAATTCACTTGAACGGAAGTCTATTCTTCACTTAAATTTAGAGGTAATTGTCTGCATGGGTATTGGCATCTATCAGAAGGATGCTGTCTAACAGCAGGTGCTAATCGCACAGATTGTAATGATGGCAATGGAGGTACGTTCCCTGTGTGAGAAATCTTACAATAAAAACATTTCATTAAATGCAACGATTCCCCTTGTTAATAAGCGAAAAAATAATCTGCAACATAGCTACCCGCGATATTTTCTCCATAAAGAAGCATCATCAAGAACAAGAAGTGTTCTCATTACAAAAAACAAACACGTCACGGAGTTCATAACCTTCGAAAACAAAAGGTTGGAGCATTTATTCATTCAATTATTTTTAAATAAATAAGCGACAGGTTCCACAAATCATGGAAAATGTCAGAGGTTGGCAGATATACCTGAGAAGAGACATGCACCATACGAACAACCTAACCAGCATTAATAAGGAACGCAATTTTAAGTCATTATGATGTCCTTTCAACCCTCATTTTTAAGTGGATAATACTACAAATTCATTGAGTACAAAAGAATGTATTCAGCCTCTTGATTCTCAAAATACTAATTTTCTCAGAGAGTTACAAAATGATGATCGCCATCATGAAACACATTGTAACAAGATCCAATTTCGATTGGAATAATAGCCGAGATAACTAGCAGAAGAATTCTTGCCACGGCTTTCTCTTGAAATTTGGTGATGTTCATCGGAAGTATTCTCTAAATAACATGAGCATTACATATTTCCCATAAACAAGTGGTAACAGCAGGTAGAAAAGTTGCTTTCCCAAGGTTCGAGATGGGAAACATGCCAAATCGATAAGGAACTCATCAAGTAACAACTCAATGGATAGGAAAATAAGAAGATAAGTAACAGCAAAGAAAGGCGAGTCAGGTCACGTCCGATTTGAGACACATTTTAAAAAGGAGAAAAAATGAGCAAAGAAAATCTCCAATAAATTCGGGAATATCGAGAAAACAACCAAATCTCCAATAAATTCTGGTCTTACCACAACCTCTCCAGCTTCCAATCTCCTGACGTAATCCTCCGCTGCAACTGATGCTGCGGCAGCCTGCTTCTGCAACGCGGCCCTCTTTGTCTGGGACGCAGCAGCAACATATTCCCCCCCATCCCCACCTCCCCCCGCGTCCACGGCCGCCGGTGTAGCCGCCGCCTGGGCGATCCTCGGGACCAGAACCTGGACTGTCCCGCCGCCGTCCGCAGCCCTCACCCACCACGGATCCCGCAGGAACTCCTCCAACCTAGCCGCCTCCTCCAAGAACTCCCTCCTCCCTTTCTCCCCCTGCAACCTCGCCGCGAAGCCGAGCTCGCAGTAGCAGATTCGCTCGCTGCATCCACATCCAGCACCAATGTCAGCACCACTGGGGCCATCCTGCAAAAGCTGGGCAGAGACCGAACCCCGGCCATCCCCAGAGCGAGAGAGGAGCAAGGAGAGCGAAGAGGAGAACCAACCAAGTGATCGGGCAGGCGACGTGAAAAGCCATATCAATCAAATACGTGACGGAAGCTGGCTCCCCGCGCTGCCTCCCGACCTGCTTCGGTCCGTTTAAGCGGGGATCGACGCCCCCCCCCCCCTCTGATCAGATTTGAAAAAATTAAAAATAATAATGGGGACGAGAAAAGCTAAAATGAGGGGGGGGGAATAGTTAGGGATTATGGGCGTGGAAAGGGGGGGAAGAGGGCCTCGACGGGGAGGGTAGAAGCGGGTGGGTTGGGGAAGAGACGACAGAGGGGCGAGAAGCGGGCGGGGGGTCCGGTGCTCCGCCCGGCGGTGACCGTACGAATTTTAATTTAAATACGCGCCGCTTCGACCACCGTGGACCTCGATCGGACGGCTGGGAACCAGCGGCTGAAGATGTCGTCCCTGTGCGAGCACGTGCTACGCGTGCGGCGACGGCGGCGGATCTGGCAAAACACCGCGATGCATTTTGGTGGGGAGGGAGGGGTAATGGGCCGGGCCGGAATATGATGGGCCGAGAACCAGCCCTGGTCACCCAATACCGCCTATTATAGTCAAAGTGTGTTTTTGGGGAATACAAGTCGGTGGATCTTGACGTCATAAGACCCAATATTTCAAAAGAATAATGGACTCTGAATAATCCAATAATTCACCCAAAAAAATTAAAAAAAATGCAATGTCAGATAAAACTCACCTAGATTTCATCTATATCGCACTTAAAATCCTTAAATAATTTTATATAATATTAGATGAATGTAGATAATATATTGATAAGGGGTAGATGGACCCAATCAACCTATCTTGGGTCATTATCTATCTTGAATTGGTTGACCCATCTCACTATGTTCTTCACGAAAGTGATTTTTTTCTATTAAAATTCGTGTGATTTTTTATGAGAAAAATACTAAATCCACTCTACATATTATATTTATTTAATATGTTTAAATAAAAGTGATACTTTAACAAAAATATATTCTCCAAAAAAAAAGCCCACCTCTATTTTTAGTAAGAGATGCATTCATTTGACGAGAAGATGGCAATAATCAACGGTGGACATCTGTCGACACCGTCCTTATTGCACAAGATCGTGTGGATAATGTGATATCCTTCACTTGGAAGAAAGAACCGTCATCACAAGTGACATTACAATTGCTTAAAAGCCCCTATGGAAGAAATCACTTTGAAGACAAATTCTGAGTAGTGCTTATAAAATCACGTATCTTGCCTTGATTGACTCAACCTAATTTCGGCTGGGTTAGTTGACCATGTCATTGGTCATGTTTCAATTTGTCAACGACCCATGTCAACTCTGATGCAATCCATGTATTTCTATTTTTAGTATCCACACCATAATTCATGTGTGTATACATTGGCATATGGTCATTATTTTTCATGTGTATGACACATGGCATGAATAGTGTGGGATCTTGCTGATACATACATAATAAATAAGCAATCGATGTGATTATCATATCCAACATATATTTATAAGATTAAAGCATTAAATAAAATAGTCTTATTTTGTGTTCCTAAGGTCAATGGGATCGGATCAGGAGAGATAAGAGGGCTGAAGAATGTTGCTGAGTATATTTTCCCACGTGATGTTTTCTTTCATCCTATGCTGTTGGCTGCTCGTGGAAAGCTGCAATGTGGACTATTATCGTGTGTTATGGGCCGAGTCAGGCCCGATTCCCTAGGGACATTAATTTTACAGGCCCATCTCAGAGAACGTGTGCCGGTTGGATTTACGCAAATAATGAAATGATGGGGTTAAAAAATAAGTATTTAAAATTATCAGGCTCTATACCTAAAACTCTCCCTCTGCTGACCAGTTCCCTGGATCTTCCTGGTCGGTATTCCGCGTTTACGATTTATTTATTTATTATTATTTTATTTTTTTGTTTTTGTGGCGTCTCCGGAACTTTCCCGGGTTGAGGAAGGACAACGTTTTATTCTGCCCGTCCTTCGTCAACGCGACGTCTTCTGCAAAACAGAGAGGGAGCTTGGAGGGGAATCCAGGGGAGGGAGGAACGAGAGTTGTTCTGTGAACGTCTTGGGCTCGCCTCATCTGCGGGGAAGCTTTCTCGACGAGGGATCGTGGTCCCCCTCTACCAATCTCGCCGCTGGTTGTACTGTCTCTTCGGATGGGGACACCGGAGTTCCCAAATCTCGGCAGGCACTGCAGCGTGGCCGATTGCAGGCAGATCGATTTCTTACCTTTCACCTGCGACCGGTGCAATCAGGTTGGCTCGTGGCTCCCTGTTTTTTGATCTATCATGCGGTTCTGTGATCCCTGTCATCGTCGATTGCGGTTCTTTCTATCGTCAATTCACAGATTTGGTGAAAGATTTAGCCATGTCGACATGTGTTTCATTGGGAACCTACCCTTTTCCCATCGAATCATTTTCTACATCTCTTTCTTTTCATTCTCCGTTGATTTTGTCAGTATTTCTTTGGCCCTCTCGTCAGGAATGATTACGCGTAGAGCGAGCCCTTTAAAGTGCCCAACAGAACGTTTTACCTGGTTAATGAAGTATCAAAGTGAGCAAATTCATCTAATTGCTCTAAAACCAATGTACTTCATTGAAAAGTTCTTTGTGCTTTTTTCCTTCTGCTTACGGATTTTGACATTTTGTTCTGATGCTCATAGTCGCAATGTAAGAGCGTTCAAAATCAATGTAAGGGTGACACATGCTTATCCCTTTGAAGAAATCAAATATTGTTTCAAATAAGCATTGTTTAGTAGTATCTAAAATAGACGGATAAATTGAAAACGTTTCTACAATACTACCTCAAATGAAGGCCACTGAATAAGTCGTTGCCTATGTGATAGTTTATTTTCAAATGAAAACTTGACATCGGTGTTCAGAACATCACACAATTCATTTAGTTTATTTAAGAAGTACCAGTGAGAGCTACATGTTAAGTGCTGGTTTCTGCTGCTTCTTTTTTGATAAATAACATCACTGGTGTCAATTGATCAGAAGCTAATTTTTCTCTGTTGTTGTCAGCTTGACCACATACCATATATCCTTTTCATCATCATCATTAATTAGATCACTGGTATCTTGAAGGTCCTTGTCAACTGTACGTAGAAAAGCACATCACTAGATGACATTTTTTTACAAACATTATAACAATGACTGAAATGCACAGTTATTATCGTTATACTTGCATTCACGTACGCAGTAAAAATGACTGCGAATGGTACTTCTATGATTCCATCTACTTCACTGGATATTGGTATCTTTCTAGTGACATTTCTTACATTTTATGGAAACATGAAGCTGTACTCCTTATGATATAACCAATCCGTAAAAGTTTTCATTGGTTACCAAAGAGACTATGCAGTGTAGTAGATTGTATTTACAGCACTGGTAAACGTGTTGCTTCATAAAGTTGATCCACAAGAGTTTCGATAAACCCAATATATAAACCGTTCTCTAAGAATAGTCCGAGACAAGGCATATGATTATTATTAATGAAGAAATTCTACATGGTCACTACTGTCTAATCGTTTAGAAGTTTTAATCCAGTTCTTCTGACTTGCATGATATGCATTTGAAGTCATAATTGCTGATTCGTCTCCATTGTATCAGGTTATCTCATGTTGCCTGATCAGTAACCTAGAATATGTGACTTCCCAATCCACATTGATTCATCCACGTGATACCTTCTTGATACATAGGATTCTGACCATTTCCTGTTATTACTGGCATTGCAATAGCAACAGACAACGATCATCTCTGCACCAGTGTGAAAGTGTACAGCACATATCCGTGGAAATCGTTACTCCTGTATAGATACTAAAGATTATCTGGTGTTCATCTATTGGTATAAGCATGATTTCAAATATCTTACACTTGAAAAATCATAAATATTATGTAGTGACCTGGATGGTTTATTGCTAGAAGTACAAACACACGGATGCCTTAAATGGCAGTCCCTTCTAGGTGTCGACATTTGAAAAAACACTTGGGATGACAATTTTACGATGCTCTAGTATGCCCTCACAATCTATTCCCGAGCAACACCACCTGTATCACGCAATGTGCATGCTCTTAATAACGTCCTTTGTTCAATATTACCTCTATAGAGTAATATTATCCCACCTTCCGTTTTTCACCAGCTCTTGCCACATCATTTAGCATTTTTTTCCTTAAAAGGAACTTGTACAGCTGGCACCAAGCTGTATGCTGCGACTGTTCTGGTGCACTTTGTTTTGCGTACGGTTGAGTGTAGTATGGTTGTGTTTATAGTGTCCTTTATAGCTTGAGATCCACAACCAATATGAATCTAGCCCCCCTATGATCCGCTACATCTCTTTATGAGCACTTAGCTCACCGACCCATGCTGACTCTGCGTGAGAAGAATAATTTCCACAACCTGTCTGCAAGATATAGGCAAACATTAATATTGAAAGGCGCATTTTTTTATTTAAATTTTCCTTCTACGTGTATCATCATGGGTACCTGAAATATGCTCCTTTTATGTACGTCATCATCTCTTCTGTCGATCATTGAGCTATGAACAGATTTTCATGGTACTGTGGAAACATTTGGCAGGTTCTATGCCTGGATCATAGAAGTTATGCTCGGCATTCATGTCCAAAGGCTAACCAAGAGGATGTGACCGTCCTCGTCTGCCCCCTCTGTGCGGCATCAGTCCGCTTGGTTCCCAGTGAGGATCCAAATATTACCTGGGAAGCTCATGTCAACACCAGCTGTGATCCTTCCAACTACCAGAAAGCAACGAAGAAAAAGAGGTGCCCTGTTCCTCACTGCAAGGAAGCCTTGGTCTTCTCTAACACAATCAAATGCAGAGACTGTGGTAGAGAGCATTGTTTGAAGCACCGGTTTGGGGCCGACCACAAATGCCCGGGGCCGAAGAAACCCGAGGCAGGATTCCCATTCATGAATATGATGAGAGGGAGCAAGAAGGGCCCAGCCGCCGCACCCCGCAGTTCCACCACTGGGTCTTCATGGTGGGGGTCCGGTCTCCTCAGTGCAGCCTCAAGCATTCGGGCTTCTGCCGAAACCAGCCTGGCGCGGCTGAGCAACGCGACTTCCCCGACTCCTCAGAAGTCAAAGAACGCGGCACCTCAGAGCAGTTCCGGCGGCGGGTTGGTGGAGCACTGTGTTCAGTGTTCAGCAAGATTCTCCTCAGTCAAATCTCTGATAGAACACGTGGAGAGGGTTCATGAATCTGGATCTCGGGCTGCTGCTCGGCCAAATACGGCGATCGATGTCTGTCCCAAATGCAGCAAGGCGTTCAGTGACCCCGTCTCTCTGGTCATGCATGTGGAGAGGGACCACGGTGGGACTTCAAGGGCGTGATGATACACCATAATTGCCCATATCTGGATGAACAGATATAGGATGAGCAGAAAGAAAATCAAAATTATTCCATTTTGGGTGTTGTCTGACCTGAAAGAGTCGACCCAGTTTCAGTCTCTCCCCAGCACTGGGCAGCTGAAGCTATTGAATGGGGGCGTGGCCCTGTGAAGATTTTTTACGAGATCTTGGATTTTCTTTAATTTATCCCTGTATTCTCGAATGGTGATGATTCTTTCAGATATAAAGCGGAAATCTGCTCCACTCTACCTCTCTCTCGACCCTCACCGCTGTTCTAGGGTTGACTCTTGGCCGCGGATCTTGGGGACTTTCTTTTTCTGAGCGTTGACTTCGTCGTTACAGATCATTTCTTAGATAGTAAATAGTCCGTGGTTTTCGGGATATTTTTCTATTTGAGTATACCGGACGGATAGCTGACCAGAGTTCTAGTGTCAACGATTAGAGAGGACACCCTGCTTCGCCAACTGAAGCGAAGAGACAGAGGAAGAGCCACATTTGGAGGGGAGAGCTATTAGTTCATCTCAAAGCTGAACGTTACCCATTCTGATGGTATCTTCTATTTCCAGATACATTCCTAATTCTAGAAACTCCTTGTTCAGTGGAGGATTCTCCGAGAGTACACAGATCTTGTCTCGGACAGCAGCAACCCGTTGACAATCTGAAACCACAAGGCTGAATACGCCAAAATCGGCTACGGATTTAGGTAGCTTCATGAGATTTTCTTCTAATACCCGAGTCATGAGACTTTCCATTGTTAGACAACGACAGCAGTAAATTATTCTTAGTAGTTTATTAAATAATTAAATTGAAAAGGGTGTGTTACTAGACAGATTTATAGCAAAGATCACTCATCTATGGCCATAGAAAGATCGAAATAAATTATGAAATATCTTATAAAACAGGCGCAGGGTTACTTGAGTTCTATTATTCAGATGCTGAATATAAAATGATAATTGTTCTCCATTAACAACGGGTGATGCATATAAACATTGATCAATTTAAGTTCCATAATGTGATGCCCACTAAACTGAGCTAATACTATACAATATGTGGGAGGAAAATCTTTGAAGGAGAACTCAGTGGACACATTTCTCCATCAGGCCGGCAGCCAAATGACTTCTAGTATCGTGTTTCATTTCTGATGATATCTATGTCCCTTCCCGCATGACGATTCTCTGCTTCAGTGGAGCAATGTAATTGCCAAATGAGGCAATTTTCCTCTAGTCAACGGCTCTTTCATTTAAGAACAAAATAAAAATAAAAATCAGCACCTGTCTTGCAGAATGTCATAGCTGCCATGGTCACAGCTACCAACTACTCCGAACAAGTGGGAATCAAGTGTCGACAGCTGGATGATATCCTTGTCTTTCATTTGATTACTCAATCTGTCCAACACATCCTGAATTTCCACGCTCTCTTTGTGATTACTCTCGTTAGCTATGAACTTATGAACCTCGCGGTCGATCTCGATCCAGCTATGACCTGCTTCTTTTCTCATTCCTCTGTTGTGTAGTGAAACTCTCACCTCTGCAGCTTTTACCAACATTCCAGCTTCGGCGTACAGGTTGCAGACAAGAACATAAGATCCCGCATCATCTGGAGCAAGACGAATTAATCTCTCTGCAGCAAGTATTCCAAGGCGTGTATCGTCATTGATCTTGCAGACGTTCACGAGGGTTCTCCACAGCAATGGTGAATCACTGAATCCACCTTGTTCTACGAGCTCCATGGCCCCTGAAGTGTCCCCAGACCGACCCAGAAGATCCACCATGCAGACCTGGTGGTCCAGCGACGGTTTAATCCCATACTTCTTCTCCATGTCGTGGTATATTGAAAACCCAGTGTGGAACAACCCCGAGTAGCTACAAGATTGGAGGACTGATACTAATGTGGTCTCGTCAGGCTTCAATCCTTCCATCTCCATCTTCTCCATTAGGATGACGGCCTCCTTCCCCTTCCCATGGGCAGCCAATCCAGAAATAAGGGAGTTCCAGCTGACACAGTCGTGGCTCGCCATATCCCCGAACTTCTGCAGGGCATCCTCCATGCTTCCACATTTGGCATACATGGAGATTAAAGAATTACCCACATTGATATCCCCTTCAAATCCTGACTTGACTGCATATCCATGCAAGCTCCTTCCTCTCACCATGGAAGCCTGATCCGCAACCGAACTCAGGATACGGGTACAAGTTATCCAGTCAGGTTGGATTCCGTTGTGTCTCATCCAGTTGAACAGGGCAAGTGGGTCCTCTTCATCGGAGCCACCTCTGAGGATTGCATTGCATACAGCTGCATTTGGCCTGGAGAGGTTCTTGAAAACCTGCCACGCGGCCTTGATATTTCCACACTTGGCATACGCATCGACCAAGGCAGTGGGGACATAGGAATCGGAGAGGAAGCCGAGCTTCACCATGACCCCATGGATTCGATTCACCAACGCCATGTCCTTGATGTGGGCACAGGCGTCGACTGCGGTGGCCAGGGAGCTGGAATCAAGAGGCAGGGATAATTCAAGAAGCTCCACAAACCTGTGAACTGCTCTCAAATGGAGCCCGTTCTTCACGAGGGAGGACATCAGTGCTGTCCATGAAACCAAGTTTGTCCTCCTCATTCCCTGAAACATCCTCTCGGCGTCCTCAGACAGGCCGTGCTTTCCATACATGGTGATGATGGCATTGCCCACGGAGAGGTCCCAGACGGCTCCACATCTGACGGCGAGCCCATGTAGCTGCCTCCCCAAATCCGCTCCTCCTCCATCACAAGAGCTGATGATATTGGTGAATGTGTATTCATCAGGTTCCAGATCATAGTAATACCTCAGGTCGCAGAAAGCCCGGAAAGCTCTGGTCTCATCTCCCATTTTTCCATACTCAGATATCATCAGATTCAGACACCGGACATCGACATCGACCACAGCGTCGAGAACCCTTTCGGCTTCGTCCGGGCGCCCGCATCGCAGGTACATGGAAGCTAGAGAGGTGCCGACAACGACGTTCGTCTCGTCGCCAGTCTTGACGCAGAACCCATGGACCTGCTTGCCGATGATGCAGTCCTCCTGGCCCCGGCAGGCCTGTAAAACAATAGCGCAGGTGTGCCCGTTAAATCTCTCTCCCAACTGGTGCATCAGGCGCGAATTTCTCAACACGGAGCTGAGGTCCTCGACGAGGGCGTACCCGCCGATCAAAGAGGTCCAAGTGATTGTGTTCCTCATTGGCATATCGTCGAATACCGCTTGGGCGTCATCCAAACTTCCGAACTTAGAATACATATTAATCAAGTTGTTCCCAGGGAAGACATCCGTCTGCGAGGCAGACTTCACAAGGAAGCCATGAACGGCCAGACCCAGGTGGAGGTTCTTGGACCCAATGGATATTTGAAGCAGACGAGGCCAGTCACCGAGGAGAGACAGGTTCCCTTCTGGGGCTGGGTCGCTGGATTCAGGGTGACGCGGGTTCCGCGAGAAGAGGGTTTTCTGGAAGGAATTGAGAGGGTTGCTTGGTGTTGACGTTGATGGGGAGTAGCCACGCCGGGGAATCAGGTGTGAACAGGGAGGAGAGGAGAAAGGAGGGAGAGCAGAGATGGCCATGTACCCAGTCCGCTTCGAGGGAACAGCAAAACGATCGAACAGCGCGGACGAGAGGCGGTGGCGCCACTGTCGACGATTTCTACAGGAAGGACGCTTCGCTGAGAGAAGCTGCTGGGAGACCTGATGGTGTCTTCTTTATGGCATCCGAACAGTTTTCGAAGGGTTTATTTGTCAACGGATTTCCTCTGCCGAGTTCGAAAGCTGGAGTCTTTGAAAGATTTGCACCATAGCTAGAACCCACATATATTATTGCTAAAAATTGTCTTATATTATTCTCATAATTGAATACACTCGAAGATACTGAATGAAAACCGGAGTTATAGATTTAATAAATTTGAGCCTCAAATTTAGAGTGGGGTTAACGAAATGTATACATTGAATCTACAAGACATAATTTTCTCAAATCCATGACTTCATAGTAATAACTTGGCTGACCCTTGAATTCACAAAGTTTGATTTGAACGCTCTTTATATCCAAAATAATCAAAATAATTTTCATTAATTATACTAGGGTTATTTGAATCCACAAACACATAACGCTATCAAAGATAACAAAAATTCATAATAACTAAGATTTTCCAAAATAATCAAAATAATTTTCATTAATTATACTAGGGTTATTTGAATCCACAAACACATAACGCTATCAAAGATAACAAAAATTCATAATAACTAAGATTTTCCAAAATAATCAAAATAATTTTCATTAATTATACTAGGGTTATTTGAATCCACAAACACATAACGCTATCAAAGATAACAAAAATTCATAATAACTAAGATTTTCCAAAATAATCAAAATAATTTTCATTAATTATACTAGGGTTATTTGAATCCACAAACACATAACGCTATCAAAGATAACAAAAATTCATAATAACTAAGATTACATAGAGTTATAGTGTGGGGCCCTCTAAATAGGCTTAAAAATGAGGTGAGACTCTCCACAAGAACACATTATGAAACATAATAAAATTGATTTTGAGCCTATATTTGAAACAATCAACATAGACAGATAACATTTGAAAATGAAATACAAACATAACAAAACAATGGATTAGGTATGACTTAGTATTCTCATACTTTACTAGGGCTGAATCTTATTTTCGGTCTTTTTGGATTTGTTCATCGTTGTAGCCCATCCTCAAGATTTTAAAAGGCATGGCCCATAGATTCTAAAAATTCACCCTTCTCTTTATTATATGTGATGTCTCACATCACTTCATCTCCATCTCACAAGGTTGATCAGAAAGAGCCTTGCTAGTTTTTTTTTCCTTTTTATCCCAAACGTTAACATGAGTTAACACTTGATGTGACAATCTGATAGTATGAGACACAAGGCTTGCCAATGTTAACCATCATTTTGATAAGTGGTGCAACTATACTCTCTACAAGTTTGGCTTAATGTCACAAGTTCTTAACATAGGGCCCACCTATGATGTCAATTAACATGCATTTTGCCCCTATTGTACAAATTAGCTCAATGTCCCTACTCCTCAGCACATTCACTACATCACATGTTATTACTACCTCATATTGCAACATATTACTTAATTTGTACATGCCTTTGTGTGTACCAATTATTGTGTGCAACATGGTGCCACTTTGTTCAGTAGCTTATGAGGTTCATGGGATACTCCCATGATTCAATACCTCCTTGTATTTTGGCATAGTCATTTGCTAAAGTCCTAAAGGTTACAACAACCTCTACAACCCTCACTCCTGTGAACCTCACACTGACTTGGCTCAACAACGAAAAAACTTTTGCAATCCTGGTTGCTTGCATTCATTCTCAAATTAAGAATACATTATGATTTTAAGAAGTATTAATCCTTTGGTTCTTGTATTCAAGTACCTCACATACTTGGATTAGCCTAAAGTCATGAAACTAGAAGAGATTAGTTAGGTGCTAATCTGGTTTTGCCCCTCTTGTCATGAATCTAGATACATTGTAGGAGTAAACCATTGAATCTAGTGCAGTTTGGTTGAAGCCCTAATGCTCAACATTTGTATTAGTAGGAGTTAGTAGGGCCTAATGGTATAATCTTTGAATTGTGGAGTAAATACTACATGATGTACCACCGTAATTCTTGGTTGGAGAAATAGTTGTAAACTAGAAATTAGATGGGAGTTAGAAAATTTTCAAATAAAGTAAGCCCTCTTACCCACAACCCTCCTTTACCCCTCCTTTTGCTTCATCCAATAGTCTCTTTAAAACTAAATACTATTTTTTTATTAATATTTAAATATTATTATATGATACAACGATGGTAAGATATAACGATCTGCAAGAAAACCCAAGGCTTGGGAAAATGTTGATTCATAACTACCCCCCCATAACTACTTTTTTTTTGTTGCAAAACATTGATGTAAAAATACTATTCTAGATCAGTTTTAGGTCAGAATTTGGTCGAAATAAATATTATTAAAATAATTTTTTGTAATAAAAAATGTAAATAAAATGTTATGGAAAACCTTAGGTTATATCTACATCAATGCACGAATACAAATGTTTTGAACGAAAGTTACAGAAATAATTTTATAAATTATAGGAATGTTGTGGATAACATAGATGAAGGAATGTTATATCTACATGAATGTTATACATGAACTTTGTCAAATTGATTCTATAAATATTGACGTCTGTAAATAAAAGTTATAAAATATAAAATTTGTTGAATACCTGTGTTATATCGACATCAATGAATTCATTTTTATGCAAAATAAATTTACCAAATTTATATTTTTAAAAAATATTTTTTATCTTCACACTGATCATTGAATGCTCCCTTTCAATATATTGGTTAAACTTCATAAAATCCCCAAATTAGAAAAAAAGGTCACTACTTAAAGCTCAAAACCTAAGTTGTTTTGTAGTATTAAAATAAAATTGTCATTTGTTTGTTCTTTGAACTAGGCGTAATTATGTCATTTGTATGTAGGAAGTTGTCCTAACGCTAAGATATAAAATGGGGCGACCACCAACATTGTAACTTGTGACAAATACCAAGTGACATTCTGACCCCTTGGAGGTTTTCCTAGGGTCTGCCCAAGAAAGAAGCAGCGGCCTGATGCTCAACAACAACTTCTAAAATAATAAAACCTCACTAATTATGCCATGTTGGACATAATTGGTGACGAGACATGTGTACGAGCCTCCTCCGATCTTCACGAGCCGCGCCACCGCACTGATGCCTTGGAGTTTAATCTCAATGATTCGTGAATCCCCCTCGTGAACCTGTTTCTGATCAGCCGGTGCTGTCCGCCCGAGTTGTGCGCGCCTGCGCACGAGCCTCTTCCTCTTCACGCGTGCAGCATCGCGCGGGTGTTACAACTGCTCCACGGCCTCATGCTTAGGACTAGTTTCCTCCAAGCGAGGGGTGTTACAACTGCTCAACTGGCTGCGCGTCGTGGTGGTGATATGTGAGGAGATCTCCATCTCCGGTGGCCTCGTCTACCAGAAGATGAAGTACGCGTGATCACAAGATTATGATCGTCCTCACAAGAGCAGTATTCTATGGTTAAGAGTTCTTCATCTTTGCTCATTCTCTTCTGTTATTTTTTGCTGTTGAAGGAACTGGAAGAGAAGCGAAAGCAACCATCCCAGGTTGTATATAAGATGAAGAAGAAGCGACTGAACAGAGGAGCAGCAGCCCAGTCCTCAGCCTGCCCTGTGCTGACAGTTTTGCCGGGAGATGGCTGCTCAGTATTGGATACTATGTTCATTCATTTTATTCAATTCAAACGTTGGTTACTATTCCTCAGCATCAATCTATCCCATCCCATGTACAGTTCCCCGTGATCATCTTCTAAGAACCCATGTTGTCTCACGAGTTTATCCAGAAAAGGTGAAGCTTCGAGAGAGCCCGGTGTAATCATATGAATACAGAGGACGAGAACAGCTTCTGGGAGCAAGTTAAAGCCCAGAAGCGTCGCCGCGTGAAACTCACAGCACAATTCTCTCTGAGTGACTCGCCACAGTTCCCTAGTGATTGACCAGAAAGCAGAGATAAAACCATTTGAATAGTGAAATCAAACCCACTTCGCGCACGGATTTGATTATCTTCTTTCTATTCTCGATTTCTCGCTTGCCGATCATCATCGGATATTGTCCAGAGAGCAGCAGAGAGCCCATCTATGAGGTGGTGGATTTAGATCTGCGGGCTCCATCCCGAATTTACGGTGACAGAAAACACGAGAAAAAAGATCACTTGGGGAGAAGATCACGGATCATAGGAGGCGGGGGGATCAGAGCATGGATTTCCAAGCGCAGTAGGCGCAGACAAGCTTCTGGGATATGTACACATACACCGCGAAGGAGAGGCTCATCAGCAGAACGTCCTTCCAGTCGCCCTTCTGCTTGGGGCTCAGGTTCTCCCTCAACCCCCTCCCCATCTTCGCCGCCTCTGCATAGAACCCCTCCAGAGGTCTCAGGCCCTTCTTCTCCGCCTTCCCATCCTTCTCCCTCTTCTCTCCACCATCGCCCCTGCCGCCGCCGCTGCCGCTGCCGCCGCCGGAATCCGAAAGCCCTGCCCGGCAAGACGAGGAGAAAGGCGGCGATCTCGGCCATGCGCCGCGTAAGTGGGGTGGTTTCCTTTGCAGGAGGCGGCCGAGAGGAAGAAGAGCGGCGGCCATGGCGGTCTCTTCGCGGTGGGTTGGTGGATGGACGACGGTGGCAAGAAGATGATCGACTCGGGAGAAATATCTGGGTTGAGAATTTTTTTTAATTTTTTTTGCAGAGGAGCTTTCACACGTGCGAGATGCGATTCTTTCGCACGTGCATGTGGTAAACCGGGATGAAAAATTTCCTTGCTCAGAATTTTCTCTTTTAGTGATAAATGAGAAGTGGGGCCCACGAGGTGGCGGTGTTCCAACTCTCAAGCGAGTCCCTAGGACTGCCGTCAGCCATATTGACTCACCTTTTGCTTTTCTTTATCCGTGTCGTGCTTCGCAGGTTACGTTGACTGTCGGGCAGGTGACCAGACCGCGGCCCACCGCCTTAATAGGTGCGTCAGAGCCGCGCCTGCTTTGCCGGCAAGTTGGGGCGGGTGGTGGCCGATCCCCGGTTGGACTCGGCCGATTCGTACTGTTCACCGTTTTTTCCCTCTATTTTTTTTCCTTGCAAGTTGGGTAGGGTATGTACTACCCTCATGTACATATGCCTTTTAGTTCTTCTCTCATTTTTCGTTTTTCAGGGGGCTACCGATCCGCAGAAGGACCGACGAGTCAGGCCGATCCGATTCAGGTTTATGCTGGCGGAGGATAGAAGATGGAGCGGCGATGGTGGCAGAGCGGGAGGCTGCTCGGGGGGTAGAAGATCGCCGTCTCCCCGTCGTCGCCGCTGTGCCAGCCTCTCCTCCCTGCCTCGGAGCTTTCCCCGTCTCTGCACCGTCCTCCCCAGGGGTGTAGGTGGTGATCTTCGACCTGTCCGCTAGCTAGGGTTCTGGCGCCGTTGGTTGATCTGAGAAGCACTGACTCTCCGGTGGTGTTCTTTGTTCTCTCATTGTTGATGCTTTTGTCCATTAGTGGTTCGTGATGAAGCGACCTAGATCGTATGGAGAGAGCACCGAGGAGGACGGCCCTGGGGAGAAGGGGGTGATGAAGGACCGGGGAAGGCGGGATCAGGAGTCTGACCGCCTTTCTTCCCACCGCCGCCTCTATCCCAAGGCTGAGATCAGCGCTGGCGGCGGCAAGGGCTCTTCATACGATTGGTCGCTGGATGGCCGCGAGCCTCTGTCAAAGTCGTCGTCGAGGAAACAATTTGATCACGAAATGGAGGGGTCTGATCGGCGAAAGTACGGCGGCGCGTCTGAACGGTATCTTGACGAGGAGGAACGCGCAGTGCAGGCGTCCTCGCCGCGTGTCTCCTATAGCGGCGACCGGATCCATCGGTCTGAGAGATTCTCCTCGTCTTCAAGGAGGGATAAACCCCATGGTTACAAGTCGGAGAAAGAAAGGTCGAGGAGGGAGGGGAGCACTGGCTCCTCGTGGAGGAGATCGAGTAGTGCGAAGGACATTGACGATGACGATGTGAAGTCTGTGTCTGTCTCTATTGATTCTGTGGGGGGTAATGAGCATCGCCTGCCATCAGAGAACAGAGGGAAGACGAAGCTCAGGGAGTCCTACAGTGGGGACCCGCCGGTAATCGCGGACGTGAAGGATACGCAGGAAAAAGGGGCAGAGAACTGCAGCAGCGAGATGGAAGAAGGAGAGTTGGAACCTGATCCCGAGCCGAACCCTGATTCCGTTCCCGAGCCCATTTTACATCCCGATCCAATGCCAGCGTCGGAAGATGGAGCAGAGATGGAGTTCGAATGCAGAATCAGATCAGGTGACAGCGCACAGTCTGGAAGAGAATCATCAAGTGAAGAGAATCATCAAGTGCCTGACGACGACGATGGTTCTGCCAGTAAGGTGAAAGGGATTGTGGTAGGATCTGTTTCTCAAGGGTGGTCTGATGGAATGCAATTTCATGTAAATTATACTTCCAATAAAGTAAATGCAAAGGAAAAACTAGAGCCAGAATGCGAGGTGAAACCGACTATTGCTTCTGATATTGATAGATCAGAATATGCTACTGCTCACGAAGACAATGCAAGTCCTGAGTCACTGGGACATGATCTAGAAGGCTCTGTTAGAGAGAATTCTCCAGAGGAACATGCAAAAATTGTTCCTCCGTGTGCTTCTCCTCCATTAGATGAAAAGATGGAGAACAAAGAGGAAGAAGAAAAGGTGGAGGACAAAGAGGAAGAGGAAAAGGCTCGACACCTTGTGGCAGACGCAGAGGAACCGCAGGAGAGAAAGTGCATAGACTTGGAGAAGGAACCAACAACGCCAGAAGGTATAAACCTTGAAACCGAAGCAGAAGTGCCAATGATTCTCTTTGGTCCATGCAAGGACGATGTAGCAAGAAAAAATAGCTCTGAAGTGACCCTGAATATTATGACTGGCAATAATGACAAGGGCAAAGGAAAAAGCTCGGCAATATCTCTTTCCGAAGAAGCAAATTCTGCGGATGAGAATGATGCAATGGAAGGACCTAGCAGCATCAGGAGTTTTGAGTTGGTATTCCGGTCCAAGATTACCAAATCAGATAATTGGTATCCCAGCGTGGTTGCCATCGGTAAACGTGAAGAGGAAAAACCCGATTTGGAACCTCTTGACCTCTCTCTTGGACTACCATGTGGTTCACAGGGCCTTAGTTCCCACGAACCTAAGGCAAGACCTAACTTGCAGAGTACTTCTCTGGAACACGGTCATAGGACTACTTCCCCTACTCCACGAAGCATTCAATCCCTTCCATCTTCATTCTGTGCTGACTCATCTGCTTGCATGGATTCAGTTTCATTCTCTGGTTCAGAGACATTTCTTCATAATCCTAGCTGTTCTCTCACCCAGAACTCTATGGAAAATTATGAGCACTCTGTGGGTAGCCATCCTATATTTCAGGGTATTGATCAGGCCGCTAATAACACTATTTGGCAAGGGCAGCCTTCAAATGAATCTAAAAGCAAGGGGCCTGCTATTCGATCATACCGAAAGTCACAATTAAATGGCAAGTTGACTCATGGTTCACCTCATGCTGTGAACGTTCTGGCACGTCAGTCAAGTCTTCCAAGGCTGTCGTCTCCCGCACATAGTCATGGTCCTCGGGACACCAGATCTGACTCCATTAGAAAGGTACTCAAAAGGGCAAGAAGCAATAGCAGCTTGTTTAAGAGTGAGCAGCAGGTAGCAGAAGATATGGGCTCCAGTGGTTTCAGTGCTACTGAGAAAGTCTTAAATAAGATTGTTTTAGAGCCTTTACAGATTGTCTGCAGAATGATTCAAGAGATGAGCCATCAGTCTGTTGCATATCTAAGGGAGAGTATTGGTGAGATGGTCATAAATAGCGATAAGCGTGGCTACCTGTGTGCATTGCAGGATACGCTGCAAAAGAGGTCAGATCTAACTCTGGATACACTGTCCAAATGTCACCGAGTTGTGTTGGAGATTTTGGTAACTCTCAAAACTAGGCTTCCTGATTTCCTTCGTAAAGCAAACAATGTTCCTTCTTCTGACCTGGGGGAGATATTTTTGAATCTCAAATGCCGAAACATTGCATGTAGGAGTATTCTGCCTGTTGACGAATGTGACTGCAAGGTTTGTGTGCAGAAAAATGGCTTCTGTAGTGCATGCATGTGTCTTGTTTGTTCCGAGTTTGACTTAGCATCCAATACTTGTAGCTGGGTTGGGTGTGATGTATGCCTCCATTGGTGCCACACTGATTGTGCACTGCAAGGCTCTCATATCAGGAATGGCTCAAGTGTTACAGGGGCTCTGAGGAACACAGAGATGCAGTTTCACTGTGTTGCCTGTGGTCATCCTTCGGAGATGTTTGGCTTTGTGAAAGAAGTGTTCAAGACGTGCTCAAAGGAGTGGGAAACGGACGTTTTAGTCAAGGAGCTGGGTTATGTAAGGAAAATATTTTCTTCTAGTGAGGATTCAAGGGGTAAGCAATTGTGTGATGTAGCCAATCGTCTTCTGATCAAACTTGAGAACAAAGTCCATCACTCTGAAGTTACAACACATATGCTGAGTTTCCTAACTGGTAAGCTCTATTGTTGTAGAAAGAGTTGTCTGTCTGCTCTATGTTTCTGCAGTCGAATTGCTTATTTGTTTCTTTACTGGTTTTATGACTTTATCCCTCACCCTTCCCTGCTATATGTTGACTGCGAAACGCAGAATTCAATGACAGACTGAATGTGATTATATTGTTTCTGTAGTAATTATTCTGCACATCTACAAAGTCTGTTTCTACTCGTCTGCAGCAGAAATGACAATCTAATATTTCTGTAGCTGGTGCGGAAAGACTCTCTTACGCCATTCTAACTTTGGCTTGTTTGTCTCTTATGGTTTTATCGATTCAACAGAATGGTGTCAGTCAAAACACGTGAATTGGCGTTGGCCGGCCTCTTTTTGTCTTTTTTCCACGAGAATTAGTTTCAACATGAGTGCCACCCTAAACAACTGTTTTGAACAAAGTGAGAAAACTGTCCAACATGAGTGCCACCCTAAACAACTATTTTGAGCAAGATTCAATGTGATGGAGATTCGTATTAACCTCTGTAAATTCTCTTTCTCAGAAGCTCGCACATTCTAGACTCGGACTGCCTTATGTATGACAGCTGCAGTACTGGGGGTTTCAATTGAGATTTAAATAGAATGTTTCATTACTAGAAATATTTTTTACAATCTTCCATCATTATGTGATATGCAACTGAAATAAATTAGGAAAGAATTAGCCACGCGGACATATATTATGTGTTCGTGTTTTTTGGACAATACAAATATATTGATGCTGCTGCGAGTTTACCAGCTGATCAATATTCATCTGAGTACTAATTTTTAACCTGCATCTGTGCAACGAAAGAACGAAATGAGAAAAACATACAAATCTAGTGACTTCTGAATCCATGTTCCTATATCAATTAGTTTTTTGTGGTTAGTAGTAGCTGATTATTTTCTAAAGATATTTCATATCTATTGAATGTTAATATCGTGCGAGGTCTGTGAATTTCGTGATGTGTTGAGGTATCTTTTAAACTGTTGACAGTTGCAAAATTATACCTCACCCTTGTATCTTCTAAATTCATGAGTTTTTCCCCGAATAAAAATAATAAGATTCGTGTCAGGGATATGGTAGTTTACTTGCAGATCTGTAGGTGGTCATCTTATTCTTCTTAGTAATAAGAAGGGACAGTGAGAGCATGATACCAAAATTAGTTATATTTATTTGTGGGAAACCATGCTTCAATTTCTGTCTTGGTTCGAGATTGAACCTGAATCATGAAAGGCCTTGACAAATCCTCAGGCTCATGCCGATGTGACTTCAAACTTTTTCAGGCTTGACTTCAGAAAAGGAATTATTCACTGATCGTTGCTCTGGATCTTGTTCTCTTACTTGTAGCTAGGGTTTTCCATGGGCTAAGTATGCTTAAAGTCTAGTCTGGGTCGGGTTTTCATGGTTTGACCTGAAAATTAATCGTAGATATAAAAATATGCCTTGCCTGGTGCCACTTCAGGCTACGTCCAGGATTTGACATGTGTGACCTGGAATCATGTAGTCTGTATTCGTCTTCCCCTGATAGAAACCTCCTGTCACCACACTACCCCTGTTCTTCCTCATTCCTCCAGCTGGAAGGCACCTCTTGGTCCTTCTAGTGACCCATAATCCTTTCCGATAATCTAACCCTCCCTTTCCCTGGTTTGCCCCCTCTCACCCTTCGCTGGATTTGGTCATCCCAACCTTACTGACCGCATGGCTTGCAGTGCATCACAGGGGTCGAGCTACCCCATCTTTAATGTTTTTCTCTTGGTCCGGGGTAGCGTCTTAAAAGCCACCCGTTGACACTCCTTGTAGTATCCCTGTGATAAATTTTTCTATGTTTTTTGGCTAAAGATAAAAATTTGATATTCCCTACAACTGTTCTATTCTGTCCTTGGTTTTTTGACTATCTACAATCTTCTTGGTTGATTCAATAAGACGTCCATTTTCTAGGAAGATATACTGTGGAAGAAGGTGATGTTCGCTCTTGTTTTGGAGCTAGACTTATAGCCTTCTTGATGTTCCTTTGGGATTACAGGTCAGTCCCAGGTTTTTGTAATCCATTTCGTGTCGAGTTGTAGCTGCCCCTGTGGGAATCTTTAATAAATGTCCTTGGAGAGTAGGACTCCTTGTTCTGTAGCACTGCTCAAGTGGTTCTTGGCGGAGCAAATAGAACGTAAGCCACACATCCTTCAGTACATATGCAGCAAAACTTTTGCCCAACACTCAGTGGGACAAAATTGGAGCTTCCATCTTTCTGTCATAACGTCATATGAACTTTTGTATGCATGCTTAATATTTTAGGCTGTTTAATCTCACAATCTTGGCTTGAGGTTGTTCTTAAGATATTTTCTCATCTTTGACATTTCAGGTGGTTCTAACTTCAGCAATGACCCTTCGAAACTTCCTGAAAAAGTTCCTGGAAAACCTACTGATGTAATGAACGAATTAGTTGGATCAAGCAAGGGGCCACTATGGCTTGATTCTTCTGCAAAGAAATCCGTACGGTTAGAAGCTGGCGATAGTGTTCTTCCAATGACGGATCGTAGGCAAAGACCAAATGGGGATATTGAATTAAACAGTCTTGAAAGGCAACAATTCATTGATGAGCTAGACAATGTAGTAAGATTAAAAGAGGCTGAGGCCAAATTGTACCAAGCACGTGCTGATGATGCAAGGAGAGAAGCTGAAGGCTTGAAGCGGATTTGCAAGGCCAAGATTGAAATGATTGAGAAAGATTATGTGAATGAGCTTACAAGGCTGCAAATGTCTGAGGCAGAGGAAAAGCGTAAACAAAAGTTTGACGAGTTACAGGCACTTGAACAAGCGCATCGTGAGTATCTAAAAATGAAAGCAAGGATGGAAGGTGATGTTAAAAATCTTTTGTCAAAAATGGAGGCTACCCGACAAAACTTGAATATGTGATGTGAAGTTCAGAAGATATACAGATTGAAGAGGTTTCTATCTCAGGTACAAGAACATTGAAGGTTGGTTCACATAGCAGAAGCTTGATATGCGGATGTTGACATCCCTGAACTCTGTTTCCAATGTAGGCTGTATGTTGTCCCTTTAGCCTCACTAAATTAGGTCGTTTTTATTGTTTTACTTTTTGTCTTTCTGACTACATTTTGTACAGCGAATGCCCACTTTTGGCATAGATGATTTTCTCCTCAGACATTAATGGAAAAAATGATTTCTATTTTTTTCTTTGTGCACTTCAAGAAATGTCCTACCAGAACCAGACATCAAGAAATGTGCAATGTGAAGCATATCAAGACATGTCCCTTTGCAAATTATGCTCCGTAGCACTTTGTTGGTAATGATTATTTACCTACAAAGTGGATAGTGCCACATTCATAAATATTAAAAAAATAATGTATCTAAAACTTTGACTCGGTTGAAATCAATTTTTTATTTAATCCCCCTGTTTATAAAATATTATTTATATATTTTCCTGATTCAGGTTCACTGTAGGCATCATCTTGCGCAAGTCAGATACTCCTTGTCATAGCCATTTGTAATTTTCTTCTCTATTTGTCATACGAAAAGATTATCTCTTGAGAGCCGTGTGATATTGAATCCTGAGGCAGAGCATCAGTGTGTTGTAATTTCTGTGCTTAAATTTATCTCACTTCTAAGGCCGTGTAATGGGAAAATGACTAGTTTAGAAATTATATTCTTGAAGATATCATGAACTTGGTGTTTGATATTTTTCAAGTGCTGAAGAAAAAGGAAATAAGCATGTTTGGCGGCAGTTGGTACCATCTTGTGGAATTGAAATGTCCCGAGTTATTCTCTGTGGTTCTCATTGGAGTCAATTGCATATCTTCTAGTTTTTTATTCGCATTTCATGTCAAATATTTCAGCTGTAGGTAGGTGCATGAAGGCATTTCTTAGTGCGCAAACAGGTATTGCTGGCTAGCCTGTCAAAGCCCTCGGGTTGGTTCCTAGCAAGAACCTGACAATTTTCACCCCAGGCAGCTGTCTGCTATTAACACGGCTGTTTACTAGATACTGCCCACTCCCATCTCTCATGCCATTAGTTATGTACATCCTTTGATGTTAAAGAATTTTTTCCCCTAAAATGCACTATTGTGATGGGTCCTTCCAACTCGTGCTTTGCCAAGAAAATGGCAAGCAATGGGTCGGTAGTTTATCTATGCAATTGACTTGTAGGACCAGATGTGAATAGACTTATGTTGCAATTAATAATTTCTACAAACCGCATGAATTGGACCAGCTGATTTACCATAGTGTTTTTGCTCGTATTCTATGACAGGCCACAGTCTTCAGAAGCGGATGAGGTTCTTGGTGCTGACTATCCCTAAATAATGCAATGTTGTATTCTTGTAGATTTGAGTCTATTTATATATTTTCTTAAATGATGGACGAAAAAAAAATGTTACTTGTAGGAGGGTTCATTTTTTTAAACAAAATGCTGTTGGACGCCTATATCATGAGTCATTTGATCAAATCACACTTTAGATCAATTGAATTTTTTTTCTGGGAAGGTTTTTTTTTCAAAAATCAGAGGTCAAACACTTGTTCATTGCCTTTTTGTGAAAACTGTGACAATGGCTCTGTTGCGTGACAGAAAAAGTCAAAAGACCTGATTTTCTTCTTACCTTTTACCAGGGCAATACAGGTGTCATAGCATTGAATTCCGTTTGATAAACACAAGGGCTTGGGCTATTGTTCCTCCTCCTCCTCCTCCTCCTCCTCCTCCTCCATGTTTTGACATTGGCAAAACTTATCTGGATCTTGATTCACAGATTTGGATGTTCTGCAATGGAACTAGTTGTCAATGATCTGCTCCCAAGGGGGGACGCCTAATTCCCAAGAATTAAGAAAAAAAAGTTGCAACCGGTCAGATCTACTGATGCCATCTGCAGATCAAGCAACTACGGTCCTGATTGTGCTTTTTAAAGGCTCCTTCACAGTTTTATCTCACTGTTGGAGGAAGAGCCGAAGAATAGAAGCTGCATAACAACAAATGATGACCAGCACTGGTAGGAGTCTTAGCGAGAGATGAACTGGTTGTGCAATTATCCCACTATCTGTACGTTCATCTTCGAATAACTTCCATATTTAGATCTGTTGCTTCGAACATCTTAAAAGACGATGTCATTGTTTGCCAGTTAATTTATGTGATTTTTAGGAGGGTAAATAAAATATCTTTTTTTTCGGTATATGTGCCAAGTGGTAGTGATGAAAGGTGTGTATGTATATATATATATATTATATATATATATATATATAATTTATTGAGAAAGCTTACTCTTTCGGAGTTTTAATAATGATTTGGCATTTTTTCAACAGCACAAGTTGCTAGCATTTTTTTCAACTCCCGATGGTAAATAATGTTTTTTTTTTTCTAACAGCACAAGTTGCTAATATTCTTCTCAGCTGCATGAAGGGAATAGTAGCATGGATACCTGTCTTGTAGTGATATTTCACAATTCTACGATCATCGGAAGTAATCTCAGAACTTTGTTCTTGTGCTGCCATTAAAAAACTGCCTAACGATTAAAAAGAGAATTCCTTTGAAAATTAAGCCCTGATGTTGCTATAGAGCATGAACTCGTTCTACTGTTCTTTATATTTGCGGCCTCTGGTTTGTGTCTAAATCCTGGGTATCCAGGGATGCCGCTTGGCCTGCTGTTTTTTGTAATCTGTGACGGAATAATTCAGGAATAATATATATGTATTTTCTGGCTGATACAAATCTCGTCTGTGCTGATTTCCGTGGTGTTCTTGATTTTGTGTCAATCATGGAAAACGATAAACAGGATGGGGCTTCCGTGATTACAATTCGTGTACAGTTCATCTCTTTCTTCTTGGCAATGCTCCTCTTATTTTTCTACATACAGAAAACAGGGCAACACCGGAACAAGAAGAGGACAACGGCCTCCGATGAGCCAGGAGAGGGCAGGGGGATGGGGTTTTCTCTCAGAAACCATGTACATGGAAACCGAGCAGCTGGCGCTCGTTCCTCGCGCCTGGGCTCCACGGCTGGGTCTCGAACGGCCGGGACTCCTTGGCTCCTCCTCGGCTGGGGCCGGCGCCGCCGCCGCGGCCGCCAGCCGCGTCCTGGTGGCGCAAGAAGCTGCGCAGGTCCAGCGGCGGCGAGTCCCGCCGCGCCTGCAGGTTCCCTCCCTCCGGCTTCCTCTCACTCCACTCCGCCATCCCCACTCTTGGCTGGTCCTTTCCGCAGGGGATAGACAGCAGACACCGGAAGAACTTTAAAATGGCACCAGTGATCCGCTCCTCCTCTTCGGATAAGGTAGGCCCCAAATCCACCCCATCCCCAGATCATGCCCCCTCTCTCTCTCTCTACTGTAGAAATGTGGAAATGGTGAGGTCAAGGCGGGCAACATCATCATCAGTATCCACTTCTGGGCTTTTAAGGAGTCGAGTCTTTCTGAGCTTGGAGGACCATCTGGACCACGGCCTTCATCCTGGGCCTGGTGGCCGGGGTGGGGTCCGTGCAGAGCATCGCCACCCGGAGGACGGCGAGCATCTGCCGCCGCCAGGCGAAAGAGACGGCGCTCAGCCTCGGGTCCATTATCTGCTCCGGCATCTCCCCTCTCTCCGCCGCGCTGCGCACCCACTTCACCAGGTCCATCCCTTCCCCCAAGCTCTCCTCCACCGGTGCCCTGCTCGTCAGCATCTCCAGCAGCACCACCCCGTAGCTGTACACGTTCCCTGCCGCCGTCACCTGCATGGTATACGCGTACTCTGCAGATCCCAGAAGAGAAAGAAGGAACAGCAGCTTAGTGTAAGGAGCAGCAGGTTAACCAGTCCAGTGCAAGCTTGAGGAAGAAAGGATTTTTACCCGGAGGGATGTAACCAAAGGACCCGGCAACGGCGCTGATGCTGGCTGTTCCCTTGGACGGGTCGAGGAGCTTGGAGATCTCAATCTCCCCAAGTAATGCGTTGTGGTCGGCGTCCAAGAAGATGTTGCAGGAGGAGATATCGAGGTGGACGATGGAGGCCTGGTGGAGGTAGGCCAGCCCTTCGGCCGCGCCGGCGGCTATGCGGAGCCTCCTCGGCCAGTCCGGCAGGAATTCACCGCCGGCCCTGCCGTAGAGGAGCTGAGCCAGCGTCCCCTCCGGCGTGTGATGGTGCAGCAACAGAGCAACGTCCTCGTGGATCACAAAGCCGATGGGCCTCAACAGATTGGGTTGCGCAAGGCTGCTGAACCTCTCCAGCTCCCTGATCATCCTGTTCCGGTGGCGGGCCACGGTGCCGTCGACGGATTTCAACCTCTTCACGGCCAGCGTCAGCCCCGATGGCATCACCGCCCTGTAAACGGTGCTGAAGGCCCCGCCGCCGAGCTTGTTCTCGTCCTTCATGGTGGCCCTGACGACGCAGTCCAAGTCCACGGCCTGCTTCAGGTGCTCCACGAAGACCCCCGTCGCCGCCGCCGCCGCCGCAGCTGGCGGCACCTTCTTCACGTCCCCCGCCGCGATGGCGGCGGCCATCTCTTGCCGCTCCCGTAGCATGAACAGGAGGACGACGAGCGTCACCATGGTGAAAGCAGTCAAGCCGGAGCCGATCACGGCCAGCGCCATCTTGGATGATACCTTGCGGTGGGCGGCGGCGGCGCCGGAGCCGGCGGAGATGTCGCAGGAGAGGTTCGAAGGGTCCCCGCAGAGGCCTTCGTTCCCGGAGAAGCTCGAGAGCGGGCTCTTCTGGAAAGGGGCGAAGATGGGGATCTGCCCCGTGAACTGGTTATTCGAGAAGTCGACGTCTATCAGGCTCAGCATGCCGATGAGCTCCGGAGGGATACGACCTGTCAGGCGGTTGTCGGAGATGTCCAATGAGACGAGCTTGTCCAGCCTCCCCATTTCTTTGGGCAGCGGGCCTTCGAGCTGGTTGAAGCTCAGATTGAGTGCGATCTGCAGGTTCCTGAGACTCCCAATCTCCGGCGGGACATTCCCGGTCAGGTGGTTGCCACCCAGCTGCAGTTCGAGCAGCTTCACGCAGTCTCCGATCTCCCGAGGTATCTCCCCGGTGATGGAGTTGTCGCCCAGGAGGAGGAATTGCAGCCTAGACGTGTTGCAGAGATCGTCGGGGAGGCTGCCGCTCAACCTGTTGCCGTTGAGATCGAGCTTGCTGAGGCTCCGGCACTGGAGAAGCGGTCTGGGGACGCCACCGGTGAGGCTGTTACCGGAGGCTATGAACTCTTGCAGGTTCTTCAGCGCTCCGAGCTCAGCGGGAACATCCCCGGTGAAGCGATTTGAGGCCAGGTTCAGGAGGGTGAGGTTGGAGCACCGGGAGAACTCCGGGATGATCTCGCCGGAGAAGTTGTTGTTGTCGGCTTCAAAGTAGGTCAGACTCTGGATGTCCCCGATCGTCGCCGGAATTGCTCCGGCGAGCCGGTTGTTCCCGATTCGGAGATTGGAGAGGCCGGAGCAGTTCCCGATCGAGGGGGGGAGGCTACCTTCCAGCTCGTTCAAGGTCAGGACGAGGACTTCCAGCCTCCCGCCGGCGAAGATGCTCTCAGGGATCGGCCCCGTGAGCCGGTTGGAGTGAAGATTGAGCACTTGCAGAAGCTGGGAAACAGAGCCTAAATTCTCTGGGATCCTCCCCTCTAGATTGTTTTCATATGCAGAGAAAACCCGAAGGTAGGGCAAATCTCCCACCCAGCGGGGAATGAAGCCGCTCAGGTTGTTCCCGGAGATGTGGAGCTCCTGCAACCCTCCTAGGTTTCCAAACTCGCCTGGTATTTCCCCCGAGAGAAGATTATTCGACAGGTTCAGCGATCTGAGGCTCCGGAGGGCACCCAGGGACAACGGAATCGGGCCGCTGAGCTTGTTCATGGACATGTCGAGGTATTCGAGCTCTGTCAGTTTTCCAAAGAAGGGGGGGAGGAGGCCATGAAAGGAGTTGGCGCAGAGGTCTAGCTTCTTCAGCGACCTGAGCTCGGAGATGGGGGAGATGTTACCACTGAGACCGCGGTGAGGAAGGAGAAGCACTTCAACAGTCCCATTAGGTCCCCCGCAGGTGACTCCGCGCCATGAGCAGTAGTCCGAATCCCTCGGGCCCCAGTCCGGAACCGAGAGAGCGTCGTGGAGGACCGCCATGGCTTGCTGATCGGCAAGCTGAGCTCTTACTGGACAGATCCTGAGGACGAGGATGGCGGCTACGAGAGAGGAGCACCAGGAAAGAAGAAACGTCATCGTCGTTCTCATCGCAAGCTCCTCTCCTCTTCCTCGTCTTCTTCTTCGTCTTCTTCGTCTTCTTCGTCTTTACCGCACCGAAACCTGCCGTCTGAGACCCCCTTCCCCGAGAGGAGAAGCCAGACCCTTCCAAATCCTGTCGTCTCAGTTTCTGAGTCTTTCCTCTCTCTCTCTCTCTCTCCCTCTCTCTCTCTAACCAGACCTCTCTGCCGGCAGCCTAGGGGCCCAAATCTTCTTCTCCTCGCCCTCTACCAAGGCGCGGCGCCTGGTTAGAGCAACGAGGACCCAGCTCTCCTCTCTCGGAAATGTCCCACCCCACATTAAAATGCCCCTCCTCTGGCCCAGGGGGAGCAGGATCACGAGGAGTTGCAGAGACGTTGAAACCAGATGAAGCACGACGGCCAGATCCGACGGAATCTCCTTCCGTTCTCCCCCAATGGAGCTTCAGCTGCCGCGAACCACCTCATGCGGAGGAGACGACGAGCACCAGTAGCAACAGCAACAACAACAACAAACAGCAGCGGAAGCGAGGTGCTGCTGACAGCACCAGATGTTCCCCGCTGATCGCCTGTCCGCCATTAAAATATACGCCGGTGGCAGGAGGGTGGGAGGAGGGGTGTCCTCCGCGAGGGACAGGAGGACAAGTTCGCCATTAGGGATTCTCTGATAGAGACCCTGGTCTGGCGGAGGACTTCGTCCTGGTCCTCCCTGCCTCGGCGAGGACTCCATTAAAAATTCTCGCCTCCCGGATAATCATGCGGCACGTGAACCCTCGTCTGTATTGCTCCCCAGGGCTAGCGCCATTATTGCTCCTTTTGACCGCTGCCCTGCTTTTCAGGGGGAAGACGAAAGGGGGGGAGGAGTTCCACAGTTTTTAGGGCACCGGAGACCTCCATAGCTTCGGAGAATCCGAGCGGTGATTGGTCATCTTTGCCCGGTTCCTCGTCCTCCGGCAATTCGTCGTGCTTGCTTCCTCGTGAACCAGACGGGCCCCCATTAGGTCGCACCTAACACCCCTCTCTCTCTCTCTCTCTCTAAGCTTTTCTGTCGCAGAGGGGTAGGCGAATATAAAAGATTCAAATGAGAACCCATGTCTGCCGCACCGCCCCCCGCCATGACCAGCAGCAGCAAGCCTGCAGACTGAAGAATCTCAACATCATCTTCTTAAATAAGAGCGCCACGGTGCCCGAGGACCGGGCCAATGGCATCACCATCACCACCTTGGGGGACTCCTATTAAACCTTACATGACTCTCCAAAATGCTAAGTTCTAGAGAGAGAAACAGAAGAGGAGAGGTGGTCTTTCAGAGACTACTGAGGGGGAAGCAGACGAGCGACACCAGAGAGTAGTGCTCGACCCTAGAAAGAGATTATCTAAGAGACAGGGTAGACCCTGACATCGTCAATGACGGGCCCGCAGAGAGACCCGGGGTCGGAGACCTTGGTGTGGTAAAAGGAGCTGAAGAAGGTGATACGAGTCCTGTCAGATATGGCCTCGAAAGTCAACGTCGCAGGCTTGAACTCGCCCTTGCCGGAGGAGACGAAGGGGACGTTGGCCACCCCCTTGGCGGCGAAGGCCACCACCGTCATGGATCCATGACAGCCGTTCTTCGCGTCCCCAACCAAGAAGGAGAGCTTGTAGGCCTTTCCTGCCACTGTTCTCACCACCTGGGCAATGGCGCTCTCCCTGCCGGCGACGAGCTCCACTGCGGAGATTCCAGAGGGAACAACGAAGTGGGCCGAGTCAACGTATCGCACCGCCTTGAGGGACTCGATGATCCATCCAGGAAGCGGGGAGGTGACGTCGAGCTGCTTTGGCGGGAGGAGGACGCCATGGGACCCGTTCTTGAATACATGCGGCCCCTCCTCGAACCCACCGTTCTTCACCAGGTTGCCTGTAACCGAGCAGAGAGAAACCCATGAGCAAACTCCTCTGCAAGCTCAAGAAACTAGCATGGCAGAGGAGATGGATTACATTCACCTCTGGTGGGCTTGGGTGGGAAGAGCTCTTTAATGGCGACGGCGTCCAACAGGGGCCCGCAGGCGGGGTCCTCCTGAACTCCAGTGTTGTGGAAGATGACCTCCACGGTGGCAGAAGCGGCGGTGAAACCCCAAGCATAGGTGTCACCGCCGTCGCTGCTGTAGAGCGTCTGGAGAGGAAGGTCGCCGGAGAGAGGAGGAACAGACACCCTGAGGACTTCGTCCTGTGCGCAGGTCCTGGAGGCGCTGAAGGTGAGGGAGTAGAGAGATCCCGGCTTGACGGAGATGTTCTGGGAGATGGACGCCTCGTTACCGAGCCTCACGGCGTGGACTCCGTGGGCCACCGCGAAGAACATCCCGCCTGGCTGCGGCCCGCCGGAGACGTACTCCACCAGGCCCCGGATGGTCCACCCGGGCAGGGCGTGCTTGCCCATGATGACCGTCTTGTTGATCTTCCCGGACTTGGGGCCTTGTTCGAAGTTGCCATTCTCCAGCAGCCCTGCAACCGGAGATTGAAGGGCCACTGTGAGTAGGTAGGTATATAGATAGAAAGCACTGTAGATCGAATATCATGTCAGATCTAGACAGAGGTCATGGAATCCCTGGACTAGTTCGCCATTAAACCAAGAGGATCCGCAGGCTGCAATGAGGAAGTGGACGACAAGGAGAATAGAAAGGATAAGTTATGGCAGAGAGTCATGCTGTTCTGAATAGCAGAGAGGGATGCGGGAGAGAACTTCGCCAGCTCCAGATGAAGAATCTAAGACAGATGATGGAAGCGAGAGGGAGACTGCTATGTGAGATTGGTAGCCATATCCAGCATTCATCCATAGGCAAGACCTGAAGAATGCTCAGAAGCTGGAGGGCTCAGCAACAGAGGAACCCTAATCTACACACACCCAATCCAGGGAGGGGGGGAGGCAGCCGCCAAGGGAAGCGACAGAAGAGAACAACAACGAAGACACAGGGCCACAGTGGCTTGAGCTAAGTTGGTGAGCAGGGGAAGAGAGCGCAAATATTTGTTACCGTCGAGAGCTTGAGGAACAACGGCGCGGGCGGAGACAATGGAGGAGAGGAGCACCGTCAGGAGGAGGAGTGCCGTCGACATCTTGCTTCTCTCTCACTCTCTCACTCTCTCACTCTCTCACTCTCTTCTCGGGAGTACCGCGGCGCAGGAGGAAGATGGGCAAAGCCGCCAACTTTAGTAGCCGAGGACGGGCGGCAGGAGCCCTCGATTCGGATGTTCCTCCGGAACATGTCACTAAACAGCTACCCATGTTGCTCTCTCTCTCTCTCTCTCTCTGTGTGTCGGAGCACGAGAAATCACGCCGGCCAAGAAGCTCTCTCCCTCTCTCTCCGGGTCCCGTCCGCCGGATCAATTGCGGGTCCCAGAATGGACGGACACCCCTCGTCGACATGTTCACGCTAGCAACGTAGGAATCGGGCCATACGCGGCCACATGCACGTGATCGGGGCGGCGCTGCAACATGGGCAGTCGATCCGGTCCGCCGCCTACCACCGACAGGTCACATGCCCCTCCGCGTCGTATTCAAATTCCCTGTTATTAGACGTTATCAACTGACGAGGATACCACCGACATGTCATGTTCTTAAATAAGCGTCGGTTATAATGGAGTCCATAATGATCGGGAGCAAGAGAGAGAGAGTGAGAGTGAGAGTGAGTGAGTGTGTGTGTGTGTGTGTGAGAGAGAGAGAGAGAGAGAGAGAGATAGAGGGTAGCCTGGGTCCAATCTCGGAGCTGAAAGTTTCTTGTTCTAAGCAGAAGGTAATTCCTAGGCTTAGGGCGGGTGTGGGCTCTCAAAATGATTTCGGAGCTGGAGCCTAGAAGGCTTGGGCTCAAGCAGGCTTCTCCTTTGTGCAGAAGTGACTCCATCCCAAAGTAGACATATTCTTCTCTAGACAAGAGGTTAGAATCCTCCTGTATTCACAAGAGACGTCCCTCCCATCAACTTTTTCTCATATTCTACTTCCATCAATTGTTACTCTAAATAGGTGCTTTATATAGAGGGCTAGGATTGCCCATCATGAGACACCCATTTAAACTTTCATCTTTGACCAATAGAACCCATTTGCGCCATGTCACCCAGCTGCTATGCCATGTCGGGTCAACATCCTTCAAAGTTCACAATATGCTCTCTCGAGCTTCTTATGTGCATGCACACCCACACATGGGACGTGTAATGCCATGGTCTTGTCAGCACACATCATGCGCCTCATTTGCAAGATCTTCTGAGGAATTTGTGAACCTCACTTTTGACCTAGTTGTGATGTGCGCTTGAGCTGTGTGTGCTTGCACGCAAACCTCTGTTACTTGTATGTATTGCATTGAGCTGCCAAGCACATTTGTGCATGTAATGTTGTGCTAACATGTGCACATTGCATGCACATAGCACTAAACCGTATTCCCACCCAGTGTGGACGAATCAAACATCATCATTAGAGAGTTGTCTTTGTCTTCGTGTAGGACCTTTCGCCTCTAGGATGAAGCATGATCTCATTCCTCCTGCAAGGACTCTCTACTACTAGGGAAAGATCCATGCTTAGGATACGACCAGGAAATCTATCTCGCTTGGCATATGACAGAGGTCTATCACAATGCAGTCATTTATAGGCAAAACTATGAAGTCCACCTCATCTTCTCAAGATCCAATCTTCAATTAAGTTCATTGCAAGACAAAGGTGAAAGGAGTGCCACTTCTTTCTACGAGAGAGAATTGTAAATTGCCCTACTAACAGTCATCACCATTGTTAGTCGTTCGTTGATCGTCATTTTCAAGTGGACGAGTTTGACCTCACTTACGTCGCCAACATCCCTGTAATGTTGCAGTGAATTCATCAATTATAGAGGGTTCAACGTTGGGTGGCCACCCTTGGTCGGAACCGAATAGACTGTTTGACGCAGGAATGGCAATCCTTCACATGATGGGCCCCACTCAGACAAATCAAGACAAACTTGGGAGGCTGTCTTGGTGGGTAGTAACATCGAACTTGGGCACTTCTTATTGGACCCTATCTCGCTATTGCGCTTGATCGCTCCCACAAGGTTCTTGATCGTCTCTGCAATCTCCATCGTATTTGTTATTGCGGCCACTGGTTGGTTATCCTCGTTATCATCCCAATATTTGGTGCCTACATCGGATTCAACGACTTATCATCCAACAAGGTGTCGGCCATGGCCATGGTGCAGTGCACATCTTAGACGCTTGATATGCACCTAGCTCTAGAGAATTGTTCTTAATATATTTCCTCACGTAGCCTGTGTGTTGCAGCCAACGAAGCGTCTCCCATGCTATCTACGTGCTATGAATGGGTAGAAACGACTCCTTCACACATCTATCTAACTTGTAGATCGTAGATTGGGCCAGATCCCTTACATGGGCGTTGCATGCTCTTGCAGACTTTCGACTCCATGGCTTTCTGACCTGTTGTGTTGCTTACCTACAACACGCCTGCAAATGAGCACCACATCAATGTCATGTTTACTTGGAGTGCCTCTAACACCTCACGCAACTTCTCAGTGTTTGGGTCATCCACGCAAGAACCACCAATGCTGGCGGTTTCCTTGGTTGAAGCTGCTCGACATCTTCTGATGGCTCCTTCGTGTTTTGGAAATGGCATCCTCTACAAACATTTTACTTCCCAATTGTCAACAATGCTGGAGGATTCTGACCGCAGCCTTTTGCTTTCCAACCCTTCATGTTTGTCGCCACAATGGCATGTTTTTCTCTTTCCGACCGCAGGTTTTTCTCTCCCAGCCTTCCTTTGGTTGTCCTCAGTGGCGACTTTTCTCTTTCCGGCCGTGCATTTTCCTTTCCTGGCTTGACTTCTTCCCTCACCTTACGGCGATGACGATTCTGTGGTCCCCCCCTTCCCGGTTTTGCCGTCTTATGAGACTCATATGAGTGGTTGGAGAATGAGCAGCTGCTTGGCTGCTAGAAGAAGATCTCCTGATCGAGCGAAGCATATCAGGAGGCCTCCTCTCCGCCGCTTTCCCGACCTTTGAGAGTGCTTCTCCGTCCCGTAGAAGGCGGCGGCGGGGCACGTCTAGGTGTCGTTCAGTCTCTCTCCTATATCTCAGGGAGGAGGTATGTTCTGAGTTTCTCTCCGCGGCTTTCCGCGATCTCCGGCTGCACGTGAGCGGACGTGTGTGCATACAGAGGTCCAACGTGTCAGTGGGGTTTAAAGATGCCGGATGATTTCTGACGCTGTCGTATTACAACGTTCTTTACGTGGTGGCGCAGGAGGACAGCACTTCATCGGCTGGCGCAGCCCCACAAACGTATCGATAGATGCCCATCTAAGGGTCGTGCTTGGAGATCGGAGAGGAGACGGGAGAAGGGAGAGAAAGAGCCCAAACTCTCTCTCTCTCTCACTCTCTCTCTCTCTCTCTCTCTCTCTCTCTCTCACTCACTCGTGTAGATTCAATCAGGATTGTGCAGAGCTATTAATAAATAACCTTCTCCGTGTTTTCCTCAGCACCACCTGTGCTGTTGGCGACCTCACATTTTCTGCTTCTATAGGCGCTCTCTTCCCCTCTCGTCCACTGCTTTCCTCTCTTCCCAGTGATCGAGTAGGTTGGACGAATTCTTCACTTCGTTTTTCCGTGGGACTCTGTTATAGATACTGGGAAGTTTTCCATTGTTCGTTGAGTGGATTTTTCTCTTCGTCTACCTCCCATTCCTGATCGCGTATCCTCCCTGCGCCGGGTATGTAATATGGGTTCCTGTTTGCAAGGCCATGCAGCATGCGATGTCCCTATCTCCTGCACGATTCGATTTCTTTCTAACACCCTACCACCTTCTTTTTCTTGTCTTCCTCAAACGACCTGCTTCTGTTTCGCGTCCTTCGGCAGCTTTGAGCTTGTTTCTCCCGATCTTCTTCTTGCTTCCTTTCGGAGAGGAGAGAGGGCGGATCTTTCTTTCTCAGATTTTTCTCCCCATTGTTCTACAGCGTAATGGCATATGCTTTAGAACTGATTCCTGCGACTCTCGATTTCGTTAAGTTAGGAAAACTAGGAGATGTCGAGAACCGGAGCTCTTGATCTGGGCAGTGGCGTGGGAGGGAAAATCGAGAAGAAGGACGTCCAATCCGCTGTTGAGCAGTATGCTTCAATGTCCTTTATTTCCTGCACATTTCTTCTTCTTCCGATCGATTCTTGTTCTTTCGAATGGGTGCATGCTCTCGGCGTGCTTCTTCTCAATTCTTTTTCTTCTATTGCTAGATCTCCCAGTTACATTGATGCCCATATTTTATGTTCAAGAGGAAAAAAAATATTTGTACGACTTTTATGTTTTGTTTCCATATTTACCAGATCAGTCGTAGAAAGCTGGCATTTACAAGTGGGGGAGATAAAATATTAAGGAAAACCGAAAATATCTGCTCTTTATGGAGAACGCTTTTAGTTTGTAGATTCTTCTGGGCCGCGAATTGATATAGATTATCATCTATCATAGCAGAGACCAGGAGCTCATAAGATTCAGGAGTGCGAGTGGAGGTCCTTTCAGACGTTAATCTTTGAATCCATATTTTCCCATGATATAACGGTGAAGAACAGTGATATGTCAACTGCTCGAGACTCATCTCTGATTTCTGCCGATACGCATGATATAACGGTGAAGAACAGTGGTATGTTAGCTGCTTGAGACTCATCTCTGATTTCTGCCGACACGCACTGCCAAACCAGTGTTAGGGAAACATGAGCTTTTTACAGTAGTTTATGGATAAATAGCAAAATTCAAATGCCCTAGAATCAGGAATCGATTCCACATTCATTTTATGATGCTGACTGATGTGGAAGTGCAATTTTAGATTACAAATATTTTCTCATTCATATTATTCCGTGTTTCCAGGTGTTATGTCCAAATTTTATACTGCATCGTTCAGTGGATTATCCCTCATCCCTAACCCTCCCATATATGCTTGTGTTCAATGAATAGGTATGAGAAGTATCATGCATGCTATGGAGGGAATGAGGAGACGAGGAAAAATAATTATTCTGATCTGGTGGGTCCAGTTACTCTTTTTACCTTTTTATTCCTCTTGATAAGATCTCTTGGAAGGATTACGTTGATTGTTTGGTGATGCTCAGTCTCTTCATCTGTCCCCAGCAAGTTCATTATATCCTAGGCAGGTTTCTTTTGGTTCTCTGTACCACAGATGATCTTGTACCCGTTTGCGTCATAGTCATGTGTCGTCTCACAAAATGCCAATTCCTGCCTGTTTTATCAATTGGAATTGGGTCCAAGGACTTCCATATGCTTGAATGCAGTGATGTTTACACCAGCATGAAGAGGATGCTGGCGTTTGAATCTCTTAAGTTTTGGGGTCTAAAATGCTCTGTATCGAGTCTCTTGGTGCTGAAAGGATTTTATGTTATTAAAGCTGAGAAGTTATCTGTTAACATTCTGCTAGGATTTTTTTTTACTTGTTACATTTTTTTTTTTTGGTTTTTAGCATAGTCTGTTTTGCGATTTTTCGGTAAATTTAAGACTTTTAAAACCAGATTTAACAGGATCATTTATATTTTAATTTTCATAAACTGGTACTAGCTATAAATGTGTGGCTGTCTGCTTATAATTTGACGATCAGCTCTGTGATTGGATGAAATGAGACTGATATCATGATCATAACCATTCGGTCACTTACTTGATGGTAGTCAGTACCGTCAACAATATTCCAGGATGCAGTTATAACTACACATCGCACAGATGGTTAATCAATGATACCTGTCCAAAGTTTCACGGAGAAAAAGGAACACGATGAGCATCCTTACTGTTCCAATTGGTCGGCAGATGTAGATATTAGGATGATCTTAATTTGGGCCAACAGAGAATGATGAAATATTGGAAAAACTATCTTCTAAACCTCCTTTCGGTCTACCAACTTGGTGGATGGGAGGAAGATTTTCAGGGGTTTTCCCATCTTGAATAGTATCAATTTTCTTATCTCTACTCTTTGTTTTCTGTGTAGTCTAGTGGGAGACTTTCCGTAATTCGACTGAGGGATCTTTTTCCTAAGAATTTCAGAAATATGAAACTTGATATAAGTGGACTCCATGTTTCCCAAAAGCCCATTGAGACTTGCTTTTGCGATATAATTTGATCACTCAAAATGAGATTCGTTGCTGCATTTGAGAGATTCTCAAAGTTTATATCCTCATCCATGTTATTGGGTGGAAGGGTTAGATAGGGTGAGCGTCCTACCCAGGTCCCCCTTTGCCCATGGATAACATACTGCAGCCAGCAGTGGTTTGAAATGGTTCTTCATGTGCTTTCACTAATCCCATTAAGTTTTTCGGTAATCACAAAATTTGAAAAGAGAAGTTCGGATAACTTGTCGGCTGGTACTGACAATGGAGTGCTTGTTGAAACATCCTCTTTGATGTTGATGACTGGTTCATGTTTTCGTCAACATCATTTATCACGTCTGAAAGGGTAATTTTGACATTATCCTCGTGTTTCAGGTTAACAAGTACTATGATCTTGCTACCAGTTTTTATGAGTATGGCTGGGGCGAGTCTTTTCATTTTGCAGACAGGTAAGCTTGTCGAACGGTTGATTTCTGCAAAATAGAATTATAATATGTAGCCATGTTTCCAAGGAAATTCAGCCGTATAATTATATATTTGCAGGTGGAACGGAGAGTCACTTCGTGAAAGCATCAAACGTCATGAGCATTTTCTTGCTCTGCAGCTGGGATTGAAGCGTGGAATGAAGGTTTGAGGCAGTTCTTCACTCTTGTGACTCAGAGACAGAATTTAAACCCAATGCACAACGCAGTAAAGCTTCGAAGCTGATGTTTTTATGGTAGGTACTGGATGTTGGATGCGGCATTGGTGGCCCTCTACGAGAAATTGCTAGATTCAGGTGATTCCAATTTCTTGAGATTTCCATTTTTTTTTTCTAAGACTAGTGTTGGGTTTCATCCACAGTTGTAGTTGCAATGTTCTTTCTTTAGGAGTTCTTCATAAAAAAATCTCAAAGTTTCAGCCATTTTAGTCGTGGATGAATCGACTCTACCCCAGCGCTCTTAGTATGACCAAGAAGAAGAAGAAACAATCCTGCCGAAACCAGGGAAAAGAAAAATCATGGTTTAATTGGTTGATTCTTGTATCTGCATTGAAGTTGCTTCTGGGATTTACTAAGTTGCATCCCTGTGAATCATAATGGGATCCCTTGAGCTCTATGGCTTTATACATGTTGGAAATCACATCCCTCGGCAGATAACGTAAATATATCCTTTTTTGGCCATCTATGATGCCAAGGGTGCTCTCGGAGTCTAATAAAATGTATTCGCCAATTCTTCAAGAAACACTCATCGATCCTCACGTTATGGCCATACACCTGACCGTCATAATGGGGAATTATATGCGGCTGACTGACCGCTGCATCATCTGATAGTATGCTGATGAATGCTCGGCAGTATTTTCTTCCTGAATCAGGGCAGCATGTCCGCATGTATGCGGATGAGCCGCCTATGTGCCTGAAAATGTTTCATGTCATGAGTGCAGCTCAACGTCTATCACGGGATTGAACAACAATGAATACCAGATAGGCAGGGGGGAGGTAAGAGATTTTTTCCTAAGAAGTGGATGCCGGAGTTTTTTGAGCCTTAACAATCTTGAGCCGAACTGAATGTGGATTTTACGGGGGAAAATGGCTAATTAATGTTTTTTGCAGGAGCTAAATCGATCGGTAGGATTGGAAAGGTCTTGCAACTTTGTTAAGGTTTAACATTATCCTTCATCCTCCTTTCTCAGATAGATTTTTTTTTTTTTTTTTTTTTGTATATTCGGTTATTTGGTATTATTGCACCGTCTATGCATGTTCCTTCTGAACGGCTAAAACTTTTTTTCTACTATCACTCTGGTCTTCTAATCAATTATCATGCGAATGACGTATTCATCAAGTCTGCTCCAGAATCCCACAAAAATTAGAACAATTTTCTTACCGTTTGTGGACTGCCTATGCCAAAACTGTAATCCTGGGATTTCTTCATGCCAGCATACTTCGCTCAGCTCATTATCCCTTTCATATATGATGGCCTGTCTACTAAGCTTGTAAAAGGTACTGTTTATGTATGATCATATGGATGAGAGAAGGGAAGGGGAGCAGAAAAACCCACCTGAACATGCAGTTTGGTTCATAAACTACACGCATGTTTTCAATGAATATGCAATAAATCTCTTCAATGGGCGTCCCTCTCCTGTGAGCAGTGACGAGCTTCCCTTCTGTACGTTCAGGCTGATTTCATGAAAATGCCATTCGATGAGGATACTTTTGATGCAATCTATGCAATCGAAGCTACGTGCCATGCGCCTGATGCGGTATACTGCCCAAAATTTATATGTTCAAGTCCAATTTTTACCAGCCCCCTCTTTCCTCTTCGTTTCATTTGAATCTAAGAGTTGGGTCTCTGCATTGTGTTTTATACAGCTGGGATGCTACAAGGAGATCTACAGGGTCTTAAAGCCCGGTCAGCATTTTGCCGCCTATGAGTGGTGCATGACGGAGTCCTTTGATCCGAATAATGAAAATCATCAGAAAATAAAGGCAGAGATTGAACTCGGCAATGGCCTTCCTGAGATAAGGACCACAGCACAGTGCCTTGATGCCGTAAAGAAAGCCGGGTTTGAGGTAATTAGCCCACCATGTTTTCCAAACATGAAGCAATGGAGTTAAATGACGGAGTGAATGGTGGTACTTATGGTTTTCTGAAGGTCATCTGGGAGAAGGACCTTGCAGTGGACTCACCTGTTCCCTGGTACCTTCCCCTGGATACTAGCCGATTCTCCCTTTCTAGCTTTCGTCTGACAGCAGTTGGGCGTTTCCTGACCAGATCCCTGGTAATAAATATTTCAGCTTGAGCTGGGCATGGTTAAGGCCAACACCATCATCATCCTTCTGACGTAACTTGATGCTTTTCCTCCAGGTGAAGACACTGGAAGCTGTGGGGCTGGCCCCAGCAGGGAGCCAGAGGGTCTCCTCCTTCCTAGAGAAAGCTGCAGAAGGGCTCGTTGAAGGTGGAAGGTGAACATATTGATCACTTATCTAATTTTTCCTCTTTTCATTTTTTCAGACACGAGTAGAGGTTCTGGGGTTATGGTTGTTGTTCATTTGGCGTTTTCTTCATTCAATATTGTTCATACCCAAATTTTATCTGGTAAAATACTCCTCGTTCTTGATCTTTGGAACTGATTTGAGCCGTCTGATCTCTGCAGGAAAGAAGTATTCACACCGATGTACTTCTTCTTGGTACAGAAGCCAAGGCAGTAATCTTTAGCATGAGAAGAAACCTGCCGGCGATTTTGACTTCCCTAGGGTCTTTGTAAGCTCGGTGCTTAAGTTCTATGCTGCTTGTTGAGGTAAGCTTCTTGTGTGATCTCTTCATCTGCACCAAGATTCTATAAACCTCTGTGAGATCATCTTTCACTTCAGATTTCAACAAAAGATTGCTAGTAAGTTGGATCTCCTGAAATAGATGCTCCTCTCTCTCTCTCTCTCTTTCTCTCTACACGTCAACCCTTGCCTATTGTCTGGAGAGGGAAGTTATCTCTGCTTATTTATGGATCATGGGTATGAATATGCAGCGTTCAGAACTGTGCTTGGAAACAATACAATGAGGATCAATCAAATAAACTCTAGCAAAGAAAATATGAAGTATAAGATTAAATCGTGCACATTAACCGGCTGGAATAGTTTAAAAATAAATACCCATTTTATTTTGAATCTCGGTGTCAACTTAGGTTTCAGAATGGAGCAGATATCAAACACAATCCAGTTTTGAAAAACCAGAAAATAGTAATCAGAGCTTCATACGCCCAAAACCTCCTTTGAAGGAACCGTACAGAGGCCTAGACCTTCTAAAGGCAAAGATGTCATCAATGCGAACCTTTGGGGGCTGAGTGGGCTGGGACTTGGCAATTTCGTATTCGTTCATGTGTAAGCCACCGTACACTTGCACGCTGAGCGTCTTTCTTTTTGGCGAGCCAACCTTGAGATACTCATTGAAGAAATCTATCAACTCCTGATGGGTAAGGTCCCTAAGAGCTGCAACCTGTTCATATCATGGTAGTGAGAATCTTCAATTTTCAACCCAGAACTATAAAATAAGACCAAAACGTGAAGTCTAGGTCAAACTGTGAAGAAACGTAAATAGCACACAAAGCATGTACCTCGGATTCAACCCGGTCAAACATTAGGGTGCCATCATCAATCTCCCGCTTGTAAAACGAGGATTCCTCCCACAAATTCTTGTACTTCTCGAGCTTCATATCGATTAATACACTGACATTGCTCTAGAAAGGGATAAGCAATAGAAAGAACAATCTTGATTTCAGGATCAAACAGGACGATCTAGCATCTAGCTTATCATATTCATCCATCTCTGATGAAAACACTAAAAAATGAAGGGCCAAAGCGTAAGCATCAAAAGATGAGCCAACACTGAAAGGTAATGCAGATATTTCCCTTTTTTTTCCGAGCAGTACAGGTATGTTTGTGATCGGAAAAAATGTGCAGAAGAAATCAGATCAAAAATTTAAGCCGCAGAATTTTAAAGCTGCAGAATTCTTGTCCAAAATACCGATTCCATCATCCATTGCTGGACAACTAGGGAACGGTAAGCCACAGAATTTTAAAGAAGCAATGGTGCGCTCCAAATCTACCATTAATGTACGAGAAATTTTCAACTCAATTGCGACCTCCAGTGTCCATAAAACATTGTTTCCACTTTGCATGCAAGCATATTACTAACCTGATATTCATAGTCAGACATGTCCACAAGCTTTCTTCCAAACATCTCAAAAAAAGCTTCAACTCTCTCATCAAGTTGTGCAGGATCCTGTAAAATCAGAGAGGGAACATTGTGAAAACAATATACCTGGTACTGTAGCAGAAAAAACACGCCTTTTCGATTACCTTAGCAGTGGACTGGATAACAACCATCAGTCCCCAGATTCCTGAGTTGTTCCTGCGAAGGATCAACTTTTAATACTTAATTCTGGAACGTTGTAGGTTTTTCATTAGCATACAAACCTTTGTCTAAGCACGGTTATGTATCCAAGTTGTTCAACTGATCTGAGTTGTTGGAAAGCAGGTTCTTTTGCAATCATGGCAAAAAGCTGAACTTTAGCATTCAGCTTGGTGTCATCTTGATGCACCTTCAAATTTGAGCAGAATGATCGACTTGTTAAGTTAGACGAGTCATCAGTTTTTGAAAATTCTCAACGGTCATTCCAGACCAGTCAATAAAAACAACCAAATCATCTCAACTAAGTTCCCTGGAAAGGTAGACAAGCTCGCGAGATGAAGAAATAAAAAAATAAAATAAAAATGGAAGATCGGATAGCAAAATATATGGCATGGAAAATTTGGGGTGATGGTTTTTGACGAGAGATTAGGGATTTCTGATCTCGCAAAACTCTCAGTAGTCTTCAAAGTTCATGTCGTGCTGATATTATTAGAAAAAAGTTCAGTGCGATGAGATTAAGGTTTACAACATTGCTACTTGTCAAAAAATATAATGGATCAATCTTGAAACCAACCTGAATGTAATGGATAAGTGCTGAATTCTCGTCACTCTTGTTTAGGACCTCAACTGGGTAACATAAGCTCACACCCTTTTCAAGCTTGATAATTCTATTTGTTAGATGCTCGGACGGAAATATTGGCTTGCTAATGGGAGTGTGGCCTCCAAACAACATCGTTTCAATGTGTTTGACAACTGATTCAGCTTCGCTTGGTTCAAAATTTCCTGAATAATATTTCACCAAAAGACGATATTTCCCAAAATACATACCAGAGAAAGTGATGAAATAAAGGTGGAAGGAACATGCATGCATACCTCCCACATAGGTTTCAAAGAATGTTTTTGAGAGTACTTGAGGTATAAACTTGGCAAGAACACTAGCATCAAGTTGAGGAAGCACTTCCAGTACTTCAATCATAGGCCATGACTTTTCCGATAGTAATAGTGAGCAATAATACAACGCCTGCTGAAATGGCTGTCGAAACTTGAAATTCTGGTATTCTTTCATAACATCTTCCTACAATTAGGATACAAGAATCTCAATTAATTTCAATTCGGATGAATAATCACAGTTACCATTGATGAGCAAAAAATGTCCGTGAAAAATGGTAATCGGGAGCTTTATAATTCCTATATCATGACATTGATCACAGAACAAACGAGTACAATAAGTATGGAAATCTACAGAAATATTAGGCAAGTTATACAAATGTAAGGAAGAGGATCAGGTAAACAGGAACATGATGAGCACTTAGAATCGTCTGAGGGGTTCCAGAGGGGTTTCCATTTATGCACTTAAAATCGTCTGATTCTGATCCAAATTGCCAATTCAGATAGGAATCGTGCGATGGACGATTTCTCTTTTAAGTTGGGAGGAAGGGGAAGGGAGAGATCTGATCACCAGAGACAGCAGATAAACTTATCTCAAACTTCTCTAAGCTTCACATTGTACCGGATGGCTTAAATAGCTAACCAGAAAAATTTATACGTTCTCCAGACCCTTAATCCTGCATCCTTGATTTAGTACTGAGGGGTCGATAAGAACATTAAATATCACTAGAGAAGGAGATGAGACATGGGCTCATTCCTTGGTAGCGTCTGACATATGTTGATTTCTTCTGAGTTTTATATGACTTCAAGGTCCATAGGGGAGAGAATGCAGCTTATGCCGTTATCTGACAGAATGTGAGTACTTTGAGGAATTTTTCTTCCATTTGTTTTCACGGAAGTACTTGACAGAGAAATCACTGCTTTAGCTCACACTCGGCTTCTATATTACATTTGGTGAATTTGATTCAGACCTTGTCACAGTAAGGTTACCGTTTCTGCTTAGCAGCAATGGCCGTAGATGAAGCAAATGATACTAGAAAGAGCTGTACAGAATTCCTTGATTAGCAATCGACGATATTTCAGTATGCTTATCAAATTTCTCCATTAAAATATCGTCTTCATAAGGTCATAGACAGTATATCTCCCTCTGGGGGGAGAGCAGGAGTAGAGAAGTTTTTTGTGACAGCTTCACCAGCAGATATGACAAAGTTGTTCACAAAAGTTAACAGTGTCAGCTGGAGAACATTTGGTTGCAATTAAAACGTGTTAGTAGCATCTACTCCACTTCAACCAATGAAAAATCCATTGAATGCAAAAAATTCATTGAAGATAACAAAAAAACAATACAAAATAGAAAGTACAATGGATTACCTAGTAAAGAGTTGATAAGAAGTACAAGATTTGTACTATAACATGAGATGACAGATTACCTTAATAACAGAAAACCTGTCAACTTTAACTTCAAACTGCGCAATTTTCTCAATTATTGCTTCTAATAGGATTCTCAATTTGTGGCTGTAGCCATAGACAACAACCTTGAAGAATAAGAATTGGTTAGAAATTAAAATCGCACAAAAAATGGATCAGGATCATTAATAAAACAAAAAAAAGTTTAGAACATCAAACACAGTTTAGAACGCAGTGTACCAGTTGACAAAGTCCTAGTTAATCATATTTTCTTCGCCCATAATTTGATCCAACTTTTTCCCATCAGTAAGAGAGCATAAATTTCCTAGACTCCAGAATAGGTGGATTATGGCCAAAGATCGGGTGGGGGAAGATCAAATCAGCTGATGCCCTAGGTTAAATCACAAAGTCTAAGCTAAAATTCCGGCTGGTGTTAATTTTTTTTCTTAACATGTAATATTATTACGTAGATCTACAAGTAGAAATGTGTAATTGAGTCAGGAACACACAAAAAAGGAGCTAGGCCCAAAATTTGACCTAATTTGAGTGAGCTTCCCTGCACTAATTGTGATTGACAAACACCTGATCCAAGTTCCCACACTGGAAAAATAAAATTCAGCCCTAGGAATGTTGTTGTTCATAACTTGAGTAAAATTAAGTTGACATGAAATCAAAGACTTAAAATTAGATATTACTGGATGGAACAAACGAGATATGTGTACATTTAAGAAGAGTTCCCGATTGAACTGACTCAATGGCTAAAAAGCACAGGAACATCAATGAGAAAAATAATGAATTATCCACGAACCAGGGTATCGAAAAGCTTATCCAATGTTTTAGAGTCGTAAATATCGACCAAACCCTTGGAATTAATGATTTTAAATTAACAAGAAACCACCCTGAGAGTCAGTTTGGCTTCTTCTCACCATGGATCTTCTTTAGCTATACAAGTTACGCCAAACTTTCTTTACAGATAGTAATGCCCGCCTTTACCTTATCAAGATAAAACATCCTTTCACATACCAGGGAAAGATAATAGAAAAAAGAAAATCTCCTCAAGCAGCACAGGAGAGAAAGTCGAACTAACTTGAAATCCAGTGGCAGTGCGGCGAATTGAGTAATACAGGCCAGCAACCTGAGCGTCATATGCTGTCAAAACATATAAGTTGAGAGTACTGATAAGCAATGAGACAGTATAGAAAATAAAAATTATACAATTAATATGTAGATAAATATGAAAAATACTACCAGTAACATTAAGTAACAAGTTCTCAAGTATACATACGAGTGCAAATTAAAAGAAAAATGGGAAGTGCAGAAACACAGGATAATTGAAGGCCTACTCCTTTGGAGGAAAGGATCCATGGTAATGAACACGTTCACTAACCAAGGTGGGAATGGGCTTAGAGAAGAGAAACTGAGAGAGGTGTTTGGTGCTCAGTATCAACAATATTAATGAATACATTACTCTCTAAGCGGCTTTTAATTTTGGCCGAGGAAGCAAAGTGGGACAATATAGTGAAACGTGAATGAGATCTACATCATAGAAATATTAGAAAATTGATACTTGAAGATTTGAAAGTGATTTCTAAAACATAAATACTGCACCAAACTGAAATTTAAGACAAGAAAAATCCTATAAAATCATACAACATAATACAAAAGCCATTTCCTAAAGTCACATACTATTTCCATCCAGATGATTTTCCAGAGTAAGGCACAAGGTATCACTATTTTCAAATCCAAAGACATCTAAGTAAAACTACGCTTTAGCAGGATTAAAAATTTAACCATGTAATGTGAAAGGCCAAGAAAATAAATGCTTGACAAGTAAAATATTCAACATGAATTTTACCATATTCGTTCAGATAATCGATTAATAACCGCGTGAAAATCTCTGTAAGAACTTCAGCCTCTGGGGAATGGTTTGACTGAGGACAGTTGAAATCGACACTGACATAGCCCTTGGGAGTGGAGAACATCATTGTATCAGGTTTGTACCACAATCTTGAATATAAGGACCTCCTTAACATGATAGGAAATTTAACCTGATTGATAGAATAAGAACTGTCATTGATAAATATTAAAAATCCAATTTTGAAGTAATAAATCCTGAAATCTTATCACAGTAAAAACATCAACATTACATGGTTTTTGGTAATCTTAATTGTAAAATCAGTGGGAACGAAAACATTTGGTGCTGGTAGATCTAAATATTCTTCAGGAGCTTTCTTCACCCATTGCTGCAAGACAGATGGAATGTGAATGATTGATGCAATCAAACAGAGTAGACTATTGACTGAAGCACAGGCATGACTACCGCAGAGCATACGATAAAATCATAAAACAGAGAAGATTATTGATCAGACTAAAGAACTATATACCTGAATAAGGGAAGCAGAATTTTTTTCTACCGAATATGCAGTACCATACCATGGCTCAACTAAATCAGTATATCCTTCAAACTTCTTTGACCCCCAAAAGATTCTGCAAGGAAGAAAATCAGAGAGAACTACAATCAATGGATTAGACTACAAAACCAAAGACTTTCTACTAGACATGCTGATTAAAAATCCACATGAACCATACATACCTGACATTTTCTGGCATGAGGCAATCTAATACCATTTGGATAGTACTTGGAACGTACTTCGAAGGAATAGATGAAGCAACAAGCCAATCTTCAGGTGGATATAACTGAAGAAAAAGCAACTTTGACATTGAGCTAGTATAATTGAAGAATCATTGGTTACCACCAATATGTAATGGTAAAGATAGAAAGAAAGGCATTGGAAAATTGGGCGTTCTATTTACCATATTTTTTTCAAAAACGTGAAACATGAAACCGCACTGGGCTTGAGATCAAGAAAACCATGTAACACAGAAATGGCCCCAAGGATTCATACATTATGATCCACTCTTCAATTTATATTGGAATCTGCTGAAACGAAGGGGAAATGGACAGTGTGGAGAAGGAAATTTCCTGTCTCAAAGGACAAGAGGGGAGGAGCGGGAAATCACCTCACTTTTTATTGAAATTTATCACCCTTTAAGGAGAGAACCTTACATGATCTTTCTCAGTATACCCTCAGGCCATAAGTTCCCTTGATGACCATCATCACAGTGTGAGTTCCTATACATGATGCACCATGACCTACAAATCCTAACAGCTACAAATTCCTCCAATCAACATCATCACAGCGTGAATTCCCATACACCGTGTATCACAATTTACAAATACAACAGAAACACCCAAGCCTGTTAGAGCTGTTTTCAGGCAGTTCAAAGACATTCACTCGGAGTATAGAGGATTTAGCAATCTATGACAACTAGAAACCAATGGTCTGATACCCAGTTAGAATTGGAATAGGCTGGGTTATCCAAATTTATTCGAAATAACCCAGCAATCTGAGTTTGATATTCTCAGATGGCTGAGCAAGTCACGTGAGGCCCGGCTAGGGATAAACTTAATAAAGTTGCTTAACTTACTGGGCCGAAAGAGTCAATATTGGCAACCAATCCCCCTTAACTTATTCCCGATTTTATTAAACTCAAAACTAAAATTAAACCTATGACAGAGAGAAAGAGTGGTATCAAACTGAAAACCTGACAAATTAGAATCTAGAACCAAGGCAGGGTGGGCCATGTTAATTGCCTTAAGAGGCTAATAGGGTTGTGATCTGAAAGGCCAGTTAACGCTTGAGATATGTGAGAATGAAATTCAAACCAAAAGTTCACAAGTTCCCTTAATCGACCAAGATAATTAAGTCGTAATTCAACAGTTAGAGAGTCCATCAGAACATGGATGTAATAAGACCACTATTTACTGCGTGAGTGTACCATTTAGAATCAATATTGACACATATTAGGTCTTATGGTATAAAACCCCCTGTCCTCTTTATATATGAACGGGTGAGGAGGGGAGCAACGAAATAACCCTAATATTGTAATTCTACTTTGACATCCATCCCATCCTTGTTTCTGAAAAGGTCTTACTTAGGCATTCTAGTTTTTTTGAAAGTAAATTGCAAGCTTCTCATCCTAGAGAAAATCAAAACCAGTTACCAAAGGACGGGAACAAGTAAAAGCTGATCTAGTCATAGGGTCACGACTTTCATTGCTGCTCCATCTGCGATCAACTGTTCTTAGATGGTGCAGAACAAGATGTAAGGGACTCCTATTCTGAATGAAAGTAGTACTGTGAGCTTATTATTTTATTACTGTCATTGAACCATCCAACTTAAAACTAACTAGTCAAGAGTGGAATTAGCTTATCTAATGGAAAACATGTTTAACTACCATAATAACCAAGATGAGACTATTTTAACTCATTCCTTTGAATGAAAGTCGATGTTAGACCTTGTAACATGGTCATCTAAGTGTAACAACCGATTCTAATTTCTATGATGACAAAATAAGAACAATTTTACGAAAGAGAGAGTGGAGAAATCAAAAAGGCTGTTGGACAAAGTTCTCGAAAGCCCCCTTAAATTTTTATACAAAGTAAGAAATACAACAAAAATCATACCTTGTTTGGATAAAAGATTAAGTTACCCTATGTAAAAGACAAGAAAAAACATTAATACAAAGAGACAACAATCCCATTCTACGTTTTTAATCTACATAAGGCAAATCCTATGGCACCGGCTACATCTCCAGGATAAATGCAAAATTTTGGAATGGCTGAGAGATGATCATAAAGTACAACAAAACTAAAACCAGAAGAGCAAGGAAAGAGTCTAAACTTGGAAGCTAGCGAAGATAAAAGCATAGAGGTCAGGATAGACCATGCACCTTATGTCATATGACAAGTTTCCTACACCCATAGACAATCTGATAGCAGGGGTGCAACCAGAAGATCTCTTTTACGTGAAGGCTCGAGACTGGCTTTTTTAATGGCCAGACTTGACCCAGGGGTAAATTTTGCTGGAGCTGGGAGCTCAGACACTAAAAAGCTCCCACTCCAGATTGGGAGAATACAATATGGTGATGGCAGCTTATCCTTTTAAGAACCCCAACATCTTTCCATCCAATTGATTAGTCTGGGTCTGCTCAACTAAAGTTACTTGCAGATGATTGAATAAACTAAGCACGATAGAAACAAGAATAATGGATAAAGGTAGGCTACGCTAAAAGAGAAAGATGAGGTGAACTGCTTGTCAGACAACGAAGTAGTGATCATAGAGAGGACAAGGCGACCTTACTAGAGTCAAAAATTCTGGACAGAAAACTCTAACAACGGAGAAACCAACTGAATAATTCTGCCAGTTTTTAGCAACTTTCACTTTAAACCCAATTCACAGCCTGCACCCTTTACTCCCAGTCATTCTTTCGAAAAAAATCATACGCTAAACACAACTCCCCAATTCACAGGAATACTCTTAGATTCCTTACACCAATCTCTAATGATCATTGTTGAAATAGAAGCACGAAAATTAGACACATTCATGGCGCCTTCCTCACCTACTAGAGGGGGCATTAAATTATAAGACCTAGTATAAGTGTAAATAGCCCATCCCCTGATGGCTCAATATCACCCTCAAGCTAGAGTAGATAAATCATTTTTTTCTCAAACCTGTTACATAAAACTATTTCTTAATAAACAACAAACAAAACAATAAATTAATGTTGAAATTATAGTCAAAGCAGAAGTTGGTGCAGTAGAGGCTGACATTTAAATCAGTATAATAACACTGGAGTTTAAGTTTTTGTAACAGAGGCTAACATTGAAGTGGCGTAGTTGAAGTTGGAATGGAAAATACCCAAACTTATTACAGTGAAAAAAGAACACAGTAGTCAGAGAAAGCACATGACGAAGTTGAAATCGGCGCAGTTGATGCCAGAATTGAGGTCAGAGTAGCAAAGACCAAAGCTTCAATCTAGTATAGAGAAGATCCACATCATGGTTTAGAGAAGATTCAATTAAGTGTGTCTTCTAATAAATCTGGCTCCTGGGCAGATTCAAGACAGAGCTCTGAGACCCAACAAGGCAGATTGCGTCATCTAAATCAGGAAATTGGGTAAACCATAGCGTCAATCATTATATTCAAGTCTTGAGAAAGGACACCTGCTCTTAACGAAATGGTAAATAATAGAGAATCGAGTTATAGCTATGCATTGCATTTTCAATTGTTTGAGGATATTGAGAGCTAACATATCATATTTTTCGATTTTCTACTATGTCCAACGACTTCTTTTGTTTCTCATTCCCAGGTACACATTCATTTCTCACTGATATCCCACATTCTGTCCTCTCTTTTCCCTTAGCCAAATTCGAACATTCTTTTACACTCATCTGCTAAGAATAGAAAAATTAAATACCTCATATAAGTAGGGAATGATGCTGCAAATATTTTGGAACAAGAGACTCACAAAAATAATGGGCAATTTAAGAAAATAGAAATAGATGAGTTAAACGACGTTACCTGCATATTTGATGCCACATGAGCAACATAATTAATTGGCGGTACCTTGTCTTGATAGTGGAATTTCGTTTCACATATGTTGGCAAGCTAATGACAGAAAATTAGCAGTCATATTGGCAATCACCTAGTCTACCAACAAATGCAAAAACGAGTGCAGCAACTAGTTGCAAAATAATAATTCAAAGAGAATGATGATACAATAAAATTGATATCGCTTATCTTTCTTCATGACCATACAATTGATTTATTTCCTGAATTTCTCATCCAGAAATTGTGCAAGCAAAGACAGCGGATTTTTTATTTATACAATATATTTTATCTGGTTAGTGCAGATTACCAACAGCCAGCTGCAAGTTCAATAATGAGGACATATAAAAGGGTGCAGATGCATGGAAGGGGAAAGTTTCATGTTTATATGGAAGGATCATTTTCCCTATTAAAGAATTTTACTAAAATGATTTAATCTAGCTTTCTTGTGTGCAACATATCAGCTATTGTTAGGTTATTAACAGTATTTTCTTGTTTCTTTAATAAATCAAACATTAAACTTGAAAGAAATGAACTCAGCTAGGAGGGAATGGTTAAAAGGTACTCCTTATGTAATTTCAATCAATTCGGTAAAATAGCATTTGAGGATAAAATACCCATGCATTTTCAATAGTCAATTAAACATTTTAACTAGGCCCTCAGATTTCACAAGAAAGGAATAGCATCCATGCAAACATATTTTGTTTTAGCCACACATGAAGAAGGATTATGCACTGATAATGAGAAAAATCATGCATGAAGCTAAACTTTTTTTACTCAAAATTCAAACAGGTAATGGAACGACCATCCTGTTTTGCAAAAGATAAATGAGGAGATGATTAACGAAACGAAGGCGAATTCCCAATCACCCTCGATAGCAAGCCTGCCAGTTAAACAACTGATCTCACATCTAGAACTGCCATCTATGATCCGGATAAACACCAGAGATCACGTAAGACAGAGGGATTAGCATAAAAACACCCTGGGGTTTATAGTCCGGTCAGTAAGTTCGCAGAAAAACTCCTGTGCGCGGTAATGATCAGTGAATCACTACTTTAAAATCAATTAATCCAAAATATGATCGGAATTCAAATGGAATCTGTCTCTTCTTTGTTTTGAACCAAGTCCACGAGAATACACTTCTTTTACAAGATCTCAGACTGTCAAGTGTTTGGTATAGATAGATAAATGTCATAGGCCAACTTTGATCCAGATAAATAGACGAGACTCTGAGGTGGGTATTCCTCATTCTATTACATTCGCCCAAGGGTTATAGTCCCCCTCCAGAATGACTAAAAATTAAAAAAATAAAGTACAGAGTCAGCATGGATTAGTCAGTTGTTTGAGGAGTTTACTGGAATCTGTCGATCAAAGTTCGATCAATTCAACCAACTCAAGACCAACCAAGAATGAACCCCTTTAAAAGGAAATCTCTAGTGTCGACTTTTTGTTGAGAATCCCGAAAATTGAGAGAATAAATAGAAACACCCTTCCATATCCAAACACCAACACCTGATTTAGAAATAAGCATTTTTCTAGAACCACAAACTTATTAGTTGTAAAGAAAGTGATACAAGGATATATGAGCGCGAACGTAGTTAGGTCTCAAGAAAAAACTATTGCTACAAAAGCAATAGAAACCCATAAGTTAAAGGCTTAACTACGTTTCGAAGGCTCTCAAAATTGAAAAATATCCTTTTCCCTTATTGCACAATACTCTTACCCATTCTTTTGCCCTTGCAGAAATAAAGTGAAACTTTTTCAATATAGCAGTTTATATGCTTAACACAATTTAAATGCGGTTCTGTTTTGTTGACACGCTCAGGTTGAGACTGACTAGTCCAATTCACCTAACTTTTCAGCATGCTTATCTTGTTGTACATGGGGGCGAACTATCGATTCTCACGAGTAAGGCTCATATATTTTGATCCGCCTTCATTTTCAAGTTTACAAAACCATATCCCATGTTCACCCACTAATACATCAGCATATGGAGTAGTATACCAGGAACATAGAGAGAAGAAAAGAAACCCTAATAGGGAGAGCTCTGATGACTTCTTACATTAACAAAATCCATGGCATCTACCAATCAATTTACAGGTAGATATTTCCATACAAGCTGCATTACACAAAGCTACTGAATCTGCATGATCTTGTTCTTATGGTATCTTAGTATCACAACGTCCTATTTGTCGGTATTGCATGCAAGATTTCAGATTTTAATACAAGGATTGCCAGAGATGCCTGAAAGTTCAACCTTATCATCTGCAGATACAAACACCTAGCAGAGTTGGACCGTTCAAATATATATTTTCGCTATAATCTAGATCGTACTACTTTTCCTTCTATTTGGTTGGGAGAATTTCTCCTAAGTTCTTATCCATGTTATCATAACTTGACCAATATTCTGTGGACTTGTGGTTTACTTGATATTAGTCAAGTACTTTCATCTGCAACCATTTTTCTATTTACCTCAGTGGATAAAATTTGACTGATCTGGTGAACCTCAAAGTCAAGCAAAGTAGGAGCTGTGTCCTGGTGGATCATCATGCCATCTTCCTAATATCATTACATTTTAGACGATGTACATAAAAACCTCTAGTTGAAAAACGTACGATAGAACATTTTCTTCCACCTGAACAATAACACGTGTGCAGGATTATATTTTAAGAATATGACCTAAAAAATTGCAAAACTACTAGAACTGCCCATGCCATCTCAAAATCTCACAACGAAGAAAATTCAAAGCATTGATTATGGTATGAAAACTTCAGATCCCAAGAATTTTTGTACCTCATCAAAAATTGATTTTTTGACTCCAGAGTTCTGTAAAAGGGAAATATATTTGAATAACAGTCCAACAATATCTTCAACATGGTCTGCATAGCATTTTTTGAAGGGGTTCAGAATCTTGTATAAACGTGGCAAAGTAGATTGACCAATAAAATTATAAACTATCAGCATAACTGATGGAAGACAATCATCATGCTGGAACCACAGGAGAACAAACCATGTCCTGAGTCAGTAAGCTCAATAACCACTGAGAAAAATGAGAAGTCGTAGCTCCCTTCCCCTTCGCCAGCACTCAAGCTCACAGCCCATCCTGCAATGCGTGTGGAACCTCAAAAAAAACACAACTAAAAATATAGTAATGCTTTCCTTTTTCTGGCCAAAAATTATATTGGAATGAGGCTGGCCCTACAGGAAAAAAATAAAAATATATGTTTTGGCATGACTTATATTAAATAAAATATAATATTAATTTAATCATTACTTTCATGTCCTTCTCAATGACTGATTTGATAAGGAATTCCTTACAAAAAGAATGCCAATAGAGCTGGTATTAGAATAAACTTCAGTCAATTCAGAAAAATGGTACACTCTCGAAAACCAGATAAGAAATGCATTTTCAAAAAGTATCTCAAAAAAGATAAAAGCCCAAAAAGAATAAAATGACGTAAATGGAGTTAAATTATATTCTTAATCGCGCTTTGAGTGGTAAGGGAATTGTAATTGGGGTACAATTAGAGCAAATCTTGGTAACCTATGCTGCTCTCATACTGCATCCTTCAGGCTCCATTGCTGCATAGAGATTCACAGAGCTTGGGGCTCCTAAATTTCTCTTTGAATTCCACAGTTCAACAGGTATTACATCGAAGTATTTTTTTCTTTTCAATAAATTTGAGGATTCTATATCATGAAAAAAAATCAACACCAATAAGCTATTCACTGTATTGTAGTTCTGTAGTTATATGAAGGTAACGTAAATGTGCAACCTGTTTGAAGGCATCTAAACTTGCTTGAAGGTTATTTGAAAATGACGTTTTATAATCAAACTAACGAAATATCACATGCAAACTATCATTCTAATACTGCATCAAATCGTACAGATATATAGATAATGCAACCTCTCCTCGCGCTCCTCCCAGGGGAAAATCCACCACACACACAACAAGCTCGTTCTCCAGTTAACTAGGAAGACTCTCATCCTATCCTGAAGGACCACCAGCTATGGCAAGACAGCCCCACATTCCTCAGTATTTCAGAAGACCACGTAGGAGACGTGCAGGACACAGCTTCCTAGACACCCATAAATGTATGAACACCAGGTTGCACGGGGTAGCCATCGAGCACGCGGCCTATTCTTTTGAGGTATGCTCTGCAAGCTAATGGCAAGGAAAGCTTATGGCAAGGTCTGCAGATCAAGAACACATGACCTATCCTTCTGAGGTAAACTCTGTAAGCAAACAATGAGGTATACATATCAAGTATGTTTTTCGTGAACAGGATGAATCTCCAAAACCACACAATGACAACCCCATTGATTTGGCATTTCCATGAAGAGTTTACATTTTAATTATACTTCAAATTTTTTGGTACCTAACTATAAAAGACTTCACTTTATTGAAGTATATCAAGCACGGACAATATCAAGAATAGCACTATAGTTAACATCATGCATAGCCTAAAGAAGGCAGAAAATAACTTTGAAACTCACAAGTACACAAGTCCTCCAATAGTTTCTCACATCATTTCAATGTATACCATCGGAATATTTAAGCGTACACATAAGCATAGACAATATCAGACTGACCTAATTTCTTCAAGGCAAAGAATAGTGAACCACTTCCTTCATGCCCAATTAGGTGACTAAGATACTTATGGGGCCCTTCTTTGTAATAGCGAATGCTGGGAATTACTGGCCACGAAAATCGCAATATATGACCTTCTTTAATTGGGACAGCTTTGACAATTAGCTGGAAAGGATAGAAAGGAATAGAGGCAAGAGGGTCATGATGAGAAAGAGAATAATATCCATCTAACCCTTCTGTGACAAATAACAGTCAACAGTACCTGAAGATGCTCCGATGTGCATGGCTGACCTGGAAATTGAACAGCACTTCTTCCAGTATTTGTCACATCCTTGAATTTCTTCTCAACCAACCTTTGAAGGTCATCAAGACTCTCTGAAATAACCCATTATGGAAATGAAACGATTAGCTAAATCTATAGCTATACCGAATCTAAAAGCAAGCAATAATGAAGCACATACCTCTCCCATAAGCAACAAGGTGCATAAGATTTGCGGAGTACTTGTCTTTATAAAATTCTAGAAGTTCCTGTCTTGTGTCCAAGCCTTTTGCTTTCGGAATTACTTCAAGAGTATTCCAGTTACCTAATGCAAGTATAAATAATAAAGGATTATGATTCGCCAAATATGAATGAATAACATAAATAGGTACGATAGAGTCATTTGTAGAGTTGCCTGATTGAATTTGATTGATGATCACTCTATTATTAGCTGTATCAAACTGTCTTCAATTACTGCCATAAACTTCGTTCATTTAGTATTTTCATGTAATTTAATTTTTCAACCCTTAAACTTTAGTATTCACAAACGTATTGAAGTGCTTAGGATGTTAAAAGTTTTTTATTTCTAAATAAATTCAAACTAGACATTCACTAGGTAAATTTCTTTATTCAAATTTTAGTTACCATACTTTTTACTTTACTGGTCACATTAACTTGACACATTATCGTAACTTGATTGTCACACGTTCTAAACTTGTAAATTTAAAAACTTATTTGAATGCCAACAAAAGGAAACTTGAGCTCGTGGAAACTGTAAAGATATAGACCAATATGCCAACCATAAAGAGAAACAACTAGAAACAGCTACCTGTACTAAATTTGTGAAATGGGTGATCCTTCAAAGATAAATGCTTCTCAAGCTGTATAGAATAAAGAAACATTCGTAAATACAGAGAGGTTATGCCCATAGACCCAAAAAAGGTTATACCACACAGTTCATCCCAAAGCAGAGTCTTTTTTTAACGAAATATAAAGAGAACATCTAGATAAATCACCTGAAGCATGTTTTACCTGCACATATCAAGAACTAATATCACGTGTTTTTTCAAAGTGAGGGTACTATCTCTTTGTAAATAATGAAAACAGAAATATGCATATTTTTTATAGATTCCATATTTTTGTATTGAGGAAAGAAACAGGAAATATTTGCACAAAAATACCATGAAAAGTTTCCCAACTTCCTAGGACGCCACAAACACTTTAAAAGACCTAACTTCTCACTTTCATATAATATAATTTTATCATGCAACTCAATGTATAAGTGAAGATAATATTATTTCGTAGACACATCTTGCGTCCACCTAATTTAAGCCAGTAACCCATCAGTATTCTAGTTCAGCAGTTCGAATCCCACAACAGGTTCCACATCACCAATACTTGTCATTCCTTTGTTTTCCACAACAGGTTCTACTTAATCTGATGTATGATGTTGGAAAAGTTTCCACAATTCATAGTCATTGCATTGATTTATAGTCATCATCATCACGTCAGGATAAACTTACTGTCAGAAATACCAAATTACAAGTATCGGAATAAACACTTTTCATGTAGGACTCAAAGCATCTACTTACCTGAGACTTTGCCCATGCTTTGAGCAAAGATTCACACCTCAAACATGCCAAAGGCACCACAAAACTCTCCTCAAATCAAACGCAAGGAGTGACAAGAAGAAAGGTCTAGCTGATATTTAGGAGGATGTAAAAGCTCAAAATAAATGTCAAGACAAGAGAGGTGGTACTTGTGAAGGACGTAGTACCTCAGCTTCAGTGGAGACTTTACATTCAGGGAACTTCCTTTTTTAATTATTCATCGAGGTTCCCAGCTATCACATGGGATGAAGAGATTACAGGAGGTCATTCAGAGACTCAAGAAAAGTCAGCAACATGGAAAGTTTTTCCATATATTTCAGAAGCTTGTTTTCTAAGATCACATGCATGGTACCATATGCTTTCCGAAAAATTATTAAAAACCTATATATTTCGCTGTTCATATCAAAAGTCCTCCCCCCTCCCCCCCCCCCCGCCCCCATGCATCTTAAAATTAAATATTATCTGGGAAAATTTTGGTATCTACACAACATTTTACTTACTAATGGTAATAGTGAATGATTGATTTATCCAAATGCAAAGATAAGATATTCATTATCACAATGGCAGATTCGTTTGAGATGTAAATCATCTTTAAGGAAAGAAAAATCACCTGCCTCATTCTCCAAGGATCAGACAATAAGTTTTTCTGGTTTTCTGGAAAAGGAAATAAAGACAAAAAACTTATTATATAATGATGGATAACGCCCCAGAATAACATTGGCATTATTTACCAGAATCAACAGCCTTTATTTCCCTGAGGGTGGCATCAGAGGACATCAGTGGCTTTATGAAGAATTGAGAGAACCTATATGGAGAACAATAAAGAAAGATGTGGTCGTATCTTAACAAAGAAATGGCAAAAACGAACAAAGAATCATAAAGCCCAAAATTACTACCTATCCAGAGCTTCTTCAAAACAGTCTGCATTTACATCAAAATAGAAGTTTGTCTGTTCTGAAGCTGTATAGGCATTAGTTGAACCTCCATGCTATATCTCACCAAAAGGACATGGAAAGTCAGAAAGAAATTGATTACTGGATATCAAAACCAATTCCAAAAACTGTTAGGAAGACAAAAAAGCACAAGTATCAGATAGCAATATTCATCCAGAAGATGGAAAAATGGATAGAAATCAAAGATAAAAATGCAACTAAGTTTACACCCATTTAGCAGTACTTAAAACATGAACAAGGCTTTTTAAAAGCTAGTTAAAAGTTGAATTAGGTAACGATTAAAACATTGAGTAGATCTATTTCTTCCAAAAAAACTGAATACAGCCTCAAATGATAAAGGCCACTAAAATTCAAACTTCTCTTGTGAAGAACTATCCTGATTGGCAATGAAGTTTGTTAGAATTATGTCTTTAGTCTAGTATAAGTCAGGTTGGCCCATTTAGTAGTTTGGGCCAAAGTAGCCCATTTCTGTACATTAAGACCCTAATATAAATACTAGGGTTTGTCGATTAGGAGAGTGCTCTCTCCCTATTTTTTGAGTCAGTTACATGGTATCAGAGCCAGGGGTTAGAACCCTCGCAGCGGAAGAGAAACTATCCGGCCTCGTCATCCCGTCTGGCATCGCTTCGATATCCAGTGTCACCTCATGTCCAGTGTCGCCTTCCCCTTTGTCCGACATCACCCTCCGCATGTCTTGCCCTCCGTCCGGCATTGTCCTTCCATCCGGCGTTGCCCTCTGTCCGGCATCATCCTTCTGTCTGACGTTGCTCCCTTGTCCAGCATTGCCACCTGTCCGGTCTGCCCCCCAATTCGGCCTCCCATCTGGTCCGACAGTTTTCCTTGATTGGCATGGCTTCCTACCACAGTCCACACTCCACACTCCACAGACAACGGTCAATTTTTATCAGTCAAAGACAATGGTAGTGGTCAACAATCAGCATTTCCCATAGTCAATGGTCAACGGTCAACACACCCTCTCAAGGAAATAAACACCTGAAGAGTCAAAATCCCTTAGCACACACTCCACAGCATCACATCCAGCAGTAACCATCCAAAATCATCTTATAACCACGCACAGATTGAATGGCAAGAACTATATTCAATGGGGTAGATCTGTTTTTATGTACTTCAAAGGTCAAGGCAAGATAAAACCCCTTAGAGCAATGGGAGCAATAAGATTCAAATCTTCTCAATGTATTATGGAACTCTATGGAGCCAAATGTTGTTGATTTGGTAACTCATCTTATCATTTATATAAGACTGTTTGGGACTTTATTGCACTTATGTATTCTAATAATATCTCAAGAATGTATGATGTATGTTGAATACTATCGGATGAAAGAAGGGAGATAAGAGCTTGAGCCAATATTTTGGTGAAGTGATTCGACTCAATGACGATCTTCATGTATTACTACCTATCTCCAGTGATGTTCGGGTAGTGTAGAAGCAGCGTGACTAGATGACTGTTCTTCAATTCCTTGGTGGTCTTCCTTTAGAATATGATGGAATTCTTAGTCAGATTTTATCTGGAGTTAAATTACCATCTCCTGTTGAGACGTACTAGCATATCTCTCGAGCCTTTTTAGACCAAGACGGCCTTCGGACTTCAGCACCTGTTGAGACTACTACCTTAGTATCTCCTCAGAATGTCGTGGATACACTCCTCTCATGTTCGTCGCCGTAGTGTTCATGCTAGCTGAGGGAGGGGTGGAGATAGAAATGCTGGAAGTCATCAACGATTAGAATGTACTCATTGTGGTCGAAAGAATCATACTAAAGATACATGCTCTAACCTTCAGAGATATCCTCCTTGAGTAGCTAATTTAGCTACCTCAAGTGAGGAGGGGGAGACCAAAACTACTCATCAGATTGTCTTGTCAAATGAAGAGTATTCTCAGATTCTTCCATTTCATATTGTTCAACAGGCATCATCAGCCATTGCATCTCTTGTTCAGACTAGATTCATTGCATGTCTCTCTTAGGCATCTCATTCCTCCACAAGTGAATCGTCATCTTGTATTTGGTAGGTTCACATCCTATTCTAGTCACACTGGTCTTCCCGAATTTCCTTAGCTGATGGATCTACTAATCATGTCATACGTATAGGGACTGTCCCCTTCACCTGAATTATCCCTCAAATCAGTTCTTTATGTGCCAAAGTTTTCTTTCAACCTTGTTTCTATTAGTAAACTCACAGGTGCTCTTCAAACTATCATAACTTTTCTTCTTGACTCATGTTTTATTCTAGACCTGAAGACATGGAAGACAATTGAAGAAAGATATGAGCACAGAGGAATATATTATTTGGGTAAAGCTTCTCCAATCGCTTGTGTTGCTGCATCACCACTTCAAATTCATAGTCGGTTGGGTCATGTGTCTCTTAGTAAGCTCAAGTTATTAGCTCCTAATCTTGCTAGTTTGAAAACATTAGAGTGTGAGTCATGCCATCTAGGAAAACACTAGCATTCTAGTTTTGGGTCACAAACCTGTAATCGAGCAAAATCAGTGTTCGATTTAGTTCATTTACATGTCACATCTAAACTTGGTTTCAAGTATTTTATTACCTTTATTGATGATCAATCACATGTTACATGGTTGTATCTCATGAAGGACATATCTAAGTTGTTCTCTATTTTTGCTCATTTTGTGCTGAAAATTAAAAACCAATTTGAGAAAATCATGTGTGCTACGTTGTAACAATGCAAAATAATATTTCAGCTTTCCATTAATTCAATACCTAAACCATCATGGAATACTTCATGAATCATCATGTCTCCTTACTCAAAAAAATGGGGTTGCTGAAAAAAAACATAGACATATCAGTGAAACTGCCTGCACACTTCTACTACATATGCATGTTCTTGTAGAATTATGGGGAGATGTTGTACTCACAGCTACTTGATCAACCAAATGCCATCCTTTGTGTTAAGCAACAAATTTCCTTATTCTGTCCTTTATCCAAGAGAGCTATTATATAATATTCCACCCAAAATATTTAGATGTGTCTATTTTGTACACAAATTCAGAGTTGGTTAAGATAAACTTCATCCCAATCTATGAAGTGCATCCTCTTAGGATATTCTTGTGTTAAAAAAAGGTATAAATGTTACAATCTATCACTTCGTCAACATATCAAATTTTATTTATTTGTCTCCAACCTATTCTTCATTTATCTCAACATTATCAGATTTACCTGTCCCTAAGAATATTTCAAAGGCTCTTGGTCATTCTAGGTGGTGTGCAGCAATAGAGGAAGAGATGGCTACTCTTAAGCAGAATAGTGCATGGTGTTTAGTTCCACGGCCACTTGGGAAGTATGTGGTTGGATGTAAGTGGGTTCTTCAATGTCAAAGTTGGTCTAGATGGTTCTGTGAATAGATTGAAGACCCATTTAGTAGTTAGGGACTTCACTTAGGAATATGACAAAGATTTATCTGAAACATTCTTTCTAATTGCCAAAATTACTTTGGTATGGATCTTCTTAGTATTAGTCGGTTCTCAAAAATACCAGCTAGATATCAAAAATATGTTTCTACATGGTGATTTACATGAGGAGATTTATATGGAGCAACCACTTGATTTTGTTGCACAAAGAAAATCTAGTTTAATCTGTGACTTGAGGAAATCTCTTTATAGACTAAAGCAATCGCCACAAGCTTGGTTTAGCTAATTTAGTAGTATTGTATTGAAGTTTGATCTTCACAGATGTGAGATAGATCATTTTGTTTTTTATAGACAATCTACTAGCTGAATTATGTTGACTATTTATGTTGACGATAAGATTATCACTGGAGATGATCATAAGAGCATTTCTAAACTCAAGCAGTTCTTAAGAGGATAATTTGAAACTAAAAAATCTTAACAATTTTAAATATTTTATGGGGATTGGGATGCTTGATCTAAGGAAGGAATTGCAATCAATCAGCAAATGTATGTCCTTGATCTTCTATTAGAAATAGACATGTTAGGTATGAGACCAAGTACTACTCCTATAGATCCTAATTTGAAATTATCGTTTTGATGAAGGTGACATGTTGGAGGATCCAAGAAGATATCCGCATCTAGTTGGCAAATTTAATTCTTTGACTATCACTCGGTCATATATCTCTTTTGCTACTAGTGTGGTGAGTCAATTCATGGAACAACTACATACAAAACATGTAGATGCAATTATCTAGATTTTGAGACGTCTTAAGAGAAATCTAGGCAAATGATTACTATACAAGAAGTATGGTCATCTCACAGTTCGAGGGTTTTCAGATGTAGACTCGGCAAGCTATAATCTAGATAGACAATCTATAAATAACTATTGTATCTTTCTTGGTGGCAATCTTGTTTCTTGGAAAAGTAAGAAATAATATGTGGTCTCATGATCAAATGTAGAATCAAAATACATGACAACAGCACACACTACATGTGAACTTGTATGGGTCAGACATTTTCTTGAAAGAATTGTACTTTCTTCATTCAAGTCCTATGAAGCTTAATTGTGATAATTAAGTAGAGATTTATATTGCCTCCAATCTTGTATTTTATGAGAGAACAAAACATATTGAAGTTGACTGTCACTTTATTAGATAGAAGATCCAAGAACAGATCATCACTACCATGAATGTTAACTCTAAGGATCAACTTGCTGATATGTTTACCAAGTCACTAAATGGTCATATGGTGAAATTTCTCTATAACAAGTTGGGAGCTTATGATATATATGCTCCAGCTTGAGGAAGGCTATTAAAGTTATGTCTTTAGTCTAGTTAAGTCAAGTTGGCCCATTTAGTAGTTTGAGCCGAAGTAGCACCTTCTGTACATTAAGACCCTAGTATAAATACTAGGGTTCCTCGATTAGGAGAGTGTTCTCTCCCTATTCTTTTGAGTAAGTTACAAAGTTGATAGTTTAAATAGAATCAAAATCTCACTTTCTTATAAATTATATACCACAAACATATCAGGTTGAGTTTTTTATGCATAGGAGATGACAAAAGGCTCAGTAGAAAAAGAAAAGCGTTGGCTGCCAGGAAAAAATGGAGTGCTGCTATCAGCCACTGGGATGCCATATGTCACAGGACCACAAGTAGAATGTGCTTCTTCTGCCTAGGAAACAGAACTAACTTAACTAGCTCACATCATGTGCAGAGCGAGTGGAAGCATATGAGGTTAGCATATGAGGTTTGAACTGTTAAGTAGAATCAATATTATAAAGGAAGAAAACATTACAATGTTTGAGAATCTAGGGAAATATAAAAACAATCAATCATTGGCCTCTACATAAATATCACGTAATCGGCCTTGAACCACAGAACGGGACAACATTTGGGCAGCTCATAGCCAATTTTGTTTAATCAAACTATGATTCAGTTGGATCCAAACTGGTCCAATTCCACTTAGGTTGTTGATTTTTGGAAGTGGTTAAAAAAATCATTGGAAATAAAACATTACTGAAGAAAATTCAATGCATTGTTCACAGCATCACTGATATGGGGAAAAAAAAGGAAAAAGGACGGGTCAATAGCAGAGCTCCCTGAATCAATTTCAGTGATAGGGACATTACACAATGAGCACACAAAGAAATATGGTTTACAAGTTCAGTCCAATTAATATGACACTGTCGGGTTTCAGACTTCAGATGCCAAGACATATCAGATCATGAGCAAAGTGACAACTGAGTACTGACTCAGCCATCTAATACGAATTGGAGTTTGTATCAAACCCGGAGGCACCACCCGAATCAATTGAGATATACCATCCAAACAGAGGTTGCGTCCTAAATAAGAAGGCATCATTCAGCTCTAAATGCACGAAGATATGATCAAATCCAGATGTATACCACAATAATGAGGCAAACTCCAGCCTAATCATCAAAAATCAAACAATCGGAAAATCAATTGTGCAAATTACTAGTTGGAGACATTATATACCAATCTGAAGAAGTAAAATATTTTTTAGGATCATACATACCAAAGATAAATAATTTCACATGAACTACCCATTTTCTCAAAAAAAGAAAACATGGCATTATTTTGAAAAATGGTGTGGGGATAAACCTCAAAAACAATTGTGAAATGCTGAAACTTGTGGGCATTCCTGTTCACGTAGAGCATAAATAATCTGATAGCATGCCTAAATCATCCAAAATGAAGGAAAATGGAACAGAATATTGAACGGAGGAGAAAGCTCAACCTTCAGATGTTTCTTCATAATGGTTTCACTAAGTGAGTTGAAAAGAGTGGTTATGAACCGTCAGTGGTGGAGTAGTCTGGGTGAGTTGAAAAGAATGGCCTAGAACCTACTGAAACTGTAAATTCGAACTGTGTAATATTCGTGACGGACCAAGAAATGGATAAGCAACATGAATCAGAACATGCATTATAGGTGCACAAAAACAAATAGGTAGGCAAGCCTCAGGATTAAGAAAACTAGCACTGAGGAGTAGCATATTTATCAAATGAAGTATTCTGGAGTGCCCAAAACTTTATTCACTTGACCTAAACACAAACGTTTTAGAACAGAGGTGCCCATGTCATGCACAGCTAAAAGCTTCTCGAAACAAGCTACCAAACAAGCATCTGAAAAAAAGGGATACCAGAAGTACCTCTGCTATGAACTTCATGTAACTCCCCTCTGACGGATACTTCTCACTAGCATAAAATAGCATATGTTCTGCAATGCACATAAGTTTGTGATGTTCAAAATCAACCTTGAAGTTTATTCTATAGAGTAACATCGAAATTTTCATGAGTAAAGGTTTAAGATGATATTATCTGGAACACACTAGGTTTAAAATATTTTGAGCATTAGTCTCAGCATAAATAATATAATTAATTTGAATTCCACGCCTTTTCTCAGGTTTGTTTCATTTTTCATTACAAACATCTATTGAGAGGTACCATGACAGAATGAGAAATCTGACACAAGGGCAGCATGAAAACGTGAGAAAGTTCATTGTGACTGTTAAAATGAATAAACTCAAAGCCAGCAATTTGATGATGGAAATCAGGGCACATGAATCTATTAAACTCCAAATATATTTTGGGTGTTATCCCAACTGCGATCCTAAATATCATCTAGCAATATCTTTTCACAGAGTGTACAATGAAGGGAATAAAATGGCTAGAGTTCTGAAAATCTACCACTGAAAGGTTAGCGATTAGTACAAAATTGTTTTCCACTGTAGGACAGCAAACATAACTGCATTGAGATATGACTACAGCATTGTCAGTTCTAAATTCAAAGGAACCAGACAAAGCACCTCCATGTATAACCAATTCAGTGGAAACATGGTAGGTAATTTTCCTTCAGTGGAAACAGAACCACAAAGTTTTAGAGGAACCACATAAGAAGAATCCACCAACTAGCATTTGATAAATAAACTTGTTGTTTAACACCATTGTTCACAAGATCCTTCTGATAAAGTGATATCTCACCAACAGTGTGATTGGAGGCATCAAGGTAATGTTCTCAAAACAACTGTCAGAAGGGCTCTGGACTACTATAGTAGTAGGGCAAGGCAAGAGCTAATTAATGGGCTTCCTTTTAAAATCATTTTGATGTTCTGACATTTGACGTATGTAGTGCTCTCATCAGAGATTATTTTGACAGAAAAGAGCAGCTACTCATCGAAAGAAGTGACTGACCCGGTATAAGGATCAGAAGGATCCATTGACATCATCAGGTGGTTTAAATGGTACATTCTATGCAAATTCTACTAGCTTCCATCATTTAGTGGCGGAAAGAGTTGCCTACTTACACGACCATAAGAAGCATAGACAAATGAAATGGAAATTCATCTTATTTCTCAACGGTGGCCCATTCAAATAAAATAAAAAGTCGATTACACAAAGGGGATAGAAAGTGGAGAATAGAGATGAACTCCATAGTATGCTTTTAAACGTCTATACAGATCTTTTTGGAGGGAAACGTTAGAGATACGCCCTTCCTAACCGACAGAAGACAGATTCTGTCAGTTAGGAAATGAAATAACTTCAACTGAATGAACTCCAGTTCAAAAGTTAGGGGAATGGAATTTCAACCCCAAAAGAAGAAAAAGGACTAAGAGATAGGAGTAACAATAGCGGCATAGTCATTTTATCAGGAATCATATGGATCTGAAGGCATAAGAACTGATAAACATAGACAAAAACGTCAGGCAACTCCAGATCTCTAGAGAAGCAAGTGATTGAAGACTGGAACGAGTATTGAGAAATTATATAAATTTATCAGCAGAAGGAAAAGGAAGATTCGCAAATATTGAGATCAAGGTGACAAAAAAAATTCCAGTTTACTCACACCAACAAAGTATACAAAAAAATTATATAAATTGGGAACGGAGGAGGAGGGACTTTGGTTCAAAGTGATTGCAACGAAGCTCTGTGACAAAAAAAGAGTATGGATCAAAAAAAGCCTAATTATATCAGCAATACCTCAAAGGCTGAGGAAGGACATCCCTCAAGCTACAGACGTTGTGGTGGTTGGCATAATGATTAACATGAATTATGGAGCAAAAACTATAACAGGAAGGGCGCATGATGTGGGACCTCAGCATTTAGCACTCAATTCTGGATAACATAAGTTCTGGATAACATGTCCTATAATCACTGTTGCACAATTTTTTTATCATGGGGAATAGAGAAGAACAGTGGATGTCCTTCTGAGTAATAAAAACCTCAGCGAGAGGATTCAATGACTAAAAATCTTCTAAGCTTACTAGGATAATGGTCCCCTGCTTGGCTAAAGGCATATATGTGGCACTCAAGATAGAAAGAAATATTTTTTGTCATCTCATTCCATTATAGCAGGCAAAGTCACAATACACCACGTTGCCAATCATATTTCAAAATTCACTTTCCCAACAGAGCCGAATTTTTGGAGAATTCGTACATGACATGTAACTTCTTTTGGGATATTTGCCAAAAGTAGACCACACATTAGGTAGACAACAACAGAGGACAAGTCCTATGGACGAATCATGGTTAAATTGGGATTAGTACTGGCCATAGGAAGGTTATCATAAAACTGGAGGCTTCTCTTTAGCGCAAACTAGAGGAACGTGCATACTTTCAAAAAGAAAGCCCCTCACTGTCACAGTGTTTATGTGGGTGTGTGTGACATGATCAAAGAGCATCTGAGATTTTCTGGTAATGAGGAAATCATTATATTTGTTATTCTAGCTAAGTTGGATTTATAATATGATCTATACCATCTTCAGGTATCATATAGCTCATGTACACGCAGTCTCTTGATAACCAGTGGATGTAAATCCTCTAATTTTACCCTTCAATGATTACACAGTACTAACACCTTTCGAAAAAAATCAAAAAACAAAGAAAGATGAACAGGTTGATACTTGCAGATATAGATTATCTGTGCACGTACATATTTATTGAGACATATCAAGAGATAGGCTCTGGACTATTTTTCATTACCAAATCCCTCTCAGAATACCACACTTTGAAAGCACTATCCGGGTTCTGTATCAGGATATTTCCGATCACTAGACAACTAGCTATTCAAAATATATCACACCAGTACTGACTGAAACGAAAATCTACCTTGGCAATACAGATTCATACAGAACGGTAATAAAAAGTGCATGCATTTCGATCTCCTTACAGTTTTTTTTTGAATTTTCACTCCAGAATCGTGGAGAACCACCTACCAAGGAAATGAGCCAGCCCCTCGAGTCCATCAGGATCGCAAAACGAGCCAACATCAACATTCATAGAAGCAGCAGCCTACCACAATATGTAAACGTGAATGAGATAAGAGAAAAATCAACCCTTCGAATTTCATACATGTCGTAAAATGGAATCCAATGGAGAACTGACTGAAGCAACGACGGGCAGCAGATAAGCAAGTGGCTAAAAATTATGCCTTAGATGGATGCGACGCGCGAAAAGTAAACGGAAAACGGGGAAGTGGAAAACGGATGGAACCTTATCAGTGTCCGCATCGCTGATCAGAAGAACCTCGAGAGAGTTGGAGAGGACGACCCTCCGGTACTCTCTCTTGTCTGTCCTCGCCTTTGTGATCTCCACCTCTATTCCGACCGCCATCTCTCCTCGCAATCTGAGGCTCGCTTTCCTTCCGCGCAAGAGCGACCAGGCAAAGACTCGGAGTATATAGAGAGGCAAGTACGCAAGTACTCCTGGTCTTTGCCGTGGGCCTCGTCAAGTTTGACAAACTATCTTATTTTCGCAATAACTCTCCTAAAAGTAATATTGTTTTACCAATATGATATTATATATTATATATACGACCATGGAGTACGAAATGGGGGGCATATCAAATATTGGATACATTCTTGTGTCCTGCATTAAATTCACGTCACAATGACGTCAGCCTGTGTGCTGGCTGCGAAATATACCCTTACTCCACATTCATGCTGAAATCGAGTAATTAATAGAAAATTTTATTTTTAATTCCTCCCTCTCTCTCTCTCTCTCTCACTGATAATTTGATCGTGTATTCGATTGCTTAATGTAGTGAGTATTTTAATTCAATTAAATTATCTATATTTCGTCAAATAAATAATTCCAAACAGAGCAAACGAAAATCGAGAGAGAATCAGAGGCCTCCAGCGGAAGCAAAAACAGTTTCACAAATAGGAAAAGGACTATCCTTCGTCCTGACTGCGGACGATTAGGGTTCTTGGGAGCTCTAGAGCAGAAGGTGAGCGCCATCCGACGAGGAAATCCAGGATCATCCGAATGGGTAACATTATACTAAAATTAGATCGAGTCCCGGGCATGCGGGAGTAAAAGATTCTGATCATCGAATGATCTCCGCGAAATCCGCGGCCTTTTTGAAGATGATGCAGTCGCGGGGAACGTCGGATGGCCATTGTCTCGGAGAAGATCCATGTACCGCGATGGCGTCGACGTGTGGCCGCAGTTCTTCCTCTCCGAACCCGGCGGCATAAAATTCTCGGTCCTTTGACTGGGTTTGGCCCAGGCCTGGAAGAACGGATAAGGGGAGAGAGATCGCCATACTGCCGCCGCCCCCGTGGTGATCGCGCTGACTCAACGGCAAGCTTGCAACCTGCTTCTGTTCCGCAAGGTGCGGAGCGGCGTAGCTCCCCCTCCGATCGCAGGGCTCCGCCGTGAGGAGAGCAGCTGACCGGAGGTCGCCGTATGATCCGTTAGGGTCAGGATAAACTTCTTCTCGGAGATGACGGTTTCCCCTCTCCGTCTCTCACTGCGATATTACTGCGCTTATCCGTTTCTCTCTCAAACTCCCCCGCGAGGCTGCGGAAGAATCCTCCTTCCTCATCTTGTTTCCCAAAATATCGGAGCCATTAACGACTGCAAATTTGGCAGGGTGCATCTCGAGTCGATCCGTCTCGCGTCTACTTATAGCCATCCCCTCCCCTGCGAGATCACTCCCTTGGGCCCTCGTCTTCTCCCTTCAGCTTCCTGCCCTCTCCTCTCCTCTCTCTCTCTCTCTCTCTCTCGCTTCTTCGGCTTCCTCTTCCTCGTTCCTCCCCCGCTGGTGGTTCTTCTTGGGGAGGGGGATCCGAGGGAGGGAAGCATGCCGGCGGTCGCAATGTCCAGCGCCGCCGGGGCGGCGGTGGAGTTTGAGGCGAAGATCACCTTCTACGTGATCATCTGCGGCATAGTGGCGGCGTCGGGGGGGCTAATGTTCGGCTATGACATAGGGATCTCAGGTAATGGCCATCGAAACGGTGGTGCCGCCTCCAGATCCGGCAACACTCTGCGTCGTCTCCTTCTGGTTTGCATGGATCTCGGCAGAACTTGCTACATTTAGACATCTCCCGGCAATATTTTTCTGGTTTTTAATTAATAATCTAATCCAATGAGATAGATATATTCAGCCACAGCTTCATCGGAATGGTTTTGATGTTCATATATATGGATACCAGTTTATCGGCATGAAGATAAAGAATAATGCCTTATTTCCATTTGCTCTCTCTCTCTCTCTCTCCCTCCAAATAGAGTGTGTAAATGATGATGATATTGGTGGACGACAGGTGGTGTAACGTCCATGGACGACTTCCTGGAGAAGTTCTTCCCAGAAGTGTACGTGAGGAAACACCGAGCGAAGGAGGACAACTACTGCAAGTATGACAACCACACCCTGCAGCTCTTCACCTCGTCCCTCTACCTGGCCGCCCTCGTCTCCAGCTTCTTCGCCTCGAGGATGTGCACCAAACTGGGGCGGAAGCCCACCATGCAGGCGGCCTCCCTCTTCTTCCTGGTCGGCGTCCTCCTCAACGCCTTCGCCGTGAACATCGAGATGCTCATCATCGGAAGGATACTCCTCGGCATAGGAGTAGGCTTCGCCAACCAGGTCCATCTCGTCGATCGATCCTCTGCCAGGTCATATTATCACAAATCTTATTTCATTCTACTTCTTTTGCAGGCGGTTCCTCTGTTCTTGTCGGAGATCGCGCCGGTGAAGACCCGGGGAGCCCTTAACATCCTGTTCCAGCTCGACGTGACCATCGGAATACTGGTGGCCAACATCGTGAACTACTACATGTCGAAGAAGCACCCGTGGGGTTGGAGGGCGGCGCTAGGGTTCGCCGGCGCGCCGGCCTGCATCCTGTGCTTCGGCTCCCTCTTGATCACGGAGACGCCCACCAGCCTCATCGAGAGGCAGAAGCTGGAGCAGGGCCGAGCGATGCTCGAGAAGATAAGGGGGGTGAACAAGGTGGACGCCGAGTTCCAGGAGCTAGTCCGCGCCAGCGAGCAGGCTCGGCAAGTGAAGAACCCCTTCCGCAACCTCATGAAGCGCTCCAGCCGGCCGCAGCTGGTGATCGCCATTGTCATGCAGGTTTTCCAGCAGTTCACGGGGATCAACGCCATCATGTTCTACGCCCCCGTCCTCTTCCAGACGATGGGCTTCAAGAACGACTCCTCCCTGCTGTCGTCGCTCATCGTAGGGGCGCTCAACGTGGCCTGCACTGTCGTCTCCGTGGCCCTGGTCGACAGGCTCGGAAGAAGGGCGCTGCTGCTCGAGGCCTGCGTGCAGATGCTCATCTCCCAGACCGCCATCGGAGCCATCCTTGCGACCCACCTGACGGCGACGAGCTCCCTGAACAAGTCCCTCTCCCTGGCGGTGGTCCTCCTCATCTGCCTGTTCATATCCGGCTTCGCCTGGTCTTGGGGCCCTCTCGGGTGGCTCATCCCCAGCGAGACCTTCCCCCTGGAGACCCGCACCGCCGGCTACGCCTTCGCCGTCAGCTCCAACATGCTCTTCACCTTCATCATCGCCCAGGCGTTCCTCTCTATGATGTGCCACATGCGTGCCGGCATCTTCTTCTTCTTCGCGGCCTGGATCGTGCTCATGGGCCTGTTTGTGGTGTTCCTGCTGCCGGAGACGAAGGGGGTGCCCATCGACGAGATGACCGACCGAGTCTGGAAGAAGCACTGGTACTGGAAGCGGTACATGGACCGCGACCAGGAGCCTGGTCATGCCTGAGTCTGTTGTGGTAGCTGGTTCCCCTGGAAGATGGATGTTGTAAACATCTGGCTAACTCCCTTCAATTCTATCTCTTCTCTACTCTTTTATTTATTTATTTAAAACAGATGAGAAATTCCATCTTGAAAAGCTCGCCATCCGAGAACGATATCAAATTTGGACAGTTTTGTGTTATTAAACTATTTATTGATTTTAGTAAACCCATCCACTTTCTGAAAAAACCCGCAATAATTTAGTAGATTAAGATTCACCGTATCGAATGCAATTTTTGGGTGATAAATACTCAATAACTCGATTATTTTTAGCCAAATTCCATTTTAGAAAAAAAATATTACATGTGAGTGACGACAGTGGGAAGAATCTTTGTGATTCCTCGTGAATCATTTTCGCGGACTTTAAAATTTTCTATATTTTTTATATTAACGATAATTCCCAATGGCACGGTTTTAACGTGGAGAATTCGCTATTACATTTAAAATAGTATTAAAATAATTTTATTAATTTAGCTGAAAATAGCGTCTTTTCTATGTTTTTTTATTTTTCACTTACTTATGTTAAAAAAATTAAACTTTATCTAAAGCGCAAGGAATAGAAGGTGGCTGGACTAAGAGAAAGGGGAAAATTCGGAGTGTATAAAAATATGGAAAATAATTATGTGCTCATATTTAACTCCAGTAAATATTTTTCGAGACTGGCTCTGAAACATGGGAACCAACCTGCGGGGAGGGTGGCGGCAATTTTTGAGGAAATTGACGAGCTTTACTTATTTGTATTTGTATTTGTATTTGTATTTGCATTTTTTATTGTATTTTTATTTGTATTTTTATTTTGTATTTGTACTTGTATTTTAATTTTTATTTGTACTTGCATTTTAATTTGTATTTGCATTTTTTATTTGTATTTGTATTTTTTATTTGTGTTTGTGTTTGTATTTGTATTTTTTATTTGTGTTTGTGTTTGTATTTGTATTTTTTATTTGTGTTTGTATTTGTATTTTTTATTTGTGTTTGTATTTGTATTCTTTATTTGTGTTTGTATTTGTATTTTTTATTTGTGTTTGTATTTGTATTTTTTATTTGTGTTTGTGTTTGTATTTTTTATTTGTGTTTGTATTTGTATTTTTTATTTGTGTTTGTGTTTGTATTTGTATTTTTTATTTGTGTTTGTATTTGTATTTTTTATTTGTGTTTGTGTTTGTATTTGTATTTTTTATTTGTGTTTGTATTTGTATTTTTTATTTGTGTTTGTATTTGTATTTGTATTTTTTATTTGTGTTTGTATTTGTATTTTTTATTTGTGTTTGTATTTGTATTTTTTATTTGTGTTTGTATTTGTATTTTTTATTTGTGTTTGTATTTGTATTTTTTATTTGTGTTTGTATTTGTATTTTTTATTTGTGTTTGTATTTATATTTTATATTTTTATTTTTATTTGTATTTTTATTGTCCCCCACGCTAATCGTAGTATCCCTCTGGCCGGCTTCCATTCTTCGGCCGGTCCCGAATGCAGAGGCGGCAAAACGACCCCTACACGTTCACGGGGCTAGAACCTCCTCCAGAGCTCTTCCTGTTCCCTTCCCCAAACCGCAGGCATCGGCAGCGCTGCCCGGTAGTAGCGGCGGGGAGGTGGGTGAGTTTTTATCCGGCGCGGCGCCCGCGCACGGCAGGCGTGCGCTCCGGCCGACCTGCTCGTTCTTCCCAGATATCAGCAGCGACAACAGAAAGGAGAACTGGTTGGTGCGAGAGTCACTTATTTCCTTTCGCTTTTCCCGCAAATTTTGTCGAATGAATCCTATTTCGAGAAGGATCACGCTACGCGGGCACCATCTTTTATTCCCCGGCTCAGAAGTTTAATTTAGTCTTCTAATGTTATTCACGGCGGCCCGAATACGCAGATTTTGGTCTATTGCATCGTCTCTCTCTCTCTCTCGCCCCCTTTCCCCGCGCTCCCTCCCAAGCTGACCTTATTGTGGGGGGTAGGCTTTCAAGTTCGTCTCATCCATTTCGCCGGTTTTCGGCCCCAAATCTACCAAGACGGAAGGGGGGAGGCAGATCGTTAGGATCCTACTGAACAGCGTGTATAGTCCTGCACCTTACACGCCCGGATTTTTCCTCTTCAAAGCTGGTCTGTCCTCCACGACGTCAGGAAAAAAAATCGGCCTGTAATCGACCTACCTTACCTTCTCATTCTCCTTCCTTGTCTCTTACTCTCTCTATTCTCTCCTCACCGTTCTTGTGGTTTTTCCACAATGTTATTTTAGAGACTGATTTGGTTACTTTGGTCTCTTCTGTCAAAGCATAGGCTGTTATTGTCTTCCATTCTCTGTTCATTCGACCCCTTTTGCATTTTTCTGGTAATTCAACTGGTTAAATTGTTTCACGTGACGAGAAGAGGCCAGAGAGCAGAAGAGATAAATGGCATCAGATGACAAGCTCTTGAGGCAGTGGGTGTCAGATCAGCTGATGACACTGATGGGTTACTCTGAACCTTTAGTGGTCAAGTACATCATCCGAATATGTATGTATTGACGACAAGATGACTAGTTTTTTCAAAGCTTATTCATACACTGTTCCTTTCCTATTCTGAGTCAAATGCCTGTCATTTTTGCAGCCAAGGAGGCATCATCACCTGCCGAAATCATTAGCAAGCTTGTAGAGTCTGGAGCATCTCTATCAGCTGAGACCCGGTCGTTTGCTGATAAGATCTTTGCTAAGGTGCCACATAAGCAAATGGGTTTAAGTGTAAGTTTCTACCTGAGTCAGCATTACTGAGTAATGGCCTGATTTTATCTTGTGCGTATTCCCACCTGATGTATTTAAGGCCAAGCATACTGTCAAGTGTTTATCTCGTTTTTGAGGATTATATTAGCTATGGTTTTCTTAGTACTTGCAGACATTTGTAGGTAGACATGTAGAAAAAGGATTTTCTAAAGTCTATGGATTTGATGTAGATGATGCCCATTTTCTGACTATTGAACATTTGCTTTACTATCAAGAATTTAGGAACCTGGAAATTATGTGGCCCGTGGGCATGGATTGTACACTGCATGTATCTAATCTATGGTATTCAGCATACCTCTCCAAAATGTTTGGTTCCATGTCGTTAGAGAAAAAAAAATATATTTGGGACCATATGATTGGTTTGAAGGGTCTGGGCCTTGGTTTTCCTTCAACGTGGCCATTGCTTGAAACTTTGGGGTTTATCCAATGTGCAGGCTTAATCAGGTTGAAGGACAGTTATAGCACAGTGTAAGGGAGACAGCAGTCCTGCAAACTCTGGGGGGTTGTCTATGCCTCAAAAAGGGGTAGACAAACCCCTTAAAGGAAAAACTAGCCATCGACAACTGCAGTTTGATCATTGTTTTGATCTGGATAATAATGTATAATATTGTTTTTGAGGAAAACAGCCCTGGTGTTTGGAAATTTACAACTTATTTTAAGTTTTTTCCTTCTTTTCTATAAATCTTTCATAAAACCTGTAGAGCTATGTATTTGATTGGCGGATGCACTATAATTGAGTGATGGATGATGATTGCTTTTAACTTAATCATCAAAATTTTGATTTATAAGCTGAGTTATACAAGGATAAGAGTTGTGCTGAAGACCATGTCCAGTTGGGTTTTTAGCTTATCATTAGGTTCTGAGTGCAGAACTTATCTCTGTCAATCCCCTTGAATTTCAGTAAGTGATGTGGGCATATCACAATACTAAATGCTGATTCTTTGCCATATCAGAGCTAAACATGGGGTGGACTGATTCGTGGGATTTTATGAGTGCCACTTTTCTTTTCTCGGAGTTTTGGTAGATTTGCGCCCATCAGGTTCTTGGTTATCTTTGAAGATGAGCTATAGTGTTTGATTCATTGATGGAGTGGAAAGGTGAAGGAAGGGTTCACCAGCCAGACCTCGGCAAGAAGAATCTTTCTGGGAAATTGTGCTTTAAAACTGTATCTTTAGAGCACAGAAAAAACATTGCCTATTTGAAGCTTGTATACGCCTTTTGCGATAAGCTCCCAGAACCTCATATAGTTTGTTCATGCAAATGACAGGTGTTAAAACGATCTTAAAACATGTTGAACAGTAAATGCTTAACAAGATAGTTAGTGATATCAGATGATTATTTGGGCCTTGACTCTGCAGCCCCATGCAAGCATGTGGTGGCCGATCTTATTTAACTCCCTGTGCCATCGTCTACATTTGCTTTTTTTTCCACTTTGATTGCCAATCGCAACTGTCGAAATTGGATTTCTCCTTTACCCACTTTTCCTCTGAGCTCTTTCGCTTGGTGCACATGCATTTCCATTTCTGAGTATAGCAGAAGGATTGGTGGGTTGGTACACGTGCATTTCCATGTCTGAGTATCGCAAAAGGATTGATCCAAAGGTCAAATCTGACAGAATGACTTCAAGTTGGTCCAATTCAATTTGGATTATGAGAGTTCATGACAGTGGTGGTATTAGGTCTATGAAACTTAGCTCATGTTATTTTCTGCTGGGAGGAATTATATCTAGGTCTTCATCAAAGTTCAGACAGAGTTTCGTTGTTCATTCATTAATGTGTTGACTTGGTATTTATTTGTTGACTTTCGAATCTCTGATATGAGTATTTAGTATTACAACATTAAGTATCCGTCTATGTGTTTTATAATGTTTTTTTTTTAACTTGCAACAGAGTTACCAGAAACAAGAAAAAGAAGCTGTTTCGTTGGTGAGGAAGCAGAAGACCTATAAACTTTTGGATGCTGATCATGAAGATAGTGAGAATGTGCCTGCAAAAGTTACTACTTCTCAACCAGAAAAGTCTGATTCCCGCAGGAAGCACTTTCGGAGAAAGAGTGAAGCTCAAGAAATTGAAGATGATGAGGCATAATCTTTATTCTCATTGATAGGATCACTTTTTACTTGATGCGGTAAGACATGAGATTTATCATCCTTTCAATGTTTCCTTACTTTTTGTTTGATTTCGTGCGGTGTTGCAGGTACAAGTAAAAATGGAAAATGTGAGGCAAGTCCGAAGACGCACTTCCCAAAGTGATGATGATGAAGACGGTTATGAAGTAAGATCTCACTCCTTTTATCAAAAGTTGGTGGCTGAGTGTTCTTTATTGAAGCCCAGGGCTGTAGAAAAACTTTCCCGTCATGCTGCCGCTGCTGCTGCTGCTTCATCGCTAGATATCAAGAATATTTTTCCTTGGCCTATTTTGAAGTTGTTTGAAAATTATAATTCTACACGATGGAGTTTCTGGCGCGTGGAAGCAGGGTTTTTTGAAAATAAAAAGTCAGGCGCTGTTCTGTTCAGCTTATCTAACATTTCATTTCTTTGTGTCGCTTGTAGAAATCTATTCTCTTGTTTATTCAGTATGGAAATGCAGTTATTTCACCAGATTAGACCTATAAACGTTTGTTTGCTATCCTAATACCATTTCAGTAATGTTAGAAACAAAGGTGTACTCCATGTTCCTTTCATTTTCTTTCAGAAGATGCCTGCATCATCTCCATATTCTATGTTGCCTAATTTGTCTTATGGATAAGTAGAAAATTCTCCATTTTGCTCCAAATGCACTGACCAAATCAGAGTCTATGGTGTAGGATTTTCCTTGCTTATCTGCCCTTGACCATCAAATAAGCCATGTGGATTATCATTGATAAAAAGGCTTTATTTATGTTAAAAAAACCTCTAATTCAACTTTCCTTGTAATGCTACATGAGATTCTGTATAAAATCCCAATTCCAACTTTCGTTATTCTTTTGTCATAACGAATTTTGAGTTCATATGCCAATGCAGTCAGAAGAAGCAATGAGGCGGGATCAAGAAGAGCGAGCACAACTTGAGAGAAACATTAAAGAGAGGGATGCCGCAGCAACCCGGAAGGTATATTTGACGTTGTCGTTGTTTTTCTTGACGGTCATCCACCTCCACTATTTTCTCATGTGCATGTCAATCCTTTGGTTCCAAAATGTTATTAAAGATAACTAGTCTCTATGCCACGAGGAGATGAAATGTCTTGGGGCCTAAGTTATTGTACCGTTTTGTTTTTTTTATCTGTATTGAATGTGTTGTACCACCCTCTTTCCAAGAATAGATATTCAAAAAGTAGGTGATCCTACTTTATAAAAACGATGGTTTGCTCTGATTTTTTCCACTTTAAGTGATCGATGTGAGCATTAGGATTTGAATTATCGTCCATCATTATGATGTCTGTGGATTTTTCTTTGACAACCACAGGAAAGGTTAAACGATTTTTTTTCATGTGACAGTAATTGTCTTAGAAGGATACTTGTGCATTTCCATGGAATTTATGAATATTTTGAATTCTGTGCTGCATGAAAAAAAGTGATGTATTCATGGTTCTTTAAGGGTATTAATGAAATTGAAAATAGCCGTGTTAATCATTAGAAAAAATGTGTAAGAAATAACTTTAACATTATTTTCCCCTTGTGTGTTAAAATGAACGGTTAGACTTAATCCCACATTTACTCTTAATTTTCTGTGCATCATTCGCCGAGTGGCTGTTTATGAACAGCTGTTTTCGTTCTTGAACAGTTCCTAGGATGCTGCCATTTGCAAAGGCTGTGGCAGTGAAGCAGACGCTAATACTTAGCAAATAATTAATAATGAGTTATTCAATCATTTAATAATTGCATGATTCTTTGTTTTTTATCTTAATATTTTCTTCTTATATATTATTTAAGTGGTGTTTAAAGCCTTGCTTTCTCTAGCAGAAAGTAGTATCCAGAGCATTTGTTAGCCAAAGTCCATTGAACGGATTTGATTTACATAAAAACGCCAACAATCCCTTTTTATGCTGTCTTCATTTGTTTTGATTTTTCTATCCGTTGTTTGTGTTTGATGTTGTTACTTACATGTGGGATTTTATTTCTGATTTTTTTCCTTTCTTATTTTTTTAACAGTTGACTGAGCAGAAATTATCAAAGAAGGAGGAAGGTAATATGGCCTGTAGTTATGTCAGTTATTTTATTTAATGTTTTTTTTTTAAAGTGTTCCGAAATTATATTTAACTTAATTCGAAAATGTAATGCATTTGTTTCCAGAGGAGATACTTCGGAGAACAAAGGCTTTGGAGGAAAATGACATTTCTAGCCTAAGGTGATCATTTGATCTCCCTTGTAATTATTTGTGGCAATGCTTTTTCTTCCTCGACAATTGATAGTTAATACCTTGCTATTTGCATGTTAGAATGGCAGTTATAGAAATTAAAATTCAGGATAAGAGGCTAGATATTTGTATTTTTGTCAGAATACAAATGGGAAATTTCTATTTACCCTATAGTCCATTCTGTCAAGGGACTAGAACCTAAAGTCTCCCTTGTTGGTGTGGATCAAATATTTCACGTCAAATGCCAATTGTAAAGGTACACCATGTGACCCCTAGTTAAGAAAGGTCGCGTGGAAAGATGAAATCAATGAATTGTGACTATTTTGAACTGCTAGTTTTATCCAATAAATTTGTCTCTTTTCCTAATTATTGGTCAATGTGTTCGGCCAACTATTTTTGGCGAGCTGCCTTGGGGTCAACTTTCAGCAAATTGGCGCTGAGTACCTGTCCCAGTTAAATTTTGACACGGGTTTGATGAGGTTCATAGGAACAATGTAAAGAATAAGCGTACCAAATATCTGTAAGTATTGCTAAGTGAAAGGAGCATACCCATGCCCTCCCCCACACCCCTCTAGCGTGCTCCCACATGCACAGACCCCATAAAAAAAGTATAATACATTCTAAGATCCGAGCACCTCGATGTAGAGGAATAAAACCTTTGCTCATCACCGAAACTCTTTTCGCCGCTTTCTGCCTAGAAAAATGTAGAAATAACTAGCTTTCTGTGATGCAACTCTGTTGCCTTGTAGTTCGATAATTTTATAATTATTAAGCTTAGGAGCAGACGAGATATAGGAGTCATGACTCAAGAAACTGATTGCAAACATAAGACTTCATGTGATGATGAAATTGTAGGCTTTTTGCTGTTACAGTTATTTTCTGTGCATATATCTTTGTGCTGACTCGTCATTCAATGTCTTCTTTCCCAGAAAAGTTTCAAGGCAGGAATATGTCAAGAAAAGGAAAGAGAAGAAGCTTGAGGAGTTGAGGTATTTTTGTGCTTATTTTATTGCAATGTTTCTCCAAATGCGGACCTGCTGTATTGCATGGTTATTTATAACTTCTTATATTTTGACTGTTTAAGGGATGACATACTTGATGAAGAGTATCTTTTCCCGGGTGTTGAGCTGACTGAAGCTGAACGACAAGATAACAGGTAGAAACTATTTATTGCATCTATTTTCATTTTTTGGTCAAAAGACATTCATCATACACTGTACTTGTAAAAGTTTTTTGGAAATTATGCTTCCCCTCTTTTCTTGTTCTTTTTTTTAGAATGCTTTTCATGAAAGTTGATGCGAAAACACCTCAAGTTTTTCCCTTTTGAGACGAATTTATATATCTAAACTCTTGAGGGGGACGTTGGCCGTAGTTTTTGATTTCTCTATTCGGGGATTAAGGATCTTGGGTGGTGGTAAAGGAGAGGCTGTACGGACAGGGTTTGCTTTCTGTATCTTTCGCTTTTCCGAGTGTGGATTTGGATCTTGTTGTTTTCTGCGGGAGTTGCTTTCGATTTTACTCGTCATATGGCTTTATTCTTTTACATGGCATTTCATTGATGTTTATGTGAAACTGATATTCTACTTTTCTCCTTTATCCGAAATAAAATTTTATTTTCACTGAGGGATGTGCACACATGCAATGAGTTAGTAGATAATTAAATTTCAGTAATGTGGTAGCTAAAGACTTGGGAACTTGCCTCAATATTTCATGCTTCAAAAGTTCTGTTTCAGATTCTTGCGATTCATATTTTTCGTTTATCATTCAATAGTCACCGTTATTTTCGTTTTCTGCTTTTCAGGTATAAAAAGAAAATTTACGAGCTTGCAAAGAAACATGCAGAGGATTTGGATACCATTACTGAGGTAATTGACGGTTTACGTTATATTGAACTGTGATCCAGTGCATTTTCTGTCACTTTTGGGGTCAGGGATGACGATTAATAATCTTTTGATTCGTAATTTCTACTCTTAGGATTGGTTTATGATTTGGTTGTCACTGTTATTTCCTTTAATATTCTGCTACAGTATTTCCTACATATAGATATGGCTTCATTAGGTTTGTAGTGCTCAGGTATCAGCGTTTTTTATGGCGTGAATTATTCTGTGCAGTATAGGATGCCTGAAGCATATGATCAAGAAGGGGTTGTGAACCAAGAAAAAAGATTTGCTGCTGCAATGCAGCGGTATAGGTCAGTTCAAAACTCATGTGCCCACCATCTCTTGTGTATATATATAGCGATCGTTGCAGATGTTCAATAAAGGTGAAAGATAAGCTTTTTTATTTGTCATGCTTGGAGTAGTTGTAATATCTTTTTTTTGCATGGTATGCTGATTCAGGGATGGTGGAGCTGGTGATAAGATGAACCCTTTTGCTGAGCAGGAAGCCTGGGAGGAGCATCAGATTGGTATCGATTTTTTTCAATAATCATATCGCTTTGTTTTTTACCGCTCGTTGATTTTATGATGCATGTGGAATTTTTTTTCTTTATTTGTTGGCATGAAGTTCTATCTTATTTCAGGAAAGGCAACTCTAAAATTTGGGTCAAGGGATAGAAAGAAAGAAACCGAAGATTATCAGTAAGCTTTTTCTCTGCTATTTTCTGTTTTTTCCCACTTTTGTATTGTATGGTTAAATGTTTAATATGTTTAGATTTTTTTTGCGGAAACAGTGGGAATGAACTGTTTTATTTATGGGTCATATGCTCATCTTTCGATTCTTTTAAATTAGGTATGTATTTGAGGATGGCATCAATTTCATCAAGGAGTCTGTGATGGAGGGGATCAAGGTAGGTCGAATGGAATTCTTGGACTCTTCAGAGATAGCAATCTATAGTAAATGTATTTGAGTCCCATTGACATATTATTGGTCCTTTTTTCCGTTTCTAATGTGAAGGATGAAGATGAGTTGCTTGAAGAAACATTGGAACAGTCGGCTGCCAGTTCAATGTCACTGAAGCTTCAGGTTCAACATTTTTTAAATGCTGATTTCCTCGTCTTGCTGTCTTTCAAACATGTGGCATGTGATTGATTTGATCTTTCATCTCGTTAGGTTTTGATTTGTTTTCAAATCAACACTCTTATCCGAAGCTGTGTTCCAGTAAATGTAAAGGTGACCAAATAACTACTCATTTTTTTTTATTAGGATGACAGAAAAACTCTCCCTATTTATAAGTATCGTGATGACCTTCTGAAGGCTGTTGATGAACACCAGGTATGTACATTTGACTCGCTTGTCTGGTATATCCTTGCGTTTCTTTGGAAGATGTAGGCTGATTGTATAGACGTATCCCATTAATCAGAGTTTAGTTGATACCTTCCATACTATTACATTTCCCTGCGGGATTATAAATTTCCTTGATTGAGATTTGCCTACTTTTTATAGAGGTAAAATGTTGGGCTATCTACTTAGTGGTTGGCTGGCCCTTTAAGGAAAAATGATATTTTACCATATTTTTTCAGATGAACAATGTAATAAATGAAAATGGCCAGGTCGAAAATTTGTTGGTGAAAGATAGGAGATTCAAGCATGCTTTAGCGGGTGCTACAAAAATAACTTTGATGGGAGGGGGTGTCGACCGGAGGAGGCAACGGAACTCCTTTGGTTTCAATGAGAAAGGACATTACCTGTGGCTACATTCGGTTAAACCAGGAACTTTTGGGAGTAAGGGTTGGAGGTGGAGAGGACAAAGGGGATTCTACAGGTCCTAGTTTTTGATTCCCGCGTGGCAGATTTGACGCTTGTTAATGGGTTGTTTACACTTACCCTTAATGGACCACTTGGAATTGGGTATGTCTTAGATGTTGTTATGGAGTCAGGGCATTTGAGCATGGTCTGTGGAAGTTGAAATTTAAATTATGGATTGAATTTTCGTGTCCACAAATGTGTACTTTTTATATAGCTTGACCAGGAGCGAAACCTTATCATTTTTCCTGCATTTTAATTAAAATTTGACCGTCTAGAACTTGTTTTTATTTGCCTTATTATAAAGTGGTGAATGACCATTTGCTCCTTTCTAGTGGGAGGTTGCAAAGTAAAATTTGTTTAGGTTGCTTTGTTGCCGTGATGATACCATCACAGTTATGGTTTGGTGTGACATAGCTGATTTTCAATCATCCATCACACATGTCCACCATTGGTCGTTTCCTTCATAAAAAAATACCGGATCCATGCATTATCGCCACCCCTATATACAATTCTGCCCTGATGAGATTTATGGAGAAGGAAATTGCTCAATTTTTTGGCTGCAGATTTGTGAGCCTTTGTAAATTCGGCCCACTCTCTAGCATGGGCTCCCCTTATGGCAAGGCTGGCTAATTCAGATTAGGTTCCAATTCTGGAACCTCAAAAACCGAGTGGACTGATATCTTTTGCATGTGGCTGCAAGGTAAAACCGTGTGAAAATAAAGGAGTGGAATTGGAGGTAAGGTACAGAAAGTAGATGGGCACTTGGATGCCATACACCATGGAAGAGAACTATATTATGTTTCAAACCGAAGCTAGCAGCTGAGAGAAGAAACGCTAATAAATATTAGAAAAACTCAGTAGAAAATTCCACAAAAGAGAAAAATGATATTTATGCCAATGCTAACTAAATGGAAAAGCAACTTGAGGGTATCCAAATCTTGTATACCCCTTTAAGTCCTGACCAGTGACCAGAGCACTCTCAGATAAGGTTATTCATTAGCGACTATTGCGAGTGCTATACAGATTTAACCCATTATGTTGGATACTATATCTTCTTTGGTCTGAACTGGTTTGATTTATTGAAATAGAGAACAAGGAATGAACTGGTTTGATTTCTTTGGTCAGAAAGTAGGTTTGAACTGGTTTGATTTAGGCGACACAATCTTCTCGGTGAAAAAGAACAAGGATTGAGATAGAGAGAATAGAGGAAGAAGAACAATATGACCTGGCTGCTGCAGCTGTAAGAACAGAAGTGTACAAACCTGGCCTGGCTATCACTTCTGAATCCATTGCCCACTATTTCTACTGGCAGCATGACACATGTTGCACGTAAATCAGGCAAATGGAACAGTGGTCCAATTAATTTGCATGCAACCTGAATGGGGTCTGTGCAGCATGACCAAGGCCTTGTTGTTGAACAATTCTCATGTATATATATCAGGGTTCATATGCCGCAGACCAAAACAGACCTAGGAAGCCAAGTATGCTTCTTTATCATTTTTGGATATCATGTATAGTTTGCTCTCTCTTATTAAATTTCAATTGAATTTCTGCATGCCTTGGCGACGCGCCATTAAATGCTTTCATTTCAGGTTCCTAGACTTTGCTCATGTACCTGATATTGTCCTAAATCTTGTCCTAGTTTTTTCCTTTGTGGAAGGCCTTTTGTGAATTAAGCTGATGAGGTGAACTGATATTCTGTTTGTGACTTATATTGTCCATGTCTCTGCCAAAGGTCCTTGTAATTGTTGGCGAAACCGGTTCTGGGAAAACTACTCAAATACCTCAATATCTTCACGAAGCTGGGTATACACAACGTGCGAAGGTATGAATTGATTTGTCACTCGTGCCCCTTATTGTTTTATGTTTCTAGTAAACATGTCATGCTAAATCGTGTCTGATCAATGGAATGTTAGATTGTTCTTTTGCCCATATTTATTACTCTAGATTATGAGTCATAAGAAATCTACTCTCTCAATAACCTATGACAAGGAAATGTTTAATATTCGCTTCCTTTTTTTTTTTTTTTTGGTGGGTACATGGAATATCCCCCAATATTGTTACCAAGTAAAAGACGCAGATCCAGAAAACAGCTTAAGTAATAAAAAAATTAAAATTTATTCTTTTAAAAGTAGCCCTTCAAGGTTGGGTCTTTCCATGTCATTTGTTCTTTCTGTTTAGTGGCTAAACGATGAAGAAAATGCCATTCAGCTTACTTTGCCTTTCTGATTTTGTAAGACGATCACTCAGAGAAGTACATACGTGATTGACTAAATTTTGGACGTCTAAATCGGGGACATGTTATTCTGATGATTAGATCTCTTTTGTGTTGTGAGGAGGACGATTGAGATTTTTTTTTTCTATTTACGGATAGCTTTTAGAAGTGCTTTAGATTCAAGGTTGGAATAGAAAATATACTTGATTTTATGCAAAGCCTGCTGCCATCTTTATTGAGTGCATCTGAATTAGGATAGATATGCAGCAAGTCGTCATTATTCCTTTATTATGTTTCTAGTTCTTAAAGTTGTCATCCTGACATGTTACGGATATTTTTATAAAGCATTCTTGACGTCCATAATTAACTCATTGGACTGACATGAGGGCGTTGCGTTTGTGGACCATTTGGAAAATGATTGGTGGAGTCAACGAATTTTCCCTACACATACGAGAGATCATGCAAAAGTGTAGCTTATACAGAAGTGGACTTCACCACTTGTGTTGTTGTATGTGGAAGTTCTATTTCGGAGGCTTTATAATAACCCAGTTTTAGGTGACGGATAACGATGTCCCTGTGGGTTAGGAAATACTTTGTTCCTTTTCCCATTTGTAATTCCGCGGTGTCATTTTTGTGAAATGGTGTTAGATCTGTTTTTTATTATTGTTAATAATCAGTGTTTACCAATTTTTTCAAAAGTGTGTAAATCTGTAAGTGGCCTAGGAACTTATGACAATAAGACTAGAGAAAATGGAATATCAAGATGCTCATGGGATGTAATTGACACAACTCCTGGGATGGGGCAATGTTGTGGTTCCTCTTTATATGATAGGGGATAAGAATTGACGCATAGATTTTTAGCGTTTCTTGTTTGTTTGTAGATTGGATGCACCCAACCGCGCCGTGTTGCAGCAATGAGCGTTGCTGCTCGTGTCTCTCAGGAGATGGGAGTTAAACTTGGTCACGAGGTGATTAGTTTTCTTTTCCAGACAAGATATCGATTTCGACCTTTCAATTTAGACGGTACAGTTCATTCTGACTCTTGCTATCGCAATCATATTTTATTAGGTTGGGTATTCTATTCGATTTGAAGATTGCACTTCAGACAAGACCATCATAAAATACATGACAGACGGAATGCTGCTGCGGGAATTTCTTAGTGAGCCTGATCTTGCAAACTACAGGTAATTTCACAGGTTGCATCGTCCAAATTTCTGTGTTTGTATATATCCTCACAGTCGTGCGGCCTAATTCGTGCTCCATTTTGGATACATCAGTGTTGTGATGGTGGATGAAGCCCATGAGAGAACTCTTTCCACGGATATTTTATTTGGCTTGGTTAAGGTTTGATTTTCTTCCTCTGATGGTTATCCGGTTTATGATTTTATTCAAAATATTGGGCTAGCAAAAACGTGTTTCTCGTGCAGGACATTGCTCGATTTCGTAAAGATCTCAAATTGCTCATTTCAAGTGCCACCCTTGATGCTGAAAAGTTCAGTGATTACTTTGATGGGGCTCCTATATTTAAGATACCAGGAAGAAGATTTCCTGTGGACATCCACTTCACGACAGCACCGGAAGCAGATTACTTAGATGCAGCTATTGTTACTGTTCTTCAGATTCATGTGACTCAGTCCCCAGGTGACATTCTAGTTTTCTTCACCGGGCAGGAGGAAATCGAAGCTGCAGATGAGATACTGAAGCATCGGACGAGAGGTTTGGGTACAAAAATAGCAGAACTAATCATTTGCCCTATATATGCAAACCTTCCGACTGAGCTTCAAGCAAAGATTTTTGAGCCAACGCCAGAAGGGGCTCGCAAGGTCGTTTTGGCGACAAATATAGCGGAAACGTCATTGACGATAGATGGAATAAAGTATGTGATTGACCCTGGGTTTTGTAAAATCAAGTCGTACAATCCTCGCACAGGCATGGAGTCCTTACTTATTAATCCCATATCGAAAGCTTCTGCAATGCAGAGAGCTGGCAGGGCTGGACGAACTGGTCCTGGAAAATGTTTCCGCCTCTACACAGCATACAACTATCAGCATGATTTGGAGGATAATACGGTCCCGGAAATACAGAGGACTAACCTGGCAAACGTCGTTCTTACTCTCAAGAGTCTCGGTATCAATGATTTGGTGAACTTCGATTTTATGGACCCGCCACCTTCTGAAGCATTGCTGAAGGCACTTGAACTGCTTTTCGCTCTTAGTGCGTTGAATAGCCGTGGTGAGTTGACTAAGGTGGGTCGGAGGATGGCTGAGTTTCCTCTTGATCCAATGCTATCGAAGATGATTGTTGCGTCTGATAAGTATAAATGCTCTGAAGAGATAATTTCGATAGCCGCAATGCTGTCGATCGGGAATTCGATATTTTACAGGCCCAAGGACAAGCAAGTCCATGCAGACAATGCGAGGATGAATTTCCACACTGGGAATGTGGGAGACCATCTTGCGTTGCTGAAGGTTCGTTTATCCAATAGTTTACTTGGATCGAATTTCTCTACGTACAGCCCAAGTCCTATCTTGCTCTGCTGATTTGCGTTTACCGCTCAAAATTAAGGTGGTGAGCATGCTTTTTTTTTTTTTTTTTTTTCCCTTTTTTTTTCCCAGGTCTACGAGTCTTGGAGAGAGACCGACTTCTCAACCCAGTGGTGCTATGAAAACTACATTCAGGTGTGATATTTTTTCTGGGGAAATGACACGAAGTTATCTACTCCTTTGTACATACGAGATAGGCCTTTTTCTTCACAATCTCTTATCGTCCGATCTTCAGGTTCGTAGTATGAAACGTGCCCGGGATATTAGGGATCAGCTCGAGGGCCTCTTGGAGAGGGTGGAGATCGAACGAACATCTAATCCCAACGAGGCAGATGCAATAAAGAAGGCCATAACGTCTGGTAGGGGATACCCCAACGCGTCCAGCCACTGTCTTTCTCATGAGCCCGCCTACCCCCCTTACAGACTTCTCTGCCCCCCTCAGGGTTTTTCTATCACACGGCCAAGTTGCAGAAGACCGGGGCCTACCGGACTGTTAAAAACCCACAAACTGTTCACATTCATCCGAGCTCCGGTCTCGCACAGGTGATCATCTGTCAACCTCATGGGGCATCTTTCTACGCTGTCAGAGTCCTTTTTAATTATTATTATTTTTTCTGATATCCAGGTTCTACCCAGATGGGTCGTCTACCACGAGATGGTTCTTACGACGAAAGAGTACATGCGGCAGGCAAGTCTATGGAGGATCGTATAATCCTCCTGTTTTCTGTGAGGATTCAGACGGGCCTGATGCTTGGCTAAATTGCTGCAGGTGACGGAGATCAAGCCCGACTGGCTGGTAGAAATCGCTCCACACTACTATCAGATGAAGGACGTTGAAGACGGTGAGTGTTCCTCCAGATTTATGATAATATTAGTAACTCAATTCCTGTAAGTTGTTCCGAGAAATGACGGGGAGCTTCTTCTGGTGGGCAGATGGGTCGAAGAAAATGCCTCGCGGGCAAGGACGAGCTTCAGCCGGGCCAGGTTCAATAGAGGAGGCGGCGGCGGCGGCGGCTCACCGTTGACTAACTTTAAAGGGAAGCTGTACATAAAAGATGCATTATTTTCCGAGAAATGAGCGTCTGTCTGGGGAAGCCCCCCCCTCTGGCCGTTGTGAGTGGTGGGTTTTTGCTGCATCTTGCTCTCGTGATCTTGCGTATCATGATAGTTCAGTGAAGACTATCGATTATTTTTTTAGTCATTGACTGTGCTATTAGTCTTTTTGAATAAGTTATTGCCATTTATGCGGCATCTGAACCACGGAAGATCCTCGTTGACCCACCAATAAAAAAATCACCTGTACGTGTCTGCCACGTTATCGGACGTCGGTTGCTGCTAGTGGCTCCTTTCTTTAAGTCCAGTTTCATTCTTTGCTTCCGTATGTATGAACCTAGACAAAACCATGGTTGGGAGTTGATATTCCCAAAAAATAATATGCCATCGAGATTATATTTTCCCGCAAATCCGCGGGGCTAAGTCAACTGTTGATCTCTATGTCAACGCCACTTTTTTTATTGAATTCAGAAAGGTTGTAAAGATTTGATAGCATTCTGGAGTCTGTACCCATTTATTCAAATAAAACCACAGAAAATATTAAAGTCTGTTCTTCATCAGCGCCGCCGTGGGGTGGATGGAGAGATCAAAGAGAAACGACGACGGCGGCGGACAGTACCCATCCCATCAGGTAGCGACCGACGGAGCCCGAGGCGGCGCCGCCGCTCCTCTGTGGGGCCGGAGCTGCTGCGCCTCCCGGCTTGGCTACCGCCGGCGGGGCGGAGGAAGGAGAGCCGATGGGCGCCGCCGGAGCGGCGGACGGAGAACCGGAGGGGGCGGGGGAGGAGAGCTTCAGGATGTTGATGTCCACCTTCTGGCCCGCATCGCAGTGCCCGGGGATGCCGCAGAGAAAGTACTGGTGGCCAGAGCTCTTGAGGACGATGGAGTCGTTGCCAGTGGTGTAGGTGGCGATGGGTGCGGCGGCGCTGCACTTGCCGAAGCCCACCTTGTTCACCTCCAGCACGTTGTGGAAGTTCGAATTGTACGTGAATACTGTAGCAAAGAATCCATTCAAAGACCCATTTTTGAGTGAGAGAGAGAGAGAGAGAGAGAGAGAGAGAGAGAGAGAGAGAGAGAGAGAGAGAGAGAGAGAGAGAGATAAGATTTTTGGCCCCTCGTCATGCGTACGAAGGGGACGCGGTGGGCAGCGCAAGTAGTGCATGTCAGCGGTTGGGGGAGTCAACCCACCGTCGAATTAAATCCCACCGCACCGACATTTATGATCAGAGGACCCAGAATTATGAATACGGAAATATCACCAATAGAAAATCAGGAATCCGTTTTGTATCAGGTTTATGCGATTCATCCGCGATCAGATCAAAGAAAGCGTCGAACTTTTCTCAGATACAAGAGTGTTTTCCTTCCTAACATCGATTAGAGGAAAATTGGAGTTCGATCGAAATGGGGTGAGGAGGCGGCGGCGGAAGGTGTACCAATGGTGTCGCCGACGCGGAAGGTCCTGGAGGCTGCCCAGGCGGCGTAGTCGACGTTACCCATGATGGTCCAGCCGGCGGCGTCCCCGACCTTGTGCACCGTCGCCGCCGACGGCGCCGCCAGCCCCAAAAAGGCTACAGCCAAGAAGAGGAAGAAGAAGAAAGACATGGGCGGGGAGATCGACCCAGTTATGCACTTCCTCTTCCCCGGCACCGCACCGCCGCTGGCGGTAACAGAGTTCGCCATTGCGGAAGCGAGAAACGAAGCTCGAAGGGGGAGAAATGAGGAGAAGCGAGATAAAAGGAGAGAAAAAAGCTGTCCCTTGCCCCTTCTACTCCCACCTTTTCCAGACCAAGACCCGATCGACTTCTTATAGCCGTCCTTCGTAACCGGTCCCCACTGCTTATTCACTCACGTTTCCTTCCTCCCCTCTTTCTCTCTCTCCTGCTACGCGTCGCCCTCCTGTGTCAGCGTGCTTCTCTCCCCCCCCCTCTATAGAAAATATTTATATATATATATCTGGGGGCAAGGACTCAGGCCGCTACGGACCAGTACGCGAAGCTTCTCTGAGAAAGGGAGAATCTGGCCTTCCATCTCGACTGTCATTTTCCATCTCCTCTGCCGCCTGCTAAAGACTGGGATTCCGGCGAGCAGAGGTAGTTGTTGACGTGTCAGAGAAACACAAATCCAGACCAACTCCACAGCATTCCGACCAACGCGTAGGTAGAGAGAGAGAGAGAGTAGCATGCAAGTGTCGGGAGAGAGAATGGGCACAGAAGCAAAGGCGATAGGCGTTATCCGAATTCCAGTCTGATTATTTCAGAGGGCCTGTCGCAGAAGACATCCTCTGCTAAACATAGATGGTTATATCATCAACGACGCCTAATCTTCCACCGAGCTCACCCCCACTCCGAGCTGCACCGGCCGGTGGGAGCTCGAACCCGAGAGCAGAACCCAGAAGGGCTTCTCGCAGGTCGGGTTCGATGGGATCTGCGATCATTTCCCTTCCTTCTCCATGTCGTCTTTCTCCACGTCGTCCTCCAGGTACCGCTTCCAGAACCAGTGCTGGCGCCAGACCCGATCGGCCATCTCCTCGATGGGCACGTTCTTGGTCTCCGGGAGGAAGAAGAGGACGAAGGTGGACATGACGACGACCCAGCCGGAGAAGAATACGAAGATGCCGAACTTGAAGTGGCACAGCATGGAGAGGAAGGCCTGCGCGATGACGAAGGTGAAGAGCAGGTTCACGCAGACCGTCACGCTCTGCCCCGCCGACCGGGTCTCGAGCGGGAAGGTCTCGCTGGGGATGAGCCACCCCAGCGGGCCCCAAGACCAGGCGAAGGACGATACGAAGGTGCAGACCATCACCACCACCAGCACCGCCCACCCCTTGCCGAGGTCATTCCTCACGTCTGTCACCTTCACCCCCAGCACCACCGCGATCACCACCTGGGAGAGGAACATCTGCACGCCGGCCTCGAGGAGCAGCGCCCGCCGGCCGACCTTGTCGACGGAGTAGATGGAGACGACCGTGGAGAGGACGTTCACGGCGCCGGTGATGACGGCGGAGTACAGGGAGGCGTCGCTCTTGAATCCCAGCGTGTTGAATAGCACGGGGGCGTAGAACATGATGGCGTTGATGCCCGTCAACTGCTGGAAGATCTGCAGGAGTGTGGCGATGACGAGCGGTGGCCGGTTGCGGCGGCGCAGCAGGTTCCGGAACGGGTGCTTCACCTGCTGGGCGGCGCGACTGGCCTCAAGGATCTCCTCGAATTCGGGTTCCACATTCGTGATGCCGCGAATACGGCGGAGCACTGCTTTCCCTTCCTCCAGCCGGCCCCTCTCGATGAGACTGTTGGGGGTCTCCGTGACGAGCAGAGAGCCCACCGTGAGGAGCAGCGCCGGCACCCCCGCAAGGCCCAGCGACAGCCGCCAACCCCACCCGCCGCGGATCCTGCGCTCTCGCCCATTTTCCTCCATCACCACCTCAAACCAGAGATGAGCAAACAGTCGTCCGAACTGAGGTTTGTGGACTTACTTGGCGGTGCCATAGTTGACAAGGCTGGCGAAGAGGATGCCGATGGTGACGTTGAGCTGGAACAGGATGTTGAGCCCTCCACGGATCCTAGTGGGCGCGACCTCCGACAGAAATAGCGGCACCGCCTGTGATAGAAGCTCTCAGCGCCCACACCCGTGCGAGTAAAGCCGATTTTCAAGGAGAAAAAATAGCCAGGAATCACGTTCTCTTCTTTCATCTCCAGTGGGTGCTGACAGAAGCTCAGTATACGAGCTGAATTGTGTCGTAAAATCTGTGGCCATACCATGTTCATTTGACTTGAAATCATAGGAATAATTGTGCGATAATGAACTGCCCCATCCTCCAACCCTATCTCTGATCTCAAGACCGAGCTTAGGAAAAGGATGAACCAATCGTGTTTCGTAATCTGGCTTGGATTCTCGGGGCTAGTTTTCTAGTTGTTCTGTAGTCGTCATGGGCATTTGGCTGTGTCTCCGGATGCGGCACCCCTCACCCGGAGCATCATTTCGAGGTTTCAGGTTAGACGGGACACATGGGATGCGTCCGAGCATGGACGATCATCCTGCGGACAGTATTTCAGCCCGTTGTAAATATGACGGCAGCACATACGTCCCAGCTTACCTGAAGTCAACCTAGAGGTAGAAAGCGAGACGCAGATAGGGCGATAGCGAGATGAGATTGACTGAGATATGTATACAAAAATTTCAGAGAGAGGGCGAGAGAACGAGAGAGCGAGAGCGAGAGCGAGAGAGAGAGAGAGAGAGAGAGAGAGGAAATCGAAAGCGCAGCAAGGGGTCCACCGCAGTGGCGGACAAGACATGGTGGGTAGTGAGGACGCGAAGGGAATGGAGGAGAAGCGTTGGGTGGTGAGTTTAACGAATATATTAGCCTATTTCCTCAGGCGATATGTAGATTGGAACCAACGATTTCCACACAGAGGCAGTGGTCTCTCTCATCCCTCCTGGAGCTCTGGACCATTTCGGTCGATATCCTATTCAATGTGGATGCTCTCATGGGCGACTTTGCATGGCCCAGTCTCGTCGTCTTCTGCCTCTATCTTCTCTGGACGAGCTGGGATCGCATATGAGAGAGGCCCCTTTTCGGATAATGACAGACTTTTCTTGGGTTTATGACGCCATTTCTCCCTCTAACTTTGGTCGAAAACGATGCTTGATGGGTGTGCTTGCGGATGATGGCGTAGTAAATGTGCAATCAGATATAATAATGGCGATTATATTGGCTAACCTGATTGGCGAAGCCGACGCCGCACCCAAGGAGGATGCGGCCGGCGATGAGCATGGCGAGGTCCTGAGCGGCGGCGTTGAGAACGACGCCGACGATGAAGAAGAACCCCGCGATGAGCATGGTGGGCCGGCGGCCCAGCTGCCTTGTGGTGTAGGACGCGAAGAAGGTTGCGGTGAGCCCGGCGAGGTAGAGCGAGGAGGTGAAGAGCTGCAGGCCCTGGTTGTCGTACTTGCAGTAATTGCTACTGTCGAGGCCGGCCCCTATCTTCCGGCGGTAGACCACCGGGAAGAACTTCTTCAGGAAGTCGTCCATGGACGTCACCCCACCTGCTCGCCATGGCGAGCGTCAGATTTGATTAAACATCGAAATTCGTCACTGGAAGGGGAGAGGAGGGGGTTCCTTCACCTGATACTCCAACGTCGTAACCGAACATGAGGCCGCCGGTGGCGGCCATGAGGCAGGAGACAATGACGATGGGCGTGATCTTCGCCTCGAACTGCGTTGCCTCCTGCCCGGACACAGAGAAGCCGGCGGCTGGCATGGCTGCAAACTCCCAGTGGATCCCTTTCTCGAGAAAGAAAAGAATCCGTCCCTTCTGTAGCTTCGTTCGGCGGCGGCCGACAGGAAGAAGAGCAAGTGAAGCAGGAGGCAAAATGAAGAAGCCGATCGCGGGCTACCGCTACGTGCAATTATTTATCAGAAACGGAGGACGAGTGAGACTGGATGGGGCCGGGGAGCAGCATTTCCAACCACGTAGGGAGGAGATGAAGGCCACGAGAGGCTATCTGCACCGCCAATCTTTGGACGGCTGGCCAGTCAACCGACGACTCCGGCGGGAATCTGATGGAGATGGGCTTGGATATGGTTCTCTATGCTGCAGGATTCTAGATAGTGAGAGAGAGAGAGAGAGAGAGAGAGAGAGAGAGAGAGAGAGAGAGAAGCCATAGGGAAGAGGACGGTGGGGGAGGATCACAGCGGGGCAGCCGTCCTCTTCCTCCCCGTCGGGCACAAGGCGCAGATCGATTCGACCAGGACTTCCCCGGGCCGCCGCCTTTGACCGCGACCGAAACATGGCCGACAGTAAAGGCGAAGGTACAACGTGCGAAAAGGATACGGTATTACACATATAACCCAAAACATATGATATTGTATCTATACCCCCAAACATATCATAGTCACCTCGGGACGCTACCACGGAGGACAGCGAGACGCAAATCTGAAACTTTTGAGGGCAATCGTGAAAAACAGAGGAAAAAATATCCCTCTACCCGAGTGTGGACTGGGAAGGAGAGAGAAGCGGGGGACGCTGCCGGGAAGACGGGTGTGTCGGGAAGACGCTGTCAGGCCCGTGTGAACACCCTGCCTTCCCCAGTTTGGCTTATCTCGTGCGAGCTGGACGGCTTGGCTCCACTCAGAGCACGGGGTCATGACGTTTGAAGCCCAGTTCCTTATTAGAGAGAGAAAGAGAGATTAGATAGATACGTAGATAGATGCATAGATTGATAGATAGGTAGATTCATGGAGATATAAACAGATAGATGTATAGACAGATTTACATAGACAACTTTGGTCACGAAACTTGTACTATACCCTGTATAAAGAATCCCGTATGCAGGTGAGAAGCTCTACTAGCGAGAGAGAGAGAGAGAGAGAGAGAGGGAAGTAGAGTTCATAGCTAGAGAGAGAGATAGAGAGATCGAGATAGAACTTCACTGAACCTTATTGTACCCTGTATAAAGAAACCCGTATGCGGGTGAGAGAGTCCACTAGGGAGAGAGAGGGAGAGAGAGAGAGAGAGAGAGAGATAGAACCTCACTAAACCTTACTGTACCCTGTATAAAGAAACCCGAATGCAGGTGAGAGAGTCTACTAGGGAGAGAGAGGGAGAGAGAGAGAGAGAGAGAGAGAGAGAGAGAGAGAGAGAGACAGTGGAGGGGCTAAAATTTATTGACCGAGTCTGGAACTGTTCCAGTCATTTTTCTTGTTGACATCAGCCAAGGACATTGTTTAAAGCTTCGAGCGTCTAGAGCTCATCAACTCTCTTGAGCTCTACGAAGGGAGGGAAGGAAGAAGAGCTGCTCCCAATCTGAGTGAGTTGAGTCGCTACCCTTCGTTCTCTTCAGCTGCTCGGAAAAATGCCGCCCTCCCTCAGGTACCCCACAAATCCGTCGATCAAGGAGGGCCAGGCCCCGTCTGCGTCGTAGTGCGGCGCCACCGGGTCCGCCATCTGCGGGACAAGGAGAGGGAGAGAGGTGGGAGGACCGCCTAAATAATATAAGATCTTCGAATTATAAATAAGCCCCTCGGGGGGAACCTCGTACCTTTACGAATTCCAGCACCATAGTCCACGTGTCTCTCGAGATTGCCTTCTCCTGGCGGGCCTGAAAGCACCAGACCAGTTGAGAGCAAAGCACGGTGGCGAGTTGAGAGGAAGCAATCGGAGCCCATTCTGGTTAAGTCGATTATGTAGACCTTCGTGTTCTTATTTCGGAAGCGAATGAAAGGGCTTTTACCTGTAGGAACAGACACCAGTGGTCAACTAATGGCCAACACTTTTCCGTAAGCAGTAGCTGCCACATGCCGATGGCTGTGTCTAATGTCATGGACCTTTGACCCTGAACACGAAGACAGAGTGCTGGTCAGGATGTGAATATGGGGAACAAGAAAGTATACCTTAATCATCTGTGTTTGTCTCATGTCAATCACGAAGCAGTAGACAGGGATTAATGGCTGTTTGGAAGAAATCTCGGCTTGTCCCGAGCCTTGGTTCCCTCAGTTCCACTCCATGACGTTTGAGTTTTGATGAATTAGTTCTTGATATGATACGACAATCATCGAAATATGTCTTTTTTTTCAGAGGAACTGTTGAAAGCCCATGGCGGTATAGTCTTTTCCCTTTTCTCCGGCGATTATGATTATTCAAATGAGTTCATATCTTTTTTTTATTACATTAATATTATTTTCCAACGAAAATATTCCTGAGAATCCAGACTAAAAGTTAAACAAGTTGCTCTCCTGTTGAATTATTCAAGCAGGCGTTCTAATAAGATTCGGTTTGTCAAGACACACTGAAGAACATACATGACTTGAAATTCAACGAAGAGTGGCGTGAGACTGAATGCAAATATGATGCATAACACGTGAAAACCATACCAAAAATACTAGTCTCAGACAATACTCATGGGTGTATAACTGGCCATTGGATTTTACCCCATTTTTCTCTGGTTTCAGGTCAATTTTGTGTTGTTCCTGACATCCATCGAAGCAATTTTTCACTGAACACTTTCTCGAACGCGATGATGGATGGTGGTCTATACCTACACAAATAACTGGGAGCTTTTTCGTTTTAGACCTTGGATGACTGGGAAATTATTGCGTACTTATTTTCATCGGATGACTATGCACCGGGTAGGGAGTAAAAGATAGGAAGATCTAACAGTCGACAAAGGTGGTGTCTATGTAGTAGTTTGGGTTGCCATCTCCCTTAGCTGTGTAAACAAGACATCGTGGATGAGAAACGCCGATGAAAGGAACTCTCTTTCAGGCATCGAAATAATTTCAAAGAAATGGTAAAAATAGCAGACAGAAAGTAAAATGATAACATGGACGCAACATTCGAATTTTATTCAAACATAATATCAAATTTCAACCATGCGAACAACGAGAGTTATTTATTCCATTGAATGAAAACAGAGAGAGAGAGAGAGAGAGAGAGAGAGAGAGAGAGAGAGAGAGAGAGAGAGAGCGAGAGAATAATTTCATACCTCCTCTTTCGCCCAGTCAAAGGCAAAATTGTATATTACAGAGAATATTTCTGGATAATGAAAAGGACAAAGATGGTCAGTTTCTCATGACAAATCCAATACAAGTCTTCAATTCTAAATCATGTATTTAAAAAATGTTTTCAGCTTCAATCTTATGCAAATAAGATTGCTTGTTGCCCACTTATGGAGTATTTAACGTACGCTCATCTTTAAGTTCAGCCCGCAACGATGGTATTTTCTCTCTCAACGTTTCGAGCGAATCAACCCTGCACACAAAACATTTATCTTTCATGAAAATAAACCATTTGAGATTTTCGGTGGCAATTCAGCGAATTTACTGCCATGTTCGGAAAAGAGTACTGTCAGCATCTTTAATCGCACCCTAGCGCCTCCAGTCCATCAATGAACTCCTGCCGGGAGAATTCACACATGGTGGCAGCTCTCATATGCGAGGACAGAACAAGCTGTAGGAAAGGAAAAGCTCTCATTAACGTGCAGACTTACAACATTATTTTACAGAATCCAGAGAACATGCTCAGATGAAGTGAGATCATGCCAAAAGAGGATCTCAAAGGAGCGAATAACATAAATCTCCATCCCATTTAGTTATCACACAGGCAACATAATAGAGCCCGGCTCGAACCAGAACATAACAAGCTTCATTTCAGCTGGGATCGAGAACTTGGGTTCCCTTCGACCGAACTGAGGAACCTCACCGATGCGGACCTTCCCCCATTTCACATTTTGGCATCCAAGAAAAGTATATCCATTGAAGTCCTGATAGGGAAAACATAAATATCCTATTAGGGGCAAATTGAAATCTGCCCGCATTGCTTCATTAGTTTTCATCCACTCTCCAGGGAAGACCTCGTATGTGATTGCAGTGAGCAAAGGCATGAGATTCAAACATCAAAAATCGATGTGAAGTACCACGAAGCTCCAAATATTTTGAATAAGGTTCACGAGATTTGGGTGAACTATGTTAGAAAGCTGAATGGCGCAATAGATTCTACGGACATTGGTAAGGAAGACGCGATGATCTGGTTGATATAACATGGATCCAATCTCATTTATTTGAAAAAAAAAGAGATAATAATCAACATTTCCATTAAACACAATCTTTTACGGTCATCTGATTTGAAATTCACCGGGTTTTAGTATAGACGTACCATGACAATATCTTGTGGATCTACCTGACAAAAAAAAAGCATGTTATCAATACCTAAAATCATTGGCGAAAAATGCACCAGATTAACAGAAAAAAATGATATTCTTCAGAATAGCAGGCCAAGATGTGGCAGTCAGACCTACCAATAATAGAATAATTCTTTTACAATGATTTTAGAAATTAAAAACCTAGCATGTTCCTCCATGTTTCAAATATTTCAAAGAAACAAATATCTACAGAAAAAAATCAAAGTTAATTTTTTTATTCCGTAATGTTCTTGGAAACATGCAAAAATAACATGAGCCAGGTTCTGAGAAATTTCCTTGGATATTAGTTGCATGCAAGAATTTGACTTTCATGTTTATTTACAGAAAAACCTGAGCCTCCTAAAATAATATAAGAATCGTGACTTTTCAGAGGAGGTTACCAGCTTTTCTACACAAATTTTTAATACAGATTCATAACCTATAAACATTAATAGATTTTAATCACAGTGAATCTATTTATCTCAACGAGTCCAGAATTCCTGAAAGGAAAAAGAATCATGACTATGAAAAATAATTTATGGAACAAGAACATGAGTTAAAACATGATGCTTTCCTTTTGGAACAAGAAGCTACCTGGAGCTCACGACACAGACATTCGATACCATTAGCCAGGATCATATCGACATGAGGTTCTGCAAAAGTTCTCTACGTTAGAAATAAAGTTAAGCATACAGATGTAAAAATTTACACATGTTTATACGTATAGGCTGTGTGTGGTGTTAGTATGAAGAGCCATGAAAACAAATAATAAATAATTAAAGGGGAAATTTTTAAGGTGGTTTTATACCCTGTGCATACAGAAATAAAGTGTCAATCAGAAATTGAATGTGCACTCTCCTGTCAGTTGTGGTTTCGGAGGAATAAACTTTTCTATCACACATTAGTCTACAAATGCTTTCAAGAATCTTAGACAATCCAGTCTCGTGATTGAGACTTTAATTCAGTAGCAAGAAACAAAAAAAAGAATCTAAAACATGCTAAAATAATCTCACTGTAAGACTAATTAAAATTATCAGAGAACGATATTACAAACAGTTTTCGCTAGAGTTCTATCTTCCTAAAATGAATCATAAATGATGTTAGAATTTAAACGTTATATTTAAGCTCTTTCTCATGATAACATCACATTTTGAATTACTCGCAATAAACGTAATAAAACGAAATGATTTTTGGTATTTGCGCTGACAAGATGTCAAGATAATACTATGAATTACGGCCATTCATTAATTATATCATAAGTTCGGGATATACAGTTTTACTTGTGCATGCATAGATCACTGCGCGTTACTGCTTTTCTTTAAAGCATATGGATGTTAAGGTTTGGAACATCCACATCATTCCTTAAAGCTTAAGAGACACAGGTTGTTGTTCACTTCCCTACCCGAAGAAAACTATGAGAATAAAAGTGAAATAACGATCGAAATAGATATGATGACAGTACTGTAGATTAACTGAAATATTCCTAAAGCATTTACACTTGCCTTTGAATCGCTGGAAGAGCTGCTCGAGTTTTCTTCGGCGAGCCAATGCCCTGATTTGATCACGGATACAGAAATGATCTAAGGCAGCATTTAGATGCAACTCATGTTCTATTAATGCTCGAAAACCAACATCATCACTGAGCATGGGATACAACGTCCTATCAGTACCACTGGAGAGTGCGCTATAAGTGCGCACGATTATAAGGCCAAAAATGCGTACAAATATAAAACAATCCACTAACGCACTAAGGAGAATAAATAAGACGAATCAAGAAACCTTAATCTAACCAAATAAATTCCTAGTTCATTGAATGGGGAAACTTCTGAATGCATTTTCGCCATTGAAACTCGATTTCACCATGAGGTGATATCCCGATATACAACTTTAATATATTAAAGGAGACCTGAACTAGTCCAGTAACAAGCTAATGTAAACTTTAATAGATTAATGCCTTTAAAGACAGAAAGTATTTGATAAAGTACCCAAACTTTGCTGACATAAGGGATCGCAAACGTTGTCACAACAGGGACGAAGTAAGCCAATGGATAAACACTGCAATCTGAGTCATTAGTAAAGCCCATGGATCCAGAATTGAACCCTAAAAGAGAGGTCAGGGTCATATCATATCTTTTTTATGCAAAGAGATGTTTGATAACTTATCCAATTTTCTCAACTCTTCAATGTGGCTGTATGTAAACCTAGAAAGAAGGAGATGGTGAATAAAAACTGCCAACGTCTTAGCAGTGTGGAAAACTCGGGCATCATTTGTTGCTGGGTAAAACTTACCCTGAGAAATCAGTTGACTTTCTTTACATATCACCATTTCCATAAGATCTTTGAGAACACAATTAGGAGGCATTTTTTTAGAACGTGGGCGCCACAAATACGCATTGAACGAGGGAAAATATGTGAATCTAGAAGACTTGATCAGTGAACCTATGACAAAGATAAAACCCCCTGTGCAGCTATTCATTGGAGACTAAAATCCCAAGACTGTGGACTAAAGTACGATGTCAAAGCCCTCAAGATCAAAGAATAAAAACCTTCCACATTATATCATATCGACGTGCCCTATGAATCTCGTCGAGTTATTCTTTATATGGTGTTGGTCAGAGCTTGCCTATAAAGGCTCTAGATGTGACTAGCTTCGGAAATCTTCTTTGTTGTTATATATTTGACCAGTTCATCGATAGTAATATCATCAGAAGAGGAGTGAAATAGTGACTAAAGGAAGCCTATGCACTATCTTCTTCTACGGTTTGACATGGAAATCCGTTACTCCTGAGAGAAGTTTTGGAATTTACTGAATTTTTGTCAATTCTAAAAGCCATTGTCTTAAAGAAAAAGCCGCGCCATCCATTTCTGTCCTGATATAGGAACCATCTAGATATGCTAGTCAGCATCAGGCAGCCCAGCTTCTACGCGTGCAGCAAAATCAAGGACATTTTAGAGACAAGAAAAGACGTGATTTTCGCAAGATCACATTCTATTCATGAATCATTCACATTAAGAAAGTTAACCACTTCCTTGGTCTATTCATTAAGGTAGAATTGCACAGAGGCGTGGTGAGGGATATTACTTCGATCCAGTTAATCGCATGGATTTTGAGACTTCTCCACGCCGCTTCTTGGTCAATCTAGTCTGCATAAAGAATGGCAGCGGTGGTCACCCAAAAAAAGTCTACGAAAAAAGAAATAAACAAGCGACTTAATGACAAAGCCGCAGCACGAGGGCCAAGAAGAAAGAGAGAGGATGTATCTTTATCAAGATTTTCAAGAAACGGAACGATGAAGCTTACGGAGGAAAAATGAAACATCAAAAATCATTACAGGCAAAAGAAACAGCATGAACAGCTTGTGTGCATCAAGAATAGACGATAGTTGGAAGATATTTTGGTACATACGGTAACCATCCTTAGCTCCTGGGCTTGAACAGCCGAATTCTGTAAGAACAGCGCCCACGCTGGACACAGAGAGGGAGAGCCACCTCCCGCTCGCGGTCTCCGGTTTTTAAATCTTTTCTACATGGGACGTACAAAACTACTAATTTCTGAAAACTATTGTCTTTATACCCTTAAAAATATTGTCTTTCTCCCGATCGCGGCGTCAAGAATATTGTCTTTTATACTCATTGGGCGGCGCATGACCTTGGGCCCCAATTGGGCCATTTACACCGGGGATTGAGATGACGACGGTTGGTGAGCTGGCATGCCACGTGGCAGACCCAAAAAAGAAGGGGGGGGCTGCTTTTGCTCGGTCCCACCAGAAGGCCGTTACTCTAACAGGATTTTTTTAAATTTTTGAATCCCTAACAATCGCCGCGCCTCCATGACGTTACGAGGAAGAAACGCCGGCGTTGCTCAGTCGGCAGACTGAAAATATAAATCCTCCCCTAGCTCGCGCCCGCGCAGTCTCCTGACGGCGAGACTCTCTCTATCTCTCTCTCTCTCTAGCTGATAACTGTCTTCTTGTTTATTAGCTTTCTCTGGTGACTCGGAATTTGGCGTGTGGGTATTTTACTGTTTCTCCTCCGTTGGCGCGCCATCGATATTCAAAGCTACCTCTGATTTCCAGAATCAAGGGTGTTTGCTGAGGAATTGAAGACGGATTTTTGGTATAATCTTGAGAGAATATTAGATCTGGCTTATGATTTTTTGATATGTTGGGTACTAATTGTGCAACTCTTTGTTTTTCCGTTTGTGTCCAACAAAGGGCTCCGCTGCTGGAAGGATTTAGGGGGGTATTTTCTCGGTATCCTCACTGAAGGAAGTTCCTTTGATGCTCCGTCGAGTGGAGACTCAGTCGAGGATCGGGGATGAGGAGGTTTTTCTCTTTTCGGTCTTCTTCATCCAGTGAGGGGAAAGAGAATCCAGTGCCGTCGGTTACCAACGATGAGAACGTTTTCTGGGAGGCCAACAGGGAGAATTTTCCCAGAAATGCAATTGGGGCGGAGATCCGAAGCAAGTCTCCGACTTCCAAGGCTTCCGACAGTCCACATCTGAGGAGAAGCCTGTCGTTCTCTTCTTCGACCCCTTATAGCAGGGAGATCGAGGGGAGGTGTAACTCGTATAGGAATCTAAGTGGATCCCTATCTGACTACAGCAATATCCCGCATCAGTCGGTTGAAAGCCCAATTCGGTAAGCCGTTTCCTTTCGTCTGGATTTTCACTTGCTTTCTATCTTCCGCGAATTTCTGACTTCTGCCCTATTTTCTATTTTCTTGTCCCTTCTTGGGGTGGATGGTTTCCTCTTGTTAACACCTGTTCTATAATTCCCATATCTAAGCATTGGTGTTATCAAATATGATCTGCCTGATTTATTAATGTTTTCCTCTTCATACTTCATTCTCATTCTGGTACAAGCAACTCCATGGGTATCGATTTCAACGAACGTCCCCATTTTTGTTTCCATCCTCGATCAAATGAGATAAACGGATCACTTAATAGAGTATGTACCTACCTATCAATTGATTGACAGCCTGAGCAATGATAGCAGATCAACCCATGGAATGGTAGCCAGTTACCTGTCGAGTATTTACTGAAAGCATTTTATTTCGATATTGACCTGTTCGGAACAGGATCTATATACTACCATAGCATGGATTTTTCCCATCTTTCTGAGTAAATATTTATTTTTGGCTTCTTACTACGTTTACAAGAGATTGTTACACTTTTCTTGCGCTACACTTAAAAAATTTCCTCCCAATGCTACTTGCAGAGCCGTCAGTTCTCTTAGCCACCTAGAGCTGAAGCGGAATAGAGAATTTTTCCACGTTATCTAAAACGTAGCTTTGTATCTTTGCCTCATAATATAAATGCGATTAAATTCAGACATAAACTCCGGTTTTGGATCACTAAACAGAGATCTTCTCGTATTCTTTTCATTGGGTGTCTAGTTATATCTGGCTTGAGATTAAAAATTCCATAAGAGATAACACTGTTGAAATTTCGATATTTTCTCGTTCAGCGATTAATGAAATAACCCGTTTTCTCTGTTTAATATGAGCAAGTTTTTTGAGGTACTTGTCATTTTCTCCCAATGTAAGCATTTCTTACCTCATTATTTTCTCATCTTCCTCTCCTTCAGCAATCTTCCTCCTACTCCAGAAAAGTTTCGCATATCCCAAAGATATGGACAGGAAACATCCTGCAAGGTTCATGGACAGGAAACATCTTCCAGAAGTCAGCATTGCTCACCCGTTAACTCACCTCACAGCTCCCCAGTGCCATTAAGATGCAGATCCTCCAGGGTAACACAGAGGTTGGACATAAAGAGTATTCCTCATCTCTGTATTGAAGAGGGGCAAAACGGGAAAAAATCTAGAGATGGTTCACACCCTCCCTTTATTGGAAATTATGGTCATTTGGCTGAAAAAAGAATACATCCCAATTCTGGGCGGCCACCAAAAAGTCAATACACAACACCACTTGCGACATCTGTAGATGAAAATCTGTGCTCCCTTTCATTTAGAGAGGCAAAGGATGGCAACAATAGTTTATCCTCCCGGGACGAGATGGGAAGCGATTTTGGGCATGTGTCACCCAATAAACCTGCAAGGAAGTTCAGTGAGAGGGAATCTTCTACATTCCATGGAAAAGCGAAGGTGAATTTTCTGGATAATGAATCTCAGACCACAACCACTGTTGAAGATATATATGAGGATACCTCAAACAGCCTAGAACAAAAGTGTTCTTTGTCTGATCATATTTCTCTTGATAATATTTTGGATAGATATTCTGCAGATGAAGCTTTAAGTCACCGAGGACAAGGACATTCGTCATGGGATGATTCTACGGCCCCTAGACATGACTCTTTTCACTTTTTGGGAATGCGTGATGATCATTTTGATGCTGATCTACTCATGAAATTAAATGATGTGGAGGAACAGGTTAAAGCAGTAGCAGAACTAGCTGATCCTGACGAGATTTGGAGTGGCAGATTATCCACGTCTGGATTGGTGCATATGCTTAGAAGCATGGCTGAGGAAAGAAGGAACCTGGCTTCTGAGTTATCTCTTCAACTGCGATGTCGCATCTCTGAGAGGTCTTCCACAAGAGAAGCTCTGAATCAGGCAAAGAGAGATTTAGACACAAGAACAAGGAGGCTGGAAAGGGAGAAGGATGAGCTTCAGTCTAGTCTGGAGAAAGAGTTGGACAGAAGGTCAAGTGATTGGTCATTCAAGCTCGAGAAGTTCCAGGCAGAGGAGCAGAGGCTACGGGAACGGGTGAGAGAGCTGGCCGAGCAGAATGTCTCTATCCAAAGAGAAGTTTCCTGCCTTAGTGGAAAAAAAATGGAGGCACAGGATCATATAATGAATCTGGAGTCGAAATTGAATGGGGTGACAATTAGGCTAGAGGAAATGAGAAGTGAGAATGCCACGCTGCATGAAGCCTTATCTGACTTGCAAGAGCAATTTAACACAGCAAAAGCCGATGAGGAATGCATCAAAAGAAGCTATAAAGAGACAGACATGGAAGCCAAAGAATTGATGAAAACCATCGCAAAACTACAGATTGTTTGCAGTGAACAAGAGAAAACCATCACTGGTTTGAGGCAGGGCTACATCGAACCGACTGGTAAGCAGCCCGAGGATCTTGTGAGGACGCTGAAAGTGGAGCACGTTAGACTGGCGGGTGTTGAGCAGACATTGAGAAAAGAAATCGAATCACTCAGAATTGAAGTGGACTCGCTGAAGCATGAAAAGACTTTTTTGTTGGGACGTCTAAGATCCGCTGGAAGTAGCTGCTCCTCTTTCTATAGGATAGATCAAGAGCTGCATTCCCAGATGGAGTGCTTACAGAATGAAGCCTTCTCTCTGCTTGATGATGGTGATGACCTTTGTGATAAGTTGCTTAAGGTCGCAAGTAATAAGCGATATGATCATGGGACTGTTGCTCTCCATGGATCTGATGGATATTCAGTCGCAGAACATAACATGAAGCTTCAGAGTCTGAGAAGGGCAGTAAAGAAATTTAAAGGAAGACTGCAATCAATGTCTACAACCCTGGATCAGAGGTCAAGGTTGGGTGGCTTGGAGTCTCAGCCCCATAAGACAGAGACTGGCATATCCATCCCACATGATGATACACTGAGAGAGGTAAGAATGATATTTACGAGGAAGAACAGCTTTTTGCTTACACTCTCTCATTACTCGTATGTTTTAATTTTCGTTTGACGTTTGACACCGATTTTAGGATTCGATGGAACTCATGCTGAAGGCAGAGACCCTGATTACCGCTTTATTACGAGAAAAACTGCTCCATAGAGAACTGGAACTGGAGCGACTGCAATCCGAGCTAGGATCTTCAGTGAGGGGAAAGGAAACCTTGCAGTCTGAGATCATCAGGCTGCAGGATCATGCTTCGTGTCTCACGCACGAGATGAAAGACGTGGAACATCAGGTGCGTGTTAAGACCTCCTAGGTGACCTTACCCTTCAGCATATAATGTGCCATTAATTTGGAAATAATGCGTATAAGTCTCTGCCCTTAATGTGAAAATAAGGTGTGCCCCAGTGGAGACATAAATCTACTCGATTTATGCGTTATATGGCAATTTTTAGGTTCGGAAGAAGGAGGAGAGCATCAGTAGGCTCCAGCATGATCTTGAAGAGTGCACCAAGGAGCTTATGGTGGGGAGGGAGATGCTACCAAGGGTATCTGAGGAGAGAGACCGTCTATGGGAGGAACTGAAGCAGTCAAGAGAGACCAACATGTTCATTGATTACGAGCTCAAGACCCTGAAGAAGAAGATCGAGGCTCTTGAAGAGGAGATTCTCATGAAAGAGGGGCAGATCACCATTCTGAGGGACAGCATGGGGAAGCAAATCCTCTGATCTCCTTCTTGAGGGAGGAATTGGGTTTGGAATGAGCTTGCCATCTCGCAACATTTTTTGCAGAAATAACCAAGACTGGCTCCTGCATTCTTTTTATGGGAAATTGAGCGCAATTTCCTTAGTTCTTCGTGTGAAGTCAGGTTGATGCCAGGTCAACCCTGTCTGACCCACGTCAGACAGGGATAAAACCTGTCTGAGCGCAATTTCCTTAGTTCTTCGTGTGAAGACAGGTTGATGTCAGGTCTCCAATTTTACTGTCACACTAACTCTCAATAATAATAGAACCCAGTGTTCATCTCTCTCTCTCTCTCTCTCTCTCTCTCTCTCAATGGGGCAGGGAGGGATGTCTACTTGATCCACTCCACTATATGTTAATATTGGAATAAACCATTATTTCCACCAAGGTATTAAATGGTAAATCGCCCAGAGGATAAAGGAATAAAATTTGGTGGGCCAAAGTCCGCGGGGATGAGTTGAGAGAAGTCAATGGCGGCTGCAATCCGAGGTCTATCACATGTTTGACCTTTGGGTTTTCTCTTTCCTGCTCGAAGACCGTCAGCACTCACAGAGCTCTGGAGAGAGAGAGACTTGGGAAGAATTGAAGCTGTTCGTTCCTTAATCTTCTGATTATCGAACATTTTTCACCTTATTGATCCTTCGGGTAAGAAAACCCAATTATGATCTTGAAAAGATTTAAATCAAAACAATCTCTCTGTTTTTATTGAAGAATGCTTCGAATCCAGCACTCGTAATGAATAGAAGATGGAAAGAATATGTGAAATCGGGGATCATCATCGATAATCTCACACTTGTAGACGAAGCAATTCCAATATCGGGGAGGACACTCATCATCCACCTCTCCCCCTCCTCAGATCAGATGTAGGAGGCGCAGGGTTTCAGAAACCAGAAGAGGTCCAAGGTTTTGGATCCAGAGCTTGCAGGCGAATGGGTCATCCCGTTATCGACTCCGCCGTCATCATCATCGTCGTCAATATCTATCTCGACCATTTCTCTGAGTATCCCCTGGATCTGATAAGAAAGTTTTTGATTCGAATGTAAGGCCGTAGACCTGGTTGGTGCAGCGAGTCGACGAAGGGGAAGAAAGGTACTTACCGGCGGTACAGACTTGACGGAGGCGGCGGCGGTGGCGGTGGCGGCGGTTTTCTTTTGGGAGGCCAGAGGAGAAGCAAACCGTTGCGGAGTTGGGGGGCAAGATCTGACCTCTTGCAGCAATCCCAGTTTCACCCCCTCTTTCATGGGCTCTGGTGGTGGAATTCTGAGATTCTCCATCCCCTCCTTCCTGCTGTTAGAGAAGCAATTCCAGGGCGAATTAGGAGATTTCGAAGGTTCCGATGATCGAGGGAAAGGGAGATCTTTCAATGGAGAGGGTGAGCAGTGATGGGAGCGCACCAGGTGTTCCTCTCCTTCTTTTGCTCCCGGAGAACCGGAAGGGATCCGTCTACCTCCTCTACCTTCCCGTCGATCTTTCTCTCCCCGAGCGTATTCGTCGCATCTTGATGTTCCTCGCCGCTGTGACCTCCGTTGCGATCCCTCCGGGGCATTGCCAGCTTCTTGATCTCATTGCAGAACTCCGAGATCTGGGTCAGAATCTCCTTCTTGGGAAATAGGTTCCTCGCCGGGAGGCTCAACGGCGGCGGCTCCTGCCGTTCGGCGCTTGACTTGATCGTCTCCTTAAGGAGAATCTTCGCAGTCGCCCGGTCGGGGGTCGCCGGGCAGAGGTTGGGGTCCTGGTTCTCGAGATCCTCCCGCGACTTCTTCGTCTTCCCCGGCAGCTTGGATTTGGGGGATTCCCCTGCGGGAGGGAGCGGGGCGCCTCTCCTCTTCAGGTTCGCATCCCTGATGAACGAGGAGATAGAGATCAATATTCAGATCAATTGCAGAAGGACACGTCTTCCTCTAGATTCATCGAGGAAGAGAAGATTGAACCTCAGAATGCTGTTCTTGTTGAAGTTTCTCTCGCCCAGCGGCGAGGTGAAAGTCTTCCCGACCTTCACCGGCACGAAAGAAGAAGAAGAAGACAGCAAGCCCTCGTCAGCGAGGATCAGAAGAGAAACAAGAAACTAGGAAAGGAATCGAGTGGCGGGGGCTACCTTGCGTTGATCTCCGGTCGGGGAAGGTCTCAGGTGAAGGAAATCCTCGGCCGTCTTCGGATGCCTGCAATCTGGAGCAAGGAGGAGGATGAGAGAGAGAGAGAGAGAGAGAGAGAGAGAGAGAGAGAGAGAGAGAGAGAGAGAGAGAGAGAGAGAGGAGAAGAAGTCGTTTCTTCTAGAGAGAAAAGAGAGGAGAGGGAGTGGCCCTCACCTGGGCGGCAGAACCAGGCCTCGTCTTTTGGCACGGAGGAGGGAGAGAAGCTCTTAGGAGAAGGAGAGAAGTCAACCCATTTGGGGGCGTCGAAGTGCTCGTAGAGGTCGTCCTTCACGAACCGCCATTCCAGTCTATTCCAGTCTATATCCGCCGGCTCCATTGGCGGCGCCTCTAGTTGCAGCGGCTCCCCCCTGGTCTCCTCTCACGGCAGCGGAAGTGAAAGAGAGAACGCAGTCTGTTCAGAGAGATAAAGATAGAGAAGAAGAAGCAGAAGAGCAGACACAGAGAGAGAGACGTTAGGTGGTGGCGGCGAGGGGGTTCTGACCGAGTAGTCGACCGTTGAGGCGAGCGACGGGGGGGGGGTGGGCGGTGGAAGCCATGAATTTTTTGACCGTTGGAGATCCGCTAATTCTTCCGGGCCGTTTCTCTTGTGACGGTTAGCCCAGCCCAATAAAAACCTTGCCATTAATGGGCCGGACCAAACCATTGACATTCCTGGTGTGGTTGGCCTTCTTTAACGTACCACGGTTCCGTCCAAGTCAATGGAAATCCTCAAAAGTCCCGGCGTTGACTGGGCTCTAGCTTGCGCATAGGTTCTCAGATGTCGGCAGAAGCTGAAGTCTTGTCACATTAGGAAGCTAGGTTACAACACGAGGGCTCCACATTTATTGACAAACTGGTTTGAGAGAGTCGGGCCAACACATAGGCCGTAGAAAGCTGACTCCCCATATGAGCTGGCACGAATGAAAGTCAGCGCAGAGCCTACCTCAGTGTCTCCACATGGAAAACCTCTGAAATTGGACAAAGCCCACTTAGGCATTGGGCCCTAGATTCTCACACGAGTGACAGGAGCTGCAACGCTAGCCACGTCGCATCCGGCGACTGCTGACTGAGCTGCGTTCACACGCTTGAGTCCTAGTTCAACGTGGAGAGTAGATACTCTTCCATATCGGCCCCTTCTTCTTGGTGCTATAAATAGATACGCAGGGCTCGGAGGTGGTGCAACAACCCACGACGGGGATAGCTAGATCTTCTTCTCTTCCTGTTCGGGAGGATCTTGGAGGTCGGAGATGGCGGCCTCAGCCATGACGGGGCTCACTGTTGCGGTGGTCTTCTTCCACCTGTTAACCACCGCCGCGGCTATCGACCTGTTACCACCCATCTTCGGAGGCCACCCGCCGCCACCTGGCAACCCTTATCTGCCACCACAACCACCAAGGGGGCCTCCCTACAATAACCCTCCCCCCCCTTCCCCTTCGCCGCCGCCTCCCTATTATAACCCGCCCCCCACTCACCCTTCGCCGCCGCCTCCTTCCCCCCCGCGACCGTCGCCGCCGCCTCCCTACTATAACCCGCCCCCCACTCACCCTTCGCCGCCGCCTCCTTCCCCACCGCGACCGTCGCCGCCGCCTCCCTACTATAACCCGCCCCCCACTCACCCTTCGCCGCCGCCTCCTTCCCCACCGCGACCGTCGCCGCCGCCTCCCTACTATAACCCGCCCCCCACTTACCCTTCGCCACCACCTCCTTCCCCACCGCCACCGTCTCCGCCGCCACCACGCTACTCGCCACCTACGTACCCGCCACCCACCCCATTGCGGTCGCCTCCACCCCCATCATACTACAAGCCTCCTTCGAAGTAACTAGATTTAGGATCCAAAGGCTCCGCGGAAATCGTAAGTCCATCCTGACCCGCTGAATCTTCTCATGCATGCGTAAATATTTCCGTGAAAAACAAAGTAACACCAGCATAGCAGTCCTCACATCTAAATATTCTACTTGTCATTGCAGCACTCGACAGGGAGACCCGGAGAACGAATGATTCAGCTTGCTTCTTATAATAAAGCTGTCGAAAAGAGCCCGCTACAAAACCCTGATGTGCCTTTGCAAGTCTAGAGAGAGAAAGAGCTCGGGCACTATCTGGTAGACAGTGTACTGTTAGGCTTCATCAATGTTTTACGTAATGTATGCGTTTATATGAATAAAGGCTGTGTTCTGGAGGAAAGCAGTGACCGAGTGAGAGAAAGCTAGCGAGCTTCTCTCATTGCTCCATGGTTGGTCATCCCGGCTGAAATCCCTCTGTTCCAGCTATCTTGTCCACGTCAATCTAAACACCAATCACTTGCGTACACATATGCAGGCCAGTCCTATAGAAAAGATTTCACGGTACTCAGTGGACGAGCAAACCTAATACAATCGAAATAAATTTGGGGTGCATCCAGGGCAGATGAAACTGCCGGTCGTGCGAGTGCTACAGAAGTTTTTCATGACAAGACACCCGCAAAGAAATCTTATCTGATTTCGAGAATGAATGCCAAACACATCGAAGCATCAATTATTCGTTGGATGTAAAAATAAATTAAATTAATTAAAGCTTTTAAAAAGGGTTCTAGAAGTCAATGAGCATCACCATACCGAGTGGCACTAGAGCCAAGGTTAGGCCATTTTTTGTCTACTTCGGGCCTGAAAGTCTCTCACCTAAGAAGAGAATAAGTACGGTGGGCCATACGTCTTTCCGTTTCCTCTCTCTATCTCTCTCTCGTTCTCTCTCTCCAGTCGGTGCATGCACATAGGCCCGACTGGGCGTATAATGGTTGACTCCTAGCGGAGACCGGTCGTCGTAAATGAGAAGATTTCAACTCGATTGTCACCGTAAAGGAAGATCCACATTGATAAAGGACGGCAAATTTATAACCCTGAAATCTTTTACAGCTAG